AGAATGCACAAGGGAAGGGAGTTGTAGTTCCTCACAATCGAATGAAACGGATTTCAATTGTATCAGCTTTACTACCAATACTACAGTCTGTACTACACTATCAAGCGAAAGAATCTATTTCTTCCAGATATACATGTGCCAGACTCATAGCCAAGTTAAGAATGGTATCACTACACCTCTCCTCGTATAAAGTATGTACACACCAAAAAGCCCGCCAGTTACTCCTAGAATACCACGGCACTAAGCAGACCCCTTTCCAGTCAACTTGGCAAAGAATGAAGTTAACCCGCTGCCTGGATTTGGCTTATTGTCATGAGCAACAAGGACACCCGACATCTCCTCCTCTTCCTCATCGTCGCTTAATGCCGTCTGACCATAATCACTCTTCGTCCGGCGCATTCCCAACTTCGCTCGTGTTGGGCTCTTGATGTGACCCGGACCAACAGTATTAGGTCTTTCGGGCGTATTTTGAGCCAAAGAAATCTGGTTTATGAATTCTTCTTCCTCCAAGCTCTCAACCATCTTTCGAGCAAGCTCTGATTTCTTAGACTTCTGCTCTGCTTTGTCTTTCAAGACTTCTTCTGAACGAATTCTCTTCATTTCGCGCCGTGTTCCAGTCTTGAATTTGATGGACCCGCTACCAGTGCTTTCTTGCTGTTCAAACGACAAGGACTTGCCGTTGCCGTATCGTACTTTGTTCTGATGATCGAAAGATATTGTTTCTTCGCCTCTATTAGTTAATTGTGCGTTTTCTGCCTGATGGTTCGAGGTCACACCCTCAGCAGGAGGGCTAAAGTCTGAGCTAGGATTTGGACAGCTCGACAGGCGGTTAATGGGTGGTCTTCCCTTATTATTCTTACCGCTAGTAGGTACTATGTCATTCAGAACACCCATAGCACGTGCCTTGAACCCCACAGGGTCATTGGAACCTTCGGACATATTTTGTCCAAATCCGCTTTTCTCGGTTATGTCTCCGATCAATAGGTTCATCTCAGTGAGACTTTGAGCCTCCTTAATTTGTTTTTGATTTTTCCCTTCGCAGCTCAGCAGAGAATGACCGACTGGGGTAGATATTCCACTTTCGAACTTGCAGTCTTTGAGACCATGCTGTGATGTGATAACGACAGTATCTTTTGACTCGCAACCTGTGAGCACATGAGAAACTGGCTGTATGGATCTGGAAGTCTGATTATCGCTCTCACATTCTATCAGAGTATGTCGTTTAGGAGACGATAAGTCAGTGTCAACATCGCATTCTGCCATTTCGTGCTGTGCCACTATGTCAAAACTGGTCCCTGAAGTGCACTCTTCAATACTGTGATGCGAAGCAATTTTTAGATGCTGGAGCTGGTTTTTCCGCTCACATGTTTCAAGTGTGTGGTCATTGGCTGGCTTTTGTGTCACAATATCAACGCAGCCGGCCAGATCGTGCTGTTCAGATTTGTTCTGTTGGGAAATTGCTGAGCTACATTGAATAAGTTCATGACAGCTTGAGACATTTTGTTGTTGAGCGGCAGACAAGTTCGATTCTTCGTAAATTGCAAGGGTGTGGCTAACTTCCAAAGCTGGTCCGATGCTAACACAGTCGCTCAGATTGTGTTGATCATTTCCTCCATGCGTTTCTGTGACGTTCGGCTGCGCCGAAGTTGTATTGCCAGCTTCTGTGGTGGTTGATTCGTCTATCGTAGGTTTGGAGATATCCTCGCAAACAGTCAGAGTATGTGTTTGACGGAACTTGGAAATCTTCTGCTGAAGCTCTGTTACGTTGGAATTTTCACAGACCAACAGTGCCTGCTTCTCTCCTGGGCCGTGGATATTTGTAGTAGTCTTAGAGGACGAGTTGGGCCGGTCATGTTGAGCTATACTTGTTGTCTGTGAAGTAGCTAAGGTGAAGGGTCTGCAGTCATTGAGTGGATGCTGTTGGACTGTCTCGCTAGAGTCAACCGACTCACATTGAGAGAGCCTGTGCTGTAGTGTATGATCAGCAACTGATCGAGCTCCTGAATCGCTAGCGAGATCAGCCGACGTTTGTGTTTCGAGCCAAGATTGTTGCTCTACCCGTTGATAGGATCCCGAGGTACTCTTTTGGTGATTACGACACTTGAGCATATGCTGACCATTGGAAGTCTCCACGATGACAACCTCACGGTTTTGAAGTTTGTCATCAGACACTGGTTGTTTTTCTTCTTGCTCTGTATTGTTGGCGCGGTGACTACCCGCGGTCCAAGACTGAGGTAACTTCTCACGAGTGTTTGGTTCTTGATGTCCCAGAAGCTCTTCTCCATCCTCGTCACCATCGGATAGATGGGCAGAGCTTAGTTTGGACCTGCGTTTCCCTCTCATCTTATTGAGAAACCCTGAAAGTGTTGAGATTGTCGACTTTCCGCCCCCGTCTGCTTTCGTTGGGGGAACGACAGGCTGTACCACCACGTTGGCACTCGCAGGAGATTGCTCTGAAAGAAAGCCTATTTCGTGAGTGCCACGCTGAGAGTTTCCAGGGATGGTGTCAATCTGAGCGGGAGGAGAAGCGTAAGTCATGGGCGGGTTGAGCCCCGGTGGATGGTTGTCAATCGAGCGCTTGTACCTTTTGTATGATCTGTCGGTTCTCAACCCATGACTGCCTTCACGGGCTCTGACCTCACGGTCAGATTGAGCCAGAACGCATGGTTGACAAAAGAATGAAATGAGACAGTCATCAGCATTGTTCCCTGCAATACCATACACACCACGCACCGAGGTCCTTAGCATCATGATAGGGACAAAGCTGACTATTTCGCTGTCGTTAGTACGAGAAAGAAGAATGAGGAAATGGCTACTCACACAGAGGGAAAACGATTCGAACTCCGAGGCAGCCCAGGCAATAACCGTTGCATCCTTCCGAAGTTTCCCAGGCATCGTCGAAACCATTCTGGCCTCTACTAAATCGTTTTATACGCCACTGAGTTTTGCCATAGAGAAAGCAAGGGCAAAACACAGCTTGAAAGCATGTCAAAGCATCACCTCGAGGCTCAATGCAGAACCCTGCCATCCAATGAGGATATGTTTCTGAATCATCAGCTCCCGCCGTTGTATACGGTACCGCAGCCCTTGGTGGAATGCGTGAGCCGTCAAGACTGGGTACATTGTTCTTAGGCTCCTTCGTAAGGACGTTATGCTTTCGAGGCGGGGTCGTTTGAAGCGGTGTAGCTGTTGTAGTTGTTGTTGTTAAGGAATTGCGGTGGGATAAATTGGCCGAGACCTTTGTCAGCGTTCCTACAGTACTCAAGGTATTCTTCATTGATGGGGCGTTGTGGAATGGGGCCTAGAGAGAGGTTAATATTTGTGACAGAAATGTATTAACGAGAAAGTAAAACCAACATGGTTAATAGATGGTGGTTCCATTGTAATGATGTTGTAGATCTGAAAGAGCAAAAGATGCAATGGACGGAAAGGATTGGCAAAGCAAAGAGAAAGCCTAGAAAGTTACAGAGAAATTTGCGTCGTTGTTTCCTTCATACTAACTATCCGCATTGAACCGAACCAATGCTCAGGATATAAAGTTACCTATTTAGCTAATAAGGGAAGGCACGACCTACCTTTCCCCCAGGGAAACGCCCTCGAACGGCTCTGGCTGAATGAAAGAAAAGATCCGGAAGCTATTCTGCTGTCAATACAAGACTTGGGCGTGCGTTTTAATTGCCTTCTCAGTTCATTATGTAACTTTTTAACATAATTGTGATAGTATTTACAGAGAGCCGGGCCCATATGTCGCTCCATTTTTTTGTTCTATATGCCCATCGTCTCCGGACTAAGTGATTCTGGACATCACATAATCTGGATAGACATGACAATCGTTTAAGTAGGGATCCAGTGAAAGCCAAACGAATTCTAGTTACAGAAACTATTTTGCAGGTCGATTGGGGTCAACAGGGCCCTTTGCTTTCGCCGTCTCTGGGGTTCCCTCTGCCTTTTTGCTCTTGTTTGGATTCTCGCTGATGTCAGTGGAATGTTTTGTATCTGTATTAGACAAGCCTTCCTGGGCACCACTATGTTTGCCTGCCGTTGCAGCCTAGAATCATTAGTTTCGGCAAAACTCAAATATTTTATATCAAAAAATTACCTGATCGTCAACAGCGCCAGATTTGGTGCCCTGATCACTTTCAAGTCTCAACTTCTTTCCTCCCTTTGCGTCTGGGATGATCTTCTTTGTGTTGCCGTTCTTCTTTTCAGGGCCGTCACTCTCATCCTCCGAAGAATCCGGTGTATCAGCTCCGCTCTCATCGCTGGAATCAGAATCATCCGGCTTGTCGGAGTCTTTGTCACTGTCGGTTTCTTTGCTCTCCTCGGCCTTGTCGTCGGACTTGTCTTCCTCCTCCTCCTCCTTTGGTTCTTCCTTCTCTTCTGGCTCCTCCTTCTCCTCCGGCTCTTCTTTCTCTTCTTCATGCTCCTCTGCGTGAGAATCATGGTGATCGTCATGTCCGTGAGAAGACTCGTGCTGGTTTGAAAGGAGGAACCCTAAATTGCCTAGGTTAGCAAACGATACCGCACGCTGCAAAACGCAGATTCCCAAACAGCCGCAAGCTGCCAATCCCACACAATCCGTAGAGATATTTGGCGCATGTTGTCGGCCATGATTTGGAAACTCCTCGGGAGATGGAAGACTTACAGCATGTTGGGACCGTCACTGCGACAGCACCAGCAGCCCTATATGACGTCGTCAGTAAATCGCAATACTACATAGATCACAGAAGGAACATACCACACAGCATCGCCGCTGGCCTTTGCAGCCTTGTGAGGGTCGGCGGTGGCATAATTTCTACGGGCAACGTTGCGGAACAATTGAGGACGGACGGCGGCTGGTCGTGTTGTTCGGAAGCAGGATCGCATCGCAGCAATTCTGGAGAACGCCATTGTGGGTGTAAACTGAACAATTAAGTCCAGCTATTCAACTAGTGTTGCTTATTAGTACAATGAACAGATAGTGAGGAGTTTGCAGAAACACACAATGTCAACGTCAGGTGCAATGGGTGAGAGTGGTGAGGAAAAGAATGGCTGGCATCGATCACACCAGAACGGCTCGAGCTCCGTACCTGTGCTCGCTGTGGTCCTGTCAAGCTAAAAAAGAGCTCAGACCATCTTTGAGATGTCATCGGCAACGGGCAGGTTGCCTGAGGTGTCAGTCGCGTTCTACCCCACCAAAGGTCAATAATACCGTGAATTGCATCTAGTATATTTCGCCGCTCCCACCCAACGAGCTACTTTGAAAAAGCACACAATTTGACCGAGGCGGCAGAGCGCAGATTATATAACTCATTCACTTCCTCGTTTCTGACCAGGTGGGTAATTGCTGTAGGTGAATTTCGCTGTCATCCGGAACTCGAGCCGTCTGCCTCGACCTAAGCTCTTCTGACATCGCTCAGGCATATCAAACAATCCGCATGGACTCTTCCAAGAACAGACAGACATCATAAGGCTTTACGGTTTTCACCTTCAACTACCTCGATAAAACCCTTGACGATGTCGTCGACCCAGATTCCTGCGAATCCCACCTCCCAAACAGTAGCTGGCCTGCTGCACAAGCTTCATGATGCCGATCCAGATTTTCGATACATGTCTTTGGATGATCTTTCGAAAGTACTCGAAAACGGGAAACCAGATTTTCTGCACCATGACTACAATACTGCGGCTAGAACGGTTGACGGTGTGTTGAAGACATTAGATGACCAAAATGGCGAAGTACAGAATCTAGCCATCAAATGGTAACCTCAAGCCGATCTACCTATCTTAAAGAGAAATAGTGCTGACTGCCTGAAGTCTGGGTCCTCTTGTCAAGAAGCTGCCCACCAACATCTTAGCTCCTCTCATCGAAAAGCTGTCGATGCTGAACCTCGAGAACTCCGTCGACAACTCGATCCCTGCGATGGCTCTGCGAACTGTTGTCGTTACACTTCCAAGACCAATCACCGGTGTGGCTGCATCCAAAGAAGTCAGCGAGTCATACTCTGCCGTTAGCAGAGTCCTGGTTCCTCGATTAGTTGGTCGTGTTGTACTTCAGAATCCTTCGTCAAAGGCAGTAAAGCTCCCACCGCCACCACCTGGTATGCTAGACATCGAGTCCGAAAAAGAGCTAGGAGCGGAATCTGTGGACGTTCTGATAGAAGTTGTCAGATGCTTTGGGCCTATGTTACAACAGCCGGAAGTTGAAGCCCTTCAGGGGCTGTTGCTAAATATTTTGGAGTCAGAACGAGCTAGCCCAGCGGTCAAGAAGCGAGCTGTTGTTGCAGTTTCTATTCTTGCTATATATCTGACAGACGATGACCTCAGCGGATTTGTTTCTCACCTCATTGAAGCGCTCCGGAACCCACATCTTACGCCAATTCATAGACGTTTATACATCACAATATTAGGCTCTATGGCCCGATCAATCCCAGCTAGATTTGGACCATATCTACGGCAACTAGCACCTTTTGTTCTTTCTGCTCTAAGCCAACAGGAGCTAGATGATCACCTGGAAAGTACCGCTGAAGACGGTGAACCGGACCCTGAATTTGACGACGTCAGAGAGTCAGCACTGGTCGCTCTGGACGGCTTCCTTTCCTCCTGTGGAAGCGAGATGCGCATCTACACCGATGAAATCATCTCTAGTGTACTCCGTTTCTTAAAGTTTGACCCCAACTACAATGACGATGATGATGAAGAAATGGGAGGCACTCAAGAAGACGAAGATGATATGGATGGATTTGATGACGATGATGATTTCGAAGCTGATGCCGGCTTTGACGACGACGATGATGATACTAGCTGGAAGGTTCGCCGATGTGCAGCGAAGACTCTTTACACTCTCATATCGACTCGGGGCAGCGGCGATTTGTTGGAGGATGGCACTCTTTACTCAAAAGTTGCTCCAATTTTGGTACAACGATTCAACGAGCGAGAGGAGAATGTTCGCCTCGAGGTTATTGCAACAATGTCTTCATTGGTTCGTAAAACTGGTGAAGGAGTGCTGGTAAATTCTTCCGGCGACGACGCTGATTATGTCAACCATGCTCCGCAAAGTCGCAAGCGAAGAAGAGAAAGCAGCATTACAGCTAGTTTCGACACGAAAGCTCTGCTGTCAAAGTCTGCAGGCTTAACCTCACCCACAATCGAGCCCGTACCCGCATCTGGTCCACGGGCTGACCTTGCAGCAATGATTCCCGCTGTGGTCAAAGCTAGTACGAAGTTGATGAAAGGAAACTCAATTCCGACTAAGCAGGCGCTCATCAACTTCCTTGACGATGTTGTGTCTGTCCAAAATGGGGGCCTGGCAGAGTATTTCGGCCAAATTGTTGACCCAATCGTAGACTCTATTAGACCAGCCTCTGGTTTTCAGGGGGCTTCGACTTCCATCACGAGCGGCGGAGCTGCCTCGGCTACAGCGAACACATTGCGAATTGCGTCTTTACATCTGATCGGAGACATTGCTCAGACACACTCCTCAAGCGTGTTGAAACCATTTTTGGCCAAGATTGTCCCTGGCGTTGTGTCTGCTGTCAATGATAAATACTACAAGATATCCAGTGAGGCTATCGTCACTGTGGAGCAATTGATCAAAGCTTTGACACCTCCAAGATCTAGATCAGTTAATCAAGATCATAAATCTGACGTCCAGCAGCTCTATAAAGTTATCATCGGGCGTGTTGCCGCTAATGATGCGGATTTGGAGGTAAGACAGCGAGCAATCAGTGCTCTTGGGATTCTGTTAGCTCGCAGTGCATCGGTCGAGGGATCTTCGCTCTTGCCAGTTTCCGACCGCAAAGCAGCTATGGATATCCTTAGTGAGCGGTTGAAAAACGAGACGACTAGAATAGCTGCTGTCCATGCCATTGACACAATTGCGGCGTTGACCATGGCTAAGGACACGCTCGAACCATCTTGGATTCGAGAGGTATCCCTCGAATTGTCTGCTCAGCTGCGAAAGGCCAATAGAGCTTTGAGAGGCGCGAGCCTGGGTGCTCTCAAAAATCTTGTCGTATCTCCTTCGGCCAGAAACGCACTTGACGAATCGACTGTTCAAGGCTTGACAAGTGCCCTCCTTCCGCTACTTACCGCAACTGATTTACATCTTCTCGGTCCTGCTTTGTTGGTGCTTGCAGCACTTGTCGGCGATAATCCTAAGCTTGTCGTTACAGATGAATTAAACGCGGCTCTGTGTACTCTGTTAACTGCTTCGCTTGGTGGGGCTGTGCTAGATGCCGTCCTGTTACTCGTCTCCAAGATTGGAGAGCAGCAGGTTGGCCAGAAACTTATGCTTGGACTTCTAAATACGGTCAGCATCAATGGAGACCCAGCTGTTGTCGGAAAAGTGATTGGCACTCTACTTGTTTATGGAGGTACATCCGTTGGTGTAAAGATTGACAACTTCCTTGATGAAGTGGTCAATCCCACCTCAGATGACGCTAAGCGAAGCCTTGCTTTGGCGGTCCTTGGTGAGGCTGGACTCCGTTTAGGCGGAAAATCACCACTGAAGCCTTCTACGTTCACGGCTCAATTCAATTCGCAGTCCGAGAAGGTCCCACTTGCTGCTGCAACTGCGTTGGGTCGTGCTGGTGCTGGTAACATACCAGTATATTTGCCGGCAATTCTCTCTGGTATGGAAAAGGGCGGAAATGCCCAGTATCTACTACTTCATTCTATCAAAGAGATATTGCAGCACGCAAGCAACAGCTCTGCCGATATTAGCAACTACACAAAGTCAATCTGGGATCGATTACTCAGTGCCTCTCAAGCCGAGGATAACAAGGCTGTTGGGGCTGAATGCATCGGTCGACTCTCGGTCATTGACCCAAAGACTTATATGCCACAACTACAGGTAAGGAATCTTTGATTATGGGTTCACTCATTTATGTACTGACTTCTTTAGAACTATCTGAGAGACCCAACACCTTCCGTCCGGGCAATGATCATTCAGGCTATCCGGTATACACTTCAAGATAGCGACGAGGCATTTGATGCTGTTCTTAGGGCGTCTTTGATTGAGATGTTGAAATTGATGCTAGCAGATACTGAGCTTGAAAATCGCCGTCTCGCTTTGACGACATTGAATTCGGCTGTGCATAATAAGCCGGACCTCATCATTCCAAATCTAGGCATCTTGTTACCTTTGGTCATGAACGAATCCACAATTAAGCCGGAACTCATCCGAGAAGTACCAATGGGTCCTTTCAAGCATAAGGTCGATGACGGTTTGGAGGTTCGAAAAGTATGCAGATATTCTTTTATCGTCTTTCTATCCCTTGGAAAAAGATTATTAACATTATATTTCAGAGCGCTTATGAGACTTTGTACTCCCTAATGGAAATAGCCTTCCGAAAAATCAACACCTTGGATCTTTTCGACCGCGTCATCGCTGGTCTCAAAGATGAGCACGACATTCGTGCACTTTGCAACCTCATGATTACCAAACTTGTAGTGCTAGATCCAGATGAGACTACTCGCCGCCTTGATTCAATTGCAGAGTGCTTCCGCAAGATCTTGTCGATCAAACTGAATGACAACACTGTGAAGCAAGAAGTAGAGAAGCAAGAGGAAGCGAGTAAGAGTGTTCTTCGGGTATCTTTAATTTTACACAACGCAATTCCCGGCGCAAGTACCGCTATGGGAACACAGGCTAGTCAACACCAAATCTGGCGAACTTATTGGGAATGGATAGAGAAAGACTTTGAGCCTATTTTACGGGCGTTGAGAGACGAGAACAAGGAGATGTCGGCCTAACTTTCGTTATAACACGATGAAAACGAATAAGGAATCAGCGAATCTGGTTTGTGATGAGAGACGAAAATTATGAATTGCGAAGAAAATTGGGGCTCTGTGCTACCGATGTGGGGGCAGACCCAACGCATAGCTTGCGTGTTTTTGGTGATTTGTGGCTTTGAGCATATGATATTAGATAGATGCATGTGATAGCGCCAGATACGAAAATGAAGACACGATTTGCACGAGATGATGCGTATGATGTGAGGCTGGATGTGAGAGGTCATGAATAATGAGTCTGAGAAATCTTACGCTTAACAATATTATGACAGCTTTCCAGATACTACTCTATTTCTAACGTTTTCCTTAAGGATACCCCCGGTTGGTAGAGTTATGTGCACAGTCTCCAAATTAACGTAACAGATCCGATCTATGTGACTCGACTTGTCTGAGCATTTGTAGTCCCTAAAAGAAAGTTTTAAATGGCGAACGAGTCTGACTGACTATCTGGCGAGCTATAGATACCTCATTATCAGATCCTAGGGATTCGTTGCTAGGACAGACTTGTAGCTGGCTTTGAGAATATGAATCACAAGAGTCAGTCATTCCAAAGAACTGCAGGTTTAAGACTGGCAATTTGACAACTGTTTGTTGGTTGTTAGTTGGATGTTTTGGGGTGTGTAAGCACCAGGAGATGCAGTATGATCAGTCCTGGTTTCTGGATGCATCCATAGTCTGGGTTAAGAACAAGCAAACAACTGATTGTTGTATTGGCGAGGCTTTATATTTAACGTATTAGAGATGTGTTCATGAGTGACGTTGAGATGTTGGCGAAATGTTGAAGCACGCTTAGCGGAGGATGACGGAAATGCTGATGATCGTCCACTCCTTTTTGTTGTAACTCAAATGCATCTTCGTAGGTGAGTTTATCCGGCACTCGGTGTCAGACCCAACCTGTTGGAAAGACGGTACTTGATACTGCTTGAGCCTCAGAAATTTAAAATAGTAAAGCCGCAAGCACAACTACACTCCCTACTACAATTTAAAATGCCGCTGCCTCCTCATAAGCTGACAATCAGAGGCGGTTGCAACTGCGGCGCTATCAAGTATGAAATTTCCATCCCTGAAATCGCCCAACGCCCTCTTCATCCATCTTCCTCGGCGACAGATATTTTATGCCTACCATTCATCGCCACAGATCACTGCAACGACTGTCGCAGCGCCTTAGGCACTATCTTGCCAATGTGGATATGCTCACCTATCTCAATGATAAAAGCCTCTGTTGTCCTGCGATCCAAAGCCTCCCTACCCTCAGAAGCTTCAAAACGCAAAAACGAAATCGATGAGCCTAGAACACCATATCTCCCAGCTCACAACATCTTTACACCTGGTTCTATCAGCGAAGACTCATTCCTAATGTTCTTTGAGTCTTCAGAGAATCGGCGCAGATCATTTTGCGGTCGTTGTGGGACTAATATTTCATATGCTGCGTTGCCTATGCCTGAGGGCTGGCCTGATATGCTGGATATTGTGCTAGGGACTGTGGATCGTGAGGATCTGAGTGGGGAGGCTTTGAAGCCTGAGAGGCAGCTTTGGTGGGATTGTGGAATTGAATGGATCAAAGATATGAGTGTTCAGGGGGTTGGGGAGGTTCCGAGACATCCTGATTATAAGGTTGATGTCGTTGATGAGGGTAAATGATGGTGGTGGTAGATTGAAGAAGTGTTGGTTATGTTGTCTGCTAGTTTTGTTAGGAGTATGTTAATTCCTCGGTTATTTCCTCTTTGTTTCTGTGGTTCTGTGTTTTGCCTGATAAATAGCAGCTCCTAAACCGACCTATCAAATAGAGAATGGTCTCACTCTTTCGATATAGAGCTAGCACCATTCAAGAATCTCATATAATTTTCTTCCGTGGCCGTACTTGATGTTACCGAATTTGAGGTCCGGAAGAGGTGAAGATGGGGCAAACATTGGATGACACTTCAAATACAGACATCACTAAATTACTAGTAAATTTGGGAACTAACCCTTGTATGATTTGTTGAAGAACCGTGCCATTCGAAATTGGCTGAAACTCGAAGTATTCTTGTTGGTGAAAGTTTTCTTGCTAGATGCTAGACTTTTCGTGACAATCAATAAGTCTTATGTAGGACTGAAAGCATGGAAATTTATATTTCTTGCGTTGTCGAAGGAATGGGGAGGAAAAGCACTCTTAGCATTATCGAAGTATAAGAAGTGAGAGGGAGACGGTATCAACCGATATATGTCAGGGAGTCAGCTAGCCACTACTGTATCTAAACTGCTCTGCTCGACCACAAAATTGATTATCTACCTAGGTAATTACCTTCTCTATTCGGTCGTTTGATTTCTGTTGACATGTCTTTATATTTTCCTTTTCTTTTCGGAATTATACATTACCCCATTCTTCGTTCGGCGGTTCCGGGTAGCATGCTTCCACATATGCTGAGAGAGCACCTCATCAGGCTACTCTATGTCGATTCGTCACTGTTCTAAGCTTTTTCAAGCTCGCCAAGGTTGTCCAGGCTCCGAGCTTGATTCTGACAGAACTGGTTAGCGTTACGCTTAGTCATCAATCAGGTGACTTCGATTATACTCTAATAGTACAATATATACGATTATCAACGACCACTAGTTCTATCAGATTTTCTTCGCAGATATTGCGGAATTAATCAATGGTGCGAAACTAGAACGCCGCGGCTCGATGGGCAAATAGTACAAAGCAGTGGCGCACGCACCCAGTACTGTGCCAGATAACAAGCCTCTTTATATTTTGCTTATCACTCTTGGCTCCTTCCTTCTCCAAGCACCACCGACCGGCTTTGCGCACCAGCAATACTACCCAGGTTAGACAGCAAGGACAGTTGCTTGGTGTTTTCGAGTTCCCCCTCTTTTGGTGGTCCCTGTTTCCTTGTCTATCTGTCGCGACCTTCCTGCTTGGGTGGTGGGCGGTCTTGGCTGCATTCTTCCAAGACCTAGGTACCTGCAGTCTACATTTACCAGATGGAAAAGTACGAAAAGCACCTTCGGAGACGGCAAGGAATCACACATGAAGATTCCTAAAGAGGCAAATAGCTATAGCTATCATGTACTGGTACCTGGAGTATAAGATGTGGGAGAATTCCCCCCCTGATTCAAAAAAAGCTCTGTAGTGTTGCATTGTTCAATCTATACACTCTACAGATTCTTTCGCCCACGATGAAGTTCTCCTCCGCTCTCAGTCTCGTTGCGGGACTTGTGGCCATCTCAGAAGCAGCTCCGTCGACTTCAGTTGTTGAGTCGCGTGCTCTTCCTTTGGTGCAATCCGTAAGTGATTTGCTCTGCTCGACTGAAAATCAAAACAATTAAAACAATCAACTAACTCTCATTCAAGAACCAACTCCGTCGAGTCCTCCTCCGCTCCGAGCTCTTGAAGAAAGGACAAATCCTCGAGGACTTCGCATACTCGTGGTCAGGCAGGAATCGACTCATTGGTACAATTGGCCACAACAAGACTGTCAATTACCTCTATGACACTCTGGTGGCCACAGGGTACTATGATGTCGCATTCCAAAAATTCCTCATTTCCACCCCAATCAACGAGACCTTCACTGTTGGCAACAGCTCCTATGAGACTGTAGCAATGGCTTTCTCAGAGGCTGGAAAGGTTACAGCCCCAATCGTTAAGGTCGCTAATTTGGGATGTGATGCTGTAAGTTGTGATTGATACTTCTCTACGTAAGGAACATATGGTTAATGATCATATTATAGGCCGACTTCCCAGACCTCACTGGAAAAATCGCTCTGATCTCTAGAGGATCATGTACCTTCGTCATCAAGGCAAGTTTCGCCGAGGCTGCCGGTGCGCTTGGTACCGTTATCTACAACAACGTCTCGCCCGGTGTGATTGCAGGCAGTGGCGAGGGTGACTTCGGTCCAGTTCTCAGCATTACCCTCACCGATGGACAGGCTCTTGTAGCAAAGCTTGCTACTGGCGCAACTGTTATTGGTACTATGAATGTTGATATCGACTCCATTACTACGTAAGCACACCTCGTTCTCACCACCCATCCCTCGCTAATGTGGACTAGCTACAATGTCATTGCTGAAACCAAGGGTGGTGATCACAACAATGTTCTCATGCTTGGTGCCCATACCGACTCCGTCGAGGCTGGTCCAGGTATCAATGACAATGGTTCTGGCAGCATCGGTATCCTCGAAGTTGCTCTTCAACTCACGAAATTCTCTGTCAACAATGCAGTCAGATTTGGATGGTGGTCAGGAGAGGAAGAAGGTCTGTTGGGCGCAACCTACTACGTCGAGAACCTGTCAGCCGCCGAATCAGCCAAGATCCGCCTTTACATGAACTTCGATATGATTGCCTCCCCCAACTTCGTCTATCAAATCTACGATGGAGACGGATCATCATTCGGAACTTCTGGTGCCCCTGGTTCTGCAGAACTCGAACATCTCTGGGAAGCATATTTCCCAACCGAAGCAGGACTCGCCTTCGACTCCACCGCTTTCGATGGCCGTTCTGATTATGGACCATTCTTAGACGCCGGTATCCCAGCTGGTGGACTTACATCTGGTGCTGACGAGGTCAAGACTCCTGAGCAGCAAGCTATCTTTGGCGGTACTGCTGGAATCATTCTCGATCCAAACTACCACACTGCCCAGGATACCTTGAAGAACTTGAATGTTGGCGTTTGGGTCCAGATGACCAAGGGCATCGCTCATGCGGTGGCTACTTATGCCCGAAGCTGGGAGGGTTTCCCAACCAGAGTTACCAAGCGCGACGCGTCTGTTTCTACAGTCTACAAGCCAACCCGAAAGGGTGGTCTTTGGATCTCGTAGATCAGAAGGTTATGCTGGAATGTTAGATATGAGAGAAATGATGTAATGAATCAAAAATTCAATGTAAATACATAATGAAACTTGGTTGAAGCATGTTTGTGTGCAATTTTCCGTGAATAGATGACCATTTTCCAACCACACTGTCAAGAACTCTCTTCTACTGGTCCATAACTCAGCCCAAGCTTACCATTGAATAGAATGGAAAAACATTAACTGTGTCATCTCTCTGTGCACTTTGATTCACGGAGCATTTAACCAGCCTTAGTAAGTAACCGGGATTTACATCTTTTGGAGTTGAAGCAATCTCAAGGGGGAAGATCTGTTCTGGAAGTGACTGCTTACGGTCTTGGTCAACTCTGGTGATGCTGACTTGCCGTTGTGGTAATATATATCCTTTTTTTGTTATAAAGATCTGTTCTCTCTGACAATCAATTTGGATATGGCGAGATATTGATGAGATGTTGGCGACAGTTTCCATCAAATACTTCTTTTCATCTTCTGATTCTGCGTCGTTTTTCCAAGTATGTATCTTGTAAAGGATATCCACTATACTAAAATAGTTTAACTTTTAAATTAAGAAGAAATTTTAAAAAAAATGTTAGATAGTTCTTTATAAATCTAATATAATTAGCTAATATATATCCAACGTTATAACCTTATAGTAAAATACTAATAACTATAAACGTAGGTTTTTATTTAATTTTTCTTTTCGAACAATATGTAAATTATAACTATAGCTATTGGTCTCATGTATACTCATCAATCACAAGTTATCACGATTAATCTTTGATCATTATTCATTGAGGAGCCCTCGTCGTGTTTGCTATGCACCCTTCTCCCAAATGATAACCCTGCTCAAGAACGAGGCTTGTACTGAAACTTTCTATGTGATGCACGACATCTGAGTCGTCTGTGACCCATCGGACCAAAATGAAAGGCTTGTCAACCAGCTGAGGCTGTACTTTGCAGGGTTCTGCTTCGGATGAGCTGTTCCATCATCAAGATGAGGCTCTGGTTGACTTGTAATAGCCAATGTCGTTTCAAGGCCAGGTTCCACAGCCTTAGTGACGAGAACTAGTTGTAATGAAGAGAAGTATCTTTCTCAAAGAAGCAGTTTCGGTGTCTTCGTGCCGTTCGTTTGGATTTCGTTTGGATTAAGTGGTGCCAATAAGCATTTGCTCCGCCTCTTTTAATAATTCGGCGTTAAGACGTCAAATCACCATACTTGACAGACACTCGACAGCCCTATACGGGTTCATCCAAACCTATTTGAGCACAGTTTGTTGGGCCGATTGCCGCCTGACCATGCTGAACCCAACTGGATCCCCCCGCCTTACCACCCATTTTGGACCCCTGTTCGTGCTCCCCACCAGCCTTTACGAACGTTGTCCATGACGTCCTACCCAGCCGGAGACGCTTATTTGGCTACCTAAAGTCGAACGTTGACTCTGGCTTCATCCTCTTTTTGATCTCCTAATAACTTAGTATTATCCGTCTTCGATAACCTCAAGGTTGACTCAAAACGGATCTCCAACAAGTGCGGCGTCGAGTCATAATTTGGACCCCTGTGGTTCATTCCATCGGGAACGCGCGAAGAAGCGTCGAACGAGACTTGGATACATCCACGCGGATATCCGTCAATACATCACATCCCGCCACCATGGTCTAAGAAGCGGCGAAATTTAATGGAAAAGAAGTAGTAATCATACGCAATGAGTTTCGGTGCCTCGCTGTCGGATATCATCATCGTCGTTACTTTCTGCAAGACTCTTTACAGAAAGTGTAGAGACGCAAGTGGGGTATGTTCAGCTCGTATTGATCAATATCTCGGTCGCACAAACTTTTCTGACTCGGCACGATATAGGAGTACGATGAGATATCGCGCGAAGTCAAAGCATTATACACTGTTCTACGACATCTAAAATACGAACTCGAAGCCCCAGAATCTCCATTGAACCGCGACCGATCAATATGGGGTCGCCAACTTGCGCCGATCGTCCGCGACTGTGATTCCTCGTTGCACCAACTGGATGGAATACTGCAGAAATATGGAAGACTTGCTGGCGACAGTGGTAGTTCGCCAATTTCTCCCAAGGTGGCATGGGACAAATTCAAGTTTGGAAGCAATGAGATGGACCAGCTTGGAGCACTTAGGGTTAAGTTGATTTCGCACAAGTCAAGTTTGACGTTATTTCTGGATACGATACAACTACATCAAACTGGGAAGATTACGACGACCTTGAGTGGTCATGGGGAGCAGCTGGATATTATCCTAGACAAGGTCGATGCGATCGCTGCGAAAATGAGCAACCAAAAGTCTGGCAGTGTTATGACAAGCTACGATAATGATGATAAAGAGGTCTGGAAGGATTTCCGGAGGGAGCTGGTTGCGGAGGGGTTCTCAAGCTCTGTCTTGCAACAGCATAAAGATGTTCTAAGAGCATATATCCGCGAAATCGACCAAAAAGGTTTGCTGGACCCATCGCCTAGTCCGGCACCCGAGCCGTCAGGTATCAACCCTCACCAGTGGCTGGAATCAGTTCAGCCTCAAGCAACCGGCAACTCGCAAGCTTCAATAGACTCTTCGAAGACATTGAGAAGTGACGATAGTAAAAAGGAAATGATGTTTCGAGAAGAGAATATAAAGTTTCCAGCATCTTTGAAAGCCGAAATGATGTCATCAGATACAGGCAGGGTGAATAGCCAGAGGCAACCGTAAGCGATTCAACTGTATAAACTAGGTCAGTTCTAATGTTTGTAGACCACAACAAGAAAGTATTGCTTCGACTACCGTCGCGAAGAAGGAGCCTTTACAGGTTCCCAATTTGAGAATACCAGAAGCGGAAAAGCCACAGTACTTCAACACGAGCGGATCTGATTCTGGTTCAGAATCTGATGCATTCTCGGACAATTCTGGTTCGGATTCAGGTAGAGCTATTATACGAACAAGTGAGCTAGTTGCCTTAAGTCAAGCTTTGAGTGTACGTCCCGCTGTTTTACCCAGCAGCTTTGGAAGTAATATGTCGTATGGTGATCAGACTGTACGACGGTCGATCGAGTACCCTTCGCAAGTAAACACGAACTTAGGTTCGGCCTTGACCCAACCAGTGGCCATACCAATTCGTTCTGGGAATACGAGCAATATCTCTAGAGAAGGGTTTGGCACAAGTCCGCGGCCAGAGGCGTTCCGCCTGGCACCGGATTCTCAGGGAAATCCAATTCCTCCTAATGCTAAGTGGACCAAGATCAATCGTCGTTTGGTATCTCCCGAAGTGCTGGACCAGGATAGGAGGAGATATGAAGCGTAGGCGAATAGAATGTTGACTGAGTTACATGCCTGTGCTAACCTGGTTGTTTTAGGAGACCAGAATTTGTTGCGGTGCTCGGCGTTTTGAGCAGAAAGGAGATTGAGGACTATGCGGCTAGATCGGAAATTTTGCGAAACGCCCGTCGGCGAAGAAGCAATCCAACTCCTCATCAACAAGAAAATGTGAAGGTGCGATTGCCAAAAGAACATTCGCGTCCAATACCGTCTTCTGGAGATGAGTCATCAGAAACAGACGACCAGCAGAGAAGCGGCAAGAGGAAGGAGCATCGCTCGTATACCCCATCAGTAGCTGGCAGTGATATCAAGCCTCAGTCTGGATATCCCAACCCATATGGTGCGCCTCCTTCCCCAGTGCTTTCAACAACATCAACACAATACGAGAGAGAGAGAACTCCAAGATCATCTCGTGATCATAGACATGAAAGTAAAAGATACGACTCTTCGTCATCTGAAAGCGAGCACAGACACAAGTCGCATTCTCATCATAAGCGAGACAAAGATTACTCGCATAAGAGATCCAGTACGGCGTCAAGAGCAACTTCGAGCAGTTCATCTCATGGACGACACAGAAGCGACAGAGACAAGAAGAATAGTAGGTGGAGAGAGAATCTTACAGCTGCAGGACTTGGTGGTGCTGCAGCAAGTTTATTAGGGGTGTTATCTGAAGCAGCCGAGGGACTGTGATGTTGCGTACGATTTAATGATTGGATTTTTGACGATCAGCCATGGCTCAGGTGCATTTCGGGGTTGTATTATCAGGGACCTTTATTGGGTGAAACCGACATAGTCTGGTCTGGATTTTGAACTATTATGCGATGCTCACAAGGTAAAATCAGTACGATATGGAATTGAAAGTAGGACGCGTTGGAAAGGGTTGGAATGAGGGGTTACTCTCGTTTAGGAAGGCGATCCAAAGTTATCGGGCGTTTCCATAGTGAGTGCCAGTAGTCTAATATCCCTATTTGGAGAACGATTTGATACATCTACAGATTTTGAAACTGGATATGTTTTTGCAACCATCTACTCGGTGTTTCTTTCCTTCCAATCATTGCACGGCAGTCACTACAGCAGATTCCAGATTCCTTGACAATGGAAAGGCACATATCGATTTCATTTTGAATCTCTACAAATACTTGTTTCTCACAGAAGCTGGTAAAGTTCCGCCCGCCCGCTTCTATTCTCGATCCATAATCCGATATTTCCGGATCTTACAGATTATGAACTACTGCAGCAGATCGCGAAGACATTATTTGCAGAGCATCTCTTGTGAAGTTCGAAGATCCAAGACCCAAGACGACGCTGGGTATAGCGGGGAGGCGAGGGATGCGAGGAAGTGGGCCCGCTTTACCCCCCTTAATTGTTTAGACTCGCTTAGGCAAGCTGCAGGCGAAAGATTGGTGGACACTCTCCGCGAACCTTATGGACAGCGGGTATGGCGCCCAGTGAATGAGCTACCCCGCAACACGCTAGGAGCCTGGCGTCTCCAACGTCGATCCGTGCCTTTAGCTTTGGCACTCTGCCTCCTTGACCATACTTCCAGACTTCGTAAGGTTCTTAGCTCTCCTTTCCAACATTGTTCACGTCCAATTGTACGTCAATATGTTTACTGATACGACCATGTGCTCTGTTAGCACTTCTTCTCCGCTGTGCCATGCGGTCGAAAGACGGACTCTTCTCGCCTGCTTCTCGGATAGTTCGGTGTTGTTCCACCAAGGTGGTAGGAAGTAGTTTCCCCTCACGGTCTACTTCTGTCCTGCTTATCCTCGCTTGCTTTTCCGAAGTTTCCATCCTTCTTACAGCTCGAGTGAGCTTCGCTTCAGTTCAGGCAAAGGTCAAGATGAGAGCACAGCATCTTCTGTCGTCGTACTGCAGTTATTTCGGTCAAAGACCGACTCCAATCTTGTGTCACCATCTCTCATTATCACCCTGTTAAGCCCCATCTATCAACAGGAAAGGTAATAGCCCCACATACAATAGAGTTGCGGGGTACCTCCTCAAACCAACATTAGGTCCAATACTCCTTTCAATCTCTCATCCAATTCAAAACCTTGTCTCGAAACCCACACACATCTCAATTGAGCTTGTTTCTCAATTTGCCAATGCCGGCCTATCTCCAGGATTTCTCCTCAGCACTACTGTCCATCAACATGGCTAGGCCGTGGCACATATTCCCGCATTCATCACGGATCCCCACGCTTTACCTTACTCGCTTCCCAAGCTTTCGAGATTGAGGGGTAATATCTGACGGTTCTGGTCTGTCGAGGTGCAGTACGCGCAAGCTTAGTGTTCGTTGGAAGGGTCGAAGTCCAATTGCTGGACAGGGAATTGTGGGATGGAGAGGCTGTGCGGAATAGACTCTGGTTTAGCCAAGGGGAGGTCAGAGTGATTCGTGCGGGGTCCCTGAGGGGATCTTTGGGATTCTGGGATTGAAAAGGGGAGGAACGTCTCCTGTTGATTCGAATTGGCAGAGGTTTCATTTGTGAAATCCAATCTGAAAGATCACTGAATTATAATCAAACAAACTTCTATTGTACTCATCTCACCAAAGTCAAAATGACCGTCCCAGATGAAGTCGATATCATCGTATGTGGTGGTGGAAGCTGTGGTTGCGTCGTCGCAGGTCGGTTAGTATTATCAACCGTCAAGTGTTGGCTACACATCTAACCTGTTCAAAGATTGGCAAACTTGGATCACAATCTTCAAGTCCTCCTCATCGAGGGCGGAGAGAGCAACTTGAACAATCCATGGGTTTTCCGTCCCGGAATCTGTAAGATCATCTCGCTAAACATCCTGCCTACAAATACTAACACCTCTAGATCCTCGTAATATGAAATTGGACAGCAAGACGGCATCGTTCTACTACTCTCGACCATCGGAATGGCTTGGTGGCCGAAAGGCCGTCGTCCCTTGCGCACATATCTTGGGTGGCGGGTCATCCATCAACTTCATGATGTATACTCGTGCTTCGGCTTCGGATTATGATGATTTCCAGGCTAAGGGCTGGTCTACCAAGGAGTTGATTCCCCTCATGAGGAAGCATGAGACGTATCAGCGTGCCAGCAATAACAGGTGAGATCTACAAGCATAGTGTGCTAGATGGAAATGCTGACGGGCTTTGCAGAGATATTCATGGTTTTGAGGGACCTATCAAGGTTTCTTTTGGAAACTATACCTATCCTGTTATGCAGGACTTCTTGAGGGCTGCTGAGTCCCAGGGTATCCCTACTACAGATGATTTGCAGGATTTGGTTACCGGACAGTGAGTAACTGTCTTGGCGTTGTGTTTAGTCGTTTAGGTTAGCTAACTCATTGAAGTGGTGCTGAACACTGGCTCAAATGGATTAACCGAGACGTAAGTACACACTCGTCACTTCACACCACCAATACTAACAACACAGACCGGTCGACGAAGTGACTCTGCTCACGCCTACATCCACTCCACCCGCTCAGTCCACCAAAACCTGCACCTCCAATGCAACACCAAAGTCGACAAGATCATCATGGAGAATGGAAGAGCAGTTGGCGTCAAGACCGTCCCAACTAAACCACTTCATCCAAACGTACGTCCCTTTCCATAGATCAAAGTGACCCAGCTAACATCATCTACAGCAACTCACATCCCGCACATTCCGTGCTCGCAAACAAATCATCGTCTCAGGCGGCACCCTCTCCAGCCCTCTCATTCTCCAACGCTCTGGTATCGGAAACCCCGAGAAACTCAAGAAGGCAGGCGTCAAGCCAATCGTCGACCTCCCAGGTGTTGGTCTCAACTTCCAAGACCACTACCTTACCTTTTCCGGTACGTCCTCTCTCCTTCTTACTATTGATCCTCCCCCCTTTCCTATTCCCACATCTAACAAACCCCAGTCTACCGCGCCAAACCCGGCACCGAATCCTTCGATGACTTCGTCCGCGGCGTGCCCGAGGTGCAAAAAGCCGTCTTCGACGAATGGAACATCAAAGGTACCGGGCCACTCGCCACCAACGGTATCGACGCCGGTGTCAAAGTGCGTCCTACCGAGGAGGAACTCAAGGAGATGGATTCGTGGCCTACACCGCACTTCAGAAGCGGTTGGGACTCGTACTTCAAGAATAAACCTGACAAGCCGGTTATGCATTATTCTGTTATCGCTGGGTATGTTTTCCTTTGTATCATTATTCAAATTTCCTTGTCATTAGTTGAAGTTGAGGAATGAGGACGTGCTGACGATTGTAGTTGGTTCGGAGATCACATGCTCATGCCACCCGGAAACTTCTTCACCATGTTCCATTTCTTGGAGTATCCATTCTCCCGTGGTGAGACGCATATCGTGTCGCCTGACCCATACGAGGCTCCTGATTTCGATGCTGGATTCATGAATGATGAGAGGGATATGGCGCCGATGGTTTGGGGATATATTAAATCTCGTAAGTCAAACTCCTTGGAGTGTAGTTAGTGGTATACTGATTATGACCAGGTGAAACGGCAAGACGTATGGAGGCATACGCTGGAGAAGTCCAGAACATGCATCCATTCTACGACTTCGACTCACCTGCTCGCGCGAAGGATATGGATCTCTCGACCACCAAGGCATATGCACTCCCAGGCAATTTGACCGCTGGAATCCAACACGTAAGTCCCATTCCCCCTTCTTACTTTCAAAAATATCGAGGCTGACATGCTGTAGGGCTCATGGAGCATGCCCGTCGAAGCCGGCAAACCGCCAAAACCAAGCTTGCTAAACAGCAACACGCACCACGTCTACGACGATCTGAAGTACAGCAAGAAAGATATCGAACATGTTGAGGAGTGGGTAAAGCGACACGTAGAAACGACATGGCACTCCCTCGGCGTACGTCCCCTCCCCTTTTCCCCTTTCCTCCCCCTCTCCATCCTCACTAACCCCCTCTAGACCTGTTCAATGGCCCCCCGCGAAGGAAACTCCATCGTCAAGCACGGCGTGTTGGACGAACGCCTCAACGTCCACGGCGTCAAGGGTCTCAAAGTCGCCGATCTGAGTATCTGTCCCGACAACGTAGGCTGCAACACCTATTCCACGGCGCTGTTGATCGGCGAGAAGTGCGCGATGCTGACGGCGGAGGATCTGGGCTACTCGGGGAGCGCGCTGGAGATGAAGGTGCCGAATTATCATGCGCCTGGGGAGTTGAGCGGGTTGGCTAGTGCGCGGTTGTAGGTTGTGATGCGGGGGTTGGAGTGTAGCGTGTTGGAGTTAAAACCATTCTTTATGTGAATATATGTATGTTTTATTGAGTGGTGTGTCTGTTGTTCGCTGTGAGATACATGACAATCTCGTGACTAACATACAAACACTCCATCCTTCGCGAAGAATCTATAAAAAGGGTAATGAAATTCAAGATTGCAAGCCCCATCCGAAGAACAGAGAATACGTCTTCCAACATCAAGTCAACAGTACAGGAGTAGAAATTTCCACGCCTTCGTGCATTAGTGAGAAGTTGTTCTACCTACCTACCTACCTATCAGCAAGAGCATCCGTATCCGCTATTGCCTTGCCTGAAAACCAAAGACTCACTAGCTACCTACAGTATCGACATACGATTCCCGAAGTTAGTAATTGATTTGTGAAAACTGTAAAAGTTTAAGGCTAGTAGTGATCTGTTAAAAAGCGGTGCAAAATGTGTCAAGAAACAAGTCCGCTCGAGTACAGAGGAGTTTTGTCCATTCATGCGATTTTCCAGCAAGTGGGAGATTTTAAAGCTTTCATAGGTATCTAGGTATGTGTACCAGCGCACGATGGTTTGTTTTGGTTGCTCTCAGGACACCAGATGAACCCAGCCAAGTCGGACGTTAAAGGTCGTTGCAGAGGAAACATCATAGAAACTTTAAAAATTAGAATCGAATGAAATGAACTGGTGCTTGGATCATCGGAAAAATGGATCAACCCGTAATACCATTCGCCCCTGGCTAAGAGTTAAGAGTCACGTCATTGACACAAAAGTACTTGACATGCCACTATTATTCCTATATACGTATTCTCCTCCAAACCCACCAAAATATCAACAACGAAGAAGCGGGGATCCTTTCAAAAGCAAAAGCGAACCCCATACCACTAAACGCCCTTCCTTTCATAATCACGTTTCTTCCCCATCTCACAACCCATAAACGCCCTCTTTTCCAACCGCGTCCAAGCGATTGTAAATTAAAAAAAAGCAGAAAATCATCCGCTAATGTACAGTGGTATCAAAATTCCTCAAATATTCATCCCAAGCTCAAGCCGCAAAATCAAGAATCGTAAACCGCAGCGACACCGGGAACCGGTCCTTCGAGATCGATGTTTTCAACGGTGTTTCGGATCTTGGCGCTCTCGTTGACGAGATTGCTAAAGTATTTTCGAGCAACTTCGCTTTCGCCGCGGATCTTGAGGGTGTCTTCGCGTTTGGATCCGAGTCGTTCGACGGAGCGTTGAAGACCTACGCGGAGATGGTTGGCTGGCATGTGAAGAACTTTGCGTACTTCGTAAGAGATACGATCACTGTTGACATGAACATAGTCGATGGCAGCGAGCTGCGTGGAGATCTTGGTGGAAAGTCGTTGTGGTAGCGAATGTGGGATCTGGTTCAGAATGTAATAGGTTGCAGCGAGGGCTAGTTATGTTAGCGAATGTAAAAGGAGTAAAGTCATGTGATTCGCTTACCAGTTGCGATTACTCCGGGAATGATCAGCTTGCGAAGATTGTTGTTCCCGACTACTCTTACTGCTCCTAATGCACCATCAACCCAACCATAGCCGCCGACCATCCGTCCGCCCACGGCAGTGGCAACAGTCAAAGCCATGCCGGTTCCAGCCATCTTCTCCTGCTTCTGTAAGATAGTGGACCAGTCGAAGAAATCCCAAAGTTCCGTCTCGATAACAATTTGTCGAGCGAGAGCATGTTTTGACTTTCGGAACATGGTATCGCTACGGAATATTCTCTCTGCGTAATCGCTTCCGAGGTGTGAAAGGCCCAGCTGCTTGATTGCGCTTACACCATCGACAGTCTTTGCACGTGCGTGGTCTTCACAAGCCGCGACGGAAGCCGAGATTTCCGAAAGAATAGCTTCCTTCAGATCGTCGGCATATTGGAAAGCGTTCATGAGTCCGGGATATGGGACTCCGAGGTCTTCATCTGCTGCTTGTTGTATCGCGGAACTGAGAGATCGCCGTGTGTGATCATAGATTTCTTTACACGTAGCTTCGATAGTTCGATCGATATCATCGCTGACTTCCGCCTTCGCCTTCTGTGATGCTTCCAAAACGGGTTCCAATTCCTGCAATTCTTTTGCTACCCTAGTCAGCTCTGCTTGCGCGACTTCCTGGTTGACTGTTGCTAATGTGTGCACGTCACCGAGAACATTCAAAAGGTATGTCTTCGCAGGCGCAAGTTTCGAACGGGCGCGCTTCTCAAGCACAAATCTGCGTAATGATTGTTCAAGAGCCTCAAAGTCACGAATCTTCTCCTTGTCTTTGCCCTTACCCTTTGGATCAGGGTCGTCAAAACCACCACCGTCCCCACTACCACTACCGCTGCCGTCTCCTCCTGGAGGAGGGGGTGGTGGTGCTGTTGGAATGGCGTTACTTGACACAAAATGAACAAGGTCCGAGGACTCCTTGAAAGTTCTCGGGCTTAGAGCATGTACCTGCTCCAGAATCATCTTTTGACATCGTTCCTTGTCTCTGATGTTATCGTATCCGTTTACGACCATGAAAATATAGGCTTTTTCTGCTGCTGCTGCCCAAATAAACTCTCTGGCTGTTTGAGTAAAGTGATTGGCTGCTGACACTATGAATACAACAACATCAATCTCCTCCTGCCGCGCAAACACAGCTGTGGTCTTGGTTGTATCAGAATTGAGTCCTGGTGCATCGATTATGGAAATATCCACAACTCCGTTGTTCAGCAGTGACTCGTCGATGGAGCGCACATCCTCGAGGTAAATCTTGCACTGGGTATAGGTGTCGTTGTCGACAACGAGCTTCTCCAATGCATTGAGATTGTATACGTCGTACGTACTCTCATCATGACGATTGTATGTAGCATCTTTGTGCACAGCATGCACCTCTTCCATACCGCCGTTTTCTCTTGCGTCGAGCACTTCGCAGAATATATTTGTACATGGTTGCTGGTCCTCGGGAAGAACTTTTCGTCGAAGCAGGGCATTGCAGAAAGTCGACTTTCCTGCATTAAGATCTCCAGTCACCAAAACCTTACTAGATGTATCCTCGATCCGTTCTCGAAGGGCGAAAAGATGTTGGATACTCGAGCTGATTTTGCCGTCGAGAAGTGACGCTATCGAGCTTTTCTCCAAAGAATGAACTAATTCGGTTTGGTGCAAAGCTCCAAGTTTGAGATCTAATTTCAAGATTGAGAATTCCTGCGCGATCTGTGGTGTAATCAACCGTGGCTCCGGAGCTGCTCGTTCCTCGCCAGCACTACTCGATTCTGCCTGTGTACTTTGTTCACCGATCGATGTTTGGGATCTTCGGATATCCCCAGGGCGTGGAAGTGGAGGCAATGATCTTCTTTTGTCGTTCATTCCCGTCTGCGTATGCACCAAGCCAGGCCTAGGATCATTTCGATTCGGTACAGAAGCCTCGGCGCGTTGAACTGAAGGATAAGTTGCTGGCCATGTCGCGTTTGTTGCCTGCAGAGACTTCAGAGTCTCAACAACTCTGTTGATAGAACGCCCGAGTGCAACTCTTTGCTGATTGTACCACAATTGGTGTATTGCGTTGGCCTGTACCCTCCTGTCGTTGTCGGCACTCTCACTGCTTTGTCCGGGATTCGAGAACCTGGGTGACATTGTAGGAGTTGGCCTATCCTCGGTCAGCGCGGTGTTCCACGCAGGCGCGCTGTTGATTCCATCTCCAGCCATGCTGCCACCATACCCGGAGTCGTTGTCCAGGATCGCTTGAAGGCGTGCTGCACTTTCTGACGTTGACCCTGAGCCGACGGTCATGTAGTTCGGGCGGGCAGTATAGTTGCTCGAGCTGCTGGCGTCGCCATCGAGGGATTGTCGCGCTTTCCCCTTTCCTTTATCGTATTCCTGGCTCATCTTGACGTTTTTGCATTCATCGGGGTATGGGTGGTTGTTTTGCTCTGGAGAGAAAAAAGGTGATGATGCGATCTGCTACATGATTTGTTCCGGAGGTGGCAATGACAAGCAGCACGTGATTACATGGGGTTTGCTTTCGAAGCAAGATTCGCTCAGATATTCCTCCCTTTTTTTGATAATGCTTTGAATTTGTCGAGTTAGCTTCACTGATGATTCATGTTATTTATGTATATTCGAGTAGCTTACATTCACAATGGTAGAGCTGAATATTATAATGATAAATTGCAGCATAGGGGTTGGCAAGTGTCACAGTAGAAGCACATCTACTCAGTGTATCCAGATCTAGCCAAAAGTTTAGTCACGCTACTATTAAAATTGCAAATAATCTTTCTTGATCTATTATTTGCCTGGGTTCAAACGCATTATGTACCTTACTAGTCTCAATTTAAATTGATCTTCCCCATTGAAAAGTTAGTGGAGCCGAAACCTTTAGATATTTCGCCTAGTCTTTCATAACCTCCAGGCTATAGGGTATATAATCATATTCAAAATGACCCAAGAACTAGGTTTCGGAACGGGATTGATATACCTAATAAATCATCAGATATCTACGTATTTGGAATAAATATTACCGGCGAATTTCGTTTGCTTTTTCATTTGAGTTGGGCGTGTGGTTTCGACCCCTCCAAAGCTACAGCAAGCTGATTGGTTCCGCTGTGCCCGCCAACGCCAAGACCAGGACATGACGAAGCACTCACAGGTAGCCGTGGAACTCTAGAACTCCAACTCTTGACCTTACTCTTTCTATCTCTCATACACTACCACCATGAATGTAAGTATGCAGGCACTGTTGCAGAGTGACAACTGATTTATTGCCTTCCAGATCATCGAATGGGCTTTCGGAAAGCGCATGACGCCTGCTGAGCGCCTGCGCAAACACCAACGATCACTCGAGAAGACACAGAGAGAACTGGATCGCGAACGTGTTAAACTCGAGAACCAGGAGAAGAAACTGATCCAGGAGATCAAGAAGAGCGCAAAAAATGGACAGATGGGTGCTTGTAAAATCCAAGCCAAGGATTTGGTGCGGACACGGCGGTATATTGAGAAGTTCTATTCCATGAGGACACAACTACAGGCGATTTCGTTGCGGATACAAGTATGCTGGACCGAGGTTCTGATTATGTACCTCCGTCGCTAATACAAGATCACTAGACTGTCCGGACGAATGAGCAGATGATGCAGGCTATGAAAGGCGCAACTGGTGTCCTAGGAAACATGAACAGAAGTATGAATCTGCCAGGTTTGCAGCGAATAGCGATGGAATTTGAAAAAGAGAACGACATTATGGATCAAAGACAAGAAATGATGGACGACGCTATCGACGATGTTACTGGCCTAGAAGACGAAGCAGAAGGCGATGAAATCGTCGACCAAGTCTTGGAGGAGATTGGAGTTGATCTCAAGAATGCCGTAAGCTAGAATCCCGATATACTTCGGGGTATCCACTAATTAGTATCTCAGATGGGAGAAACCCCACAAGGTCTTCAAGGTACTGCCGTCGCAGAAGGAAGAATAGCACAAGCTGTTGGGGGTGGAGGCGGCGGTGGTGGTGCAGCTGATCCAGGAGATAACGATCTCCAGGCACGACTGGACAGTCTGCGACGATAGTGTGGTCATATGGAATGAAATGGGCGTTATATTAGGTTGGAGCGGTTGGAGTTCTGGGATAAGATTTTTTGTTGGCTTTTCTCACAGCCTTACCTCCGAATATCCGATACATGCCTTGGGGTCTGCCGTTGAATACGCCTGCGTCAATTATGTAACACTTACTATTGTTTTGGGTGGCTCGACTTGAAGTATAGACCTGTGCATTCATGGTCAAATATACGAATGTGTGCTAGTGGTGGTCTGTCTCGAGAAATCGAAAAATGTACAGTAGTACATAGTAAACTAGACTCCGAATGCCGTTAGCCAATCTCATTCGGGTTTATGCGCAAACCTCGCGGTCCTCACCCAGCAGCTCGGTCCCTGGTTGCGGGGATAAGAGGGATACACCAGAACCAGGCTGGAAGCAAAAAGCGTGCAAACAATATGCAGCATCTGCAGTAGGCTGGAATAGCGTAATCCACAACAAAGCACAGCATGAATAGGGGCTGATGCGCTTTTTTTTATACAGCCATTGAGGGCGAAGCAACACATCTGTTTGGCCGTCCGCGGGGGTTAGGGAAAAGAAAGCATTTCTTTCAAAGAGCCTTTTCTTTTTTTGCAATAGTTAAAAGCAAGAGCTTTCCAAAATTCTCTATTATGCCTTTAGCTAATAAGAGAGAGCACTTACGAGCTAACACTTTGAGCGTTAGAAGTACGTACGTGGAGAAGATTCTGGGTTAGATGACCTAGCGGAGACGCGGCCGAACTCCCCCCTTTCCGTTTAACAGACGACCCCTCACTGAACATACTCGAGCACACAAGAGCAAGGACCCGTTCGTACCAACAGCAGGGAACGCCAAACGTCGTAGAGACCCTTGTTACCTTGTATGACTTGTTGCCTTGTGCGAGGGCTTTATAAGAGAAATATCTGCCTTAAAAATTGCTTTGCCAATTTGCCATAAAGACTGTTATTTTGTCTCTACAAGTATCTCCCTGTCCTAAACTCCCGGCCTAGACTGTTGGTGTTTATGGGATCGACATAGCGATCTCTGGCTAGTCGCTTTCGCACTCGAAGGCAAAGCAGAACCGGAAACAGGGCATCACAAGCGCCGACCGATCAGCACCACTGCAACACTTACCAGCATCGAATCCTTCCCCTCTGCTGAGAATTATTTGTCGAAAAGTGACATTTCTACACCCAAACTTATCGCGAGACTTCCACCGTTCTACACAATTCACAGTGAGTCTTTGTTTAGATACTTTGTGCGGCAAACTGCAGAACAATCATCTGCCCGCTTAACCCCACATACCACATCGTCATTGCTTACCAGATTCAGAGTGAACTCAAGACAACAACTTGAAACCACAGACATCAACGTCATTTCCGCTCCTCAAACACTGCTCAGGGCAGATACACGTTTGACAAGAACTTCAACCCTCAGGACCACCTCCCACGCCCTTGACCGGAAAGCCGCAGCTTCCACAAGCCCAAATCACAAATCCACGTCAATCGATCTTCAAACTCCTCGTGAGGAGCGTCCGGCAAAGTCAGCAAAGTGGCAGGAAGCAAGCGGAGGAGTATTTCCTCCCAGGGAGGAGGTCTGCTGAACAGAATGTTTGGCAGTGGTTCTCCCCCGAAAGACAGCGCCGTAAGTGACGGGCCAGACTCCAAAGCTACAGTACCAAGTACGAGCCCGAAAGATACACATGCGAAACGCTCCGAGGACAATAACAGCACGGCAAATCGTGGTCACAATGGAAGCCCGCAAGGACGCGCATCTGGGGACAGCTCAGATAAGACGAAGCGTAGGAGTAGCGGGGTAGGAGGAAAAGCCAGTGCTATGGTTGCGAGTGCGAAGAATGCTTTGCATTTTAGTCCAAACCCCAACGCTGCGCCTTCAAAGACCAGCGATCCAAACAATACGCAGACACCTTTACAAAAATTAGGCAAGCAGGATCCGGCGTTGAGCGTTCCTCAAGGTCAGCAGAACAATTCCGCTGGCGAGTCTGTTCCTGGGCCTAGGTCGACGTTCTCGGTCGGAGTATGGGAAGATAGAAATCGAAAATGTCGTCGCACCATGGAGGATACGCATGCGTTTCTATACAATTTCCTCCATACTCCAGCTCCAGCTCTGGCTGCGGAAATCACTCCTACTGCTAGCCAAAAGTCGAAATCAACAGACGAAACCGCCGTGGAATCTAGCTCAAGCTTAGTTTCTAATAGCGAGATGATGGAAACTGATAACGGCTACTTTGCCATCTTTGACGGTCATGCTGGTACATTCGCCGCGGATTGGTGTGGAAAGAAGCTTCACTTGATTTTGGAGGAGATTATACGTAAAAATCCCAATACCCCCATTCCTGAACTACTTGACCAAACTTTCACCACCGTCGATTCTCAACTAGAAAAACTTCCACTGAAGAACAGTGGCTGTACCGCAGTCACCGCTGTACTCCGATGGGAAGACCGGATACCAAATTCACAGTCTGCTACAGGCTCGACAGCCATTGCACCAGCCACGGCTGCTGCTGTCAAGGCTGCGGATGAGGCTTCCAAAACGGAAAAGAAGCATGTTGAAAAAGCCGCTGATGGTGTGGTTGATTCGACTAAATCTTCTTCAGAAGGCACCAATTCTGAAGCACAGCATGCTAAACTGAGGACTCAAGCAACACGCCAGCGTGTTCTTTACACTGCGAATGTTGGAGACGCACGTATCGTACTTTGCAGAAACGGGAAGGCTTTGCGATTATCATATGACCACAAGGGAAATGACGAGAATGAGGGAAAGCGAATTTCAAATGCGGGAGGGTTGATTCTCAACAACCGAGTCAATGGAGTTTTGGCCGTCACTCGAGCTTTGGGAGATGCGTATATGAAAGACTTGGTCACAGGTCATCCGTACACAACCGAGACTGTTATCCAACCGGATATTGACGAGTTCATAATTCTCGCGTGCGATGGGGTAAGAATTGTTTAACTCCTGTTGACTAAATTAACTAATTCTTGTGTAGTTGTGGGATGTCTGTTCCGATCAAGAAGCAGTCGACTTGATTCGTGAAAACCAAGATCCTAGTGCAGCATCAAAACACCTTGTCGAACACGCCTTGGCTCGATTCAGTACCGACAACCTTTCCTGCATGGTCGTCCGTTTCAACAAGACTGCTCTCATGACGAGCACCCAAGACGCATCTGCTGCGATTGGTGTTGAAGGCGATCCAGCCTGTGAGTCTGGCAAGATCAGTGAAGCCGAGAAAATCGTCTCAGAGGCCAAGCGCAAGGTTCAAGAAGATGGGATCCCAGCTGTAGGCGTAAGCGGGAGCAACAGTGGAAAAGGTCACGACCCAAAAACCATGGAGGAGGAAGAACACATCAAACGTATCAGCATGGAGAAGGTCGTCGAGGAAGAACCATCTCTTGTCGAGGGCGATACTCCAGAAATGGATATCAGCGGTGGTAACGCTGCGGATCCGACGATCAGGGATAAACTCAAGTTACCACATGGCGCGCCTAAATAGTGATGCCTGACGTTGGATGGATTTGCTATTCTATTCCAACTTTTTTTGTCGATACGTAGGACAACAAAATCAATCGCCCTTTTTGGTGGCAGGACCAGTATATGGGCCACAGCTGTGTGTCTGATTTTTGTAGGACACTCTACATCATTTTCTTTTCTGGACTGGGGATGATTCGCACATATATGATGCTGGTTCGAGGTCTTTGGCATTGGGATTTCGGGGGTTTGGGGTGGTGAATGGGGTTTAGATGAGTGTTACGATCAGCGTATGGTGGTTGGGTGTCTTTAGGTTTTGAGGAGCGGATGTTTGGCGGTAGAGGGAGTCCCTTTAAGCGCATGGATTAGTTGAGCGGGTCGTACATAGCGGTGATGGAATTATGATGTTGAATGAATGGTATTTGGAGTTTGTGGATGAGCGTGATTTTCGCAGAGATGATGGGATATGTCGTTGTCCAAAAGAGCACATGCTGTCCGATTACACAACTTCAACTACCAATACCCCCTGTTTACATGCCCTTCCCAATTCACTCCTAACATAATTCATCCTCCACCATTGATCGTCCAAAATCCTGATACCACGAAAATGCCAACCACAAATCTTCTTCATGAATCCGTCTCGTTTCTACTAGATTGGCGCCTCGGTCTTGAGTTCCTTTTGATCTCATTGTTTATGATGAAAAGAGAGAGGGCAGGCCGGATATTGGATACGGGATGAGAATCAGTGAGATTTGGAGGACAGTGTATACATGAGTAGTGGTGACCCCGACTTATGCTCTACTCAGGATATTTCTCTACAACTCATACTCCCCTCTCCTCTACTCAAACCAATCATAATTAATTTAAGCAGCTTAAATAGTGCCACACACCAGATACTCCGGCAGATGGGAGAGCCGGTTAGGAGACGGGCAAAGCTCATGGTGATTTACGCCTTTCTACTCTATACCTTTAGAGCTAGAATCGACGAAGCGGGAGAAGTAGAGTAAATTAAGAGGCTACCGACTATAGCTTTAATTTTTCATATTATAAAATACGCTTCCGTTATAGTTCGTATGCTCAGAAAATAGTCAAAATAATTATGTGGAGCGCCACTTACTGCTGTATACTAGTCAATCTGAAGGGGGGCTCATACTCTGCTCGGCTCTACCCACACTAAGCATGATTGATTTGAGTAGGTGATTTCCATTCTTTTTGATACAGTAATGAAGGAAGGGAAAGTGCAATTAGGGTTAGCCTAAATTGGCTAATTGGAAGAGATTCTACTTAATTCATTGTTCATGCAAAGCTGGCCAACAGCTAACGAAAGATCGAGTAAATAACTACTCCAAAAAACCCAACTTTCTCAAGGGGTATCGATATTCCTCACCCTTCCACCACAACCTCCCCCCTCCCCCTAAACCCCCGCCAAAACCCCAGCCATAGCAGCATACCTCCAAGAAGTTAGCATATAAATATCCGTATGTTTCAAGAGAAAAGAGGAGTGTCTAAGGATGAAACTCTTCCGCAGCCAATAAGAGCAGGAGTTTAGTAGGGAGAACAAAGGAAAAGGTCGCTTACCAACTCCGACTCGCTCCTCCATCCAACCCCCCCTCATCAAAATCCGGATCGACAAAAAACCGCCAACTCCCCAGCGCATCCACGCCCATGAAATTCGCCATCAACACGCCCCTCCATCCCCCCTCCACCTTCTGCGCTCTCCCGCCATCAAAATACCGCGTCCATTCCTCGCGTACAAACCGTTTGGTTCTTGTTAACGAGGAGCAGGGGAGGAGTGGTAACATGTGAATCCCTTGGATATACTCCGTATTCGCGCCAAAGTAGGTGGTATGATCGATTTTATTCTCAAACAGGATACCTGATACTTTGTTTCCTACAAAATTAGGCGGTTGGATTGTATTCCCACTTTCATACAGGAAATAAGATTGTAGCGCCCTCGCCGTGACAGCGAGTTGCAGATTCCCTCTCGCCTCCAGATTCGCGTCGCCGGTGACGGATCCCCACAGTTTAAGCGCGTACGCGGACATCGCGTCTTCAGAGCTAGATTCTTGGTCTCGGCCGTCGAACGTCTCGTACAGACCGTGTGCGAAGGAGTGGCCGTGGTACCAGTCGAAGTTGCGGTAGTGCGGAAACCACGGATCGTCAGGTGAGGCGTTGGCGATGTCGCGCGCGAGAGCGTCGACCCAGGGTTTGTTCGCAACTGCCCACACGGGATCGAGATGGCCGATGAGGGATGCCGCGTAGATGAAGTAGCCGTAGTGGAAGTGGTGGTCGTTGTAGTATGTGTTCCCGAAGTCTGCGCCGGGGTCGCCGGCGTAGGACGCGCTGGAGACGAGACCGCCCCAGGATGTGTCGTAGACGAGTGGGAATTGCTGGGTGTTGGTTGTGAATTTTGAGAAGGCACGTTGGAGGGTTGTGAGGGAGGTTTGGGCGAGGGCGGGGTCGTGGAGTAGGGTGTTGAGGATGTAGGTTATTTGGGCGAATTTGGCGAGGGCCTGAGGAGGTTAGCGAGGGAGAGGGGGTAGAAAAGGGGGGTTGGTCACCTTTCCGCTGTAGTACATGGAGTTTAGGTCGGTTTGTTTGGAAATGTTTTGACTTATTTCTGTTGCGGCTATGCTGTGAAGAATTCTGATTGCTTCGACACTTAAGTCTTTGAGCTCTCCTCGATCTATATCCCATGGTGCGAAGCCCATTGAAATAGGTAAGGACTCTTGCATAGTCCAACTATCAGCTAAAACAGCTTGTGCAATTCCTTTCGTGGTTGTTGCAAGGCGCAAATTTAAAAGAGCTGATCTAGTGCTATCCGCAAAAGAAGCAACATGATGCGGTAAAGCAAACATCAGAAGTGGAGAAGCAAAGAACCCATCTTTTGAAAATGAGAAAGTATAGCTTCCCGCCGTTCCAGACGCAGTACCTGATAGCGTGACACCAGTAGCCCAAGTACCGCAAGATAAATCATATAATGATTCTGCGCCTCCAGGGTCTTTAGCGATCTGTATCACTCCAATGAAGAAGTTTCCTTGGATCAGGCCGTTGTTGACAACGGTGAGTTCAAGTGGTTGACCAAACGCGTAGAGAAGCCAGGTCTTGCCATCTTCGAGGATGATGATATATTTGGTGACTCCTGGTTTTGGGGAGATGCTGGATTTGGTTATAGAGCGAAATAGAACGCCTGATTCTATAATTGGCGTGCCACCTTTGTATCCGACAGTGACGAAGCCCATGCCTTGAACTAAAGGGAATTGTAGCATGGGAGCAGCTCCCGGAAATGGATGGAGGTTAACATGTGCTGAAAACTCTGTAAGAGAATCGGTTGTCAAGGCTGTTGAATTACTGAGCTCAAGAGCAGAGAGTACAATGCTCTGAATTCCAATGGGATTGATAAAGTATTGAGTTGGATTGGCGGTAGGATCTGGACCAAATACTTTCTGGTTGTCATCAATATGCTGAATGGTCATTCCCCACGACTTGGTGACACCACCACCCTTTGACCATGCGACCGAATAAGGGTGAGTCCATGTCGGCGCTGATTGACTTCCGAGGAAAAAATTGGCATAGAACTTGTTTGTTGACACAGGTGAGTTCTGAGCTTGTACACCAAGTTTGCGGACGGGATGGTCACCACGCCGTGAAAACTGTGACGGAGGTGCATCTGTGGCAATAGGCTGGAAGATATTTGGTGAAACAGCCATTAGTTGCTGTGGCGTGGGTACTGCAGTAGGAGTTCCCGTGGCAGCGACCAAAGTTTCTGGTTTCGGGATGGAAGTACTGAGAAGCGGTGTCTCCGTATGCTGCCCAGCTGTGTCTATAGCAGTCAATATTGAGCCCGTCGTCTCTGGTACTTGAGTGCTTGGTGGCGGTAGTACTTGAGCTGTTCCAGATATTGTGGAAATAGTAGTAACTGATACTTCGGGTTGAACACTGGAAGAAGTCTCTTCTTTTGCCATCTTCATTGGCGCATGGTGTACTCGTCCATCGTCCGGCGATGAAGGATTAGGTATAGCATCAACCAGTAGAAGAACCGATACAAGCAAGAGCCAAATCGAGAGCTCCATTGTGAAGTGTGAATAGCCAGAAAGGCTTTACATTCATAAAGAAGGTGAACATGGGTGAGGGGTAATCAGTATGTTATATACTTGGATTTGAATTGATTGAAACTGTTGATTCACTTTCCACGCGTTGAAAGAGAGTAAAGGGAGTAAGCAATAAGTGATACATAACATCTAAGTTTTTTATGGACGAAAATTTTAGTCGCGTGCTAGAATATGGTGACTCGACTAAAACATGAGAGTGAATTCTTAGTACAGTTCAGGTGGGTAGACTAGACTTGCTTAATTCGGCCCGCGTCAACTAAGGTAGTCACGAACGTGGAGGAAATGTGATGTCAGATGTTGTTTTGAATGGAAGGTATGGGAATTGAAGATTTCAATAAAGAAATGGATTTTTGTTATCAGACACCAGCCTCGAATAGCCACTCACAACGCGCACTCTCACAATCGGCATTGTGCTTGTGGAATGAGAGGCGTAATGATCTAGTTATCTCGTGAGGCTCGCTTCGACCCGTCACAAGGTGAGACTTTCGGGATGCACAAAGCCAAATATTGACCACTTGGTCGGGAATGTATCAATTTATTACATGTTTGAATTCGTGAATGCTCAGACTCGATCCATGTGATGAGCTCATTGGGATATGCTAGAAACGATTCGTCGGAATTTTGCAGGCTTTTTGGTCTGAATGACGGTAAGACTTACTCTCACCGTCCTTAGCGTCTTCGAGGAAAATGAGCAGTGAAAAGTAAACATCCAAGGAACTTTAAGACAGCAAACTATCCCCAGTCACTCGACCTCGTTCTACGCTCCGTAACTCAAGCTTCACACACGAAGGCTCGTGGTACATGAGCAACTGAAGAAAAAAAGGTTATTAGCCTCGAACCGTCGCCTGGGGGTTGTGATAACCTTGCGTCACATGCTGAAACAATCCGAGGTGCAGAAATAAATACCCCAGACTGTCCGGTTCAGATTTAGTAATGCCAGTACCGTCACACTGCATGGAAGCATGAGTGCAGCAAATTCAGCGGTACAAGATCTTGTATCACAACAACGGTGTACCAGTTTTTCAGTAACACAGCTTGAGAGCAATAGCCGAGCACAAGCAAAGAACCTTGAACTGAAATTCGTGACCGTGGTTCGAACATAATTTGCAAATCTATCGGATCTACATAAGCGGTTTTGACATCGGTGCAATGATACCTTGCTTGAGCAAGATTCTGGGTTTGGTGGCAGCCTGTAGAGTTTCCTTCGTCGCCCACTCGGGGCCGACAGGTAGTCGTAAAGAGCGCTCATACTGGGCACGGGTCTCGAAGGGATGTGGAAGGGCAAATGCGAGATACTTGCCATTCTGTGTATATCATTAGCCTCAAATCATGTACACGCCGAAAGCCAACATACCTTTTTGACTCGCTTCTCGTTGATGATCACCCTGTCGAGCTTTGCATCTTTTCGGTTTGCTGCTTTCACACCAGCAACTTTGGTCAAAACCTTGCCCTTATTGCGTGCCTTTTCTCTTTTGCTCACACCATCACCAGTCCAAGCTCCCCAGCCCGGTAGAGTATTATCAATGATTTTATCATCCTCATCCTCCACAGTTTGCTTTTTCTCGGCTTCGAATTCTCCCACTACGTCTGCACCAGCAAACGCTCTTTTAATCAGATCTTGGTCCCGGATAGCAAATGGCAATTCAACAGTATTCTCATCGCCGCTTTCATCTGATTCAACGCCCTTCTCAAATGTAACAGAACTTTGCGGTCGAGATTTCTTTGGTTTAGTTTGTGTGGCAACCATTGCGGCTGCTGCAAGATCAAGCTCTCCAATCTCCACAGCTTCATTCTTCTTATGGCGCCGTCTCATTGCTTCTGCGTCATTAACTGTTGTAGACTTTCGTATTGGTACTTTCGACCATGCTCCACCTTCCGATGCAACTAAGTCTGGGACGATCGAAGAACTCAAGACCTTGGTCTTTTGAGCGTCTTTCTTTTTGTTCTTCGAGACGGATGTTGGCTTGGAGCTGTTATCAACTCCTTGCACATCCAGCTCCATTTCGTCATTTTCATCGTCTGATCCTTTTGGCTCTTCAAATTCATTTTCAGGGAGTGATTTTGGTTTCGCCACCTCTTTCTGACTTCCAGGTCCAAAAATTCGTCGACCAATATCGCCTGCCTCTTCCTCTTCGCCCGAGGACCCTTCGCCAGCCATTTCTCGTCTAATGTCTTCAACCATGGCATCATTCTCCTTCTTTCGTGCTTCTTCGGCCTTCCGCATAAATTTCAGATTTGCCAGCTTCCCTCCAGGCGCAGACTCACTAATGATATCTGATCCCGTGACTTTTCTAAGTTGTCGCTGAATTCTAGATTCTTCTGATTCTTCATCGTCACTATCATCTTGATCTGAGTCGCTGGAAGAAGCGTCCGAGCCGTTGTCAAACTCTTTCCGCACAGCCCTCCCTTCGACCCTCTTCCGTAACTCTTCATCTCGTCGTGCCATCTCCGTAATTCCAGATCTAGCATTTTCATCCCAAGCAGCACGCCCAGTTTCTTTGGTAGCTTTTGCCCATTTGCTACCTCGATGCTTTGCACTCATACGCTCATTTGCCCTTCTTCTGTCCTGGGCTTCTAATTCATCCTCGGAGGCTACGTACCCACCTTCCGCAAGCGCCTCTTGGTTTAGTCGCTCTTCTTTCTCGCGCTGCTTTCGGTGAACTTTTCTATAAGATTTACTCTTGATCTTCTTGATACGCTTTGACTTTGCTTCCTCACGGAAAAGTAAATCACGAGCCATACGGAGTTGTGCTCTCTTGGCCTTGACCTCATCAATTGACATATTCTTAGTTTCTAGCTCCTCGTACTCCCGGATTTGATCCTCGTCATCCTTGCCGTTAACAGTCGCAAGGCCACTCTCTTCCAGAATGTTTTGAATTGCAGCTTCTAGTTCGTTGAAAGGTTTGGTCTGCGCAGTAGGAACAAGTTGCTTATTGGAATGTGCAGCCTGAAGATCATTATCTGGTAGTGGAAACATGAGATGCTCGGCTCTTCGATTATGCTTGATCGTATCCGTCCACCGAGCCAATGTCTCTTTTGTTTGATCGTACGCAGAGCTCCGATCCAAACGATCTTGCTGTCGCCTGGCAAGAGGGACCTCTAATTTTGCCTGAGTCTTATTTTTGCTACTCTTCGCATCTTGCTCAACGTATTTCAACGACTTCCTAATTTGAGGATCGCTTATTCCCGGTAGGCCAAGATCCTCCAATGTGAGCTTCGTTTTGGGCGTGAGTCCATAATCTGAGGGCGCGGCATATTCGCTAGCACCATCCTGTCGCTGCTTTGCTGGAGCCTTTGCACTCTCGTCTGCCTGTGGGAGATTTGCTATCAAACTTTGCAATGCGGCAATCTTGGCAGGGTCTGAGGTTTCGTCGTCTTCGTCTGCAGAAGAAGCTGACGACTCTTCCTCGCTCTCCTCGTCGCCCTCCTCAGATCCTGAGCTTTCGTCACTATCTCGACTCTTCTTGCTTGGCTCTTCCTCTTCTTCACTGTCCGATGCATCCAAAATGTCTGCGAGATCCACTGCTCCTTCTCCTAGATCACCCTCTTCCAACTCAGAATCCGAATCCTCTTCGTCGTCTTCGTCGAGATTAACATCTTTGCGGCGTTTAGAACTCTTCTTTTTGTCCTTCTTCGTGCTGCCCGAAAACGCATAGCCCTCAAATCTCTCTTCGTCGCTTTCTCCAAAAGCTTCGTCACTATCAAGATCACTATCGTCGTCCGAATCAACCTGTCCCATTTTCCACTCATTCCCCTCACTGTCGCTGCCCTCATCCACCTCTAGCTCGTCAAAACGGCCTTTAGCAGGACCTTTGCGCTGTTTCTTTGTGTTCGATTCTTCCTCTTCGTCATCCTCTTCCTCCTCCTCATTTCGGCGACGTTTGCCTGGCCGATTCCCGCCCTCCTGTGCCCCAAGTCTGTGTTTTCGGATCTTAACATCGTCGGAAGTTTGGTGCGAAGCAATTGCAAATGCATCCAGAACTCTCTTTTTTGAGTTATTGTTTACCCTAGGTTTCTTGTCAGGCGCGCGGCCATGTGCTTGTCTACCAGCCATATTTGCGAAGTGGCGTCGAAAGAAATTCCGTATGGTGTTGCGAAGCTCCAGAAATTTCGTTATCGATTATCGCACTGGAAACTTTTTTTGTGGGGCACGAACTAGCGCGCTTTCAACTCTCTCCTCGGATCGAGGTCTCACGACAACATTAGCAGCTATCCACAGTTACAGCAATTATGAGGGCCACTCAATCACTCGGCGCAAAGATCCGGCGTCTGAAGCTTCAGACGAAGAACACGAATAAGGGGTTCTACAAGGGAACGGGGACGGGCTCGACTGGTTCGCATACGAAGCACGGAGGATACCTTATCGACTGGGACAAAGTTAGGACATATGTTGCGCCAAAGGACCTGGCGGACTTCAAGGTACAAGATGGTTTAGAGTGATATAGACATATGGAATGGGACGAGGGCTGACAATGACGCAGCTTAAGCCGTTTGTGACGATGAAAATCCAGCCAACAAGGGGATATTTTGAAGGAGATCCTAAAGGAGCGTTCAGTGGGAAACTCTATCTTGAGAAGTGGAAGAAAGAGAATGGCGAGGATTGAAGGCCTTGCAAGTAATAGGTAAGAGTTGCGCGGCAACGTTGGGCATGAGATTTATGTTGACAGTTTTCTAGATCCGAATCGGAATTGTATAACAAGCATTGGGATGGCGTTCTAAAAGGATGTACGTTACATACTGTACAGTATATTGTACCAGGCTCCTGCTCCGGATACAGCAAGCGCCTTCGAGGGAATATGCGAGGAGGAAATGTTACTTACGTGTTTATTTGTATATCATGTACCAGAACTGCAAACATGCTGGAGTTGGCCCTTGATCTGGAACAACATCCACTATTCAGCCATATATATTCTTCTTTTTGATTCACGCGGTGATGCGGCTCTGATATCAAAGGACCTCTTTGTTTCATGAAAACTCGACAATAAAACGCGAGTAGTCCGGTCGTCGTCCTTACCTATGGGGTACCTAGGTAGTCTGCCCTAACGTCAATTTGGGTTTGCTTCGACCATAATTTGTCGAACCGCAAACGGGGCCCATGTCTCTAAATTCCCTTCCTCCTCTTTCATACTCTGGTACCTATAGCATCTCTGGGTACTCTCCATCATCCAAGTCATCAAGCCTTTGCTTGATCCAGGCACCATACGCCTTGAATAAATGTCCCATCTGATGTCTCCCACAGAACTCAAGCAGAGCTCCGTATCTATCACACCTATCCGCCCCAGTAGCTCTTAGTACCTTTTCCAAGTCCACCGGACACAAGTACGGAGGTTGCCTTGGATCCTCCACAATCGACGCGGTACTTTGCATCGAGCAAGCGTAGTAAGTACAATGCGCGACTCCAAAACAATGACCAAGCTCATGACTTCCAGTCCTGCAAACCCGACCAAGCCACTGTTCATACAGCGTCACTGCCGACGGACGAGTGTCTAGGGGCGGTAAAGACATGTGCGCAGCAAGTGCAGCCTGCATAGGCGCTTGTCTCTCTCCTCCTTTTGGTTTCGCTGGTACAACCAACTTATCATCATCATCAACATCCATATTCTCGAACTGCGCCAGCCATTCTTCGATCCCATCAACACAATGACTAGCAGGCCATGCGTGTACTCTATCCACTTTCTGCTTCTTATCCAGCAGTGGGTTGTATCGCGCACTACTCACAACAGAAATCCTACTTCCGCCATATGCTCTTCCACAGGCAAAATCATCGTCATCTTCCTCATAAATATCATGTTTCACCAGCATGAGCAGAGCGTATGCATCATCTGGTAACATAGCAATTGCAGCATCTAGAAGATCATTGAGATTGAGCTGGTGCGAGTACTCATTGTAAGCTTTTGGCGTGGGACGAACTCGAATTTTCAATGTTGAACCCCTCGAGTTTGTATTGAGGTATACTGAATCCGGGGTTTCAAGTATAATCGTTTTGCCGTCAGCCTTATACTCAGTATCGGCAGTAAACTGAAGTTTAGGCGTTTCCAGCATCTTCACAGGAAGTCCGTAATAGAAAGCCTTCAAGTAATCCAATACATCTTCCGTTTTTGGATGTTCAATCAATTTCTCTTTAGCCGTAAGTTTGACAAGAGGGTCAGCTAGTTTCTGAATGGCTTCAAAACCTTCACCCGACTCTGGCGGGCCGACGAAATACACCGTTCGTCTTCTGTTAGTCACTTCATTCCTCGCCTTTTCACGCGTCCAAGACCTGACACTCTGAGGTGGACACTTTGGATCCCAAGCAAGGTCGTCTTCTGGAAGAACAAGCGGTGCTGGGAATGTTGAGGCATGCTTTGTCTCTACGGCTTTTGTGAGTTTGGTTGCAATGTCTTTTTTGAGACTTCCAGAAGGTGTTGTGGCCGCTACTAGCTGGGCAAATGCTGGGCGTTTATAACCAGCAACAGAGGCATTACGAGAGGGAGAAAGTAATAATGTGCTATGCGAGCATTTTGATTTTGATTTGCTCGAAACAGACATCGTGTAGGCGTAAATTCGATTTTCTGGTCCAACTCATGGGAACCACCCCGGTATATGTATAGTAAGAAAGAAACTAGTGCGGCACAATTGGCATATTAAGTGTCATGTGATTTTAGGCAGGATAAGTTGTTTTATCCTGGTGCTTCAACACACACTTCAGTATGAGTCACATATTTCCTCCTCATATGGTACTTGTATAAGAGAAGAATTGGTGAAACACAACTTCATACCACGTGACATACTTTTTGACCTAACTTACTTCCAAGACTCTTCTACAATCGTTTACATATCCACTATTTGTTCAACCAGGCAAACTTGACGCTCACGGCCTTCGAGGCGGTGTAAACAGTAGCTTGAGTTGACCCACTCGGTACTGCGGTAGCATAGAAGTTTGTACTACCGCCGTATGCTAGATACCCAGAGCTGCTCTGTGGTACAATGTCAGTAGAGTTAAATATATCTGAGCAATTACGTACAGTGAAAACAGTGCTTGCGACGCCTGAGGCACAGGTAAACACTCCGCTGACAATTCCACACGCGCCTTTAGAGGTCGACAGTGTAACACCAGAACCTAAATAAGTCAGCCTCAACTCTCCTCTAGTTTTGAAGAGTACACCAACCTGACGTAGTGGCTGTAAATGTTGCACAGGTACCAGTAGTATACCAAGTTCCAGCACTAATGAGACACCCAACTTGACTACCGCTAGTAATTGCATTCAAGTAACCACTACCGGAAATTGAGCCTCCGCCAGTTGGTGCTGGAGTCGATCCAGTTGAGGTGGTTGGTGTTGTTGTTGGTGTGCCCGTCTTGGGCAGCCATTTAACTCCTGTTGAAGGACAACTGCCAGTTTGTCCTACAGGATTGGTCGCAACAAAAGTCCCAGTAGCAACTGAACCCTTAACATAGAATGAATACCAAACCTCATTCAATGCGCTGGAATCACATTGAATGATCGCAGTGACACCGAAAGCAGCCTTGAGGGCAGCTTGGATTGCAGCAGAGGTATAAGTCTTGGTTGAAGATGGTGTGATACCAGCCGCAGTCAATGCCTGAAAGTGTTAGAGATACATCGATAAGAATGAACGGAGAACTAACCCCATAAGTATCCCTTGTCTTGAAAATATCAACAGCCTTCTGGAAATAGTCTCCTACCTCTTGTTTGGAGGTATAGCCACTGTAGCAAGCAGGAGCTAAAGTGGAAACGCAGGTTCCATGCTTGCTCCACTCATGCTCCCAAAAGCTTTCATCGTCTCCAGAAACATCTTTCCAGTATGTGTTCATGTAGGATAAGAGAGAAGATTTCCCGAGCGATGTGAGAATGGAGCCAATGCCAGTATAAGCCCGCGAGGAGTCACAGGAAGCGTCGTACGTTCCATCACACTGTAGCGCGATTAGTATTGACACAATATGAAGACTACGTTACTTTGATTCGAACATACGTGATCTGGCCATAGTCCGTGGACTGTCCATGAGTTGGAAGGTCCTACTTTCTTTTAGCTCAGACTTTGAGGTTAGAAGGTTCGTAACTTACCTGTACTAGGAGATGTATCCCAAAATTGCGTTGCAGCAAATTGGCCTCCTATAGAACAGAGAGTACATTAGTCAATTTCGTGATACAACTCGTAACAAGTGGATGGATCAAAGTGTATCCGCTTCAACGTAGAGCTTGGGATTGATGAAGTGCACGATCAAGAAGAAGACCTACCAGGTGAGTTATAACAGCAGGTATCTGTTGAAGTTGTAGCACCACAGCTGGTCAAAGGATTAGAGCATACTTTGGAGGTACCAACAGCCAATGCAACCGGTAAAGCCAACAGAGCACTTGCTCCAATTTTGAACAATAAAGCCATGGTAATGGAGTAGAGGTACTGAAGGACGAAAGGTGCGGCTTGGATATTGGCACTACAGACAAACAACTTATGGGAATTGCATCGTTATATAATGCACTGGCAGCACGTGTATTCCCACATAGAATGATGGGAGTGTGCTACTTGCTTGACAGTATAGTTTGACGGCCGGTCCCATGTCCTCTTTGAGAAGGCGCTTATGCTAAAGTGCTGTACTGACAACCATCTCCTTTGAGGCCCCTCATAGGCTTATCGGGCTGTTAGCCAGAAAGAAGATCGACAGAATTCAGGAGTCTATGTCGACTACTCGACTACCGAGCGAACCATGCTAGCTGGTCGAGCTGGTGCCGTGCTGCGTTGATCTCGCATTGAGCAATAGTCGAATGAGAAGTGCAGGACTGGCTCATGGGCTCTCTAGTGCCGATAATCGTCTCAGGAACGCCCACGGATAATTGCCCACACGATGTCCGATTTGACAGCACAACCCAATGAAATGGCTGATTAGACTGTGAATCCCAGCGTAAGATGTCCAGCGTGGAAGCTTGTATGGACGACATTTCAAAGGTGCGGCCTCCACACAAAATAGGCACCTGCTCGATCAGGAAAGTATGTGCAGCCGTGATACAAAGGTGTATCTACATATGCTGCACCATGGCTGTGTGAAGCATGGTCTGGAAAAAGAATTGTTCGGAATGAGCCGTTGGTTCATGGTTGGGAGAACGACCTCGGGAGATGAGGAGATCAGGAGCTTGCCCATATTCTCCACACTCGGCTCCGCACTCGGCTCCGCACTCCGATTCGGAGTGTGTCCTGGGAATTCTCCGCAATCCTACCGTCATCCTACATAACTCAAGTCCAACTGCAGACACAAATAACAATCCTTTCAAGGGCCCTCATAGAACAGTCTCTAATAATATCTTCTAGATCACAAGGATCATCGTTGCATCACATAATACGACTACATCGCCACACCACAAGGCGATCATTCTAGCAACAAACGGCGGCCATGACGGAAAAACAACAAAGTGAAGCCGTAAGTTCTCCATCTAATAGGCAATATACCTAGTTCGAGACCATGTTTCTTATATGAGCTTCCGAAGGACTACCATAAGCAGTTATTAATCAGTACTGCGAACAGTATCGGACAGCCGTTCGACAGCTTATTACAGCCAATCACATACTCCATTACCACAAGGTGGTGGATGCTTACGGCCATGTTTCGGTCAGAAGTCCCGACGACGCAGAAGTATATATACTGTCTGGGAACAGAGCTCCAGCTTTGGTTTCCTCTGCAACAGACCTGATAGAATATCGCGTGTCTGACAGTTCTCCCGTCGATCACAGTGCTGGCAGTGGATTCTTAGAACGATTCATCCATAGCGAAATCTACAAGCGATTCCCTGAAGTCAATTGTGTTATCCACAGTCATGCTGAGGCAGTACTGCCTTACGTTGCTGGAAATGTTGAAATGAAACCGACTTTTCATATAGCTGGATTCCTAGGTGGGTTCTGTTGATCTCTATCATTATCTTTCAGTTCTTCATCTTTTTGTTACACGGTGTCTCACTTTGGTCATATACATCGATCGTGCTATCACTTATATAACGATGCGCAACTAACATTTCCCAGGTACCAAAGTTCCAGTCTACAACATCGCCACGTCTTATGAGAAAATGTCCTCATATGAGAAAGAAGTCCAACAAGATATGCTTATTAGCAATGATCAGTATGGCTTCGACCTTGCAAACCACTTTTCCAAGCGAGGATCTTGGTCTTGCGATCACAATGTAGTACTCATGACCAACCATGGCTTCACAGCAGTCGGATCTAGCATCAAGCAGTCCGTATATCGAGCTGTGTACACATGCGTCAACGCCGATGTTCAAACAAAGGCTATGATGATCAGCTCAGCAAGAGCAAGCCAGGGCGCATCGAGGAGCGAGCCTGTCTACTTGACCGAGAAACAGGCGCGTGGGTGTCAAAAAATGAATGATGCTACAATGGACCGGCCATGGGGACTTTGGGAAAGGGAAGTCGAGGTTTGTCCTCTATACCGGAACGACGAACTAGAATCCAAGACTTCAGCTCCTTGATAGTCTAGCCTATTTACTACATGGCAGAGCCCGCTGGTTAATTAATTGCCACCGAGTTCTCTCTGAACTCCCCAACAAGTCTAATCTCACCGACGAACGGGTTCAGCGACGCCATTCTGCACTCCAGCCAGTGAACTATTCAACTTGAATAACGATACGAGGTGATGACTTGTTTTACCGGGATGCTGTTATATCTAGCATAACCAAAACAACTTTCAATCTATTTGAGTAGACGTCCTCTATCCTCCTTTCGGGTGAGCTGTCGATGGTCTGTTATTCAACAGCCGCATTGAGCGTCGGAAATGCACTTGAGTTACCATCAATCTTCGTCCGCACGGAAAGTTTTGCGATACTCAGGTAGCCCAGGACTTCTGCAACTCTATCTCCGAGTCACCTTCGTATCTGTTTTCTTTCGGGTGCAAGAAAGCGATCGTGAGTCTCGCTTGAGGGTATCCACCTCCCAAACACTTTACGAATTGGCGACAAATCGTGCGGCAAGAAGGGGTGCATGACATCTTGGCATTTCGAAGCTTCGTTTGCTTGTCTCGTCCGATACTTTTTTAATGCTAAGTAGGGTGTTGTAGGTTTTAGACCACACCTGGAACTCGACAGAAGAAAACACAACGACTATCTAGAATCAGCACCATTGGAAAAGAACAAATTTATTCGAGATCGTCTAATAATCTCTGTCTGTTATAAAGGCCAAAAAGCCAAAAAGTCTCAATAATAGGAACCACCCATCCGGTAACGCCATGCTCAGAAAAATACTAATTCACAATCCCTATTTCAACAAATACAAAATCTTTTCGTTCATTTTCACTCGTAACCTTCAACGGGAAGCTCTTCATTCCTCATCATCTTCTTCGTCTTCGTCACCATCCACTGCTCTTGTCTCAATGAACGTGAGTTCAGCAACTTGTCCTTCGGCCATGTTCAAGCTGAGACCGTCAAAAGCAGGACTTGGTTCACGCTTGGCAAGATTGGCGATGGCATCCTCTGCGGGACTTCTTGCTACTGAGCCTGAAATATTGTGTCAGCAAACGAATTGCGATCAGTGTTCGTGGCAGTCTTACCTGCTGGTCTTGGTCCACCTCGAACAAACATGGTAGTGACGGTGGTCTTCAACTTAGGAGCGGCCTCTTGTCTCTTCTTTTTCTCTCCTGCCGCGGCGGCTGGCTTAGCACCCACTGATCCTGGCTTGACAATAATTCCCACACCAGCAGCTGGAGTTCCAAGCTGAACCTCTGGGCTCTTGGTCAAAGCATCAGTGGCAAACTTCAAGGCGGCATTGAATCCAGACAAATCTCTCTTCAGAACCTCCTTGTCCGCCTCCATAGTAACCACACGTGGTGCGATTTCCTTGCCCATACCCTGCAGAGACGCAATTTGAGCTGATTGTTGTTCCTCAGCTGGCTGAACGACAGCTGCTGCCGATGATCCTCCCGTGATTGGTGATGCCGAGGGTGTTGCTGCTGGCACGATTGCTGGGGCTGGAGCTGCTTGTGCTTGTCCGTTGGCTGCGGCTCCACTGACTGCTGCTCCCTCTAGAGCGTTCATCAAGTTCGCTACGTCGGCCTTGCCTCCGAATGATATTTCACCATCACCGACTACCAAGGCAGGCGAATAGGCTCCAAGGTTGATGTTGAGGGGAATAGCGACACCATACGCGGCCAAGAGGGCAATGATAACTGATTGAGAAAGCATCTTGAGTTTGAGTGATTCGAATGAAAGAACTAAATATTAAAGATTGAATAAAAAATGCGGTCAAGCGTCAAGCCTTCCGTCAAAAAAGATGATTCGAGAATAGGGAAAGCGATGAAGAATTGGAGCACAGCTACAGAGAAGAGAAGAAGAGACAAGAAAACGAAGTGCATGATAGAAGATATAAGACCGATGTGTGATTTACAGCCAAGACGTACCACCCATCACCAACAACCATCGCACAGACATCAACAAGCCCCAACCCCAGAACCTCAATCCAGACCTTCGAGTGGATATCACATTCGACAGTGCCATTCGCAGCACAAACGATTTCAGACAGAACCAATGTTTTATCGCAAGCCACGCGGTCTTTGACGAACACACGAAGAAAGCTGCTGATACCTCGCACTGTGCAATTAGCAATCCAACAATCTCTCTCTTCTCCACCACAAATGCTAAGCAAACACAAGCCTCTGTACCTGTGAATCAAGACTTCTTGGGGACGTCTAAGCGACCACCCCGGGTCTTTGCGATCGTTTCAGACGTCCGCGTTTCTGGCTGCATGAGACTTTGCCAATGTTCTTGGCGTCTACCATAAGGCTTGGCGCGTAGAAGATTCTCTTTAGCGCGACGGACATCTGAGCGTGCGAGTCTGAGAGTTGGTGTCAATGGGAATGGACAACGTTTCTTGGAAAGCTTGGGAACATTTTACAGCTGTGGTAAAAGTCTTGATCTGAGTCTGACAGAAGCTTGGTGGATTTAGAGATATCTGAGGTTTTGTACCAAGATTTTGCTATGGAGTCCCAAGAGACTTGGTGGGATTACGGATGAGAATGGTCCTTCTTGGAAGATTTGATGGATGGTTCTTGGGATTTCAATTTCGGATTTCACTTTGATTTCTGCGAGAACAGTCGACTTTTGACCCCGCCTTTTAATCACACAAACTCACGAATCCATCAACCCCACGAATGCATTACGGAATCTTCCCACGACAAGAAACAAAACACCAAAATATACCCAATCCAGCTCGGAATACCAAATTCCCGTAAACTCACCACCTACAAACCGACCACTCCAGATACGCGACTCATAAACCAACAACCCCATCATCGCCGTCTCCGTCGTTTGAGAAATCCGCGCTTTCACGCTAGGACCCTACAACTTCAACCGAGGTTACCCGTAAACCTGACGTTTACAGTACTAAGCTAGACCAGGGCAGTGGAAAGATACCATACTAGGTCGGAGAAAAAAAGTAAAGGGATCTGAGAAATGTTTCTAGACTCGGTTTTAAGATCTGTTTGAGGACTCGATGGAAAAGAGCTAACTGGATGGAGAGAATATTTGGAGTCGGTGATGGGTTCGTTGACGTGTTTGTATGGAAATCTGGGGATGATGTTTTGTCGATCTTCTGGGAGTGCTTTGTGGATGTTTTGGTGGCGTGGATGTACGGTAGATCTGGGCTTTTCAAGGTGGAAATTTGGTGGAGGTGGAGGTGGAGGGTCTGGCCTGCCCGACCGGAAGGTAGATGGAGGAGTGTGAGAATCTAAGGGGGTGATACGAGAGTCTGCTGACGGAGTAATTTGTTCTTTCCACTGACAGAATAAGGCCAAATACGCTCTTGACCGATGTCTTGCTCGGTTTAGCTTGAAAATTACAGCAAAGTCTGTAAGTATGTAAGTCTGTAAGATCTTCTGATCTTAACTAGATCTTAAAGGAGATTTATTGAGACAATTTATACGGCAAACAATATTCCACCATGTCTTTAAGGCTGGATTAATTACCTAGAGAACCTTCGCGAAATAGATCGGCCATATTACCTGGAACAATAATACGCATTTTCTCATTAGAATGTCGCCTGATATTCGTGCTTTAACTCTGTTTATTTAGAATCAGAAATCATGTTTCTGTGTTGGGATTTCCGCCAACCAAGTATCCAGAGTGTTCAAAGAAATTTGTATAGCCCCTGGTAACATGTCAAGGCCATGAGCTAAACATCATATTTGACTGTCCCTTCATTTGTCTTTATCTTACAATCCCGTTGTCACGACCGCATCTCCTCTTTGAGATAGGGTAACTTCTAGGTGAGAGTGCCAGGAGATGAAAGTTGCTGCCGAAACAATCATCATCTAGAACTCTTCTAGCCTCTCCTCACAATCCTAGGTAAGCAATGGTAGTGGTGCTGACCACGATTCTGCATCCATATCGGGGCGGGAAACCGTGTTGACGTTGCGATGAGATGGTAAGGGTCGTATTGGGCAGCCGGATTGGGGTGAAGAGTGCTAGAATACGTAGGTTGATGCTGATGTTAATGCGGAGAAGCGTGTGGTGGTGGTTAGTATCGCTACGCAATAGTATTTGACTGTCTCTTCATTTGCCCTGATTCACAATCCCATCGTCTCACCACCGCATCTCTGATTCGCACGGAGTCATTGCTACGTAAGAGCCTTAGAAAATGGAAGAACGTGCCAAAAGAGTCATTACTAGTTCCTCTTCTACCTGCTGATCACTATCCTAGCACGGGTCTTGACAGGATGTAACCTAAAGTAATTAGACACCTAGTTGCTGTACACCTCTCGAAACAACCACTCCGCAACACTCTGATGCATTTCAATTCGTCTCTTTTCACGGCGGGCGCGGACTACGGGGTCAACCTTTGGCACGGTATCAAATGCTAGACATAACGTTAGTAAAGATTCTAGACAGGTCATACATCGAGTTCCATCACTGTTTGCCAACCAAGAATAAAAAGAAAATAGAAACTCACAATGCTCCTCCCCCACCAATCTTCTCCCACTTAACACCATTCCTCTCCCAACAAATCTCATCCCCTCTCCTCTCCTTGCTCCCCCCAACCTTCGCCAAATTCTCCGCCATAATCTCCGCACTCCGACACAACATATCAAACTCACAACCAATAAGATACACCTTACTCGGCAGATTCTCCTTCTTCGCAAACGCAGGACTGAGCAACGGATCCTTCAGATCCTGATCCTTAGCAATATACGCCCAGTTAAACGTATTCGCATTCGCGTACAGGATATCCGGGGGTGCGTGGCTAGGTCGGGACGCCATACTCACTTCGACCGGCACGCTGAAATTGACGGGTGGATAGTAAGCGACCACGCCTCCGATCTTGCCTTTCAAACTGGGGAACTGGGCGACTGAGAGTGAGAGATTGCCGCCGGCGCTGAAACCGCCGATGGCGACTTTCTTGGGGTCGAAGGGGAGGGAGGTGTCGGTTAGGACGGCGTGCACGAGATCTACCAACGCCTCGCTGGGTGCGGGGAATTTAGACGCAGGACTCTTGGGATAATCGAGGTTTACGACCAAGACGCCGTACTTGTTCGCGAACTCGGAGCAGAATTTGTCGTCTGCTTTTGGGGCCATGAGGGCGAAGCCGCCGCCGTGGATGCTGAGGTAGAGCGGGAGGAGGGCATCTCCGCTTTTGTAGGAGCGTGGAATGTAGACGCGTGTTTCGAGGGTTGGGCGAGAGGCGTATTTCTTGGTGTAGGTGGGTTGGATTTTAGGGTCTCTGACGCCGGGGAGGTTGAGGAAGAGGAAGATGGTGCTGGTGAGGAGTTTGAGGGCGTGGACGCGGAGGAAGAGGCCGATGCGGGTGGTGAGGGGGAAGGTGTCTAGGTAGACTGGGTCTTTGGTGTTGGTGTTGTCCATGGTTCTGGGGGAGCGTTAGCTAGATGTTTAGATATGAGTGGTATGAATTTTGTGATCGATGATTTGTGGTGAGAGTTGATCTGTTATATTCACGTGCTTCGAATGTGAATCTGGTGGCACTTGGAGCCTTCAAATTCGCTTGTGCGATCGAACATAACGGCGAGGCTAACGTATCTCAGGGTATTCTACTTACATCTATGGATCGTCTGATTCGTAGCTGTAAGCCACTGGAAAAGCCACTGCTACTTTACGGGAATCTGATCGTGAGAGCTGTTGTTGACTCGGTTGAGTTTCACACGCTTCGCACGGGCGACTCGTTCAAAGTGGAGCCCATGTTGGTGTCGAATTTTAGCCTAGAATTTTGCCAAGCATAATAAGTGTAGAATGGAATCCAGTTGTTTCGTCGATTAAATCATTATCATCTGTCAATTCCGAATTGATATCCTAAATCTGTTTAATAACAGAGATACAAGTTACATAGCGTGGTATATACACGAAGCCCGCTACACACGTACACTAACAACTCTATTCCTTTTAACACACCCCTAGGTCTCCTGTCAAAAGATTTTTTGAGTACCTTCGCCTGAAAATGACTATATCTCTATGCCAGAAATGTGGATACCCAAGCTCATCTCCATGTGAACAACCAAAATACCATGTGGAGGCACAATACAATACTAAACTGTTATCCGAAGACTATCAGCTGCTTGATGGCATACCGTTCAGATCGGTATTAACACCCGACTGTTCCCCACCAGTCAAAGTACCGCCAGTCCCATTATCAAAGAAATTCAAAACGTCCTGCGGCAGATATTCAAGCCATGGTACCATATCGTTACTCATCGTACTCATGTCGATATCTTGGCTCTCCATCATCATATCACCCACTCCACCTAGACTCATATAGTTAGGACTAGAAATCATGCCAGTTCCTGTAAATTCATACGATACAGGACCTTCCTGTCGAGGTCCTTGCGATGTGAGATTGTGCGAGGCATCAAAAGGATGGTAAGAGTTTGTGATTTGGGCAAAGGGCGAATTTTGTAGTCCCAGAAGCATCTCGGCGTCAGATTTTGTTGCTGCGTCAGATGCAGAGCTTGAGTACGACGTCAAAGGTGGTGGCATTGTTGTGGACTGACGTGGCTGAAGTCTCGAATCATACTGATAATTTGATGGATGCGCCGTAGTAGAGGTCGACGCCGCAGTTTCGGGTAAACTACTTCGAATAGGGTCGTATCTCATAGTTCCCGCAGCTGGTCGCTGTGACGAAGCTCGATTTTGACGCGTCTGATCACTGCCTGTGTTCTGATACATGAGAGTCAGATTAGAGCTTGATGAGTTCGTAGTGCCAGTTATAGACCATCCTATAGCATTTGAGCTGTCGACCGTCGGCGACTCAGGTACATGATCTGTTTTTGGCGAAAAGAGTTCCCCCAGACGGTTTGAAGACGTTCCAGCCAAGGTTAACTTCTTCCCCCAATCTGGGATTATATCATACTTGGTTTTGGTTGACTCGTACTCCTGCTCTGTGTAAGTTTCTGGATCCCAAATTCCTTTCGCTTTTTGATCAAGAGCGACAAGAATATATCGAGTGCCTGCCCAATATCTTTCAAGTGATTGTAAAGCTTTGTAGCACCGTTGATAATTAGTATTGGCAGCGACGGCCAATAATGAGTGTTTTTGAGAATCTTTCACTCTGCTGGTCTTCGGTTTGTCTTGCTCAGAATTTCTATTTCCCGGAGGACTTATTTCTCGAGACGGAGGCTGTGAAGTATGAACAGCAGATTCCATGAGAAATGCACAGGCCGCTATGTACATAGGTTGACTGGTGAACGGATTACCAATAAAGCTTTTGGGATCAATGAGTTCCGCAAATGCCAGAATGTCGGCAATAGTCTTAGCAGACGACATGCTGAGTTCGCGGCTGTTGGAAAATAGCTGTAGAATTTGACCCTCGAAAGAATGCATCAATTGTGGTTGATGCAAAAGCATAATTACAGAATGAAACCAAAAGTGAACCTGGTTAGTAGTGAGCTATGTCGTACATTGAATTTTCGAATTTGGAAGTGGTGCACTTACTAGAATGAAATTTGTCCCTTCTCCAGATTTGACGTAGTGCTGAAAATTTGCGGCATTAAAAGTTAAACGTGGATCAAGCTTTTGATACAGTTGGGTTAAGTCTTTCTCCATACCAGCTAGTCCCTCGACTTTCTTCGGTGTTACATCTTCAACGTCTTTTATGTTGTTGAGCAAATCAGATACTCGACCATACAAGTGAATGATCTGTATAAGAGCGGGAAAAGGATTTGGCCAGCCACTTTTGATATCCGGTGTGATTGTCGGAAATGAAAGCTCAAAGTCTTCATCCTTCAGAGTTACGGGTCGTCCAGTACCTGAAGATATGACCCTATCCAGCATGAAAACCGCCCATATTGTATCAATGCGCTCTTGCTCCACAGCCTGCTTCTGTTGAGCAGTCATGCTTCCTTGATGATCTGAAAGAGCCACACCATCAACACTCAGTCTGTGGTTCACGTTATCCTGATGCCTAACTCCATCAAGCTTTTGCAGACCCAAATCAACCGCGAACCGAATCGCACACCCAAGGTACATCCACAAGGCGCTATCTTGGTTCGCACCGAATCCTTCATATGCTAACAACAAGCATGCTTGGGTAGCCGCAACGGATGGTCGAGGAAAATGATCTACAAGGGCAGATTTTGCGCGCTGAGCAAAGACGGTACCGTAAGCACATTTTGGAAAACTTAAATTGTGAGCACCAACAAGAAGTGGATGATCTGAGAAGCGAGCTGAGAGCGCACACACTGCATCAACGAGAATCGATTCGACCGCTTTTTCTTCAACCTGCTTAGTAAAATGTTGTTGTTGCAGAAAGGGATAATTGCAACCGAGATGTGCAAAAAACGTTTCCACCAAGTGGATGATCATTCGATGTACAGGCGAAGGGTCGTCCGGGTCATACATGGGCATATCTGTAGCAATTCTAGCTTCTGTGCCAACATTGAACGCAGATTCGCCCTTGTTTGAGCCATTTCTTCCTACATATCCAAATGAACCACTCGGTGACACTTTGTTTCGTTAGCCATTACAGCTTCTGGGGATCTAAAACAACTTACTCGCTACGGCAGAACCAGCACCTGTGCTTCTATGGTGTTCCCGAACAGAAACAACCATTTGTTTAAATCCAGGAACAATAGCGGTTGGTCCAAAGTACCTAAAGAATGGAACACGGCGACTCTCGTATTCAAGCGGTGGTGAGCTGTCTGTCGAGTGTTAGCGGCCAGGTCTGAATCAAAGTTGCTGCCAACGTACTTATTGGACTACATCCGTCATCGGAAAAAACAGCAGATTCTCTATAGTCGTTCCCAAAGTTCACGACCGCTCCCTGCCCTGGTTCCGTTGTGGTCGAGCTGTTACTTGGTAATGCTGTGCGATTCTCCGGAATGGAAGATGCTTTTGAATCATTCCGGTGATGTTTTGGACTGACCAGCACCCTGCGATCCTTATTTACCGGCTGCGAAACAGGAGCTAAACTTCTGTCATGTTCCTCGCGCCCGTGCTCTGGGTCTTCGTTTTGTACACTTCGATTGTTGCGCTCTCTCTTGTTAGTATTTCCCTCAGCTATCTCGGCATAGCCTAAGCACTCGTGCCCATTTTCAGCACAAGTGGAACACAGTGGCTTCTTGCCATCGCAACGGGTTTTTCTTTTTCTACATGTTCGACAACTATGTTTTTCAACGTCTTTGCGTTAGTGAGTATACGTGAATGGCTGAAGGAAACCTCTCGGTACAGGGCTGCATGCGGTCGCGCAGCAGATTTCCCGGCTCCGCCAGAACTGGAAATCCGTAGATCTGAGATCTGAACCAAGATTCTGGGCAATGGCTTCGACTCACGCTGAATTAATCCTCCTGCGCTTTGGAGGAGGCTCTCCTTCGTTATTGACGAATCTTATTTGCTTGAGGGGTGGAGGTGCAGCAACTGAAGTCGCCATTATGTGTCGTGGTCGCGAGTTTGCGAATACATCCACACACTCCCTTCATCGAGTCTCAGAGGTTATGCCGCCCAATCTCCGTCTCGGGCAATTGCACACCTCACATTGGGAGACATGAAGTTGCACTTGCTTTGTGGAAAAATCGACGTTGTTGTTCGGCGGTGATGCAAGTTTAGAGGTGCTGAGAAGATCTGCGCTGAGCTCTGTGTAGGGCAGAACGAGAACTTGGTAAGGTTGGGGTTTCCTGGCCTGGACGCGATTATTTGCTACCAAAGATGCAAGAGAGTAGGACGGATAATACTTTGTGGACACTTGGGATGCGGAGTAGCGACTGGCTTGGCTCGAGGAGCTTGGATTGATGTGTTTTGGTGCCGGAACCCCCGCAGGTGTTAGATTCCAATAGCTACTTTCGGGAGTTACGAGCCGTTTAACAATGGCAGCGCCGTTGCTTTTGCTGCATCTAGGCAACCATGATGAGCAAGATAATCATAGATCAAAGTTGGATTTGTACCGTCGCTTTAGATGTTGTCACAGGAAAGGTACGAAGGAACCTAATAAGGTAGGTACCTTGAGAAGACAGTACCCCACATTTCATCGCTCGCATAGATTGCCGAGGATCTTTTGACGGGAAAATACCCAAGTACATAATGCATTGATACGGAAAACGAGCACTATCACACGCGCTGTTGAATGTACACAGTCACGATGCTAGTGGAGAGAAATTAAAAACAAACCAGAGCACAATACCGGCGGTAGTGTTAGATAAAAGTTTCCTAGGAACCTGGAAGATGATGATCACTGTGGTTACAAATGTACCTGAGGTACAGATTATGTATTCCATCCAAGCTTTGTCGTATGAAGACACGTCGGTACAAGTAGTGACAGTCGAGCAGTTTATCCTTAGTCACCGACCTAATTTGAATCGGCTCCCCACTGTTCCTGAACTTTGCTTCAACGGAGCTAGGGAGTCCTTGGTTAAGCGGGATGTTGACTGGTATTTCTTCTCAATTGATGAAGCTGGCCGAGAGCTGTCGCACAATGCATTTCCACCTCCTACACATATTCATGACTTGTATATGTCCGAGTCACTACTACTGGTCAGCAAAACTCATTCGTTTGTCGGGTTAGACTGGGCCAACTCACAATTTTCCAAATCTTTCTCTTCCCTCGGCGTCCTTGTTCACCCAGATGCTGACCGAGGTTCCTGAGCAACGGAACTCACCACACCCGTCGTCCCCAATCACGACTTCTCCCTGCTCCCATCCCAAAACATCAGTCCAAACTTCTCCGGCATGCATTTCACCCACATGCATCCTCTTCGTCCCAGGGCCTGCATTAGACAACACCACGGCGCACCCAAATCGTCTGTCCCAGGTACCATATCTGACCCACCCAATACAGGTAGCGTAGTCGAAGTAGTCCTGTTGAACTCCATATGCGTAAAGCTTACGAGCAAGGGCGATGTCTGGAAGAGCACCACCACATGCTGGAGGAAATGGATGCTCTCCTTTGATCCCGTATAAATCTCCATAAAACAGACAAGGATAACCGTCGAAGCGAAGGAGAATAAGTGCATATGCAAGTGGTTTGAAGAAGCCCTCAACTGGGGCTTCGAGTGCTTGGTATGGTTGCGTGTCGTGATTCATTACTAGGGTCTACTAAAGTGATTAGCTTTTAAATTTCCCAGAGAGGGAAGCTCCAAACTCACCACTGCATTGACGGGCATAGTCTTGACTAGTGTGTCGCTAAAGACATTCCTCAAATCTCCGTTCTCAGTCTTACTCAATTGACTGAAGTTGTAGACCAGAGGGGCATCAAACAGACTGAACTTCTTTCCCATCCTATCTAGATATCGAGTCATATCATCCAAACTGTCTTTCCAAAACTCCCCAACAAAAAACCAACCCTTGCCATACTCTTCATCCATGGCAACAATGAAATCCCGGAGGAACTCTTCGCTGAAGTGCTTTACTGCATCGAATCTGATACCCTTCAAGGTAAGCTCCTTGCTGATCCAGCGCCCCCAGTTGATCACATCGTCTTTGACCTCTTGGTGATCGTAATCGAGATCTGCAAACATAAGATAGTCGTAGTTCCCTTTCTCGCTGTCCACCTCATCGCCATCGGCCCAGCCTTTCGTTTTGTCGCCAAGGATCTTGTAAATGGCAGTCTTGTTATTATCTGCATTATAATCCGTTCCCGAGAAGTGATACCAATGATACTTCTGCTTGGAGTATTTGCCAGCCCGTCCCGGAAAGTCGAATCCCAGCCATGCATCGATTTCGTATGGGTCAGAAATGGTTTTATTCCGATCCTCCTGGTCAACCTCTTGCGCTTGGCATTTCTCCTTCCTATCTGCTGCTGCTTTATGATTCAAGACTATACGTTGTAAGTGAGTGGGAGTTTCCACATATAGATTATGATGACTTACCAGCATCCCAATAAAGCCCCATTCCGCACTGTTTGGCGTTCTCGTTGAGCGTCAGAAGCTCTTCCTTCGTTCCCCACTTCGTGCCCTTCCCTCCTTTCTGGTCAAACTCGCCGAGATCGTAGAGATCATAGACGTCGTAGCCGTTCCCGGAGGGAGAAGAAGCTTTGCATCCTGGTGGTAACCAAATGTTATCCACTCCGATAGCTTTCAACTGAGCAACATTATCCGCAAGACGCTTCCAATGCTTGTGGTCGTCCGGCACATACCACTCGAAGGCTTGCATCATCGTCATGTTCTCGGGGGTGGGTTCTTCTTTTGTACACAAGTCAATTCTGCTAACTCCTCTTAAATGGAGCCTGCTTACTCGTGTCGGCCATTTTTGCAATGTTGCTCGTCTCGAACGAAGGGGATCTTGGAGTGTAGCTGATTGATAATTGCAAGAGACGTTCTGCGCGGTGGGGGATCGCAGAGAAAGCTAAATTGCGAGACTCAGGAGCCTTATATCTTGAGAGAGTGGATGGGCTGCGATAAACGACCCCACTATCACCAAGTTTCCCCCACCACAGAAAAATAGTGAAGTGAACCGACCTTGGTCTGGATCAAATTAGGGGTCTGGACCCCTGAAATTGTAGCGAGGTAAGCCGCCGTGACGTAGCCGGCTGGAATAATTCAAGAATATCCGAGCATTCGACAGAGAGTTGAGAAGATAAGACAACAACCAAGAAAAACGTGCATTGCAGGAACGTTGTATGCGAATAACAAACAAGAAGTTGCACATATTCCTGGATGAGAGGAGTCCATTCCTACCCAAGCTGCTGTCGGCGAGTGGCGTGAACCAACAATTCTCCCAGTGTCAACATGGTCTTCTCTCTATGAATTTTGGATTCACAGGTACTGTCGACTGGTGTGAAGGGGAAACCCATGGTGTCGCCTACCGTATCAGCCTCCAAGTGAAAAATAAGTCCCGACCTGGATGCTCTCTGATAAGCTCGAGGTGAAGAGCGACGGACAGGTGACCAGCAGGTTGTCTTTGAGACCGCAGAAAAGATTCATTGTGCCTACCGTGGGTGTTTTGGAGATATTCATGGATTGGTGCAAGTGATCGTTGAACTCAGTGCACTTCACGAGGTTAGAGGTGGGTGGGTTTGTCGTTGTTGTGGCAACTTGGAAAAATAGCGTTGTTTACACCGCTGGCACCACAAAGTCGGACTTTCAGGAAAGACCTGCAACGACTCGCCGAATCGAAAGCTATCGAGTCTCGAGTGACGCGTACAGCATTACCACTACCAATAGCGTCGCTCCAATAATCGTGCAACTTGTTCCTATCGAGCCAATCGAAGACTCGACGGGTTGCTGCATGAACCCACGCCATCATATTGACTTTCGCCATTATTTAGCAGAAATGCCCACGCAGAGGAAAGCTCCATTCAAAATACATGTCGACCCGAGTTGCTTAAGTAGCTCCACCGATCTCGAAATGTCTCCAGAAAGAAACGCGTCTAATACCACGATTGTGCGGCATGATTCCTGGTCAGATATTACAGGAACTGAGGCAGAGCCTGTTGTTGACGCGGATGACAACACGGAAGCTGAGGCGGAGCACGAAGCACGAGAACGCCAGATTGACAGAATCGAGGCTCAGATACAAGCTGCAGCTCGAGCTGTGGTGGCTAGCATTGAGAACGATAATTACCATGGTAACGAAGATTCAGTGCTGAGCGCAGAAACGGATGAAAGCTACGAGCCTGAAGGCACGGAAATGACATATGAGGGAACGGATATAAGTTACGGGTCTGAAGGTGTATCTCACGAAGGAAGAAACGCCATTGATGGGACAGAAGTAACATATGCTTCCGAGAGCGAGGAAGAGCACGGTCAAGAGATGGATGCCTCCGAGATGATATCGGATTCTGGAAATGAGGAGGTCTCCGAGTTGAACCAGGATATCAGCATGTCTGAAGTGCATTACGGGTCGGACAACGAAGAGCACTCTCAAGTTGAAAATGGTTCGGAACATGATGATGCTGCGTCTGCAGAGAAACTCATACAAAGCATTGAAGACGATGATGCAGCCTCGACTCCGGGAATAGGGCCAGAGCTTAGATCACCAACTCCAAAAGAGAATGGACAAATAACCAAAGAAACCGTGGAGGTTGAAGAATTAGCGCCAATTTCAGAGCATGATAATGGTGGTGACTCTAGTTCACATCACGACGGCGATATCGATGACGATGTATTCAGTCACAACTCTAGCCGCAGCGCTCGAAGTAGTTTGAACTCTTACGAGGCACTTCGGAATGCAGAGGAGAAAGAAGGTGCTCGAGTACTCACCTCGCCATCTGTAGGAGAAGAAGCAAACACTCGCCGTGAATCTGATGCGATTTCTCGAATACCAAGCTCAGGCTCCTACATGCATCCCATGCCAGATGCCGTGCAACAAACACCTAGCAAAGTACTGAGTCGTCCTCCCTTTCGAACGCCGTCTTCAGTACGTGCTATGCAGATGTCTTCGCCAACGCCATCCATTTACAATTCCCCTCGATCAATTAAAAGACACCTTCCGACGGTGTCCCGCAGCGGTACTCCAACATCCCATACCTCCAGAACCAGAACACCTACACGTTTCAAGCCTAAAAAAGAACAACCTCTGGTCCTACTCCACGTTACAGTGTTACCGCTTCAGTGGCTCTATTCACATGTCATGCAAGAGCCTGAGCTCCCGGACGACTTACATTATGTTAAAGAGAATTGGAGGCTTTTGCAGGACAAGCTAGGTGATACGGTATTAGAACGTGGAATTTTACTTCCTCACCCACAAGACTCATTCGAAATTCTCGAGGAACGTCTATTAGAAGCATTGGAGCTCCCAGTTCGCCCCCGAGCTTTCATATTAAAATGTGGTCACTACATGGGTCCAAGCGATTCAGAGGCACCCTCATCGGATGATGAAGGTGGTGATTTTTGGAATGAAAACATTTCCCGACGCAAATGGTGCGATATCTGCCGGAGGGAGGTTAGATTGGATATGAGTGGCGAGCCAGAGGGGAAAAGATTTAGAGTCAAGATTTTCGCAAGTAATGGCTTAATGCACGCCGGTGCATGGGCAGCAGCTTGGAAAGAGATGGAGAGAGTTGACGTAGAAATTGGCCCATGGGTAGAGCCCTATCAGCATACAGAACTCGAAAGATTAGCTACCCTGAAGCCCAAAATGATAGTCGAAGATCATGACGATGGGTTTGAGGATGAAGTGCCTCAAGAAAGCCATCAGCCAACCTGTGAAGAGGGAGAATCCGCACATCACAGCGAACAGCTCTCTCACGAAATAGATGCAGACACGAACGCACACATCGATACACCAGGGGAAATCCTTGAATCTCTGGAAGAGAAGCCTACGGAAGAGATTCCTACCGAACCAGAGAAGAGTGTGGCAGACTATGAAAATGAGATGAGAGAACTGCTCTTGGAGGAAGAGCAAATGAGAGAGCTCCACGAGCGTCAGAATGCTGTACCTCAACGTTCTCCTTCGCCAGCTAGGAAACGCTCACGGGCCAGTATCAATGAGGATTCTCTATCGGAGCTCCTTCTAGCTGCATTCAAGGTAGCAATGAGGGATCGAAAAAATATCATGATCATCGTACTCAGCATCTTGGTCTTCGTGCTAGCTTTACGACCTGGAAGTACTCCTTCGGCCACTGTCCCGACCTCAAGTTCATCGGCACCTGGAGCGGGATTCTCAGACGACGTTACATCTGGTGTTCACGCAGACGCTGTCGTCGAGGTGGCAAACGTTATTTCGGAGACATTACCTGTTGCCTCTTCGATTGTTGGAACGACGATGCCATCTCCTATGAAACAGCAAAAGCCACTCCGAACTTCTAAGCAAATAAGAAAAACATCAGCTAAATCCAAAGCCAAGCCACGTGGATCAGTGATAGAGAAGGTGCAGACGGCCGAAAGCAGCGGTCCGGAAATGAAAGCAGATCCTGTTTCAACAGAGACTACCGGAATGGGCGATGATTCGCTACACAACAATTCTAAGGCACCAGATGAGAACCCAAAACATACCCGGAGCCCGGCTGACGAGGTTGCGGAGAGCGGCAATGATGAGTCAGATTCTGAACCCGAGCCCACCGAAGACCACATCGCCGACCCCCCACAAGCGGCTGTTCCCAAGATGGAATCAGAACCGAAAACAGTGGTCGAAGGCAAATTCGAAGGAGATAACGAGGAAATGGACGTGGAGATAGAGGAAGAGGATGCCGAGAATCCTACGGAAGCTGTGGAGATCGAGAATAACCTCCACCCTACAGCAAGCGATACATCGGGGACTGTGACGTCTTTGGAAGACTTAGGTCTACCTGATACTAACGAAGAGGATCTCGATGAAGAGGGTGAAGGCGAGGACGAAGAGATTGTTGATACAGCGTGATTACTGGTCCAGGCCTTGGAGACAAACGAAGACAACATCTGATTCCCTATAATGCGATTTAGCGAGTTTGAAGCATCAAGCGCAGCGTTCTGATTACAGCGATATGTATGCATTCTGATATTTGGGTTCTTCATAAACGTCCGGAATATTCTGTTGCTTGTCAATACCCGGTGTTAGTAGCGTATATAGTAACGTGATACAAGATCTAATGAGAATTGAGCACATCTTACAGAGACACTTCCCTAATTAGATCCCTGATCTTCCTGTCAAATGTCAAACTTCCTTTCACTTTGAGACGAGACAACGACAATGATCTGAGACTAGGTAGAGTGCAGGTAACCGTCGATGGTTGAGATGATCCAGCCTTATGATGGACGTCGTACAAAGAACCTTGAAATACCACGTGTTTTTAGCGTGGCTCCGCTTAAGTGGACTAGTCCCTGCATGGGCCCCTTTCCCCTTTCAACCTTTCTAAGGTTGTCCTCGACATCTCTTCATCGACATTTCATTTCGCGCAAGTGCGTGGTCGATTCCTCATAACTTTTCGCACAAACGTCCAGAAATCCTCTCTGTACTATCATATTCGTATGCATCATGTCATCCGTCAAGATTTCTTCATTTCCCGCGATCATTAGTCTTGTTGCTGCGGCCGATGACGATCCACCGGACGGACGTATACTGCCTGGGGCTGCAACCCCAGAAGCGGTTTACCACTTTCTCTCAGCGACACCTCTACTTCATATCATTCCCAGCTAGTTGATCATCCATACCCAAGTCATTGCCGGAGTTAAGAGCCATATGCATCTGCCAGGCACTCATATGGTCTTGAACTTTACCCTTTTTGCAATGAACCCCGAGTTGTGAGAAGGTCTCGCTGAGTACGACCGCCAGGGGGAGGGTCGATGACTAGACCAGCGTGCCGTTCAACTGGGCGCGGCCGGTGCAAAGTTTAAAACATTGAATGTAGTTACTTCGATTGGTCAAAGATCTACCGCGGATATGATTGCTAGAAATAGAGAAAGGTGTGATGCCCTGTCAAGAGCTCTCCTTTCCTGTTTCAATAGACCGGAGTTTAGATGCCTACATACCCGGCACACCAGTATGGTGTAGCTCTATTTTGGACATGTTTTTCAGATCCTTTTGGAAATTTTCATTGGGTTTAGGAGGATTTGGATAATACCACCTCCCAATCCTGAAAATTATGCTTGTGGGATGCGGTGGCCAATATGTCCTCACTGTTGATATTTCACTCCAACGAGCATTTTGCTGAGAGCCAAATCTATCAAACACGAGCACTGCTCTTCTTTGATTGTTCTGGTAACAAGTAAACGCTATCAATTCCTCGCAAATGCCAGATTGCTCTTCCATGTATGATGCTCCTAGTATCCATCGCCAAATATGCAAAGAAAATTCAATCCCAAAGTCAAAGTAAAACATTCCAAAATTTCCAACCCAATACTCGCGCCCCCCAATGCTCTATCGCTCAAAATGCCCATCAATGCGCCATGTTGAATGCAAATCCATAGTTATCTTCTGCGCGTTGACTTATTTGCCATAGTACTAGGCTTGTTAGTGAGTTACTCTGTTGTAAGAAGTCCAACACTTACAGGGTCATCTGGTTGAGGCTCTGGCTTTGGTGGTGCCTTTTGAGCAGAAGCCAAAAGTGATGAGTGGGATATGATAGACATGATGCGTGGTTGAAGGGGGTGGTTGGTCGTTGTTGTTGATTTTGATTTCTTTGGAAAGTCGAGATGATTTTGTTTTTGAGATAGAAGATATAAGTGTTGTTCGGTGAATATTGTTGTGAAGAGATGTGTATGAGATGGTTGATGAACAGAATACCTTGAGCAGCTTCATGGACTCTTATATATCCAGAATGTGGTGTAGTTGAGCTTCATTACCTACGAGTGTAGGAGTAGTCGTTTTGGCCTTATTCGTAACGATGATCCAATAGAGCTACAGTGTCGTATACCGAAATTCATTACTGGAAAGCATGTGCCACTTGAAGCCTGATCCGTGTTGTGACTCTCTTCGTCTTGACTAGCTCGTTGAGTGCCTCAGCTCCATTTTACCATCCTAGATCCTCTTTACTGGTGCCGAGATTTGTCTCTAGTACCCGGCATATTAAACATCCAATCAGAGACCTGTGGAAACTTTATTTGCATTTAGCTTATGGCTTGTGCGTGTTTGTCAACAGTTATGTCGTTTCCCAGTACCTGTTGAAACTTGGCCACGAGGAACACACGTTGTTGTGTAATATCACAATTGATTCATTATTATATCACCTAATTATTCCTGACGGATTGCCTACTATTAAAGTAACCTTTCTAACCTCAACTGTTACCGATGAGCTCCAATGAATTAGGTAACAGTCCAAATTAATTAGCCTCAGTCCTTTTGGCAAGTTCTGTTAACCCGGTATGAGTCTTCGCTCAGCTAGACTGGTTAAGCAGGTACGGTCTTTGAGTTCTACGAGGAATTCATAAGCCGAGCAGTATGAGGATGCTCCCCAGTAATGTGTATTCGCTGACCCAGTCAGGTGCTGTCTGCTTGATTTACTTCACCTAAATGACGTGCATCTACGAGACCGAGTCAGCGGCCGCGAAACAAAATATGCAAATTCTGAGGCTCTCCAGAAGTTGTTTCCGTAAGGCTATCTTGGGAGCTAAAAGTCACAACGCTTAATCCGCGCACTGTGCTTCATCCTCGACCAGTGTCCGTCATTGAATATTCAGTTGTCCAGCGCCAACTCTGTTGCATCCCGTATCAGGCCGAAATTCAAGACTTGGACTGGTCAAAGAGTTTCTTTCCTTTACCGGTACTAACCAAGCTCGTAGCTCTCCGCATCTCTGATGAGTCGGCAAGCCCAGCTACTCAACACTGCCCACAGCCAACATCGCGCGAATAACATCGTCAAGATAGAGATGAACCACGAACGAGGTGCCCTCGCTTATCAGGCATTCAGATGCGGCTTATTTCTGAAGATAGCAAATTCCCCAATTACTTTTTCGACAAGGGGCTCTGGTGCGTCGACACAAGGTCACTGGATCGGTAATCATTTTGCCACGCCGCAGCTGAAAACGATGGGCTTAACAACATCCTGCCAATCAATCAGCTGAGATGCGACTTTTCTTTATTTGGCTCGTACACACTTATTTGCATCAACGTATTCCGGTGAAGTTTGAAGAAACTCACTTTGCAGTCCTGACTTCATTGCGCGTTCTTCACAAAACAACACAGCTGGACCCATTCTGCGGCCGTGATACAATCGGACCCAACCTGCGGCCACAAGGTGCTTTTCAAACACGCCTCAATATACCATACAGCAACTACCAGAGAGCTAGCCGGATCTTCATCCAACCAACTTCTGTGATCAAGGAGTATTTCACGCTGTACGCCCTTTTGTCTGGAATAGCCAATTACAAATGGTTATTTGACGCACATGCCAAGTCTCTAGTATTAAGATTCGGACTTCTATTGGCTTCATAACAATGACTCCACACCCCAAGGGCAATTCATACAAAGACTCAGACCGCAATATCTCACCAACATAAGTTGGAAATGTCAAGATTAAGGCATAAACAACATCGTATGCTGTTCTACTCGGTATTTTGGTCGTCACCAGCTGAAGCAGCTTTTCTTCACCAGAAGCAACCGCTTTTTGAAGGAATGCACCGTAATTTGCCTAGATAGGAAAGATCCGGATGATTCAGACTATACTGCCTTATGAGCCGTCCTAACAAGAATAAAAAATAGTAGCTCTTCTTGTCTAGATGACAGCAGCATGACTTTTGTCATCTAGACGCATTATGGGACACCGAGCTTTGGAATGCTACCACATCTAAATCGATTATCTTTTGATTTGATTGAACGAGAGCCTATAATTTTCAGTCGATGAAGATATATGTCGAAGTTGGTTTCTACCAACTGCAATACCTGCCTTGTACGACGACGAGTTGATGAGATAACACATCTCAACAAGAGAATTTATGATCGCCATCCACCAATATCAAGCGGGAAAGACAACTCTCCTTCTTCAATCAATGCGGCTTAGAGTCCTCAGTTGAAGATGCCTAGAGGACTCAAGGAATCTATGGATTTCACACCGAAGCTGACAAGTGTCTTAACACCATGAAGACTCAGGTTTATGATTATCCTTCCTTAGAGAAATGTTTCACGCGCTTGTTTCTCATAGTCCTTTTCTTTTTCATCCATGGATTTTTCTTTGAAGAAGTTATTTATATCGAAGCTCAGGTTACTTCTGATGATTATGTTCTTTTTAGGTTGACGTTGGGATTCTGAGCTCGCTAGTGATTTCGATTATTGATGACTTCCTGGAGAAGTGAAAACCGAACAATATTCGTTGGGGTATGGGCAATTCCTGTCTTTTCTATCCTCATAATGTTTTGTCTAGCTTTTGTTGTACAAGGACTTGGGTTGGATACCACTAGCAATGAGCTTTCGCGCAAAATAAAAATTGAAGAATTATATCCTGTGGCATTTTATTGATATCATCGAGCTCGCAATAGAAATTCGGTGACTATTTATGCACCATACCCGCGTATGTTGTTCTCAATCTTTTTTTTTAAATACTCTATCTGACTTGATTTCGTTCCATTCCATTCTTGGCGATGTCTGAGCTCCAAACGTTCTTGTCAAGGTACGCGCTGATCAATTAGTTTCCATGCCGGTGGCTTCGTTCCCTCTATCACCCATCTCGGAGCAGGCGGACTATCAAGCTGGAATTTCTGCTGGATATAAATGGCCAGTCCGTCCATAGCATACGAGTGCGCATTTCTGTAAGCCTTGGTTGTGCCCAGAACTTCGGCCATTTGGTAAGCCGAATCAGAATCATCTGTATAGTCTTTAATACGTGGCCAGCTTACTAGGTAAGGGAAGTGAAAGGTCTCGTGGAACATTGTTACCGCGGTATTCTCCTCAAAATTGTCTATGACATGCTGCTCCGGCTTGTTCTGATCGTATCGAGCAACCTGTTCTCCTAGTGTCTCTCTTTTTAAGAACTCCTCACACCACACTGTGTGATGCTTCGAATCCGTTGAACCTTTTTTTTTGTCTAGCCATGTCTCCGCTATAGTGGCTAACCCTCTCGAGTCTGGCTCACAACGATCATCTGGATCCTGGCACCACCACAAGATTTCCGTGTTGCTTTTCATAACACCGGCGTAAAGCAGTTTTATTCTCTTAAACGCTTTGCTGATAGATCGTGTTCGGTTGTTGATGTCTATTGCGTTGGGTAAACCAAAGTCTAATGTTCTGTTCCAATCTTCGCCTAACCACGTTCTATGTACTAAGTCGTAGTCATAGCCTTTAACATGCTTTGTCTGTGCCTTTGCGAGTAACTTCGACTCTTTCCAAGCTGTTTTTAGTATCTTTTTCTTCGTATCATCGCAACTGACATCGATTTTCATATTCGGGAAGGCTTCGTTGTAGTCAACGAAAATAAACTGTTTCATTTGCCGCTCTACAACCGTATGAGGGTGTGAAATGTTTAGTGCAGCGGCAAGACTGAGCCAAACAGCTACCAGTAATGCCAGTGGAGACATTCTGCCGGGTGGACGACAGTTGATCGCTGATGATTGTTATTGTTGGTAGGAACTTGTGGGTAGGAGAACCATGAAATTGATATGTAGATGAACATAATGTTTAGGTTTTATATCAAATTATAACTTGCCGATACTTAAAGCATAACTTTATAAGACATAAATAATGAGACTGTAAGTAGATAACTAGATCATCACACGACTGAGTTTGTCAATAGGCGAAAAGCTACTTCTCGTTACGAGCAATGGTTGGAATGCTACTGAGAACCGAAGATATTCAACATATATTTTTGAAGGACGACGTTTAGTTAACAGATTCACGGATGTAGAAGTGAAACTCGTTTAGGTAAGGTATGCTGAGGAACCCTTATTCAACGTCGTCATAGTCATAGTCTACTTTACGTAAGCTCGACATAACCAAATTCAGAGGTAGAAAATGTCAAAGAAAATGTAATTTTGCATTTGGTTCTGAGCTATAAACCCTAATATTAGTTCAATCATTGATTCTCATCTACCTAAGAAATCTCAACTATTGATTAGTGATCATGGCTTGTCTTTTAGACTCACGTGATTGTTCTCCTGCTAAGTTAAGCACGTGGTCAAGGAACCTGCGGCGCTACGAGTAGCGATCCTCTTCTACATGACACTTTCAAACTTATTACAACTTCAGATCTTCAAACTCAAAAATTCATCATCGCTATGCTCGAATGTGTCCCGTCCGCGAATCAATCACCAGTATCTGATAGTTCTGGACCGCCACGTTTACAGAATGATCTCGCGTTGACCTCTACCGGAGTTGGCCGTCAACCACTTGTACCAGCAGCAAAAAGGGATCGTAAAGGCCATCGAAAATCAAGACAGGGATGTTTTAGCTGCAAGAAGAGGAAGATCAAGGTATTTAACCCATTACTCATTGGCATCTTATGCATTTCAAACTAATAATAGCAATTCTAGTGCCAAGAAACCTATCCCATGTGTGACAATTGCAAAAGACTTGGTCTGAAATGTCAATACATGCAAACAAGTGCTGTCGTTCAACCTGCAACTACTCAAATAGAGCTGAAACCTTCTTTAAACAATACCCCGGAATTCAGCTTGATGGATTTCCAGCTATTTCATCATTATCTGGTAGCAGCATATCCGCATTTCCCTGTTGCAAGTGAGGATATATGGTTAAATTATATCACGCCGATCAGTCATCAGGTTCAGCTCACAAAGTAAATCAGACTGTCTTTTGGCTAAGATGTACATCTAGTCGTCTTTCCTCATGCACGCCCTCCTCGGCCTCTCAGCATCCCATCTCAGCAAACTCTCCCCAACATCATACACCAGCGCCGCACAATCCCACCGCTTGAAAGCAAGTCAAGGCCTCAATCTCGCTCTCAGCGCCCCGCTCAAAACTATCGAGGAAGCAGACGCTGTGGTCGCTGCTTGTAACGCGCTGCTCATGCAGTCCTGGTATATGGACGACGGTCTCCATGCGTTCTTGGTGTTAACACGCTCGTCTCACCTCGTTGCCGATGAGGTAAGGAGACAGAACATTCAGGCGTTGCTGGCGAAGAGCGATCTTGATACTTTTGTCGAGGTTATGAGTATGAGGTTGAATGGGCGGAAAGCTCCGGCGTTTGATAAAGCGTTTATTGAGGATGCGGTGGGATCGTTGGAAGAGGTGAGTGGATTGTGTAGTGAGGAGTACCAGGGAGGGTTTCGAGAGTGTTTGCTTAGTAACTTTTGCGCGCTGGAAAACACTTCGATTGAAGGTTCGTCTCCCCTTTTCTTAACCCCCATCCTAACTAACCCGCCTCCCAGCCTACCAAGCCCACGCCAACGTTTGCAAATTCATCGTCTCCATCGCCTCAAAAAACTTCATCAGTCTCTGCGATCCTACCAACACAGTTTGTCAAATCCTGAACGCACATCTTGTAGCGTTACATCTAGTTATGCGACCTATTTCATGCCAGGAAAGGAAGAAGTATACGGTTACGATGTACCGTATTCGGATGAGCAATTGGATTGAGGAGATTGTGAAGGGTGTGGATGGGGGGTTTGAGAGGTATCTGGAGTGGCCGAGGAAGGTGGGGGAGTTGCATGCAAGGGGGGAGTTAGATGGGTATATTCTGCGGAGGGGGTGAGGTTGGTTGAGATTGACGAAGTTCTTTGATGCTGTAGCATCAGAGCCACGGGATGAATCTTGAACTGGGCGGGCACTCAAGGATATACGGTGGCCATACAATGGTAGATGAGAATCTCGGCTGGCCTCCCTCTCAAACAAACACCAAGTCATCTCGAAACGACAAGACGAACATCCACAATCACTCAGAATACATGTCTTAGTACACAAGCTAAGCTCTTTTCGAAAGAAGGAAGAAACCCGTACACACTCTAAATATCGTCATAGTTCGACTATCAAGCCTCGAAATTTCGAAACACAAGATGGTTTAAATGGGACAGTAATTCCCACACATTCTAGGGAGGAGAATCCAGCTTCTGACCCCCCAAGAATCCAGCTGCTGAAGCGTCATCAAGAAAACAATGTCCCGGACCAAACCTGATACCACAATCGCGAAGCACAACCGAGGAAACTGGTTAAGTGGAAGGGATGTTTGATTCGCACCGACGCTATCATTCTTGGCAGCTGGGTGCTCATAGACAGCTCAAAAGGTCTGCCTGAATCATAGAAGTACTTGCGACACCTTGGAGAGATGCGTAGCAAGTGATGGTTGTGTAAAAGATGGAAGATAGAGAGGAGCCAAAAAATAAAAAGTAAAACACCTAACTCGGAAATCAGGAATATGATTAGGTGAATAAAAAGTGCATTTAGTTTATTATAATATTCTTATTCTCTACTACTACTTATACCTAGTTGAAACTTCTGTTTTAAGGACGTAATTACACTATCCTTTTCGTCGTTCATTCACGGATTCAAGAAACAAAACATTTATATTGGAAGAATATAAGATTTGACTGTTGGGGTACTCGAGATATCTTATGACTAGTAGCGAGTAACGGTATTGAATCTTGATAGACTTAACGTTATACGATATAAACTTGGAATAACCTTGAGGTTCGAATTCCCAACAATTTAGTCTAGATATGTTGATTCGAGAACCCACTCCCTCATAGAACTCATGTTTTTCGAGTTGATAGCAAGCTCGAGCGAGGTAAGTCAGACCCGCGTATTCACTTGCTTACCATATGTCAAGAATATGAGATTTCGTAGAGGACAGCAACAATAAGCGAATGGCATTGGCAGCACAGAACTACTTCAAGAGACGAGAATATCAAATCACATTCTCAAAAAGCATTAGCATTCACTTAGGGAACACAAGTGGTAAGTGATCTTCGAAAGCATATAATACAATTCACGAATCCCTAACCAATAGTTGTGGAAGATTTATTTCATAATATCATCGTTCTCTCTATGTAAATTCCCTGCCCTGCAAGCTGATTAGAACCTTTTAGGCTATTTACAAATGCATCCACCATGTTGTGAAGCTAAAGTGATGCTCACATAACGGTCAAAAACTCTCATCTAAGGTATAGCTCGCACGCTTTTCATATCTCGATCGATCCACTCATCTCTCAATATCTTGGCTCGTCAACCTTGGTCATGACTTTATCATAACCGTATCATCGCTGCCATCTAAATGTAAAATATAAATCTGCCCTGGAAATATGACCTTTCAAGCCCATTTTCCGAGCAAGGCCATAAGTCCAGCACCAATGCACATGCAGAGATAGGCAAGGAGCAACATCTTCATGCTTGCTTTTCTCATCTCTGGGTTGAACATGAAATCATGGGCCATGAGCTCGACCAGACCCGTGTAGATCAAGATACCAGCACTGATAGAATCAAACACACCATTGACAATACGAGTGTTCTGACTGTTTGGCGCCAGCGATGATCGAACACCGAGTCCAGCAGCGACGGCAATGGGAGTAGTCAAGCCATAAGCAGCTCCAAGAGCCCACGGAAGATACCATTTCGACTTTGGCCATGATGCTGTTGCAAGTCGTGATCCAAGACCAAGACCCTCGAAAGTTTGGTGGAAGACAAGGACGATGTACAAGGTGATAAACTCTTCACCGGCAACAGCAAGCGTGAGACCAATGAAGATGGAGTGAAAGATGACACCAAATTCGAGAATGAAGAGTCCTGTCATCTGGGCAGCAAAGTGGTCGTCCTCGGTCATGTGGTCTCGCTGATGTCCAAGATGATCTTCACCTCCTGGTGGGTATGTGAAATCATTTGGTCTTCCTGGAACACTGCTTTTTCTGGCTGCCTGAGTGACTGCAAGATCTTCACCGGCTAAGCTACTGGCGGAATGCATGTTGGGGCTGTTCGCGTCACCATTGTGAGAATGGCTTGACTTTTCGCTTTTTCTAATCAGATCCAACGAAGGGTCCGCCGCTTCAATATCATGCGCTTGTCGCCCAAAGACATCGAACCGCGCCGCCATTAATTCAATGAAGAACATCACAAAGATAGTCATCAAAACAATACCAGCTGCCCAATCATATTCGGTGATAGGACCGGTGTTGCAAGGATTGTTGAGGGCCTCATTTGCAGGAGAGAGTAGCTAAATATAGTCAGCTCATGCATCTATTGTTATTGTCGCATTCGAAGAACGCAACTCGGGAGAAAATATACTTACATGGATAAAAGCCGTTGTGATGATAACACCGCTACCGAAATGTTTGGTAATGAAGAAGGCCAGCTTTGGTACTCGCATACGCTTGGTTCGTGCGGCTGCGACTGGTAATAATGCACCTGGAGAAGGATCAGAAACTGGTCGAAGCAAAATAACAGATAAAAATCACGACCTACCTAGCATAGATCCAAGTCCAATGACAAAGATGGCTGATATGCGCAGTCCCATTCGGCCATCGTAGTCGTTTCCAGAGTCGCACTCGACCTCAACAGTCCGAACGGCGTCCATCGCGAGAGCTGATGTGTGGGGGTAGATCTAGATAATCAACACCAAGCTCCTTAACTCTCGTGCTTGTCGGATCCCCGAGGCTCCTTCGACACCTCCACACAGACTCGAGACCCTTCTTAGGATGGTCGAAGATTTTTAAAGTTCAATGGGCGATGTGTGCTGGGCTAAGTCTTATCTCCTCGTGGTCTTTGTGGTACTCCGGATTGGCTCGTATGTTCGCGGAAAACAAAGGGTTCGTCTCGCAACAGATGGCAGCAACGATGACGAGGAGTGGGAAATTCTTGGGTTACGAAGGATCGAAGCTTGTTATATGAGCTTCAACCTCGTGGTGTGTAAGGATTGAGGAGGTTGAAGAAAGAATGTTGGTGTGGTGGTGGTTAGACCGGAAGAAGGACCAAGTGTGTACCTGGATGGGTAGGACCGCAGCGGCAGCGAAACCCTCTTTTCTGACGTGCTGACTCCGATCAGATCTGATGCGGAGGAGATATATTGATTACTTCCACCAAATGAGTTTTCAATTGATAATCTTTGAGTTACGTGAGGCTTGTTTACGGTAGAAGACGATGTCCGAAGAGGGGTATGACACGAAATAAGTGGTCTCTATTTAGTGCAACCGTAGAAAAGATGAGTGAAAAGAGGCTCTTTTCCTCGTCGCGAGTCCTGCCGAATTTTGTGTGGTGTGGGTTGAGGGGCACATTGGCGGGTGCATCGGTGGGCACCTTGATGGGTACCCCAACTTCGAATACGGGTGGATCCCCAGTGGCCAATGAAGAAGACCGCGGTGTATGAAACTTCATTCCATCAAAACAAAAACAAAATCCATTCCATTTCCTTCACACATGTGAGATTCCGCCGAAAGTCTGCTATTCGCGCGCCGGTCACCAGGCAAGCAGTGCGTATTGCACAAGTACGACGCGAAACCGCTGATTCCATAGGAGCTGCTTCATGTGCCAACTGCGGTCGAGATGGAGTGAGTAACTGTTGCCAATAATGGGCATCGAAAGTTTGGTCATGCGGGATACCTCGAGCCGCTTCGTGCAGCAGGCAGTGGTACAGCAATAATTTTATTGGGCTCAGTTTCTCGAAGGGTATCGGGCTGAGAAGCTAATCTTACAACAGCAAACCGCCGTCGTATCGACAATACAACCAACGGCAACGATTATTATATGGAAGTAGATCCTCGGCCCATGCTTGACATTTCGTCCACGGGGTGGCGCACATATTGTGCAGTTTCAAGCACTGACTACTGCGGGCTGCCTTGTTCGAGCGTTTTGGGTTTCTTGGGACCATAATACCTCAAGCATCCAACCAACCCCCTTTGTTGTTATGCGGGCTATTGTCACGTAAAGCCAGATATCGCACCTTGTGGGATAACCCAACCCGAAGGTAGTCCGACTAGTACGAGTAGGATGCGCTTGTCACCAAGGGCGCTTCTTTGATGCGCGATGGTGGGTGACGCAGGTGTTGGTGGCATTGTTGTTTCTTTGACATGTCTGTACCACTTTCATACATCGCAATGCTTCCCCTTTGGCATAGTCGGCGTGATTTCCTCACTTACGGTATGTCCCAGATATCGAGCCTATCAAATACGAGTTTGACTTTGACTATACTCGGTGTCTAGCCTCGAAGTGGTGGAACATCAGTTTGCCGGGGCAAGAGAGCGAGTCGGAATGCCCTCATGCGGCCCGAAACGAGACCTAGTTCATAGCTCGCTGTTGATGTTGCTTTCTCGGTACTCGTGGTAATTGGAAGTATCCACACCTAACCTTCTAGGCTTTGTCCCAGACATCAGTGGCACTGCCACATGATTGACCTGGTAGTCACATCAGATGGTTTCACCGAACTGTATAGTTGGCTAACACAACCTCATGAAGAGTATTGCAGTTCTAGACCAATCGCACGGAATGGCTGATCCGTTCTTTTCATGTCGATGGAAGACCCGAGAGTGAATAGCAACTCCTTGACCTTGCCCTCCCAGAGCAAGCCAATTTTCCAATTCTGGTCGACTCGTGCCTTCAGAACTCCCAGCACTTGTTCAGGCTCTGATATTGGTTTCTTTTCAATCTCATCCAATCTCCATTCCAGTTTTGCCGCCATGCTTCGTACTCGAATTTTCTCAGCCTTGGCTTTCATTCTCCATAATTCGCAGCCCAGCATCAAATCACTTTCGTAACTATACACATTGAAGTCGAATTTCGAGCACAGCGCTAGGTTTCTCCCCGCTTTGACAGCATATGTTGTACTTATGTTTCCCATCAAGGGATTCAATGTCAACGTCGCCGTTAGTGGAGTGCCGTTATGGGCGGGCAGAGTCGCAAATCTTCCTCCAAAGCTCACTCCCCCAGACTTGTTCAGCGACCCATAATACACCTCCGCTCCTGCACTGAATCGGCCATAAAAGCGATCTTCGGTCCTGGGAGGTTCCGTAATGCCTTTCCTAGGATCAGGACCAAAATTATACAACCCTCTGATGCCAACCAAACCACCGTCTGTTGAATACAGGGATTCAGCGCAGTATTTTCCAACATCATATTGATGCAAGGCCAAAATCGTTCCACCATTTCGCAACCGACCGTCACTTACAGCAGACAATTTGAACTGCTGTGTAGGTGTGAGTCTTCGAAGGTATAGCGCTTCCAGTGTGCTTTGTGGCAAGTATAGTCGTCCATAGAGCAGTGTATCGCGTTTGTCGATTCGTTTGCCCGCATGCCATTGCTCCCATTCCCAAGAATGTTTATGTTTCCGCAACTCCTGTATCTGTCTATATCCGCGTATTACATCCTCGAGTTCGATGTTGGCACTTTGGGAAGCCGGGCGAAGTGGTAGGGAGGAATACAGGTAGGATAGCGAGCCATCGACCAAACCGACGCTGCCGATCGCATATGAGGTCGCAAAGTTGGGAGAAGAGAGAGAGGAAACGCTTAAGCCAAAGCCACGAGGAGTTTCGAATTCGAGAAGAGCTGATGGGGGTCAGTTGAAGAGCTCATAGGAATTAGAAGTACTAGTTACCTCTAGCAGTAGCCGTTAACTGCGAGTATGAATTCTCCAAGTTCCAATTCGAAGCGTCGTAAAATGCATTTTGAACATAATCCATAAACTCCAACATTTCCTCTATAACAAAATCTTCTTTCCACAAAAATCAATGTTCATGAACCTCTTTGCTCTGTCCAAAACCTCCAGCATCAAGTTTCCAAAACACCTCAAGCTCCACCCCTGTCCCGGATAAACCTCAACCCCACGGATCAACATCCCGCCGCCTATCGAAACTTTATCAGTCCCTCAAAAAATAATTCCTCAATCGCAAACCCACCGGCACCATCACCCCCCTCCCTCACAACATTCACAATGCCGAAATCCAAGCGCGCAAAGGTGGTTCACCTCACCAAAGTCGATAAGAAGGGAAAAGAGTTAACGCTCAAACTCTTCTCCAACGTGCGAGAATGTCTGGATACTTATCAGTACTGTTTCGTTTTCTCGGTGGATAATATGAGGAATACGTATTTGAAGGACGTACGGGCTGAATTGAGCGATTCAAGGTACTTTCTCTTATGATACCCAACTTATCGACCATACTGATGGTGTGTAATAGGATATTCTTCGGCAAAACAAAAGTAATGGCCAAAGCCCTCGGGCAAAACGAAGCAGAAGCGCATCAACCAAACACGCATCTACTCTCCCCGCACCTCGTGGGGAACGTAGGATTACTGTTCACGAACCGTGATCCAGAAGCCATCATCACCTTCTTCAACGGATTATCAAAGACGGATTTTGCGCGCGCGGGGACGGAGGCGACGCGGGAGTTTACGATTCCAGCGGGAACGGTGATGAGTATGGGTGGGGAGATCGAGGAGGAGAACGATGTGCCGTTGGCGCACAATTTAGAGCCAGAGTTGAGGAAATTGAATGTGCCGAGTAGTTTGGTGAAGGGGAAGATTACGTTGCAGAATCCGTATACGGTTTGTAAGGAGGGGGATGTGTTAGATAGTAGACAGACGAGGTTACTGAAGATGTTTGGGGTTGCGACGGCCGAGTTTACCGTTAAGCTCGTTGCGTAAGTATTTTCTGCTTCTTATTGAGTAGGACCTGAGTTAACAAGATTTAGGTACTGGAGTTCAGCGACAAGTGAGGTCACTGTAGTAGACGCAATGGAAGCGTGAAGGATTATGTTCCAATGAGATTATTGTGCGAACGAGCTTTCTTATTATACATTGTCAGGAGGAAAACTGGCGTTCACCGGCGCTACTAGGTATTATGGAATCAAAAGAAATTTTGTTGCTCTGAGCTCCTGTCTTACCACCATCCCACCCACCACATTTCTCTGAATAATACACGCAAGAAACCCATTTAATACTAAATTCGCATGGTCAGATGGCAGCAAAATCTTACCTCTGACCTTACCTCCAAACCTCGAGCCAAAAAGAAGGTTCACCCGAGCACTCTTGGTGCTATAGGTACCTGACTGAGCTAAGGGTGCTGCTGAAATCGACGTGTCGGAAGTAGTCCATTACCATAAATTTGATAGACTTTCAAACTGTTGTTACACACAAATTGAAGGTGTTGGCCATACTACCTTTTGGTGAAATGGTGCATCGAAAAACCGCTTACCCCTGGTGATTAAGGGAGGAAAGACTGAAGATCGAGAAACCCACCGCAAGACAAACCGATTAATGCCTCGCTGCATCTAATATCTTCGAAGTTTCCGAGGGTCCTCTTCGTAGCCGTTGCTTTCGTACTGCCTCTTGCGTGAGTCGTCTTCTCGTGGTCGGCCACCATAGCCACCGTCTCGGTCTCTGTCCCGATAGCCACCACCATCTCTACCTCCCTCTCTTGGCCTTACCGGCTCCATGTTGCTGCCACTTCCACGAATCGAGTCACGGTCATTGTAGCTTCTGCCGCCGCCGCCGCGATAGCCACCGTTTCTATCATCATATGAGCGGCCACCACCACGCGAATCATACCCACCAGCTGGCGCTGAGTTTCCGTTTCGCTCAGGGGATCCAGAGCCGCCGTATCCTCCTCTGCTGAAGCCACCAGCTCCTCTGTCGTTAGCGGGGGGTCCGCCAACTCTACCACCAGGGCCAGCGGGCGCATTGGGAGGGGCACCATATCCATTAGAACCTCGGTCACCACCGAACCCTCCTCTGCCACCAGAGAAGCCTCCGCCTCCCGAATAGCCAATACCACCTCTCCCACCTCCGCCACCACCGTACCCCCCACGGTCTTGGAAACCGCCTCGGAAACCGCCCCTTCCTCTGCCGCCGTCAAACCCACCTCGAAATCCACCGCCCCTGAAGCCGCCGGGTCCTCCTGGAGGTCCATTGAAAGATCCGGGTCCCATAGGCCTTGGTGGAATCGTTTTGGTGTATCCTCGCCCACCTTTTCCGCCGCCGAAACGACGTGGTTTCCAATCTCTCACGGTTCGGCCACGCTCAACGTCGACTTTGATGCGACGGTCTTTGATTCGGATACCATCACAGTTTTCTAGAGCAGCTGTTCACGAAGCGCAAGCAAGGCGCATTTGTCAGTCATTTGGCCCATACTTGAGTACCTTAAGTGGGCATTAAGAAATGAAAAGGGGGAACAGGCAGCCTGAGGGCCATGTCCATTACAGAAATTCGCGTCTTGTGAAATCGGCCCATGGAGCTGCCAGCAATTAGGGGTGTGATCTGTTTACCTCTCATGTCTTTTTCTCGCTCAAAGACCACAAATGCATATCCACGATGCTTCTTTTTCTTCTTGTTCGGCTTTTCGTCTTGGTGAGTGTCAACAACAATCCGGATCTAGTCAAATGTTAGTTGTGTGGTCATCTGCGAACCACTCTAGTTGATGATAAATACATACTCTTTCAATAGCGCCATAGCGGCCAAATTCACTTTCCAGGTCTTGCTCGGTTGCCTCATAGCTGAGTCGTGCGACAATGAGGGTCTTGAAAGCATCCCCTCGAATATTTGGATCTTCTGAGGGTTTGTCTGAAACAGTCATTATTAGCATTTTTCGTATAACAGTGGCGAAAAGGAGCGCATTTTGGTAAATTATGATTGTACAACAATTAGGGGTGCGCTCACAGCCTGTTGGGCCCTCCTTTAAAAGCTTCTCCTGATGTTGCTTCTTTTCCATCTTCAACCGATCCTTTCTTTGGAGCCATGATTCGGTAGGTTTGTAATCATCCGTTTCCTTGTATTCCTGAAGTTGTGGTAGGAAGGCCGCAATGCCGCTGATATTGGGAGTCTTGCGTTCTGCAGGCGCGTGGTCGGACGGGGCTACCCATCGTAGAGCAGGGCGAGGCGCAAAGAGGGCAAGGAGATTTGGTGGAAGTTTGTCCGTCATGGTAAGGGATCAAAGCCAAAAGCTATTGATAACAACTAGAATGGCTGCAGCTCCCGGAGCTGTTGTTGATGACGACGATCGAATATTATTAGGGAACCGAGAAAAGCAGTCGTGTCGCGTCGTGCTAGATTGGGGGAGCAAATGATTTCCGGAACGGAACATCTAAGCACCGCAGATTTTTGAGATCGTTCCCTATCAACCTCACCACCTTTTTGTGTAAGAGCGAAGCAACAAAACACAATGGTAGTCCAAGGAATACGCAAAGCTACCCAAGGCCAGGCAAGTACCAACTGTATCAAATGTTCCCAGCTGTAGTTAATTCGGTGAACAGAATGGCGTGGGCGCCTTCATTCTTCAGTGCAAGCGACTCGAGTTCCATTATTGTGACTGGGCAGGTAGCTCAAGGGGCATGAAGTTCGTCCATCTCTTCTTTGAAAGTGCTCTGTACTCTTTCTGACTGTAACTCTTCTAGTCAATTCCTCAAGTCTCACATATCAAAGTTTGCTCGTGCGAACCCATCAGTCGAAATCTCCATCTCTCCACGACCGTCGAAGCATCCAGTTATCCGCGGCCACTACATCAATGGCGGCGAAAAAGCCATTTGCGTGCGCAATTTGAGTGAAGGACAGATATTACAGAAAGCAGAAATATTAAGGGATGCGAATGGAGAGAAATTGAAGAGGGTGGTGAAGCCAGTCAAGAGTTTGAATGAAAGTGTTAGAGGAATATGGAGTCCATATCATAAACCCGGTGGTGGTGGAACTCATGTTTGAGCGGAAATTTGCGGTGGCAGTATGCATAGGGTTACAGCGAAGAGACGTCGACGATGACCACGACGGGTTAAACATGGTGTTTTCCTAAGATGCACTTGCGAAATCATGTTGCGGTTGTGTTAGAATATGGTGTATATTACGTGTTATAGGAGCATCGAACCGGCGTTCGTGGTATTGAGAATCAAAACTTCAAGAAATCTCAGAATCTAAGTTCCAAGGCTATCTTGTGTGGTCCTAAGTTAATGATGGGGCCTATGGCATGGCGGGTTCAAGTCCATGAGGCAATTGACATGGGCTCAAAGGTTTCCACTTTGCTACTGAGCAGAAGCTCTTTATTCAAGTCAGGAATGCACCCTTCCAGCAACTCATTATTACCTTAATAAGGTCACATTGAAAACCTAGTCACTAGTGGTTGAGATTGACCATCTCCAATTCTGAAAAGCAAACGTGGGTGAGGAGAAACTTATGTATTTTTTGGCATTTCTTTTTAGGTGCAACTGAGGTTAGTAGCTCGGCGGGAGGCAGTGCTTACAGATAGATCCTAGGTCGACTCATTGTCTCTCATGGTGATACCAGTAGCTGGACTTATATTCGCATACTGTCTCCGAGCCGCCTCCATATCTGCATCTCGCTTTCGCTCAATCTGCGCCCTCTTCCCGGCGGCTCTCTTGCATGCAATGAGGACACCGACGATGGCGATGAGTGAAAGTCCACACCCAACTGACACCACTATGACGGGAATGGCTATGCGCAAATCCTCCATAAATGGTGACATGGCCATGTTGTTATGGGTATGTGTGTACTGCTAAGTTGAGATTGAGTGAGTAATGTCGTTCAAAAGGCGGACGAATCTTGTACTTGGAGAACTTATTTGATGGAAATATTCTTCCATCTAAGTATGTTGATCTCGCTAAGAATGCCGTGGGTTGTTCTACTGTTCTTTGACATTACAGTGTCTTCGCACCCATAACTTCTTCTAAGAATCAAGCTCTTTGTTCTACATAATGTCTTTCATCGTCTCGTCACCAATCGACATCAATGACCCCTTTAATGCAGTTCAGTGGTAGCTTAAGCCTTTTTGGGACGTCTTTGTGAAGGACTTGGGAAGTCTCTAACACAACTTTACACTCTGTCTTGGTTAACATAACCAAATATGTAATAGAAACTACTGCCGATCTTCTCTTGGAATTCATATCTAGTACAAGTGGACATACACGTAGTCATATCAGACGAACTAGTCTCCGTCATCAAATACCACTTACTAGGTAATGACCCCTCTTGACGGAGATGTCTTGACGAGTAGACAAGGATCGTCTCGAAAACAGCAGTATATCATGGTGTGGTATGGCTTAATTTCCAGTCAATCTGCTCTAATATTCACCCTTAAAATAAAGCGTTCATTGCCTAAAAGTAAGTGATAGTGGATAAGATTGTGATATCTAATAATATCATAGTTTAGAGTTTTCATGACACAAGAATTTAGGCAAAAGTTGATGTCCACTCAGACGTATGATATTTCTCTCCTAATCTGTCAAAGTATTCCCACTTGAGCATCAGCTGCTCTGGAATTCCTGTTCCTAATCAAATGTATGGTTTTCCTCCTCCAACCTCTAATACTGTTCGCACTTCACTATCAGCTACCTCTTTCCATTTTATGTTCCTTCTCCACTGACTCCGATAGTAGCATCAATTCCATACCACTGTCTTTTCAGATTCGCCTTAGTTGCTCAACGGAGGTGGGGAATATAAGCAGGTGCTGGTTCCGCAACACTCGTTTTGACATCATCCAACTCCTTCGAATCGGCCATCGATGATCTACCAGCAACTTCTTGTCCTAAAGTTAAAATTTCGTCCTCCTTATTTCCGGTAATATTGCTTGATCGAGTTTTTGCATGAAGGGGATCATCTGACTGTTGAAGGTTTCCAAGTTCGAGATCTCGACGGGTTCGATCGGCCTCCTGATAATGAGATCCTCTGGTGTCTTTCCAGATCATGTAGAACATGCAGCCGCAAACGATGGCAGCGCCGACAAGGGAGCCGACTATTGCACCCCATATTTGCCCGTTACTGGCACCTTTCACTTCCCCTTCGAGCTTTTGCCATATCTTCGTTAATTTATCGTTTGGGACAGGAGTTATGATATGGGGGGTACCCGTTTGGATGCTGTTAAGGAACATCTCGTTCATCGTGAGGCGTGAGTAAAGGATTATTGTTGGTAATGCTCTTTCTAGTCTGTAATGTAGTAGACTCGCAGATTATGTTGCTTTAATAGTATGAAGGAAGCAGGAAACTTTATTATTTATACTAGAACGTCTGGGGGGCACGCAAATGAATCTATCTAACATGTAGAATAAACCCCAGTAGTGAACAAATGTCTCCAGGAGAATGATCCGATCATAAAGTTCACTACTCGGACCAAAGAAAGCTAAGTTAAGGAGCTTGAGAGTACATTTTGTTCCAGTGTATGAAAAAGGGATTTGATTATCTCTTTTTAGCAGCCATTATCAGTCACTACTTATTATTAAGATACGATAATATTTTACAGTTAGTATGGAGTTATGCTAATACATGGACAAAGCCAATGTGAATTTTAAGAGAGTTATGTGGCAGATTTTAGTAGTTCAGCAAGTCATATGGCTCAGAATAAAGTGATTGTTCACCCTGTATTGATTAGATTAAATTGGGCGGGACTTACAACTGATTATATATCATTCAAGAGTACCCTTCGTTTTGACAGCAACAAGATGAGCGTGTGCAAGTTGCCGTGACGTCACATCGATATTGTTAAATTATGCTTCGCTAAGATTAGATGATTGGGCAATAATGCTTTTTTTTGTGTTTTTGGAGGTTCACTACTGATGTCATCATAGCTAGATAGCAAATGAGAGTCTGTAGGAAAAGTAGAGATTAAGGATTACACATTAGCTTGTTCAACGTCTCTCGCAGTCCACTGGGGTACCAAGAGGATTCAAAGAACGAAGCGTGTGGTTGACATTTTCCTTAATAGCCAGAAGAAGATAATAAAAGTGAGGAGGAAAGTCAGAATTCCGGTAACAATTACTGTCGTTTCTTTCGGGGTTTGGTGGAAGTGATAGTGGTCACAACCTTGTTGAGAATCCGAACAAAAGTTCGACATTATTGTTGAGTGCGTGTTGTTGAGTGGTGTTTCTGTAGAATGTGTGGTAGCTTGTCAAAAAGTAGTCACTGGTAATAACTATTGTGGTTTTGCTTGAGGTATCTGCTGACAAATACATATTAGAGAGCGGAAAGAAGGCAGTTTATATAGTAAATTTGCGGAGAACAGAGATATGTGTGAAAAGTGCAGATTTCTTTCCGGAACAAACATCCGGAAATCAAGCCACTTTTAAATCGCACCACAATTTTTAAGAAGAAAGAAGCCTCGGTTATCTATTCAAACCGCCATGGTCATGTAATAAAATATATAATACTTTGATGCCTTCAATTGGCTGGTGTCACTTGATATATAAAAACATGTTGATGACGTAGACCTTGCGAACTGAGGGGCTTAAAACTGAAATTGATTATAACATAAGATTAAATTTAGTTGGAAGGATTTGAGCGTTTGATGTTTGAGTTGTGGGATGGAATTTGGGTAGTGATTTTTACAAATAATTTGAATTTGATTGGAAGGATCTAGCAAATAGCAATAGATTAAGTAATAGATCAGAGCCTTGAAACTTTTCAAGCTATTGCGTTAGTTTTTGAGAAAACTTCGAGTAGACATTTGCATCCGAATTCCATCTAAATGAAGTTTCAACGCAGTTGAAGTTACCAACTCACCAACTCTCACTTCACACTGACGGCCTTCAAGGGCGGTTGTACACTAGCCTCAGTAATATCAACGTCTAACAGATCAGATCTATCGAATACCGAGTTACGAGCAGTTTTCAAAGCTGTATCTCTAGTTGAATAATACTGAATCAACCCTGCTTCAAGATCCTGATTAGTCCGGTCTTGAATAGAGCTCATAGAAGGATTGAGCTGAGCACTAGCCTGGCGTATCTGCTCCAACTTGTAAGCAGCGCGGGCGTGAAGAACTATGATACCTACGAAAACAATCAAGGCTGCAAGAAAGAGGAGGCCGAGGGAAATACCAATTGTTGCTTTGTTACTCAACAGCGGCGTCTCAGTAGCTTCTGGCATGATGCTTGTTGTTGTTATGGAGTTTGATATGATATTGCTTGAAGCAGATCTTATCGTTTGAAGTTGAGAGAGTGGAGGACATTACGGCTTTATAAGTTAATTCCACTGTATTTGAGAACAAAGGCGGCATACAATTGGGATTGTTTTGTCTCTCACCTAATCAGGATTCGAACAATCCTCCTCATGCTTTGTATGTTTCATTTGAGAACAAAGAATCGCAAGATACTTTGCTTGAACAGAGGATAATATTAAGTGAACATCTCAGTGTAGATGAATTGTCGTGAGACTGTTCATGACAACCCAAGCTAATGTATCTCGTCTGTTCTTGAAAAATCCATATAAGTCTTTCCCCCTTTACACAATCCACCTCCCAATTTTCCAACAGATCATCATATCATACTATGTTGGCACAGCTTCGCAGCATTAACATGTCACCAGTCACACGACTGGTAAATCCAATCATGGAAACCACGACCAAAATCGCCCGTTGCGTCTCCGAAGAGACCACACCCCCTAAGTCCCTCAACTTCAGACAATCAGCCGATCTCTGGTTCTCAAATAACTGGATCTGGTTTCTGCTCCTTCTCATCTTGACAGTGATCACCACTTGCACCTTCGTCGTTCTGTACTGTCGATCTCTGCTTCGGATCAATCTGATTAAGCGAGAGATGAAAAAGGGGAACTGGTCTGAGCGTCGGGCGGGAGATGTCGAGGATGGGAATTCTTCAGTACAGACGCCGGAATCGTCTACTGATTCATTAAGACTCACACCTTCGGTTTCTTCCGCTGGGAAGCCTAGCGAGGAACATACTGATAGGAAATGGTGGTCTCGGAAGAAGCCTGGAGAAACCTAGGTCTTTCAAGACAGTCTCAATTCTGACCGATAAAATCACTTCTTCCATCGGAGTCAACTAACAATCAGTAGTAGCAGCAACATCCTGAAATGTCCGGAATTTGGAGCTCAAGCGGGAAATTGGTCACAGATACCCAAAAACAGAAAACAAAACATTCTTATCATAAATATTCGCTCTCCATCATGACATTGTGATGAACTCTTTGACGAAACTCGTAATCAAACTTGGTAACAAATGAGATCTCGTTCCCTCTCCAAAATTGCAGTTCTTAACCCCTCTTTCCGCTCTTTAGGGCCAGTCAATAGGTTTCATTAAGCTTTTATGTTGCAAGCATACAGCCTATGACCAAAACTCACTTCTTTCCCTCTAATGATTGTTGAAGATAATATTAGCGAGTTTTATTTGATCGTTTGTAGTAGTAAAAAGTACTCTGTAGATTATAATAATAATATTAACTCGTATGATTCAAGATACTCGAAATATGCACCAAGAGGTTGCAATATAAAGACGATACATGATAGAACGTGCACTTCACCAAGCATTGGGTATAAAAGCATAGTATCACACAGTAATAACAAAGTACCAAATCTTGTAAAAGTAAGGTTCCTCGTCAATTTCAAATATTGTAGATGAGTCCTCATATTTTCACTGTCATTGTCACTCTCACGATTATAGATATATACACCACATTTTCTACTCAATATTCTTTTATTTCCAAATTTTACGCCTCAAGACCCAGAGCCCAACAACTCAGCCCTCTAAGCCCTCGATGTCCCCCTCGCAGCCTCAACATCCTGTCTCGTCTCCTGACTTCCACCCCGCATCTTAGCCTTCAAAGCCACCCACCTCCGCTCAACCCAAACCCAAAAGAGAACGAGAAGTGGAATAGCAACGGCCCAGAGAAACCAAGCAACCGGAATAACAAGAACGATTGGGAGTACGGTCCATAGGATCTGGTTGCGCTTCTCGCGTTTCTTTGCCTTTTCTGAAGCCTCGGTGGCTGCAGGTTGAAGTGACGTGGTGGTTTGGGTTGGTGTGTCAGCGTTGGTGAGGGCTGTGGTATGATAGCTTACTGCCTTCACAGCGGGTGCTGCTTCCATGGTTGGGAGCAGTCTGGATGTGATTACCGTGCGGGTAAGTGGTGGGCCAGAGGGACTCGTTGATGATTGTTTGGATGTGATGACAGTCCGGGTGAGTGGTGGTCCAGAGTTGCTCGTAGGGCTCGCTGATGACTGTCTGGATGTGATTACCGTGCAAGTTAGTGGTGGCCCAGACGGACTCGACGGACTCATTGATGATTGTCTGGATGTGATGACAGTCCGAGTAAGTGGTGGTCCAGAAACTATCGGCTGAGTTGGAATCACTGGTAAAGCTTCTCTGGCCATCTTACCAGTCCGAGTCGGTGTCGGCTTAGATACTGGCGCACTGGACAACTTGCTTGCAATTCGAGAAGGGCAAGCGCATGGGTGATGCATCGTCGTTGTGACGGTGATAGTAACGGCGGGGCCTTCAACTGCGTCGAATGAATTCTTGATATCAGACGGACTCGGGGTAACAGAAAGATGTCCATGATTAGGCACACCTACTGTAGTAGGGCTGGCTACTTTCGAGGTAACCGCATTTCTTGTCGAGAAGGAAGCCGAGACTTCAAAGGGTCTTGCTGCTGCGAAAGCAGAAAGGAAGAGTAGGACTGTAGCGGAATTCATCATTTTGGTATTCGGATTGGTTAATTACCAGAGTGAAAGGGTTGCTAAGATCAATTTTTTTTGGAAACCATGATATCCTTATGTGGTCACCCAGCAGCCCTGTTCATATAAAACAACAAAACTGAATTTCAATCAGACCAGATTTACTTTGTAATTGAGGGCAGAACAAAGCCATTGCTCTAAGACGCTGCAGAAAGAAAACCGTAATTTTATCGTACCAAACATGCCAAAGCTCGCTCTTTGTCCAGATCCTGGCATTCTCAAGTGTTCAAGCCCAAAGAAAGGAATCCGTTCAGAACTTAGGGAAGAACATTGGAGTTTCCTTCTTCCACTTTTGGTAATCCTTGCGATCTCCATAGCGTTTGTCGTATTTGTTCTCACTTAGTGGGATGCCTGATACTTTGAAAAGTAGGAAAGTAACAAACGCAGGGCTGACAGCGCACAAAGCGAATCCCAGAAACTTTCCATAACTTGTTCCCGCGAGTCCCATTCCAACTTGGCCTACGTTGCTCATGAGCACACCTGCAGCAGTCGTCGCGATTCCAGTCCAAAGAGTGCTCTCTCCCTTGGATCTGTTAGGTTTTGCGCACTAGCCGAATTTGTTGACTTACAAAGTAGTTTGGATGCCTGCTCTTACTCCACAGGCCATGTGTTAAGAAGTCCTCATCGTGTTCCTTGTTCTTCTTTGCTTGAACCCAAGCGTTCTTCTGCCTATCAGCAGTGACTTCGAAGCTGAGACCACCAGCGAAAAGTGCAAGGCCGACAATATCAGTGATTCCCAGCAGAGGCAAAGCTGCAAGAGCGGTACGTGGGATAGAATTGAGCGCTAGAACCGGCATGATACAGAGCGATACCCATACGGCTGGAAGATGTTATGATATGGCGGCGAAGAATAGCCAGAGTGTCACGTACCTTGAATCATGAACGCCCCAAAGAACTTTGGTGGGGACTTCTTGATCTCGTCAAACCTGTGAATATCAGCAAACACTCAAGTACTTACAATTATGTCGTGTCTTCAGACTTACCTAGAATCATGACCGTCGGCGATCACACGTTGAAAGAGGTAAGAACCCACTATGTGATGTATTAGTACAATGCAAATCACCCATGGACAAAAAATTGCCTACATCTAGTGGCCCACTATGAGATCGAGGTTAGCAATCATGAAGCCAGGAGGAGCTTGTAAGCACTCACAATAGCGACGGCAGTAGATATGACTACTTGTCTCCAATTAAGCCCATTCTGACCTCCCTTGCCCGTGAAAGCATCAATCAGACTGGGGAATGCGGGTTTTGCTTTTCCAGCCAAAGAGGCAGCGGCGCGAGCTCGAAGGGCTGGTAGATAAAGACTTAAAGCGGTAACTGAGATGTAAGTCAACGATCCAGATAAATCATAAAATCGTTCTGATTGTGTGAGAATTGACGGTACAGCTACAGCTGCTTGAATCGCAAAAGCAGCGCCTACAGAAGGAAGGAGCGTCTTCAGGAATGGGTTGCGGAAATTGGTCAAATGTAGCAAGCTGGAGGTTAAAGTCATCTTGGCAATATATAACTTGTGACAATACAGGCCGCAGTCGAAGTATATGTGGTGGTTGTTGTAAATGAGTATGCTTGTCAAGTACAAGTAGTATTGGAGATGATAGACAGGAACAGGGTCCAATCTGTATGGGGGGTTTGAGGGTACAATAACCTTGTACATATCGTCATCACTAGCGCGTTAAGCCAAACGGCCCCCGGACAACGGAGCTGTATCTGGTCCGTACACTTGTCTATAGTCGCACTCTATCTCAACCATATACGAAGTATACTTACTCGTTTGAGAAACTCAGCAGTGATCTGTTCTTTCATCAATTTAGCAATGTATATATCGCCCGTGAATTTCAAATCGATATTGATGTCGCTCGGACATTTTCCACATATACTTGGCTCTTTGAAGGCGTGGGAAAATATGTCAGCATGAAACGAGCTGATAGAGTATTGTTAGGTTTTCAACGGCACTGGCATCTGTTGGATGGCCACAAGGGGCACATTTCTTCGTGTATTGAATCTGTGAACAGTGAACTAGCAATAGTCACAACCCGTCTTTGCTTGAAGTGAAGGTCCTTGGTGGTCCTAGTCGGCCTGGTCCAAGGTGCTCAATGGTGTGGTCGCTCTCACTGAAATATATCAGCGTGACTTTTCCGCTTTTCGAATTCTCTATCAAGAGATATGGCCGGCCGTTGCAACCAACAAGATTTCATCCTCCATGCCTCTCACCAGGACCACCTTGATACCAGCCTCTTCCAACTGTTTTCTTCCTGTGTTCTGGCCAACAAACTTCTCTGGTTCTATCACACCCACGTAGACGGTTTTGATTGCATTTCCTAGTCTCAATATCCTCTCAACACACGGCAGGTTGCCGCTCAAACGCTTGAAACAAGGCTCAACAGTCGTATAAAGCACAGTACTATCTGGGAGGATCTCCACTAGGTTCTCTTCCGGTAGATTATGCTCTTTGGAAAGCTTGATCAAACATGACTGCTCGGCATGAGTGTTTCCCTCGCATTCTAACGTATAACCTGTCGCCAGGATGGTATCGGTCTTCGAATCAACGAGTAACGCGCCAACGCGGTAATTCGTGGGCTTCGGGGGTGATTTTCTTGCCAAATCGAGCGCCTGTTTCATGTACTCAATGTGAACCTGAGGATTGGCTTTCAATGGGTCCTGTGGAATCTCTAAGCCTCCCGAGGACTGCATCTTTCGTAATTCAGATAAGCGGGCCTCGGAGACCAAACGTCGATTGAGGTCGATAACAAGTACTGAGAGTAACGGAGCAATGGAAAATAAATTCGAAAACCCACTATCGCAAGCAATGAAACAAAAAGCGCGGATTTGTCCAGCAATGATAAAGTTGTAGAAGAAATAAGCCAAACTGGATTGAGGATTCCCAGGACCCCCTGTATAAATCCCAATGCACGAACCGACGTCACTAAAAAGTTGACGTGAACGAGCACGATCTTCTGCTTTGTACCTGCAGCAGGATGGATGCCCCAACACTGTCATCCGCCAGGATGCGAACTTCAATCGAGATAGAAGCTCCGTATGAATTGATCGCAATATCCATTCTCTCGTCTCCTCGCTCACAGCTATTTCCGCCTTCATCCGGCGCAACAACCTAATCAACCTCTGTTTCTTACTATAATCTATATAATCCACCTCGACTCGATCCACGAACCCTTACGCGCAAATATATCACGAACACGAGCGGGGTCTGGCGTGGACTGATAGCAACATCGCCAGCACATGGGTATCGGGACGTTATGTCTGCTGCCGCCTTGCCCAAGATCAAGGTCATTGACACCCAGAATGTGAATGGGAATGGGCAGGGCAGTTCGGTAGGGATCGACTCTCCCTCAACTATTACAGATGGTGGTCAATCTGGAAGGCCGAAATCATCAACGTCTTCAGAAGGTATGTCAACTCTCTTCACGGCGTGTCCCCAGGCATTGGTATTGCTGGGGAATGTTTGCGCAAGAGGCGCTACCTATGCGGCCTTGATAACTTCTTGTGTCCCGTTTAACTAACTTGGATATCTCTCTCTCTATAGGCAACCAACAGACAAACAACAAGAAAACGCCCACAAAACCTTCACGCAATGGGTCAAGCAGAGAATTCAGCAATACGAGTCCTACATCTCCTCAGGGGCGACCTGCGACAGCCATTGATCCCCTTTCACACGTGGGTTTGCCATTCTTGCCATTTGCGATTCAAGATCAGACGAGAGAACGAACACGCTGCAAATAGTCCTGGTGGAGGGCATTGGCTAATGTGACGGGATAGCATATTCTGAAACGAACGAATACCGAGAACACGATACCTACCAAGTTACGGAATACGGGTTCAGGAGAAACAAATTCTGCCGATCTGACAGGACCTATAAGTCCAGAGACTGGCTCTCAAGGCAGACAGCTCACGCCAGAGGTAAACAGGAGCGACAGCAATCCCATCAGAGAGAAGAAGTAAGTGTCTCAAATTATATATGCTCGGCGTCAGTGACCTCCGCTGCTTACCAACTTCTTGGAATGGAGCATACTTGTCCGCCTCTCACCTACTGCACGCTTACTGACACTGCATGAGCAGAAAAGGAGTCTCATTTCTTAGCCGATTCAGCATTATCGCAGGAAAAAAGAAAGACCAACCGGACGATATCGACGACGATGAGTCCGAACTGGGCGATGTCCGAACGGAAGGGATGAATGCACATGTCTTCTCTTCTTCGATAGGTGCCAATGGATATATACCACAGCACAAGGAGCCGCCGAGGTATATCAAGGTTCGAGCGCACAACAAGAAGCTGAGAGAGTTTAATCGCATGTTCCTCGCTCAAGAACTAAGTGGGACAAAACATACAGCTAGTGAGGACAAGATTCCCGGGCTGACGACCACTGCGACCGAGCTTCCCCAATCTCCCACTAAGCTAACAAAAGCACCCAAGACAGGAGGTGCTGTTTGGGCTACAGAGTTCAGCAAGGATGGCAAATTTTTAGCAGCGGCTGGGCGAGACCAAGTTGTACGCATCTGGGGTGTGATATCGACGGCGGATGAACGGCATTTTCATGAGCATGAGGAGGATGTTTCTATGAGTACTTCGGGGGGTGAGCGACTCAGCGCGCCTGTTTTTCGCTCGAAGCCCATCCGCGAATTCGAGGGGCATACCGGAGAAATTCTAGACTTGAGTTGGAGTAAAAACAATTTCCTTCTCTCCTCATCAATGGATAAGACCGTTCGATTATGGCATATAAGCAGGCAGGAATGTCTGTGCACGTTCAAACACAAAGATTTTGTTACTTCGATCGCTTTCCACCCAACCGATGATCGATTTTTCTTAGCCGGGTCGCTGGATTCTGTGCTTAGATTATGGAGTATCCCGGATAAGACTGTTGCTTTCTGGAACCAGCTGCCCGATCTTATCACTGCTGTAGCGTTTTCCCCCTGCGGGAAGACTGCCATAGCTGGTGTGCTGAGCGGCCTCTGCTTATTTTACGAAACCGAAGGATTGAAATATCATACACAGATTCATGTACGATCATCGAGAGGAAAGAACGCAAAGGGAAGTAAGATAACTGGAATACGGACTGCGTCATACTCTCCTGGCGACCTTGAAGGAGACGTTAAAGTTTTGATCACTAGCAACGATTCGCGAGTTCGCATGTATAACCTCAAGGACAAGAGCTTAGAAATGAAGTTCAGGGGTCATGAGAATACATGCAGTCAGATAAATGCCAGTTTCAGCGAAGACAATCAGTATATAATATGTGGAAGTGAGGATCGAAAGGCCTACATTTGGAACACTGGACCCATTGAGTCGGAGAATAGAGACAAGCGTCCCTTGGAGTTATTTGAGGCTCATGCGGATATGGTCACAGCCGCTATCATAGCGCCAACTAAGACAAGACATTTACTTAGCGCTTCTGGAGATCCAATCTATGACCTTTGCAATCCTCCTCCAGTCACTTTACTTAGCAGAGAGGAATCGACTGCCTCCTCTTTGAATTTTACGGACGACAAGCGAAATTCAGACCTTGTAAGTGAGTCCCAGATGAAGAAGCCAGAAGAATCACCTGCATACTTGTCGCGTTGTACGCATCCGGACGGAAACATCATTATAACGGCGGATTATTTAGGCGGGATCAAGGTCTTCAGACAGGACTGGTAAGTCATTTTGTGCTCTTTGTCCAAACACATCCTCTTTTTATTCCGAATAAAATACAAGACACATGCTGACCGAATTCTAGTGCTTATCACAAGCGTATGCAGAACAACTGGGAAACCGGCTCTACATTTTCCAAGAAAATGCTAGGTCGAAGTAACTCAATACGAACGAAGAATTCCGGTGGCTCACGCCGCAACTCTGTTTCTCAGAACTCCATTAACGGCTCACTACACACACCATCTGAACATATCCTTTCGTGGAGAAACACAGTATTGGACAATAATAGCATAAGAAACAGAGGCTCACGAGCATCCATGGGTGATCGCAGCATTTCTCCCGGAAAGTTCAATCGAGCTTCATTTCAATCCTCAACGACAACGAATCCTCAGCCTACTCTAGCGAGCGCGGCCCGTCAACAGCCATACATTGGATCAGCACTCCATCCAACCTCGAGTGTGTCAACAATAAGTCCGCCACCCAGTGACATTCAAAAAGACGCCATTGACAGAAAACCGTCCTTACCAACCCCCAGCTTCTCCTTCCAAGCCGCCACGAGCCCTACGACCCAAGAAAACTCCCCTCGTATCGACACATCCAGCAAAAACTACCAATTCTGGAACCCCGCCTCCTGGCTCAACGAATCCAAATCGCTCCTCCAAAACTCCCACGATCCGACGAAACTAGGCGTGGAAAATGGAACCCGACCTGGCACAGAGAGACAACAGAGTTCAGTGAGTGAGCTGAGCAGTGAGACCGGCAGTCCCGGCTACGAAAGCGAAGACGAGGCGTTGAGCTGTAAGAAATGCGGTGGGCGGGATTTCAGGGCGAAAAAGGCTATTGGGAGGGGAACGAAACAGAGGTTGGTGTGTACAAAGTGTGGGACTGTTGCTGAGTAAAGTAATTAGATGGTATTGTTTAAATGGGCGGGTGGAGGCTTTGAATAGCTGAACTGTTGGAATTGGAATACAAATGAAGGACGGAAGGGGACGGATCTGGATATTAGCGCTTGTTAGTCGTATTGGTGTTGAGGAGGGCGTATTGAGGTTTAATGATTCCCTGGATGAATCCTTGGAGTACATATTATTCAGTTACAAGAACATATCAAATATTCATGGATACAATTGCTCCATCACGGTTCAGTTACTGGAAAATCTCTTGCGTGTGGGTAACGTAGTGTTCTTCGCAATTCCACTGCCTGTGTTGAGGGAGTTATTTCATTCAACTACCTAGTTGACATGCCTCAACCACTTCTCTTCCATCATAGTATACCGCCAGCTCAGACGGCTTAATTATATTACACAAATAGATACAGCTCACATTCCTCTTTTAAGTCCCATCAAAAACGCCGATCTGAACCATCCTTAAAATCTATAACTCCTCTCACGCTTCTCACCACGCTTCTCCTCATCGCGCTTCTGTCGCTTTCTTCTCTCCTGGGCAATCATATCACTAAGATCTTCGTGATCCCATGCACCCTCATCCTCTTTCTTCTTCTCCTCGAATCGTCGTTTCAGCTCCTCTTTACTGACGCGGTCCTCATTTTGCAGCGCATCAGGGTCAAGCGAAACATCGACGTCTCCAGGCTTCTTGCGCTTGCGGCTTTCGTCTTCTTGACCGAGAACTGGGAGGTTGGAGTTCTGCGCACCACGGACATCGTATGCACGCTCGCCGCCAAAGAAACCTTCGGCGCGGATTTGACGCTCGGGGATGACTGTGTATGCTGATCTGGGTTGGGTCGACTCTTCGGTCTCTGTGCCTCGTTTCTGTTTGCGCAGGTCGAAGTCTCCGCCTACACTCATGTCGCCAGGATATTCTGATGGGACGGTTGATGCCATTCCACCAGGAGTCTCCAGACCACTTGGTGTCTCTAGACCGGTGCCGGTATCTTCTTCCTCTTCCTCTTCTTCCTCCTCGCCGCTTTCTTCTTCCTCGGATTCTTCTTCTGGTGCTTGCAGCTCACCCCACAAAGTTCTTTCTACGGGCTCTCCTGCCTGGTTGTTGACTTGCGGTTGCAGGACACCAAAGATATCACCACCAAAAAGAGGACGATTGAATTCATCAACGGGTGGTTTTCCATATCCACCGGGATGGAAACCCCACGCACCGCCAGGAGGTGGAGGGGCATTCAGTCCTGGGATTTTTAGAGAAGGATATGATGGTGGAGGGCCAAATCGTTGTTGATGGATCAGCCATGGCGGAGGTGCTCCGGGAGGTATATTGAGTGCCTCTTTCAGCTCCTCGCTAAGTTCTCCGGGCCTTAAGTGCTTGAGATTGGTTTCGTATTCTTTGCCCTCGTAATAGACTTCTCCAAATCGTGTCAATTCAGGCTTGGTTTGGAATCGGAAGAAAGCTTCATATAGTTTTTGGTAATCGATATCGAGCTTTCCCATCTTAGGTTGAACCCTTTCTCTCTGCTTTTGCTTCAGACTTGCAGCGTCTTGTTTTTCCAGTACTGCGTCACGCATTTCTGCAATTCCGGTCTCCTGGATAAATTTTGGTAAGGAAAACGGGGCTTTCTCCACACCACGCTTCGAAGATAGATATTCGCGTTTGAGGGACCAGTGGCTCGGTACGGGTACGACGTTTCGGTATGACTTGATGTGAACAAGTAATCGTGGATCTGAGGCTGATGTGTCGGTCCAATCTACCAGCTCTGGCTTCTGCACAAGTGCCTTCAATTCTGCTACAGACAGCTTATCCCGCTCCTTTCTCTTCTTTTTCGATAGCTTCTGTTCTCTTTCGGTGTCTTCTTCTTCGTCTGGTATCTCGTCATCGTCGCTGTAGAATACCTCGCCCTTATCGCCATTCTTCAGAGCTTCGGCGGCCTCATCCTCCGCTGTCGCACCGAACCGACCAAGGATATCCTTATACATAGCATAATTGGGGTCATCTTCACTAATCTCGACCTCATCGAGCTCTTCCCTGGTAGGCTCAGCGTCAGGTTTTGGAGCTTCCTCTGGTTCAAGCTTTGGCTGTACTTCTGGTTCTGGAGTTGGTTCGACCTGAGCTATTGTTAGAAGTTCCCCCGACTGAGTCGTGCGTTCGAAACATACCTGAGCTTTCTTCTGTTCCTTCTTCTTTGCGCGCCTCATTTGATTCTTGGTCATTTTGGGCGCCATCTTGACGGCTGGCGCGGTCGCACCGTATCGCAAATAGACCTTCTACCAAACAATATACTCAAGCCAAGAGTCCGCTGTCCAACGCGCTTAAACTTGGTAACCGTCGGAGGGGAGTTGAGCCGTATGACAGGATGTCGACAACACAGCCCGTCGCGATCAGTTTTTGGAACCTCATGTTGCCTTGCCGGATTCCGGGGTTATAAAATTCCGACTACGTCACGTGCTCCTGCATCCTCCCCTTTTCCAACGTCTTCGCTTTTTCTCGCTTGTAGTTTTGCTTTCTCCATCCACTGGTAACATTGGGACTCATTCCTACGTTTCATGGGTATCTCTGGTATTCCTTTCGTGGACATTGGGCCTCACCGCAGCATCGCATTTCAATATTTCTCGAACTTCGCGCTTGGATGAGGCCGTTTGTCTGGCCTCCAGGAGCATCAGATACAGACTACATTGCCCCTAAGCTACAGCTGTGTGTATTGTTCTTCTAGCGCTTGTTGATTTGTTTTTTCCACGTTCAGTGGTATATGCAAGCTACCTCTATTCATTTCGGCCCATCCATCCGGCTCTGAGTAAGAACATACTTGCTCACCAAGACTACACAAACGTTGGTGGTGGTCGCCGGTCGGGGATCTCGGATGCCACCCCCAGCACAAAACCTTATTCCTACCGCATACACAAACCTCCAAATCAAAGCCGTTGATTTGGGGGTTGGAAATGTTGTGTATCTTCCAAGCCATCGGCTATCTCTAAGCGCACGTATAACATGGTCATTTGCTTAGATTCCATTTGTGTGGGTTGAAGTGCTATGCACGTAGGAGAATGGCTTCCTAGGTTCTCTAGATCGTCCTGTTTACTTCTGTTTCGAGAGAGGTAACACTTGCTATTTTGAATATCTCCTTTAGGATCACATGAGAACTTCTTCTTCCTTTACAGCTTCTTCCTTCGCGGACGAACAAAAGCAATGAGACTCGTCGTCAAGCTCTTTCCGGCCCAAGAAGGGCAAAATGTAATTTCAAACAATATTTTGACTTCGCCGTTTGATTCCAGCGCTTCGTTTGCTGGATTCGTCTCTGTGCAGCAATGCTCTCCTTTGCCGCGGTTCCAACTTCTGCGTTTGTGGCTATAGCACTAGGAACCGGAATGAAGTATACAGACTCGCGAATCTCCCGACGAGGAAAGGTGTAAGGCTAATTCCTGAGCCTCATGGTAGCAGCACGTTGCTGCAGTCTGCTTCCAATCAGCAGGTACAAGTGTAACGTCTGCCACGTTCCAAGCTCGTTCATGCAGGCTGTTGTTACACCAAAAACAACGGCCGGGGGCCCACTATCTCGATTGGGTAATCACGTCGTGATGGGGGCAGAGAGCCTTGGTTCCAGAAGCCGAATCATGCCACCACACAGAACGACTCGCACATCACATGACTTGCCTTTCTCCCCTTTATCAAATGACCCCCAAGTTATCATACAAGGCTGGAATACTCCGCCACAAGGTCCTCCTTGTCGATAAACTCGTTTTACCACCAATCAGTACTGCTCCTTCAGTCCATTGCAGATCTTCCGCTTCACATCACATCCTAATGACCTGCAGGTTCACCACCGGTTCTCGCAGTCAGCAAGAATGTAATTTGTGATAGGCGGAGAGGTACGAGCTTCGCACATTCAGTTATTACGATGGATATCATAGATTGTCTACAGTACTCCGCCTCCACAACTTTCTGTCGGGTATTCTAATGCCTCATTTCTCAGTAATCCTACACACACTTCCTGATTCTTGAAAACAAGCCGCCTGTCACGTCTTCGCAATAGCTCTCATGTTCCAATGGTACTCGTCGCCTCCACACTCTTGCGTTTGGAATCTATAACACACTAATCCTTCCCGTCTGAAACCCAAGCGAGCGATCCAGATCTCTGCGGCCGTTTAGGACGCTCTGATTCCTAAAAGATTCCTCACGATCTTGATCCAAGTATAGCATGATCTGGAATATGGCAGTGTATACTCCATCGTACGTTGTGATGGAATTGCAATATCTCCAATCCGAGAATAGGACCGATGATCATCGACTCGCACAGGAGAACACATATCGTGTAGCCAAAAGCTTGTATCTGTCTAGAATTAGCCCCACTCTCTTTTTGAATTGTTATTACAGCTTGTGCTGTCCTGTGCCGTAGGAACTCAGGACTATTGATGTGCTGCGGGGGATAATAAACACTTACTGAACAATTGAGTAAATTTATGATTTCATAGTCCCCTGATCCGTATCGATTTCTGCATCCTACTCACGTGAAAGTACCTATCGTACAAGACTGTTTTACACGAAATGCACAAGTACTAGTGACTATCTTTTCTGAACTCAAGTACGAGTTGACACTCCTGCTGTGCAAAACTACCAATGATCCCTAATAAGTATCTCGTCTATCCTCGGGACGATTTTCCCATTGCGAGTACTAGGTGATGTTAGTCAACGACGCACAACAATGTGTCGACAGTGACCTACTCTCTTAGGTTCCTGGCTAGACAAGGGCGTATGAGGAGAGTGTGGTGAGTACGAATGTGTACTAGCTGCAGACGCCGGATGCAATGTAGATGACCAAGTCGTTGGTGTCATAGCAGTTGTTGTAAAACTGACTTGTGGAACGGTGGTTTGAATTCTATAAGGAAGTGGATTTACTTGGACAGGACTATTGTCATAGTAAATGCCAAAATTTTCCTGAGATGTATAGGCTGTCTCGTTGTACTCGGATCGGTTGTCTTGAGAGTAATCGTAGACGGGAGATCCTGCTGAGCCGGTTTCACTTGGGTCTATAAAGCAATGAGTCTTATGCGTATATCAATGGATCAAGATCATTACCCATATTGCTCGAGCTGTCATACGACACTTGAGACATGGACCGACAAGGTGATGAGAAACTGTGACTTGGTCCTGCACTAGACCCGATCGCCAGGGACGATGCTCCTCCTCTATTGCATGTACAAGATTTGGATAAATATTCGACTTCGTTTTCGAGCTCCTTGATACGCTTCGCAGCATACTCCTTAGTTTGTTCGAGTTCCTGTAACCTCTGTTGATTCTTTGCCTTCTCTTCCCTCTTCGTAGCTCTATCTCTTTCCCTCTTCCGTTGACGTTGAGCTTCGGTAAGTACTCGAGGTCCATTCACACCATTCCATGGCCCAGGTGGTGCTCTAGATCCAGGCATTTTCGTTTGTGCTATTTTCTTCTGATGTTGGATGACACTTAGGAGTGTAGTCGACTGATTCACCAAGAACTTGAAGTCCTCTGGGTCCACTTTATATCTGGGAGCTGGCGTCATCTTGAAGTCTTTGTATCCTGGGGAAACTTATGATGCTGCGATGATCAGAAAGCCTTGCCTCGAGCCTCCTCCTTCTTTGAATCATTTCATATAGACGTGCCCCATCAGCACTTGCAGGGTTGATGCAGTGCAGCATCCAGTCCCAAGAAACCCTGGATTTCTATGGCTTGCAAATCGCACATGGAATAGCTCTCGTCTCAAGAAGCTTTGTGTAGAAGATGGCTGCTTCATGAAGCGAGGTGCATCGGGAATGGCCCTCATGCCGCACCCTGCAATGCCACCCCTCTCGTTTATTGCCCAACTTGCTTAAGCGTCTGGAGGCTCGCCGCAATGTTAATTGACGAGTGAGTCCAATTGTTTCAAGAGCATTTGTTTGGTCCAACGCACTCTTTGTGCCTTGTTCGATAAGGCACCCGGATAAAATATGAGCAAGATCAATTGGCCCCATTCTTTGACTCCTCGGCATGCAACTCTAGAATTAATCACTGTGTATTACATTCCGCTTTGCTTCAGCGAGAAGCACTGCCCTGAGTCGAAAGGTAAGGCTTTCGATTGATATTGATGGCCGCTGAGCTTGGGGGAAAGGGATGAAGTGCAGCGGTGTATAGTTCCCCTATTGTTTCGGGCGTAACAGAAACCACTGGATATTGAATGTAATCTTTGTGGCTCGCTCATGAAGCCCTGAAGGAGGGAGCCTTCTGCTGCGTGTGAGCGGCGCTGTCGAATCCAAAAGGACGAAGCGAGAAGATGCGGTGGCAGAGTCTGGAGAAGACATTGGAATTAAACACCACCAACAAGACAGGCCACCTCTATTCGGAACCGAGTTTCTCAACCCCACACCACATAGCGAAAGCGAAGGGCTTCGATTGCAGTCTCGAACACGGGACCGATAGAGCACTGTGCACAGCATTTACGAACGCCGTCACGATGCGGCGCTGTGCTTCATTCTCCATCTCCAACGAACCATTCGGCAACAAAATCAAGACCTCCTTGCTGTAGGTGACGAAAAGTCGGGCTTCGGAATCAACCGGTGCGTCCCTACGCTGACAACAAGTACCATTACGATTGTCCCCGTATACTTCTGGCGTGTTGTTCATCAGCCATATCCCACGCTGGCTATTGAATCGCCGCATTCGAGCATTTCTCCGCGCTATGCGACTGGTCGAGCGCAAGTATATGGCGGATTCCAGCCGGAACCTATGGTGATCCGGGTGATGTGCTGATACGAGAGGCGCTTACTCGATCAATGAAACGGAAGTGGAGGTGGAGGCATCTCAACTGCATCTTGAACCGCCATCTGTCAGATCATCGAAGCCTCCAGTTTGTTTAGATGAGCTAGAACATAATTGCGACCCAAAGATGCGGACAAAGAGGCCTACAGCACCTGGAAAGTGTGACCTCCACGTGTGCTCGCAGATCGTATAATTAAGTGGCTTGACCAGGGTCTCTTTTACTCTACTGGCTCCTCCATCCCGTTTGTTTGTATATCGACATCGGATGGAATCTGAAACGGTTCGTTCGATCATTCGAGCCTGTGCAAACAAACTCTATCCGTGCCGGGACACACCCACAGCCAATAGATAACATGTTTGTGCTACGAAAAAGGGAGGTCACGGTTCGGCCCCTGACAATAAGAAGTCAATATGATGGGTACCTAATCGTTTGACAAGGCTGCTTGCAGATGCAGGGACGCTCAGATGAATTCCTCGTTTAGGTATTCCGGGGTAAAATTTGTAAGAATCGAATTCTATTTTGACAACTGAGTCAGGGTGGAGTCGACCAGGTGCAGTCTTCCTCAAAGGAAGAAGCAGGTTTCTGATTCCTTGGTCGCACAGGAAAGTAACTCCGGTAGTAGGAAGTCGAAGTGAGGCGAAGTGCAGATGTGAATTGGCAAACGAATTGTAAGAGCCCCTCATGACGCGTGATTTCTCTACCCTAGTCATTGTATGGACCCAAGGGAGACAACTGGCAGATAAGCGTGGGCAATTGCATATCGAGGTAGGGGCGGTATTGTATTTGATGTGCAATTATGGCGAGGTATATCAAAAGGCTCCGCGGTAGACAATGCGCTCAAAAGTACCGGAATGGACTACCAATTAGTCTGTGACCAAAAGCAGACAGACTTACGTGAATCAACCCAGTGGTCTGACATAGATTGGATACTACTTTAGAGCGTCTTTGATTCTTCGTCGGAATTCAATTAGACCGCCAGTGAGAACTCCAATTGAGGCTTGTGCCGAATTTGATACAAGGCTTATTATACTTAGACATTTGTTCGTATGGTCGGGTTCATCAGCATAACGCCCTTAACGAGTTTCACAAATGCGACATGACTTTATTAGTATCGCGGGCCGATTCAAAACTATTTCTATCAACTCAAAACTACAGTACAACCTTACCAACCAAACACAACCTTTTCCCGTTAATGAGTAATAGCATTTGCAGTCCAATGTGATAGGCAGCCATTATAAACACCAGCTGAAAACGCTTTGCCTCTCGATTGCTTCGTATGATTAACTGTTCTTCAAAATAAATTCAGCCATGACTCAAAGTGCTAGAGCGACAAGTGCAGCAACGGCGAGTAAACCTGCCACACTTCGAGCCATCTCTGATCCATCATTAGCGATTATCGGTCCAGTAGAGCTTGGCCCACTGGGTTGAGGAGCGATTGTCGAATTACCCGAAATTGAGGTGGTCGTGGGAATATTCGCTGTTGTTTGGATGATCGGACTAGTTGGACTAGCCGCAACATTTACAGTGGTTAGGACGGTTTGATTAGTAGTACTAGCTGGAAGTCTTGAGGTAGTTGTGTTGTTCGTTGTTGTTGTGTTTCGAAGCCCACTGCAAAAACCTGCAACACAAGTGTTGAATGCACATTGTGAGTCCGAAGAGCAGGAAGCTTGAAAGTTTCCGCACACAGGTATTAGCATTGAGTTTGTTGCATAGCACTCCACTCCGTTTGCACAGGCATCCTCCATTTCTGGGGAGCAGATGGATCCAAGAGGAAGGCCGGTTGATGTTGGCGAGATGGTGGTAGAAGCTGGGGAGCTTGCGGAGGTTGCAGAATTAGAGGTAGACAGGAATCCATTGCATAGCCCCTGGGCTTTGTTACATGTATTGAAGGCACACTGGACATCAGTGGTGCAAGATGCCTGGAAATTACCGCACCGCGGAATCAACATGGAGTTTGTCGCATAACAGTTAGCGCCATTCGCACATCCGTTTGGGACAGCAGGGTTGCAGTCTGCTCCAAGTGGAAGACCACTGTCTGTAGAAGGTGAATTAGAGCTAGCTGTCACTGTCCTCGATGATGTTGCTGCAGCTGTCGATGATGTCGATGATACCGCTGATGTCGACGATGTCGACAGGAATCCATTGCATAGACCTTGAGCCTGAGTACAAGTGTTGAAGGCACACTGCGAGTCCGAAGTACACGCTGCCTGGAAGTTGCCACAGCGGGGCATCAACATGAGGTTTGTAGCGTAACAGTCAGCTCCATTAGCACAAGCGTTGTCAAGTGAAGGATCGCAATTGGAGCCGAGTGGAAGATTTGTAGCTGCCGGTAAAGGTTGAGAAGATGTCGTTTGGCACTGAAGAGACAAATTAGAAGTGCAATGGGTAAAAAGGATTTCATTTTACGTACGACAACGGAAGCTGCAGCTGCGGCGATAATTAACAGTGAAGTGTGCATGGTTCCTGATATGATTCAAATGCGGTAGAAACTGACGGGGATGAGCAAAATTGTGCAAAGAAGAATATGAATTATTGATGGACGATAATCGTACAGCAAAAGTTTTTGTTGTCTTTGGGATGAAGAAGATTGAGAGTGAGAGTTTAGTATAATCCTGGAGTATTGGCTGTTGTACTTGGAAGTGAAAGAGGAAGTCACGGTGCGGGAGCTGACCGCTGGAAGTCGCGATGAAGCCCGCAACTGGGCCTTTGTGCAAAAGATAAACAAAACATAAAGCTTTGCCTCATGATACCAAGGTCAACATACTCATCTGCCAAAGCAGAAACTTGTTGATCAAATCGTGATAATACGAATGTCCAGCCGCTATGAGCATTTAGCTTCCGGCCTGGTGTACAACGGAAAGCTGTGGAGTGACACGAAGATCACGAAGAACAAGCACTCTCGTTCATATCATATACATTTTCCTCCAATGATGAACAGTTGTGGCAATGACTGGCCCTTCCGAATCCCGATTCGTATATCTGTCATACGTGAATCTGGTGCTACCAACGCGACTGATAGCAAATCTACCAGCTTGATTCAACCTGAATCGAAACAACGTTACATTTTTCGACCACCCTAAGTAGTTCATTAATGGCTAGCTCAATTTACCCGCTATCTCGAAGAGCGGGATGGCTTCCGGGAGTGTTTCGGAACGGTCCGCTTCCATGATTAAGTGCAACGAAGGTCGCCAGCCCCTTATTTCTACGGCTCAACAAAACCGCTTGAAAATACCCAGACGATTGCTTTGCTGTAGATCTGATAGCTTGTTGTCTTCATTTTTCATCAGCTTCTACGCTTGGGAACCGTGAGAACGCAGATATAAATTGAGGAATCTTCCAATCACGGCGCGAGCAGTTTGAACCAAGCACCATATTCCATACTACTTAGCACAGGAAGTTGACCGGGCGATGAAATGGGACCTAAGTTTCAGTGTTTAGGCATAAACTTACAATATCGGTCAATCAAACGCCCATAAAAGTAGCCATGGATATGTGTGGCAGCTTCCGCATTTTCCTCCCAGGGTCGCCTAGTTTTGTCAGCAAGTCTGATTGATATGGGGTTTTAAAACTTTGTGTGAGAACGTAGCATAGAGATTTAACGCTCGAGGTGTGGTGCTGACGAATCTATATTTATTTCAGCACATAAGTGCAAAAGGACTGGAGTCCACAATCGTAGAAACAAAAATCGCGTTGCAGAACACATGCAGGCTTATTCGTTGAGGGGTTACATCAAAAGAGTAGATTGCATTTTCTAATTCGTTGATTTGCTAGGAAGACTATGATTACTGCTACAAGTGGGTATCTTTCGGGGCTACACAAGGTCTGCGCTCGATCCACAGCTATATGGAAAATAGCAAGAAGGGTGAAATTTAGCACACAGAAGTAAGAAAATCATCGCAGACTAGGAAAGAAAACATCAGGTAGAGAGAACGCCAAGCTGGAAGAGTCAACGGTTCAGTGCTTCAGACTAACCCATTTGCCAAAAGCGCCCCAGTCTTCGAGAGACATAACTGCTAAATGCTCCCACATAAGCCCGCCTCGTGCTAGCTTCGTTCTTTCATACCACGTCTTTGTGCCTTCGAACTGTAACATCTTGTACTCCGTTTCAGGCTGTTGTTCCTTGGCATCATCTAATAGTAATGTAGTGTCGAGATCCATCATGTCAGCCTCGCCTTCAGTTTCAGGTGGCATAAATAACAAATCGGAATCAATGTCCATGGGCATGATGTCGGCCAGCGAAGAACGCCGAACTGGACTTGCGGCATTGCTGACTACTCTAGAACCAGCATTGGAAGCCGGTGTGCTCAACGTTGTATCAGCTCGATTAGTCGCTACAACAGGCTTAGGGGAACTGCGAGGATTTTTGCTAAACCTGTTATGGGTTTCAACAGCCTCTGACGAAAGTGCTGGAGAAAACCGGGGCCGCGCAGATATCGAGCCCGAAGAAGGGGATGCGGCATAGGGTTCGTTGAAAGGAGCATCAGAGGTTACAAGCCGCAAACGCGTGTCTGGTGGTCTGGCGCTTGCAATAAGATGGAGAATCTCAGAGTCGATATCCATTAGGTTATTAGCATTGTTTGAAGTTGGGGATGTGCCGACATCTGGCGGATTCTTAGAATGTTGCGAGCCGAGTCGAGCAGCAATTGCTAAAGCATTCTGCTTCTGCGACGTCATGCCTACTGCACTAGTCTTGACCGGTTCCCGGTTTAAGCTGAACTCAGGGTCTTTCGCAGAGGTGGATAGTCTAGAAGTCTGGGTGTGTAATGGAGTTTGTCTTGGACAATCCGTTCCGGCAACAACTAACTTCAGCCGTCTGGCCTTCAAGATGCTTTTCGGGCCAGTTCCCATCACTACGAATCTGCGGAGAATGTCCAATCGACTGAGTGACCATGCTGCAAACATCTCTGTCAACAACTTCTCGTCATCATGATCAACTCCGGTCCAAGGTTGACCGAGACATACCACGGGATCGTTGTAGAAATCTACCGTACAATCCGAGTCATATGAATTGTGCTGTTTGACAGACTTAAGCTCTCCTCTGGCGTATACTTCATTGAGAAATCCATGGATCTTAAATCTGGTCAAGCAATTTTCATATCCAAGTCCCCGTTCAGATGCTTCTGCGTCTTTTGAGGGGTTGTCATGGTTCTCCTCTAAAAACCTATCGCGCTCCTCAGACTTAGCAATGGCAAGCCCGTGCATGTAACCTATAAAATCCCAACATAAGGCGATTTTCCATGTACCTGGAGTTGCTTTATCAATCTTTCCATGTCCAGCCGTTTTCCCGAAGAACCAGCAAAGCACCTCGTATGTCCGCTCTGGTTCAGCAGCCAGAAAACTAGGGGTTAAGAAAATGACACCACCATGTGGAAACAATCTTTCAAGTCCAATTTTCCCAATATTTGAGTTAGCTGGTTCCTCGATGCTCATGTAATTCTGATCCTGGTAAAGGGGGCTTAGTAGAGATGGGAACGTTAAAGAGTTACCCTTCAAGCCAGTAACGTAAAAGAATTGAAATTGTCGACCCGATGATCGAAGCATGCTTTGTAAATACGGCAACTCATCCAACTCATCAGCAATGGATCCGTGAATGATGACCGTACCAGAAGGTAGGTTGATGAAGGATTTCCAAGATCCTTCTACGTCGCTGTTGTAGACTTTACAAGCCGAAAAAGATGCTTCTAGGTAGTTCGCAAAAAACTGTGAGACATCTTTTGCGTACGTCGGAAACATTAAGTAGAAATTGGGAGAGGGCTCTTTCTTTCCAGGAATCCGCAGTCTGTCTCTGGAGAGTCCATGCACTGTTTCCACTAAAGATTTCCTGTACGACACGCGACTGACCTTCGGGGACGTTTGTGGTACAGTTGTGCGCAAAGCATCGAATGAGGAAATGTCGAAATCGCTACAGAAGAGTATGTATCTCAGTCTCACCTCTTCTGGATAAGGGTTTTCGGAAAGAAAGTTCCATTCTTCTGCTGCGTTCGGATATACCAGAATGTTAAACTCTGGTAAGCATGCTAAAAGCCCAGAACTAAGAAGTTTCATCTGGCTCGCAACCTTGTCAACCACATTTGAAACAGAAAAGTCGTCCATGTCAAAGGGCACCAAACTACCATCCCAAATAACACGATGCCTTCCGATCTGAAACTGTGTACTGATATCTCCGTGCACACATTTGATGTCAAGTTTGATATCAGAAAGTGCAGCAAAGGCTCCTCGCCATTTTGTATCAGGGCCCAATTCACCAACATCCAATGGCACAGCCTGCTGATCTCCACTGCCTCCAAAGAGAACCATTTTCCTGCGATCTTTAAGCACTTTGAGCGCCCCTTTACGTCTATAGTCGTCTACAGAGACTTTCTTTAGCACTTTCGGTGGCATTGCAATGGTTTCTGTCGAGTGTTTTGCGTCGAAATTTGTCAAATCCTCAGTAGGCTCCGATGCGTTGCTCATAATTTCGGGCTCATCAAAAAAGGTGGCCGACTCTGTTGGCCCAAAAGATACTGTCTTCTTGGGAGCGGGTTTCTTCTGGTAATCGGATGATGTGGATTTGGACAATGAAGGTGGAGCAGCGTTTTCCCTATCCTCAAGTCGGTGGAAATCCTCTGTCCCTGGGGCTCTGGCCAACGAGAGGTTTTCATGTAGGTACATACACTTTTCTGCAGTGAATTTGCATTTTCCATGATTCCAGTACTTGCAGGTTTCCGGCATTTTCGCTACTGGTATAGAAGAGTCATCGGAATGCAAGAACTGGCAGTTATTTGAGTATATGCATGCGTTCTTGTTTACCCAAAATGGGCATCGGCCATATTTGTGGGTTTTGGGGGCATATCCGATAGGAGGCAGTTGATTCCCTGGGTACTTTGATGGTATTGATAGAGGGAATCGACTATCGTTGGTGTGGAGAAAATCACAGTTCGAGTGTTTGATGCACCTCCCATCTTTGTGCCAGTACCAACAAATCAAAGCGAATGTACCTTTCGTCCTCTCTCCATCAGTTGGAAGAGGCTCTGATGTATATTGCTTGGAACTTTCTTCAACATCACCACTAGGGCTGTACGATAAGCCTTCAGGTTGTGGGTCTATATCCGCTGTCAGATCGCTCTCAGCGGAGTAATCAAAAGGACCGTCAACCTGCTTTAAAGCTTTACTATGACCAGGCGGCGGTTCTGCAATCGAAGCGCCCGGCATATAGTCATGCAGGTAAAAGCAGTTGATACCTTTCGAGCAAGCCATATCGGCTCCCTTATGTAGATTCCAAAAATAACAGATCTTTTTGCCAGTTCCAGGCAAATCTATGGGATTAGAAGGACGACGCGAGCCTTGGGGATCAACAGCATCACTTGTATTGTCGTCTCCAGGCCGAGAATCTCTGCGGTCATATATGTTGACTGGCGGTCTTCGAATGTCCGCGGATTTAATTGGTTGCAGTTTTGGGTTGTCTCCAGGCTTGAACAAACCTCCTATAGCGGTTGGATCAGGGGCTATGTCTCTATCTCTGCCGGCCAGTTCAGCTTTGCGAACAACACGCATGTTTGTGAAATGTTTTGTTTGTTTACTGGGATCAGAGGAATTCTCCAGCAAAGTCGGCCGTCTTTTTGTTACACTTCGTTTAGCAAAGACATTCTTGGGGTTCTTGGGAATTGATAGACTTCCTGGTGGAGCTCCTTTGCTCCTCCCAGCTGGAACTTGTCCATTGGACCGGGCGGGTTCGCTCAACGAGACCGCTCTTACTGGTTTTGGCCTGGGAGCGACTGGCGGTGCCTTCGGTATATTGAAAGTAGCACGCTTTGAGGTTGAAGTCTCCACATTTGAATTGGTCTTCGACGATGGGCCACTTACTGCGGCAAGACGCTCTTGTCTAGTGGGAGACTTTACAAGACGCGAGGTTATCTGAGGCATTTTCGGGTCAAGTCCACTAACAAGAGCATTGGAGTTCGAGTGCGTAGCCCTCTGATGTGGAACTGCGGCTTTGCCATCAGCAATTGCGTGCACAGGGTCCGCCACAATAGCCTCCTCGTCAGACTCATCCTGTCCTTCTTCCGTATGTCGGTTCGCGATGCCTAGTTGAGATCTTTTGAATTGCCGTCGGGCAATACGTGCTTCTTTCTCTTGTTTGAGTTTTTTCAATTTTGCCTCATATCCTTCAACATCAAAAGGCTTCTCAATTCCGCTTGCTTCTCGAGACTTCCTTGTTTTCCAGGTTTGCAACATGGATAGATCCACAATGCTGTCCTCGGGTTCCCATGCCGCTCTTTCAATTGGGTAGTCAGCCCATTCCAACAAATATCTTTTCCCTCCTTTCTCTTTCTTCTCGGCCAATATGCGCTCGACGGCAAACTCATGGTCTGAAGAATATTCACTTTCTTGTGTAGATGTAAGAGATATATTATCGTCGTCATCGTCAATCGAAGATTTCGAGGCAGCTTTCTGTCGAGAAATAGCTGCGGCAAACATTTTTGGATATATATTTATTTTTGGAAACTGACCTTGGACGTCGTTGGAGCATTTGGCAGATCGTGTGCTGCATGTGGGAGTCAATGGCCCAATGGCCCAAGGTGAGATGATACGAAACGTAAAATAGGCTACTTTTTCATAGACAGTGCGGGCATATCCCACTTATACGTGACTGAGAGATAAGGCAAGCATCTTCAAACAAGACATTCAAAATGTGATGGAGTGTCGATGTATCAGTGGTTGTACAAAACAAGACATTCCAGTCACGTGATACTCCAGCTGTGACTTGGTACGTGCGGCGGCTCGTTTCGAAATGTTCCTAGGGATTTGAGTGCGGAGGAGTGAAAGGACATCGACAATATCTGTTCTTTGCTGTTGAGTCACTTTTGAATAATCCTGTTGTTGTTGTGAATTTGCTGAAGCCGGTTTCCTTAATCACCCAAACAAACTGTTATTCCCCCACTCCTTCTTCCCGACTTGTATATCTTCTGAGCCACAGCTGCTTCGACCATACCTAAGTACGCCAAGGCAAACACCCTGAGCCACGTCGAACACGAGCCTCTTCTTTCGCCAAAGAACAAAGCCGCCCGCATATCATTGCGACAACAGTTGATCTGAGCAACGTTCCTCTTTCAACAACATCACGATACCCACGCACAAACATGGCGAATGATGAATATGATGTATGTGAACTATTCCTGGTTTCCCGGTCGTCTTTCCCTGCTAATGCTTCTGTCTCCAGTTCCTTTTCAAGGGTAAGCTTTAACCCCACCGCCCAAACTGTCGCCTGCGCTCCTATACCGCCAGAATACTGACATTTCCTTCTTCTGCTACAGTGGTTCTGATCGGAGATTCGGGGGTTGGAAAATCCAATCTATTGAGTCGTTTCACCCGCAACGAGTTCAACCTAGACTCCAAGTCCACTATCGGTGTTGAGTTCGCAACCCGGTCGATCCAGGTAGATGCGAAGACAATCAAAGCACAGATCTGGGACACAGCTGGGCAGGAGAGATACCGTGCCATCACATCTGCGTACTACCGAGGCGCCGTTGGAGCTCTGCTCGTCTACGACATTAGCAAGCACCAGACGTACGAGAATGTAACAAGATGGCTCAAGGAGTTGAGGGACCACGCAGACTCCAACATTGTTATTATGCTGGTAGGAAACAAGAGCGATTTGAGACATCTACGGGCTGTGCCTACAGAGGAAGCTAAGCAGTTTGCGAGTAGGTTTAGCTACGCTGCTAACAATCGTCCTATATGCTGATGCGCTTGCCAGGCGAAAACAATCTTTCATTCATTGAAACTTCAGCACTTGATGCCAGTAACGTCGAGCTTGCTTTCCAGAACATCCTTACAGGTACCGCCAATTCCCTACGCTCATGATCTTGTGACTTGTGGTGACTAACTCCTACTCCTGCAGAAATCTATAGAATCGTCTCAGCAAAGACTCTTGATAATGGGGGCGACGCCGCACAAGCAAACCTAGGCGCCGGAACGAACATCTCACTCAGCAAACCCGCGGACGAAGGCGCAGCGAAAGGTGGCAAATGCTGCTAGATGATTCCTGACCAATTTACGATGCGTGGACATATTCTGTTAGGTGAATGGTCAATACAAGGCGAGGCGGCGTCTATAACATGTCATGGAAGGAGCATATGGGTAGTCATGAAATTCAGGTTCACGGCTTTTGCAACTCTGTCCACAAGGGGCCTAGTTGATCTGCCTTTGAGGATATGATTATTCTGGTACTTCGTTCTCCTCAGTTTTAGGGTTGTCTTCCTGTTACTTTTTGTGTTTGGCGGCTGCAGGTAGTTGTTGCCCTTTTTCGGGTTATGGCCGTTACAGGTTTTCATGAATGCTGCACGATGAGTACTCAACGGGGTGTTATCTTAATTATTTTCTTTAGAAATTGTAATATGTGCCTAGAACTTTCTCCTGCCGTTTTCACCACTGACTTGACCTTCTCCCATTTTCTTAATATCATCGCTCGGCTTTACCCAGGCTTCGCTCGCATCTGTCATCTTTTCTGTCCCAAATTTGTCGGCGCACCACCTGTAGACACTCTCGATTTCCTCTTTACTTTTCGACTCTAACTCTTCCTTCTTGGGGTTACCCGCATTCTCCTTACACTGTTGGACGGCATCTAGGAACTGCTGGCCATCGTCGAGCTCCTCTTTCTGCTTCTCATTCTCTTTCCACTCTTTCCAACCAATTCCTCGTGTTCCCCAAACATGTTTGTAAATCTCGCTGTCTCGCACATCACTATACCACGCTCTGGCATTGTCGTAATCCCCCTCTATCCGATGTAAAATGCCATGCAAGAACATGCCCTCAAATGCGGGCGCAGACTGCATATGTCTAACTAGAAAGTGTGCAGATGGTAGGTCTTGATTGAGAATGTGTAGAACCACTTCTAAGGTAGGATGGAGGGATAAGGCTGCTATCTTTGCCGTGAGTGACGGTACAAGAGCTTTTCCAGGTGGTAGTAGAGGTGGTGGATGCGTGAGTAGCTGGGCGCGGATCTTTGCTAGTGATGCCATTGTGAATTTGGTCGTTAATGTACCGCTGATATGAACTGCTAAACTTGAGGATCTATGGATGTATTAGTAGGTATGGGTTAGTGGTGTAGCAGGAAAGAAAGCGTCATCAGTTTCTGGGTGGAGCCCATTTTCAAAACAGACCATCAAAGGCATTCTGAAAATCTTAACTTTCGTAAAACAAAGCAATACTATTAGATCTTCGTAGAATGGGATGAAAATAATAATAATTCAAGTTTGGAAGAATAGCATGTGAAGCTCATGCAGCAGCACCGTCGCTGCACAGATTCCACGATAGGTCTAGCGCCATTTACCCTGCGCCCCGCAGGTTATCGAGAACTTCCAAAAAAAAGTTGAAGCTCTGTACCACAATTTGCGCCAGCGAGTAAAAGCCGCACACAACACAATGGCTTCAGTCTATAAATCGTTATCGAAGACCAATGGTCAGAAGGAGGAGGCGCCTGCGAATGGAGTGAAAAGAAACAAGCAGAGGGTACTGATATTATCTTCTAGAGGTATCACATATAGGTATGCACTGCGAAGAGTTTAATAGCTGGACCATAAACTAATCATTTGATGGAATAGACATCGGCATTTGCTGAACGATCTGGCGTCTCTGTTACCGCACAGCAGAAAGGATGCTAAACTTGATACAAAATCAAAGCTCTATCAACTAAACGAACTCGCCGAGTTATATAACTGCAATAACGTTTTCTTCTTCGAGGCGCGGAAAGGTAAGGATTTATATCTATGGATGAGCAAGGCGCCCAATGGACCTACGGTGAAGATGCATATGCAGAATTGTAAGTCCGTTCCTAAGAATTTGAGGATACAGCTAACCGGCCGCAGTACATACTATGGAAGAACTCCACTTCACAGGAAACTGCTTGAAAGGCTCGCGGCCAATTCTCTCCTTCGACGCATCTTTCGATAAAGAACCACATCTTCGAGTCCTTAAAGAACTCTTCCTCCACATCTTTGGCGTTCCCAAAGGCGCACGCAAAGCCAAACCTTTTGTAGACCACGTAATGGGCTTCACCCTAGCTGATGGCAAGATATGGATCCGAAACTACCAGATCAACGAGACTGAGCCATCGAAAAGCACGGCCGCCGTAGATGGAGAGCCAAAGCCAAAACAAAAGCACGGAAGAGAGACAGAGATTAGTTTGGTGGAGATCGGTCCACGATTCGTTCTCACGCCAATCGTGATCCAGGAAGGTAGTTTTGGAGGCCCAATAATCTATGAGAACAAGGAGTTCGTCAGTCCAAACCAAGTCAGAAGTGAGATCCGGACGAAGAAGGCAGGGAGATACAATCAGCGAGCTGAGCAGGGTGTTGAGAGATTGGCGAAGAAGGGAGAGTTGGGCTTACGGACGAGTGGTGGAAGAACGATGCCCGTTGATGAACTGGACACTGGAAAACTGTTTGCTTAAATTTATGATGTGTCTATGGGATGCAAAATTGTGGCGTTTCTGGTGTTCGAGAACATGAATGGCGTGTGGGAATACCATACTAAATGAAATGTATTTTTGACCTTCATTCTCGAGCAAAAGAAATGCGAAAAAGGTAGGACGTGTTTCTGGTATTGTCCCAGAGTATTGGTAGTATTCGGCATATATAATGTCTAGTTCTGATGAGGATTATCGACCAACTGTACGTAAAACTCACACTTCTCAAGTCCATATCCAAATACCAATTGCGTCACCCAACAGCCCACATTAGAGTCTTATTTAGACTCAGAACCTACATTAGCCCGCAGAGAGTAAGATAAGTGGCAGAACGACCTGGCTATTTTGTTGTCTGAGCTACATATACTCAAGAATACGTAGGTGCTTCTATTAAACTACAAAGACTGTTCGTCAAGAGAGTCTAAAAATTTCGCATTCCCTGAAAGTAACTGACGAATACACGGTTGTGTCAACTTGATCAACCAAATGTCGTTTCGACTGCCACTTATTCTGTCCACCGCAAGCTTAGGTGTAGAACATTCGACAGAACCTTATGTCCTAACTACCCTCTACCAAAGACCTTGTCCATTTGAAAGGAAGGAATTACTTGAAACCAAAAGTAGGATTACTACATTCTCTGACCAGACCATTAAATGAACAATACACAAATCTCCACTCCAAACTCCAACTCATCCATCGAAGTATTTTCACACTCAAATAACATCACAAGTTCACAACCTCCTTTAGGCCAAGCCTCCTATTCAAGAACCGCAACGCTCTGCCCTCACATACACAAGTTACGGCCCCGGAATGCCTTGCAAGAACCATCGGCTTCTGGTGTACTCATGGATCATCCTCTTTTCCTTGAGAATAACCGAGATTCTGACACATTGCCTAACATAAACTATCACATCCAAACCCGTCTACCTCTTCTCGTTCTTTAGCTTCTCTGAAAAGATAATAGAGTTCACAATATGGACAGCATACTTTGCATTAAACTCATATTTCATGTTCTTCTTAAGTTCTTCCCAATTATTTGAAGTGTACTCAGGTAACTTTGGACCGTTTGCCCACGCTCAAGATCGCTACAACGATCAACACAAGAATTCTTGTCCTTGTTCGTTCGTCGAAAACGCCATTATATCAATTGAAAAACATAGTAACATTTATACCATCAAAAATGCGGAACCCATCTACTCTAGGTTGAGGCATAGGTAAAACACCGCGCTGAACTGGCGCAAGTACTAGAGTGGCCGCCATTCCCGAAGTTGTACGTACCAGTAACTGACATAGCCGCTGAACAAACCACAACTTTCGGAAGGTAGAATTAGGCGAGATAGATGATGATGGCGACAATGATGCGTCGAAAGCAACGTTGTTTGGTCTTTGATTCACATATCCTCTACTTACATTCTTTTCCCTAGACACTTCCTCAAGGAATCAACTTCTGAATCGTCGAACTGGAAGTACAAGTTAACTCAATATACTAAAAAGAAACCATATTCCAAGATGACATACTACTTTAAGTATAATCATAAGTTTCGTAACCCACAGCTCACATATTATTAGTCTCGAGGCTTCCAGTCTCGCGGTGAAGAAAAAATATCGACATAAGTAGCATTAACTCATGGGCCTCCTTATGACTCCTTAGTAGAGACGTACCCTGTAAGATTACAAAACGTCTCATTTCCTGAAAGCGATAGACGAAATATCCCCATTTTGTCAACCTAATTGAAGAAACATGATTCCATTAATCGGATCGAATAAACATCGTCTTTTAACTACCACTTACACTACGCACCACGAGACAACCACAGGCCATCCCATCCCACAACTCCGAACCTCTTCCCTGGTCTCCACATTCACACATCGCCTCGTCATTGTTTATTCTAGACACTCTTCCCCTGATATGCCAGAGTAAAATTTAGATGTAACAATTCCCTAATTTGCCAGAATCCTACGAGATTTATCAAAATCAAAAGTCATCCATTCATGCTAAAAAGAAATATCACAAGACCAAAACCACTCAGAAATTAAGAATAGTATTCCAACCACTCCAACGCTAATCATAGTAAATAGATAATATTAATGTTCTAACATAACTTCTTTTTTCAACAAAAACTGAAACGTCTCATTGCCTGAAAACGATACACGAAACACCCCTAATTTCTCAACCTAATTGACGTAATATACGATTCGGTCAACCTAATCGAATATCCATTGTCCTTAGGTTATCACTTATGTTGTCCACCACGAGACAACCCCGTCTCTAGACAAATCATCCCATTCCACAGCTCCAGACCTCTTCTCTCGTCTCCACAACATCTACATATCTCAACTCATCATCTTTATCCTAGACTGTTAGACAACTTCCCGAGAAGAAGAACCCGAACCGCCAAACTAAAATCCATGTGTCGAATCAATTCTCTATAGTGCCGGAACTCTACAAGATATATCAAAACTCAAGTCATCTATTTATACACGAAAAAAGCCTACTAGACTAAAACCATATATAACAATAGTATTACAACTAATCCAAGCGTGATCATAGTAAATAGATAATATTGATGTTCCGACACAACTTCTCTTTCCAACAGAAACATCTCATTTCCTGAAAATGGTACACGGAACTAGACCATTTCGTCAACCTGATTGACGAAATATCGTACATTCAGTCAATTGTCTTGAGCAAATGCACCATATCTGATTTGCTGAAAACGATACACGAAATAGACTAATTCGTCAATTCAGTTGACGAAATATGGTTAGTTCGTCAACTGTCCTGAGCAAATATTGTGTTTCGAGTGCCATTCATATGTTCCTCTGCCATTCACCAAAATACTGATTTCGCTTTTCCATTCCAATGCTATTCGCTGTCCATCCAAGGCAAACCCATCCGATGTTTGGATTTGGACTTCGAGCAGCAGCATTAATCACCTCCACCACGAGACACCATCAGAAGAAGACAAAATAGTTTAGACAAAAAAAGCAACACAGAAATCGATGGTCATCTATTTTACAGCCTCACCTATCTACCATCCCGCTCCATAACGACCTCCCCGCTTCGCTACAACCCAAATTCAATACATCTGCTCCCCACATCGTGTTAGGATGTTCAAGACAAAGGAGATGATAGACGGAGGAGAATTTGTAATATCAAATCAAACCCCCTTTTTATGTGAAGCTCTTGGTGAAAGACACGACAACATCCTTCAATTTCGCCTCGAGATCCTTGCTCAACGCACCCTCCTTGTCAATCGTGGCCAGCAGATCGGATTCGTTTGTCCTCAAGTGTGAGATGAAATCAGCTTCCCATGTCAAAATCTTGTCTACTGGCACAGTGTCCAAGTGTCCATTAACACCAGCATAGATAAGAGGAACCATCTCGTTGACAGCCATAGGTGAGTATTGCTTCTGCTTAAGGAGCTCGGTCAACTGTAAATGTGAATGTCAGTAATCTGCCATGCGCCTCTTCGCGGATGAGACTGTCAACTTACACGTTCACCACGGTTAAGAGTCTGTTTTGTAGCGGCATCCAAATCGGAACCGAATTGAGCGAAAGCTGCGACCTCACGGTATTGAGCCAAGAAAAGCTTCAGGGAACCAGCAACTTGCTTCATGGCCTTAAGTTGGGCAGCAGATCCGACACGGGAGACAGAGAGACCGACGTTGATAGCTGGGCGAACACCCTTGTAGAACAGTTCGGCCTCCAAGAAAATTTGTCCATCAGTAATTGAAATGACGTTGGTTGGGATATAAGCGGACACATCACCACCCTGGGTCTCAATGAGAGGAAGAGCAGTCAAGGAACCACCACCGTGCTTGTCGGACATCTTGGCGGCACGCTCCAAAAGTCGAGAATGGAGATAAAAGACGTCTCCTGGGTAAGCCTCACGTCCTGGTGGGCGACGGAGAAGGAGAGACATTTGACGATATGCGACGGCCTGTTTGGAAAGATCGTCGAAGACGATCAAGGCGTGCTTACCATTGTCTCTGAACCACTCGCCGATTGATGTCCCGGTGAAGGGCGCCACATATTGTAATGGCTGCTCTCTGTATCAGTAACATGTTCTCCTGGATGGGAGAGTTGAGGGTAAAAAAAACTTACAGCTGCCTCAGAAGCAGTGGCGGCGACGATGACACAGTACTTCATGGCGTCGTTCTCCTCGAGGGTCTTAACCAACTGGGCAACGGTTGATCGCTTTTGTCCAACAGCAACGTAAACACAGTAGAGCTTCTTGGTCTCGTCGTTTCCGTCATTCCATCTCTTCTGGTTGAGAATGGCGTCGAGGGCGACGGCGGTCTTTCCGGTTTGACGATCACCAATGATCAATTCTCGCTGACCACGTCCAATTGGCACCATTGCGTCAACAGACTTGAGACCAGTCTGTACGGGCTGGTTGACAGATCGTCGAGGAAGAATACCGGGTGCCTTCAATTGAGCACGACGCCTCTCGGTGGTCTTGATTGGTCCCTTTCCGTCAATTGGGTTTCCTAAAGCATCGACGACACGGCCCAACATTTCAGGTCCAACTGGGACATCGACCTGCATAGCAATGAGCAAATTGTATACCTAGACTTATTCGCCTCAACTCACAATCTCTCCGGTACGCTTAACAGTCTCACCCTCCTTGACCAGACGATCGGAACCGAAAAGCACAACACCAACTTGACCAGCTTCCAAGTTCATGCACATCCCCTTGACACCGGATGCGAATCTGTTGCTGTTCAGCGAAGTGCACCCCAATGATGCAGATGCGAAAACTTACTCGACAAGCTCCTCGGCTTGAACATTGGCCATACCATGGACACGAGCGATACCATCACTGTTGAATCTCTAGTCAGCCCTATATTCATACCCACAGCCACCCTTTATTGCCCTTTCGTTCTTCGTCGAGCATTTATGGTATTGATCGACGTACCCAACAGACAGGACACGTCCAGTCTCGGCGAGACCGGCCTCATCCTTAACACCCCTAATTCTCTGCTCGAGGATCGACGAGACTTCTGTTGGGGAGGCTTTCGACTCGGATGCGTAGCTTCGGGCCTGCTTCGATGCTGCGTTGAAGGCTGCTGGCGCGGCGGTTCGTCCCTGTAAACCAGATGTTAGCCGAAGCCCGAAAAACACGAAGAGGAGCTTTCTCGAGCTCGATGCAAAGGTGCAGAGCTCCAACCGCCAACGCTCATCATCACCCGGAGCCAATTAAGCTTGATGAAGATGAAGGCATGTATGGCGACTGAATCTAAGCTCGAAAAGATATTTTGCGGTGGCTGCTGGGTACGTACCGCTGCGACTCTGCCGGATGCAGAGATTGCGCCCACCGTCCGGCTGGACTGTCGGAGAGCGTTCCTGAACATGATGACCAGAGTGTATGTATTAAAGAAAGGGAGATGAATTCAATTGCAAACGCAATTGACGGGAGAGGAGATTGAGATGGGGGGATTGTTCTGATGACAAGAACCTTCTTGACGAGTTCGACGGCTTGAGATTGGAACGAGAAGAGTTCAGACAGCGCTAGCGTTGAGACCACGTGATGAGTGAATATGGGGCTGCAAAGTGAAGGCGAGCCTATTAGAGGACGGTGGGGCATCAACATAGCAACAAGCGGCTCTCGAAAAGCTCCACCGAAGAATCGAAGCATCAATAAAGTTTGTCGAAGAGTTCGTAGTCATCAATCCAGGCATATCTAGCAGCCGTCATACATAAAATATTTTGCAGTTTAAGAGTATTTTCAAGATCTAGTGATCAGAAGATGATCGTTTCTCCTTTTCCCTCGAGGATAACTTATTATATTGGCCGCCGCTTTTCTTTGGATCCGTTCCGGAAATTCCCTCGTCGCCATCAAAACTGGTCATCCTTAATTCTCAGGTAAATACGATACTATTGAAGATATCATTCCTCAAAGCACTCGACGAAATCACGATATTTCGTCTGTTACTTTAAGTAAATATCGCGTTTCGACAGCCATATATCTTGTCCGCGGGTTGCACTCGAGCCATAACGATCACGCTACCATTCAATCATGGTTATAGACGTTACTCGTTGAGAACAATTGACGAATTCGTATAGTTTCTGAAAGCAATTGACGAAATCACGATATTTCGTCAATTACTATAAGTGAATATCGCATTTCGACGGCCATTTGTCTTTCAGGTTGTCCACAGGTGGTTGCACCACAACGACCCCGCTAGCACTTAATCGTGTTTTATACACTATTGTGCATTATATACTTGCCAGAAACGCCGACCATTGCGAGCTCCTCACGTTGTTAATTCACATTCAGTGGGAATGCATAGAAATTAGTAGAGACACCGCCATCCAATGTCTGCTTCTTGAAATCCCGATATTTTGGGTTGGTAGTTATCATTTGGTTTGTAGCTAATGATAATGATGTTGCCGTCTCTAAGCTATGCTTTGAATACCGAATAACAGCCAACAAAATGCCTAGACCAGCAGCCATCCCCATGCATCGCTACCATGAAGCCATACATTTGCCCATTTGATGCAATACAGTGCTCAACTCTCTCAATCTCACGCGCTAGCAACAACTCCTCCACCCCCATTCATGCCACTCAATCCAAGACCAGGCACATTCACCGTCCTCGAACTCGTTTCCGCCATTGCTTCATCTTCTGTCTCATCGTCGACTCGCTGTGCTTCCCATGTTTCCACCTGGCTCAAAAGCCATTCGCTAGCTTCTGATTGGTACTTCTTCATCATTCGACCTAATCCAGTAACTTCACTCTTCTTAACATGTCCAAACCGGCTTTTGCGAACACGTTTGGCATTCTCCTCATCGTTCCAGCATGAGTGATCTGAAGATACGTATATAAGGGAGTTTTCCTTGTACCATTTCGACAGGCCGGGGTCTGTCTCAGATTTCACAGGACGTAGAGAGCCGGTTACGAATGCTAGGACGCAGGGGATCCGATCTTTGACCTCTGTTGAAGGTTAGAAATCTCCATTGGATAGAGTAGGGGGGAAACATACCACGGGCTGTAAGTAGCTGCTTAATTCCAAGATATGCGTCGCCGACTCCTAGTAGCACGATAGGTGCACCCGAATTAATTTGAAGATGATTATCCCACAAGTAGCTGAGCAATTCCTGAAACTGTGTTTGGACATCTTGTTCTGAAGAGTTAGGTAGAAATGGATTAATGTCCCCTTTTGGTATCTCTTTTGGGAAGTTCACATCGATTACTCCGAACTTGTTCTCGATCGCCCAGTCGATGTATGGGAAATTATCCGCAGCCTAACTAGAATTAGAGAGAGAAAGTTCGTGTAGATGAACAAACTTACCATAAATCCGTTGTGAGGCGCGATAGAATTATTAATAACGTCGGGTTGAGCGAATATCGCAGGACTGCCTTGTCAGACGATTTACTTGTGGCCCTGGAAATGGGGTGACTTACGGATCATGAAGTAGAATGAGTATTCTCTTTGCAGTGTGAATCTGAGGCGTGACCAACACCTGATCCTCGAATATCTTGTTCAGCTTATTACGAAGGATTGGCATGGTGATCATGTTGTGCTTCTTGCTCAAGATACCCTTTTCATATCCCCTAGCAACGGTGCTCAACCTGATAGCGTCTCGATCTAACAGCTCCGCGACCAAGTTGATGCCAGGACGCATACATTTCCAGTAACGGCTCTGTACCGCCCTGACCTGCTCCAAATCCTTAGACGCTTTATGATTGATGGGTGGAATCTCCATACGCTCAGGAGGTTCACCCATAAGAGTTTGAGTAACAGCGAGCGCCGACTTCGAAATCGCCGTCAAGTCGTAACCACCCTCGAGACAGACGGCCACTTTGCCGTTGGCCAGGGACATTAACATGTGCGTCATGTGCGAATAACAGGCCGGCGACACAAAACAACCCCCAAGTTCATCACCTGCCGCAGCGTCAAATCCAGCGGATACAATGACGAGATCGGGATCGAATTCCTGGGCTATAGGCATTACAATCCTCTGAAAAGCGGCCATATATTCTCCATCACCCATTCCCTGTGCGTGCCACCCGATGTTGACATTTTTGCCCACCCCAGGACCGGATCCAACCATTGGAATGCCACCGTCTGGAGCGTCAGGATCGTCACCTTTACCAGGATAGAAACTACCATCTGAGTAGACATGGATCGAGATATAGAGAACATTTGGATCATCGTAGAAGATGTTCTGTACGCCGTTGCCATGATGGACGTCCCAGTCGAGAATAAGCACTTTGCGACAAATCTCGGGGTAGTCCTGCATACAGACTTTTGCAGCGATTGGGACATTGTTAAATATACAGAACCCCATCGACTCATTATGTTCTGCGTGATGGCCAGGCGGCCGTATCACAGCAATCGCATTTTTCAGCTGCCCTTCGACAACCCGCTTGCAAGATTCGATAGCACCTCCAGCGGAAACAAGCGCCGCCAAGTATGTCAAGTTACCAACATATAAAGACTTCCTTCCCTCATCAAAGGCCAACGTCATGGCTCGTAGCTCAGCAGAACTCTTGTTGTCCAGCTCTCGTACCCACTCGTAATGAGACGGTGTATGTGCTAGGCAAATCTCATCTCTCCGAGCTTCTCGTGCCGGAATACGCCATAGATACTTCGTCGGCGAGTTCTTCAATATTTCAGCCAACTCAAGCTCAGAACCACTGTAGATTAGGCCAGCTTCTCTGAAAGCGTCCATAATGGCGCCTATTCGGCGGGGATCTTCAGGGTGATGTGAGTTCTCTGTGTAATCTGCGTTCGCGTGAAATTTCATCCTATCATCGTAACAACATCCCGTAGGCAGGAAGAGCTTCCTGCCCGAAAATTTCGTGACAGATTCTGATGACTGAGAGTGATCTAGTGATTCCGTCACAGAATCTGGTTTTTCTAGATGGCTTGGATATGGCTGTAGCTCTCTTGGGTCTACAAACCCGTTCTGTACGACGCCGTTAATCGCGAAAGTGTCATCGTTGTCTCGCATGAGAGTGTCTATCTCGCTGCTCTGTAACACCGTAGACGAAAGTGGTGCATCCATCTTGAAGATAGGAAGGCTGAACAAAGTCACAGATGAGACCTAATGCTTCAAGCCGAGGTGACATGCGAGCGCCTACCCTGTGAAGCTTTCGAGCCGCAGGGCACTCAGTTCTCAGAACCTTGGAATGCTGGAACAGGTTTGTCAGGCTCGCGGCGATGACAAACAAGTCTAGCTTTTGCGCTAGATCTGTGAATATTATTAGCCATGGTCTGCATGAACCTCGAAGTGGAAAAGGGCAGGTAGAAAATAGGACGGACAGTGTCCAGCAGTCGTGTGCTCAGCGACTAACTGGCCCAGGAGAGGAAAGAGGCGCACTTTTATGTGTTCTCAGAAACCAAAAGTAGTAACAAATCATCGATGAAGAGCTGGTAGAGAGGCTAAAACAATAGGAGGGTATTGAGGATTGAGCTTGATGAATGTCACGAGACATTTCGGGCCACGACTGATGCTGCGATATGAGAGGCAATGCTTGGCAAAACATGCCTGGTCAAAAGCAGTCTGGCTTGTCAAGCATTGCATTTAAAGGTGAACAGTAGAATATAAGCAGTTTATAAACTTACTATTGTCTATAAAGACACTTGCCGCAGGGCCAGCAACCCAGTGCAACTTCAAAGGAAGTTGTGTCGGTGTCGCTGCTCTAAAATTAAGTATTCGTATAGAGATGGAAGAGGGTCCCTATCAGAGGATCGTAGAAGTGCAATCGGCTTCGGTGACGGTGGGAAGTTGCAGGTAGAATTATGAGAAGAGACACGATCTCGGACGACGCGATTCGTGAAGAGGGTTCGAGCTTAGCCAAAAGCGGCAACCCTTTTTTAGGTGCATCGCTGTGGACAAGACAAGATGAATAGTTGTCTAAACATAATGTTTTATCGATCAAGTTGACACATTTTAATATCAATTTGGTCCAGTCAATAATGCGTGATGTTGATTATATTAAGTAATTTGTGCATCGCTCTACACTACCAGAGATCTTTGAAGACTGGAAGGAGGATCTTGCCATAGAGCAATAGCTACCATGGACGTTACCGAAACTTGTTATTTAGTTAGTCAAGTTTAAAATATCGTAATTCCACTAATCTATTCAATTTTGATCCTTTTAAAAAAAAACCTTCTCTTCAGTTCGTTAGTTGAACTGATCAGAAAATACATCTTTCTAACTGACAAAGTTTGATATATGTTCAAGACCACCACAAGATTTCATAATATTAAGTAAAATAGCGCCATCCAGTAACAAGCGCAGCCACAGTGGAAATACAACATTTATTCCATCAACCTAATGGGGCATCGTGTAACTTTCCTATTCTTTGGAGTGAACAATACATTCCGAAAGTTGTTTACAAATAAATCATATCCACACCTGGCCCATGGCTTTTGGAAACTATTGAAATTGATAAATCTTACAGTCTAATCCAGAATATTGAGATTGCTTTAGGAATAAGAATTCAAAACATGATATTTGACGAAATGTGGCATTTTGATCAATTATTTTGAACATTTTTAATATTTCATTAAATCAAATTGACGAACCGTTGTAAATTCTAAAGAGGGTTTTGATTAAACGACACAATTGGTAACATTTTCCTTTCAAAGACAGATAGTCCGTTCTATCAATCATTTTGAGTAAGAAATACCCTGTCAACTCTTTCTGAAATCTATTCTACTAATATAGAAGAACTTATTGTATTGTTATAGATTCTCATAATCAGGAAACTGATCAGCCCCACCTTTGTCGTTTCGCACCCATATTGCCCATTATATCTTCTTACCAATTTAACGGGGATTTTAAAAAGTTGTACGTCGCTTGAAGTTTCATATGTCTGAACCTCGCAATGCATGGATGTTTGAATATATCAAATCAACTGAGTTATGTGCCTGCCACGCCGAACCGACTGGCTAAGTCCCCAGAATTAAGCAATAAAGCCTTAAGAGCTTTAATATCAAGGTTTCGGATCTAGATTCCTTTGCAAATATAGGTGATTTTGTGGCCGATCTGGTTACCTGTCAAGGTATTGAACAAGACGTATCTCTAGCGAGAATGTTGAGCAAATCTGCCATCAAACTACCGCACTGAATGCTCGAACATGACGAAATATCACCATCCCTGATCTCGGATTTGGTGAATTTCTTACCTCAAGGTAGTATATTTAGAAATGCTGGACCGACCAGTGGCTGCTTTCTTGATTCCTGAAGAGAAGTAGATCGAAATCCAAGCCGAGTCAGTTGAGGAATTGCAACACTGGCAACACAAGTGTTCTTCATACTCGAATTTCACATTATTGTCTTCACTGAATACGAAATTTTAATATCGGTATAAAGTGAAAAAGAAGAGATTTTATTGTCGAATGTAGATCGGCCCTTCAATTGGCTGTATCGACTATTCTCTTCTTCACATTTGGATCTTAAGAAAACTTCAGCTCTTCTACTCTCCAACAAATATCCATGTGAACAAAATGTACAATAATGGCGCATTTTTTGCCCGCACAGCCCATCAAGACAACTCCGAGTCCACCATCATCTAACACGACTTCTTCAGTCATCGTTGTTTCCCTAACTCTGGCGGGATTGAGTTTATTCCGAACACTACTATACTAACCAACACTCTCAGGGTAACTCAAGTATTACTCAACGCCCAGGTTCTGTAGATAGATTTTTCAGAATCACAGAGAGACGTCACTGCAATTATACCTGTTCAACGAATTGCCGCCTAAATTTGAAGCTCCACAGATGATAGGAACGGTTTTCAAAGCTCATATGAGCGCCCTCATTGTAGACACAACAAACGCCACTCGAAAGCACATTTTTGGATTAAGTTGACAACATCCGATTTTCTTACAATTCAGTTGATTAAACAACGAGTTTCCTTAACCACGTCGAGGAAATAACACATCATCTAGCTCCATTCGAAGTCTCTAAAGATGAGAAGATCTTATGGTGTCAAGCATAACAACCCGGTCGAGAATCTAGTTGCCAGATCTCTCCGTATATTCCTTTATCCACCCCCAGAACCGCGCTGATCAAAAGTGGCATTTCCATACTTCATTTCGATGTTGGCCACACACCAGTGGCTGACACAATTCTCTGCACAGTCCAAAATCACAACAGATTTATTAACATAACAACTTTTTCAACGTACAATTTTCTCTTAGACTGTTGCCTTAGAACCGAGAATTATCACTGTGTTTTTAGATCTCTAATATAAGGCTGTGGTGTTTAGTTTTTCACTCGTGAACATTTGGGGCGTGTAGAGAATTGTGTCAGACACTGGTGGCATATTCAGGTCTCCAAATTAACAAAACGAGATACACCATTTTGATGCCTCACCTTCCAAAGCTCTGATAAGTATTTGCAGGTCCAATTTAGTTACTGAGCCAGCCTCTATGGTTTCCGATACAACTTAAGCTCGTATCCGTACACCCTCTAGGGACCAAAAAAAGCTGCAGTCCAAACACTTCACTCAGTCGACCAAATTAACGAGCTTTCGTACATTCTCTCAAGCCTTTGAGCAAACAATTTGCTATAAAAATTCTATTTGGAACCCATTGAGATAAAAGATCGCATTGTATCCAATTGATTGGAATCCGTGGAGAAAATCCCAAAGATATTGTCTCTGAAAACAAGGTTCAACAGATAGAATGTGAGTCGATGGCGAAATCGCAGAACATAGTAGGAGAAGAGCAGTATGGCAAAAACAGGGCATGTAGGTTTGTCAAAGGAGCGGGTAAGGGTAGATCTCGTACGAAGTACATTTGCATATTAACATGGAGGAGACCGAAAGGGAATGCCACTGGACAGCCTGTGTTCTCATCATAACAAAGCAGTTTAAGGAAGTGGGTGAAAGATCTTTTTGGCACTGAAACTGCTCTTGTCTAGCACGAGGAACATGCAAATTGCAAAGAGTCATGTATGAAAATCTGAGAGGATGATACACTCAATTGAGGACTTCTATTTTCATGCTATCGTAAAGGCATTGGTGTGCCGTCAATCATTGTATGTAAAGATGTCTATCCTTGTTCATTCCCCTTTAAAGTTTACCTTTCAGCACTTCTCTGCCAGGGGAAAAGAGAATCAGAAAGCGATACCATTGATACAAATGTGAGAAATGAGTGGTGAAGACCCTACTTTCCTGCATCGACCTTGGAGATGTAGCTGAGGAGATCGAGGACACGGCGAGAATAACCTGAATTACAAATTAGCACGTGTAAACAAGGATCAAGGTTTATTGCACTTACCCCACTCGTTATCGTACCAAGCAACCAATTTCACAAAGTTATCGTTGAGCGAAATACCGGCCTTGGCATCGAAGATGCTGGAGTGGGTATCTCCGTTCAAATCGGTGGAAACAACCTCATCTTCGGTGTAAGCAAGTATACCTGTTGGTTAATTCATTAGTGAAGAGGTCTTTGAAAATTGAGGGGGTGGTGCGCACCCTTGAGAGGACCATCAGCAGCCTTCTTGATGGCAGCCTTGATGGTATCGTAAGAAGCACCCTTCTCGAGACGGCAAGTCAAGTCAACAACAGAGACATTGGATGTTGGTACACGCATAGACATTCCAGTAAGCTTGCCATTGAGCTCTGGGATGACCTTTCCGACAGCCTTAGCGGCACCGGTGCTGCTAGGAATGATGTTCTGAGCAGCAGTTCGGCCTCCACGCCAGTCCTTGGCGGATGGACCATCGACGGTCTTTTGGGTAGCAGTGTAGGAGTGGATGGTGGTCATGAGACCCTCAATGATGGTGAACTCATCGTTGATGACCTTGGCGAGAGGAGCAAGGCAGTTGGTTGTGCAAGAGGCGTTGGAGATAACCTCGATGTCGGACTTGTAGGTCTTCTCGTTGACGCCCATAACGTACATAGGAGCATCGGCAGATGGAGCAGAGATGACAACCTTCTTGGCGCCTCCCTTCAAGTGAGCCTTTGCCTTGTCGGTGGTGGTGAAGACTCCGGTAGCCTCAACAATGTAGTAAGCATCGGTCTCGCTCCATGGGATGTTTGCTGGGTCGCGCTCAGTGTAGAATCTGATGTGCTTGCCATTGACCTCCAATCCGTTGTCGGTAGCCTTGATGTCGCCCTTGAACTGTCCGTGGGTGGAGTCGTACTTGAGCATATAGGCCTGTTGTAATCAGTATCACAACACCGATGAGATGAGCTTGGAGTACGTACGGCATAGTGTGGCTCGATGAAAGGATCGTTCACGGCGACGATGTCAATATCGTCGTGCTCGATGGCATTGCGAAAGACAATGCGTCCAATACGACCGAAGCCATTGATTCCGACCTTTGTTGGTGCCATATTGTTTTCTGGTGAAGATTAGCCCCGCGATGACGAAGGAGCGACAAGAATTCTCGATGTAGAGGATGGGCGACTGGCAGAGTGAACAGATGGGGAAGGATATACATACATGTTTCGTTGATTGTTTTTCTTAGGTTGGTTGTTTCGTACGATGTCGAAGGAAGAAGAATCGAGACGAAAATGAGAGAGTTTGTGCTCGTGGTGGGGTGTTGTTGAGATGGGAAGATGCGCTACGCTACGGAAAAGAGGGGCAAGCCACGACCACGACCACCGAAACCAAGCAAGCAATCACTGCGACAAGGCTGTCTGGCAACCAACCAGCTGGAAACACCACAGACTAGATGATGATTTTTCTCGACGTGGAGTGGATGAGTCCTCAATTGGCTTCCTCACTCATCTTATCGTGCATCCGGTCGCGCCCCTGCGCAATCGTGTTCCCGTTACGCTTTACGAAGTTTTTATTTATTCCTTTCGCTCCAGATGATCAGGAAAAGCTGACGGAGATTTAAATCTCTCAATAATACAGTCTCACCACCACCTGCAGTCGATGAGGCTGGAGGAGTGAGCAGAGTGAGCAGAGTGAGCAGAGTCACCATCACGTCACACTTTAAGAGCAGGCGACTCGCTCCGAGCCGCCGGGGAGATACGGTGCTATGAGGAACTAGATACTCCACGATAATTCGGATAGAATGGAAGTAATTCTTTAACCGAGCTATCGTTCGAACGGCGAAGCTATTATTCTTTACCTAGGTAATCTGTTTCTCGTGGTCCTGACCATACCAATATCAAACTCCAGAACACCAACCCCCCTTGAAGATTCAAAATGGAAGCTCCATCGTCAACAGGAACATTTCCTCTCGGTGTCTCCAGACTGCGCTGTCAGCTAAACCTCCTCCTAACTGCGGAGCGTTGCGTTGCGCCGCCACGTGTAGTTCAGACTTTTCTCATTGCATGGCATCCTTCTTGCAAAGTGTTATTCCCTCAATCCATATGAGTAACACTCATTCCCTGCCTTTTGCTTGACAAATATTTAACGGCAGCCGGCCAAATCTTCGGGCTTTTCTTATTCTCGATAACGCCCCACGCCTTTTATCTGACTTGAAGCTAAGCTCCTATTGTCATTGCAGGTGGCTGAATTCGCCCTCTAATTGCCAACAGCGTTATTCTTTCGCACGAGAAGCATTCTCATTCAGATTTCTCGCCAGATAAAGAGCTGCCCAAAGCCTCCCAATCTTGTTTGCTTTCGAGCCAGAAATCACGTGCTATGCATCGATGATTATACAACAGAATGTGTTGAAAACTCGGAAACCTGCATGGCTTCATAACTCGTGACAATCTTGAAAAAAGCTGATTTATTGCCGCTCGCGCTCGCGCTCATGAATTTTTTGGAACTGTTATGGATTTATGATCGGGAGACACGTGAGGCTTTCTCTTACGGGTTCACCAGCAGAAATCCACATCTGATTCTGCCGGACAACCATTCATACATCTTTCATTCACCCTTTTATGCTCACATCTCTTCGCCAAACAAAATGTACTTCTTTCTAACAAAGATCTAATGCCACAATAGTCTTTGATCTTTCGCTGTTTTACGTGCTTACATAGAAAAATAACTTCTTTCAAACCACAATATCATATCTTAGGCTCTTAAGGATTTACTGTGTCACTTACAACTGTTCATCAACTTTCAAATCCCTTCGCTTTCAGTTTAACGTTAGTAGAACTAGCTGCCTTATTGCTGCCGCAGAATGTTTCAATCTTTCCTTTCACGAATACATTGTTCTGCACTAGGTCAGACCGTAGATATTCTTGGTTAGAGAGTCGCTAAATCTAGACATTCATATCATGGAGCGAAGGATACTTTGGGGCCCTGAAACGTACCAACTTCCGTTGTTGGCCTCATTGGGTCCGAGTCCGTCTTTCATTGATTTAGGAGCCGCCAGAAAGGTTCATTCTTAAAGTTTGCTGTATCGTGTAACAGACAAAGACGCGAAGTGACAAAGAGCCCTGGTATATCATGTCGTCCCGTCGCTCGTTCCTACCTCTTGATTCTTGTTCAAGAAGTAGGACTTAACTGTTTATCACAAAAAAAACGCCCAAATTTCAATCGAAGGCAAATACCAGTGAGTGTTGTCCTTTTTTATATGGACCTTGACAGTAAAGACTGCTGTCTGCTTGGACTTCTAGACTGACAATGAAATTAGATCTTGTTGCCAACCATCTGGTCAACTTTCTCAACATCTGTAAAGTATCATCCCACCCAGAACACTCTAAAGTAAGTCATTTTTTTAAAACTCACATCCTTTTGAGGCTTCGAGCGACAAAGCTAATTCTTGGACACAAAGATAAAAATGTCCTATAATGTATATGTCGCTGCATATGCCGGAGCTAGTCGGGATCACCACACCATTTTTGTGGAAAACAGGAAACGCGGAGCTGGAACTATCTTCCAAGTTAAAGGCAGCATTCAGCAAGGCATGGAATTCGAATCCAAAAAAGTGAAGAAGCCCGAGGACTCCCTTTCTTTCGTTGATAAAACACTTGTCGGAACAGTGACGAAAGAAAATTATCCCAAGATTGCCACCATTTGTGCTACTATACCCCCACCGCACAAACAATTCATCGGAGCCAAGAGAATCAACCCAAAGGTGCCTTTTAGAACATGTCAGGAATGGAATGCTGATGCTTTGAAAGCCTTGAAGAATCTCAAGTTATTGTTGAAAAATAGTGGGCTTGTCAACGTGTTTTGCTATTTAGTCCGTCATTGCTAGATATTGTGATTGTAGATATCCAATAGGGTTATTTTGAGTCGGATACAGGAATGTGTTTTGTTTGACACATCGGTTGGAATGCTTGGTAGATGAGTGAAATGTGATTCGAAAGAACTTCATAGATCGCACCGAGATATTAAACCTCGAGTCTCAATGCGTAGCATTTTGAGTGCTTAGGCCTTAACTTCAAATATTGATATTAACAGAAAACAACAGGATCAAAGTGGATTTTGGTCATGTCATCTTGCAACTTTTACGTCATAGTGTCATAGTGTTGCAGTGATCAACTATAATCATGTTTCAACAAAAGGTTTGTTCGGACACCAAGAGCATAAATAAAGAAGAACAAACTTCTCTTGGGACATGTCATTCGGTTCTTTTCATGTTAGACGCTGCTGGCGGCTCGAAGTTGTTGCCCTTCCTACTTTCTTCAATATTATGGTCAGATCCATGATCTATGATATCTGTAACGCAACGACCCCGATTTAACCACCATCTTGGGCATCTTCCAAGGGACATACTTAGTTCGTATAGTGTTGGATTGGGACAATACTGCGAATGGTGACTGGTATTTCGTGTAGCAACTTCGGATTTCCTTCGAGGTTCCTGGACGCGTAAGAGACTACTGACTCGAAACGTCGTTTCTCAGCGAAGTTTCTATTTCCACGTCAACATTCCTTGTCACCATTGGTGTCAACCATGGATCACGTGAACAAATAGTCACATTCCACCACATTCATTTGCTTAAATACACCACTTTAGCACGAAGCTCTTTGACTGACTACCCACAAATTCAGTCCAATGTTGTAGAGCGTCGGTAGCGCGACAATGACTTCTGTCATGGTGCCATATTACGCTCAACCCGATGAGCTTCCTTGTCCTCTCCCAACAAAACAGCAAATCCATAGTTCTGAAGAGATCTTCCTCGATTACGGCGAGGGTCGAAAAGTGGTCGGGTTCGGCCACAATTTTGTCGTCAAGTATGGGCTCAACGTTGAGCTGATAGAGGGAGAGAACATGCTGTTTATAGCACAGCTGAAGGACACATCCGTTCGAGCGCCGAAAGTTTATGCATTGTACGAGGATCCGAAAGACGAAATGAGATACATAGTAATGGAAAGAATCACCGGCGTTACTCTTTTGTCTGTCTGGAGTTCTCTTGAGGCTCCACAAAAAGAAGCCATATGTGCTAAATTGCGTCGTAGTATGGATACTTTACGAAAGCTACCCTCACCTGGAGGATACTGCAGCATTGGTCGACGGCCACTCGAAGACTGCATGTTTTGGACCAGCAAAGATAGTGACGAGACAGAGTCACCAGTGGAACAGGTCAATGGTCCAATCGACACCCCTCTCAATGGACCGTTCGACACTGAAGAAGAAGTAAATTCGGCAATGATCAAGAAATACCTCTACAATAACGCTCCTCGCGGCAAAGCTGTGTTTTATGAGCGAGCTCTACCAAAAGTGCTATGCAACCACCCACCAGTGTTTACTCATGGGGATTTACAGCGCAAAAACATCATGATCAACCGGATTCCAGACATCGACAAAGCAGGCAATGTGGTGGACGAAGAGCTAGAAGTTGTGCTTATAGATTGGGAAGTGTCTGGCTGGTATCCGAGTTATTGGGAACACTCGAGGGCAATGCAAGGTTGTGGGCGCTTTGAGGACGACTGGCATTATTGGTTGGGCCAGATTTTGGACGAATATTTGACTATATGGGCGTGGACTAATATGATGTTTCTAGAATTATGGTCATAAAGCTGTTCGTTTCGAAAAGGACTCGGGACAAAGCATTACCCCACAATATCTGAGAAGAGTTCGATTCAAACCCGGCAGCTAGCGTTTGTTTCTGGTTGATTTATGATTGTAGTTTTGGAAATCAACGCCATACCAAATTGTGCTTTTATCTCCACGTTGCGAGCTTCAAATCTATGTCGAGCTTTCAATGTTGTATTTCCATTTTTCTTTTTTTTTTTCCACAGCTATTTCCGATGAATGGACGTTATCCACCAGTTGAAATTAATGAGCTTTGTAGCCTCCAGCAAATGGTCTGGATAACAACAAGCAAGAAATTTGAAAGTAGCTCGACTCTGAAGAGCTTCAGTGGTCACCACCATCCCAAGCCTCCCCTTTCCAATGTTTTCACCAGGACCATATTGCACTCTTGATGAATTAATGCGGCATTTGAAGAATCGAGGGGACTGTATATATTGAGACGCTCTACGCGAGGGTTTTAACTTTTCGAATCTGTTGTCGTTGATGTAAACGGATTCTTGAAACACATCAAAGGTCGAAGTGTCATAATCACGTGATGCAAAATAAAGCTCATTCGCTAAACCTCTTACGATTTCGACATCCGCAAGAAGCACCTCCCGAACCAAATCGAACCGCCCAATTGCTCATACAACGCAAACGCAGGAGCACAGTCTCCCAACTAATCATCTCAATTGAACTCTCCTCTCTTTTGTACCACCAAACACTATACCCCCACCATGTTGCGCACCTCCTTAATCCGAAGCTCGCGCGGAGCAGCAGTCGTACGATCGACCCCAACCGCGATGGTCCAAAGGCGACAGGCACATGCGATCTCCAATCCTACGCTGGCGAATATCGAGAAGAGATGGGAGGCCATGCCACCACAAGAGCAGGCTGAGCTGTGGATGTCCTTGAGGGATCGCATGAAGGTCAACTGGGCAGAGTTGACTCTGCAGGAGAAGAAAGCCGGTACGTCTTGGTCTTGATACAGAGTCTTCGAATACACTCAAGCGGTTTCTTTGCGCGACAGCGGAGCTTTGTAGCGAGTTATAATTTGCTCCGTTGTCTTCAATGGCACCTGTAACAATCTCAGAAACCCCCCACTCGGCCAATATAGGAGGTCATAGAAGCTAACACGCTATTTCAAACAGCATACTACATTGCATTCGGCGCCCACGGTCCTCGCGCTGCCACACCACCAGGAGAGGCATGGAAAGTTCTTGGATATACTGGTGTTGGTATTGCTGTCAGCTTCGTCATTTTCGTTCTTATCCGTATGGGATCTAATGGTCCTGCCACAACAATGACCAAAGAGTACCAGGAGGCAACGAACGAGTACCTCAAGGTATGTAATAAGTCTTTCCTCATGAATAGGATGGATAGAGCAGGTTGTAGCAGAAGCTCTTGTGGGATTGCGTTGGCACTTTCAGGTGGCCGATATACAGTAGCCTGGAAGGGGTCTGAGCACGACTGGAGAATATCAAGCAATGAACTCGATATATGAACAAAGCTAACAAAATACTCTATAGTCACAAAACGCCGAGCCAATCTCCGGTATCTCCTCCGAAGGCTATTCGGGCAAAGGCCAAGTGCAATCCCCACCAAAGCGAACCTAGAGGGATTTTGAACAACCATATTCCACTCCTTGTTGCACGTCTTGTACTTCGAAAAACTACCACCCCTCGACTCCCTTTTTTCTTTTGTTCGTTGGTCCGCTAGATGAGGGATAGCTTGTGCATATACGGTGGCTCGTGATAAAAGCTGTGTGACGGGAGCTGGGAATGGGGTTAGGTGGGCCGGGGATGGGGATAGGGGATGGGTGGAATGGAGTGATGATTTTGTACAAAGATAGTGCTTTTAAGTTGAATGCGATTGTTGCGAGAGTTAGCATTATGAAGCTCGGGATTTGTGTTATGTGACTGTTATTTGTGACATATTTTATACTTTACAGTTGGGATCGCTAGGACAGGATGTTTCTGGAACTCGCGCAACATCTCAAGGCTCTCATAGTCAGTATAACTTGATGTAGGCTTCTGATGAAGAACGGTATGGTTGACGTGTGCTGCAAAGGTCTCAACGTCCAAGTTTGAAAGATGGTGTTGGTTACGGATCATAGTATTTACCCTCATAACTTCATATATACACAACACCAACGCCTGTGTATTTCATCAGACCTGCCCAATACCCAGAATATCAATACGACCCAGCATACCAAATATCCCACTCTCATCCCAAACACTCACATCCCAGAACTCCCACCAACCCTCAACTTCTCAAACCCACCACGATCCTCCTCCTCCTCAATTACCTTCCCATTAACCCTATCATCCCACTCACCTTCCTCCCTCTCAAACACCTCCTCAAAAGCAACTCTGGCTCCACGACTCCACCACTGTGGGATCTTCTCCCTCTCCTTCTCCCCCGGCGCAAAATGCGCTTTCACAAACGCCTCATCGATAAGACAGAACCTGATATCAGAGCCTGGAGCTATGAACATCGTTTCCTGCAGTACAGACTCGAGGATCGTGCGGAGACCCCGCGCGCCAACGCCCATTCCGGGTGTGGATTTATCGTCGTTTTTGGCCTCCGAGGAGAGGGAGGATGTGGAGTGTAGGGCTTGGCTGGCGAGAGCGTGGAGTGCGGCGGTGGTGAAGCGTAGAGATACGTTGTAGGTTGCGAAGAGGGCGGTGTATTGTTTGATGAGGGAGTTTTTGGGGTCGCGGAGGATGGAGACGAGTTGGTCGAGGGAGAGGGGGGAGAGGGAGACCGTGATGGGGATGCGGCCGAGGAGTTCGGGGATTAGGCCGTAGGATTGGAGGTCGGAGGTGTTTACTTTTTGGAGGAGGTTGGGGGGGTCCGTTGGGGAAGGCTTTTTGGTTGGGGGGCGGATGGGAGCGCCGAATCCGATGGATGAACCTGCTGAGAGACGTTTGGCGACTATTTTCTCGAGACCGACGAAGGCGCCGGCGAAGACGAAGAGGATGTTAGTTGTGTCGATGGTGTATTGTTCGCTTTTACCGGGTTGAGCTCCGGACTCTCTAGTTCCTCTTTCGAGTCTATCTCCTCCACGAGAAGAGTTTGATTCTGTTTTGGAGTTGCGGTCTTGTTTGGCGTTAATCGTGACGGTAGTGCCTTCGATCATTTTTAAGAGTCCTTGTTGAACTCCTTCGCCAGAAACATCCCTTCCATGGGTGACCACGGCTGGTTTGGCGAGCTTATCAACTTCATCAAAGAAGATGATTCCGGTCTCACATTTTGGGACGGAATGAGCTGCTGCTAGTAGAAGACGCTCGATGGAAGACTCAATGTCACTTCCAATGTATCCGGCCTGGGTCAGAGATGAGCAATCTACTGTTGCAAATGGTACTTCTAGGACGCGAGCTAGAGTTTGGAGAATGTACGTCTTTCCTACTCCGGAGGGCCCTAGTAGGAGGAGATTGGACTTTTCAATAATGGTATTTTTGTCATCCTCCAGCGGCTTAGAACCAATTTCAGGTTCCGGTTCCGGTTTTCTGTTCAGATCCACAGTTTGCGGATGGCCAGGAAATTCATCTATGAATGATGTAAGCTATGAGGAACATGATCAGGTAATGCCGAATAGGCATCGGGCATATTTACTTTCGACAGGATGAGATTTATCCGCCTTCTCCCTACTTTCTCTTCTCAACTTCTGCTCCTTCTTCTCACGTTCCTCTGCTTCCTGCCGCCGTATTTCTCGAATCCTTTGATAATGATTGAATATAGCTACACTAGTGACTTTCTTGGCTTTGTCTTGTCCCACCACGAACTTATCAAGATGGTCTTTAAGGGATTTTGGAGTAAGCCGCGTCGCTCCATGCCGCGAGGTTTGACTTAATGGCCCTTTTGCTGGTTCATTTGGGTCATAACTAGCAACGAATCCTTGACCGGAGAAGTCAGAACGGTGAAATTGTGAGTTTGAGGATAGATGATCCGTGGTGCATAATGTCCGGCGGCCGAGGGGAATTGATGGAGTATAGAACGTCTTGAAAGATGTGGTGAGAACGAGCGCCCGGGACATGGCAGGCGAATTAAGTATGTTATATATCAGGACCTGATAATCATTCTGATCGATTTGATTGCAGTGTCAGTCTCATGCGTAGTAGAAGTCGCCTCCCTTCTAGAGCTGTAGCTGCACGCCTCTTGTACCACGCACGTGATTGTATCAAGGCGACATCTGCTCAGGTGATGCGGCGGTTCTGTCGTTGCACGGCGTTACCTAGGTACTTGTAGAATGACGGGAGGTGGAGGTTGGTGTCAAGAAGTCGAGGTTCTGGCGCTGATTCAGTGCGGGGTTGAAAGGTCCCGTCGTCGGCGTTGATTGGGGATTGGGAACAACCGTGACTCTAAATGCTTCGACAGGGGTGAAGCGAGGGGTTTACTCTTCAAAATACTTCAGTACATACCGACCTAGCGAGGTACAATCATATATAATACTACTTCTCTGGCTTCCGGATCTCCATATGTATTAAAAAGAAAGGACGCAATAGTTCTAGCATATTTAATGAGGCCAAGAATGTTCCCGACCTCAAGATCCTTTGCTTGCTCTGGCCAAGACATTTCTTTCTGAGACGAACATTTTAGGAAAGCAGTTACAGAGCAATATAGATACATCTTGGTTGAAACTCAGTTGCAAATTAGGAACTCTCAACAAGGCAAATATCACAGGAAAATAAACATTATATTGATGAAAATTCTCAAAGTGCTGAGATAGATAGCCACGGCAGCCCCCATCTGGACTAGCAGCACATGCCACAACCGGGGCGGTATGGCTCGATGCTCGTTTGACAGGGGTTTGACGTCACTGTTGAAGCTCAACGAACCGCAGGAACAGGCCATTGAACGCCAAAGAAGCTGGCTGAGGCACATGGCATGGAGCTCGAGAGTAAACTTTATTCAACCCCGCAACATATCTCGCTGTAACTTCCCCAAATCCTGAATCTCATCTGGATCTTTCACAACATCGAATCCTGCATACTTGGACTGAATTCTTTTTTTCATTCCTCTCAGCTCGAAAACAAAACCTCTTTCGTAGCGCAGCGTGCCTGCTGCTTCCTCCCTTGGAGGTCAAAAATCATAAGTCAGAACAACAAGATGGACAGCACCAACGAGAACTCGAGCAACTCCATTGCGAATGGTGGAGCTGCAGATGGCTTGCCCAATGATGGCACAGGTATGTAAAGCTTTGAAACACCGAGTTTCCAATTGACAAGTGCAAAATGCTGATTTGCAACCGTTCACAGGTGTTATCCAGCTCGATCCCTGGCTCGAGCCATTCAAGGACTCCCTCAAAGAACGATATAGCAAGGTCCAAAAGTGGATGAACGTCATAAACGAAACCGAAGGTGGATTGGAGAAATTCAGTAGAGTTAGTACTATCTAGAGCTTGTCTTTGGCAGAGGACGGAGCTGATGCACATCACGTACACAGGGAACAGAGAAATTCGGGTTCAACGTAGACAAGAGCAACAACATCACATACAGAGAATGGGCGCCCAATGCAACTCAAGCATTCTTGATTGGCGATTTCAGTACGAACCTCGCATATTGGTTTTTATTCAGGACTGACATCCGCTAGATGGCTGGGATCGCGACTCCTACCCTATGAAAAAAGACTCATTTGGAGTCTTCGAACTCACAATTCCTGCAAAGGATGGCAAGCCTGCTATAGAGCACAACTCCAAAATCAAGGTAAACCAATTACACCCCAGACCTGGATGTGAAACTAATTTTCTTCGAGATCTCCATGATCACACCCTCAGGAGAGCGAATCGATCGAATTCCTGCTTGGATTAAATATGTCACTCAGGATCTTGCTGTCTCCCCTATGTATGATGCGAGATTCTGGAACCCACCAGAGTCGGAACGATATGTTTTCAAGCATCCGAGACCAAAAAAGCCCGAAAGTGCTCGAGTTTACGAAGCACATGTTGGCATATCATCTCCCGAACTCAGAGTATCTACATACAAAGAGTTTACGAAAAACATGCTCCCGAGAATCAAACATCTGGGATATAATATCATCCAACTTATGGCTATTATGGAGCACGCATACTATGCAAGCTTCGGGTACCAAATCAACAGCTTCTTCGCTGCAAGCAGCAGATATGGAACACCAGATGAACTAAAGGAACTTATTGATACGGCACATGGCATGGGTATCACCGTTCTGCTTGATGTTGTTCACTCCCATGCCTCGAAGAACGTCTTGGATGGACTCAATGAATTTGATGGGTCCGACGCATGCTACTTCCATGCAGGCCCCAAAGGTAGACATGAGTTGTGGGACAGCAGACTGTTCAACTATGAAAGTCACGAGGTATTGAGATTCCTTTTGAGCAATTTGCGCTTCTGGATGGATGAATACCACTTTGACGGATTTCGATTTGATGGCGTTACAAGCATGCTTTATACACATCATGGAATTGGAACGTAAGTATACCGGAGGCCACAGTAGAGAGTTTGGCTAATGACCTTTGTAGGGGATTTTCAGGAGGTTATCACGAGTACTTTGGTCCATCTGTGGACGATGGTGGTATCATTTATCTCATGCTGGCCAATGAGATGCTCCACTCTCTCTATCCGGAGATGATAACTATCGCCGAGGATGTCTCTGGTATGCCTGCATTGTGCGTTGCTCTCTCACTTGGAGGTGTTGGCTTTGATTATCGGCTTGCGATGGCAATTCCGGATATGTGGATCAAACTTCTCAAGGAAAAGAAGGATGATGAATGGGATATTTCGAACATCGCCCACACTTTGACAAATAGGCGCCACGGCGAAAAGACAATTGCTTACTGCGAAAGTCACGACCAAGCGTAGGTCTCCATTTTACTCTCAAAATTCGAGCAACGGAACACTAACAATCCGTAGTCTTGTAGGTGACAAGTCTATCATGATGCACCTTTGCGATGCACAGATGTATACCAATATGTCAACTCTTACAGAGTTTACACCAGTCATTGAGCGGGGTATGGCTCTCCACAAAATGATCAGACTCCTCACACATGCCCTTGGTGGTGAAGGGTATCTTAACTTTCAAGGAAACGAATTTGGTCACCCAGAGTGGCTCGACTTTCCAAGAGCAGGAAATGATAACAGCTTCTGGTATGCACGACGTCAAACAAATCTGACTGAGGATCCTCTCCTCCGATACAGATTTTTGAATGAGTTTGACGCAGGTATGAACAATGCAGAAGCCAAATACGGCTGGCTGCATTCTGAGCAGGCCTACATCAGTCTGAAGAATGAGTCTGACAAGGTCATCGTTTTCGAACGTGCTGGCCTCGTCTTTGCGTTCAACTTCCACCACAGCCAAAGCTTCCCAGATTACAGAATCGGCATTGAGCAAGCTGGTACATACCGGGTTATTTTGAACACTGATCTGAAGGACTATGGCGGATTCGAGAGAATCGACTCCGGGACTAGGTTTTTCACCACCGACCTGCCATGGAATGGGAGGAAGAACTTCACCCAGGTGTACCTTCCTACTAGAACCGCAGTGGTAAGTCTCATTTCCAGCTAGAGATCCAATATTCTTGACTAATTACTTCGTAGGTTCTGGCTCTTGAGTCCACCCTCTAATTTGTCCGCCTGCGTTGGGGAACTTGGGAATCATTTGATGGAAAAGCTTGGGTGTTTAGATCTCTTGTTGCGAATTTCAGATTGAATCGCATTGCTTCTACTGTAATTATTGATATCTCTTGCTAGACAATCGCACTATTGCCGCCTTGCAAAGAAAATTTCCACTGTAATAATGATATCCATGTACAATTAAATCACTTTCGCCAATATGCCCGAGCCCGATTTAGTCCGAGGGTCACGTGGGCGCTAAAGAAGTCGTTTGGCTCGCAAGCTCCTCACTCGAAGACCTCGCTCTTCAAGACTCCTTACACCAAAACACCTCCGTAACTCCACTCCCATCTCCAGAGCTCTTTTTCATCCGTCAAGATGTTCAGGAGGTATGTACTCATCTCTACCGCGATTTTTCAGTTCGCATTGAGCCCCAATTGATGATTTGAGCTGACACGGTACTTCGGAATAGCGCCCTTCAAAAATCCGCCTTCAAGGCCTCACGGAGTGCCTTCAGACCAGCAGTCTCTGCTGGATTAAGAGTAGCTGGTGCTCGGTTCGCGAGTGATAATGCGCTTCATGGCAAGATCCATCAAGTCATTGGTGCCGTCGTCGATGGTGAGTGAGAGGAAAACTTTTCCCGACCAAAACAACGAGCTCTGCGCCGGGCGAAAACTTAACTCGGAGCTCGACGTGCGGTGGCATCACATACTAAAACATCTTCACAGTCAAGTTCGATACCGACAAGCTTCCTCCTATTCTAAACGCCCTTGAGACAGACAATGGCGGAACGAAACTGGTTTTGGAGGTCGCAGTACGTCAACACGAATATTATTGTGATGGGTATCGGGACTAACATGCATAACAGCAACATTTGGGAGAGAATGTCGTCCGAACAATTGCTATGGATGGTAAGAGCTCATGTGTCATCGATTGAGGTCGCAGAGATTAATCAATGGCGCTTTTTAGGTACGGAAGGTCTCGTCCGTGGACATCGAGCGACAGATACTGGCAACCCAATCATGGTACCGGTCGGTCCAGGAACACTCGGTCGTATCATGAACGTCACTGGAGACCCCATTGATGAGCGTGGTCCTATCAAGCACACCAAGAAACTGCCGATTCACGCCGACGCTCCTCCTTTCACCGATCAATCTACCGCTGCTGAGGTTTTGGTTACTGGTATCAAGGTCGTCGATTTACTCGCCCCATACGCTCGTGGAGGAAAGATTGGTCTCTTTGGAGGAGCTGGTGTCGGAAAGACCGTGTTCATTCAAGAGTTGATCAACAACATCGCCAAGGCTCACGGTGGTTACTCCGTTTTCACTGGTGTAGGAGAGCGAACCCGTGAAGGTAACGATTTGTACCACGAAATGCAGGAGACTCAAGTTATTCAACTTGATGGCGAGTCCAAGGTCGCGTTGGTCTTCGGTCAGATGAACGAGCCTCCAGGAGCCCGTGCCCGTGTTGCCCTTACCGGACGTAAGTTGATACAATTCCTCATTATCTTTGGAACACTTAAAACCGGATGAATGCTAACGGGTTTTTAAAGTCACCGTGGCAGAATACTTTCGCGATGAAGAAGGACAAGATGTCTTGCTCTTCATCGACAATATTTTCAGGTGAAAAATTAATAGGCTCCTCTCGTTGTTTTGACACTAACGTTTCGCAGATTCACCCAAGCCGGTTCAGAAGTGTCTGCTCTTCTAGGTCGTATCCCATCTGCCGTCGGTTATCAGCCAACACTCGCAGTTGATATGGGTCTTATGCAAGAACGTATCACAACCACAAACAAGGGATCGATTACCTCCGTCCAGGCTGTCTACGTGCCTGCTGATGATTTGACTGATCCTGCCCCTGCCACCACCTTCGCCCATTTGGACGCCACCACTGTCTTGTCCAGAGGTATTTCTGAGTTGGGTATCTACCCTGCTGTGGATCCTCTGGATTCCAAATCCCGTATGTTGGATCCTCGTATCATTGGACAAGATCACTACGATACCGCCACCAAGGTCCAACAGATGTTGCAAGAGTACAAGTCGCTACAAGATATCATTGCCATTCTTGGTATGGATGAATTGTCGGAAGCTGATAAGCTCACTGTCGAGCGCGCTCGTAAGCTGCAGAGATTCTTGTCGCAGCCATTCGCTGTCGCTGAGGTCTTTACTGGTAGTAAGTAGTCACATAGATTACATTTTTATCAGAAACTAACAACTGCCACAGTCCAGGGTGTTCTTGTCGACTTGAAGGACACTATCCGGTCATTCAAGGCCATCATGAACGGAGAGGGTGATGACTTGCCAGAAGGTGCCTTTTATATGGGTAAGTTTTTTGCGTCTCTTCTGAATTCCTCTACCTGCTCGAGGAAATGTGAATGCTAATTCTCTTTATAGTTGGTGATATCGATGCTGCGCGTGCGAAGGGAGAGAAGATTCTCGCTGATCTCGAGAAGGAGTAAGGGGAATAAGGGAGTGGATGTAGATGTGGTAAATGTGTATAGTTTGACAGCGTTGGTTTGGTGCCGGTGGATTGGGAGCATTAAATCGTGCTGTAGCGTGTACAGAAGGTTGGGACGTAAAAGACTTACATGGACGCCAATATCCCCTTCTGGTATCGCATCTCATTTTGTTAGCCTGTAACACAAGATTTCCTCTAATAATTCACAAAAAAGTGCCATCAATGATCTATGTGAAGTGCCAATCTGCCGGATCTACCTGGATGTTCGACTAATTTGCTATGAGTATGGGCCGTTGTCAGATTTCATCTACATCAACAAAACAGCATACGGACTTGTAGGGTTAGGCTCGCCCTCGAGACAGTGGTACTCGAAACGTGATAATCTCTCAGGGCATTTGACGAATTATCGTCATTTCGTGTATCATTCTCAAGAAATAAGATATACTACAACTCTATCTATGATAGGTAATATCAGAAGGCCTTACTTGCGGTCAACTAGAATTCAAGTCAAGAGGCTCGCCGTAACCTGTAGACCTAGTGGCCATTCTTCCCACTTGTAGCCAGTAAGTCCTGTATGCAGTCAAACTTATGATTTCCTGAAAATTATAGACGAAATCGAGATATTTCGTCAATTGCCCTGATTAAATATTATGTTTCGACTGCCCTCTATTTCCAGACAGGTCAATTAGAAGATTTCTAATTGAGTTACTGCCGCTTGTCTTGTCCATGGGACGTTAGCACGCAAAAGCTCTTCATTTATTGAAATGATAGACTAACTATCCATATTTCGTCAATTGCCCTGAGCAAACGTCGTGGTTCGACTGCCATCTAATTAGTAGAGTCGCTGCAGGTTAATCGGAAGGTTCGCTTGTCCATACCTGCGGTGGACATTAGCGTTCAGAACTGCTCTATTTACTGGAAGTAATAGACAAAATATCGATGTTTCGTCAATTGCTCTCAGTAATTATATACCTTCATGTCATCAATATACCAATGTAGAGTCAATTTAACAGTCACTCAGACAGTTTAAGGATAATGTCGCTTGTCTGTCTATAATCGGTAGCACGCAAGACGTAGAAAGAAGCGAATAGATGAAACTCGGCATCTTTCGTCATTTAATCATAATGTCCACTGCGAGATACCTGATGTAGGGTAATTTTGTCTTGTCAACTTCGAATCGATGTAGTAATCTTGCACGTGCGTCTTCGTCGCCATGTCGATTAGTCAGCGGTAAATAAAGTTCCCTATGTCAATTCGAGATGACTCCCAGCTTCCCTTTCTCCTCCCCATCGCAAATCATGATTCAAACCAAGCCTCTCAGTCCTTCTGGACTCGCAAATACAAGCACAAGGTCCTCGCAAGATGTGATCTGCTTTTCATATAGCCCCCATGGAGGGGTGTCTGAGAGTTAAGTCTCTCACAGGTCCGGTCGTTGGTGATTTGTTTATCAGATCATCACCACGACATAAGCTTCAATTGGCTTTCAGGAAACAATTTCTTGTCATTTGAAGTTACATTAGGAGAGAGTGTGTATATTCATACACCAAACGGAAAAGGGTTGTCAATCGCGTTTGACAAGATCTGCTACATAGCAGCAGAAGGAGTAGATCTAAGACCCAAAACACAAATCAAAAGTAAGCTTAACTCTTCCACATTTAGCTGAAGTCATTTATACTTACGAGGTGCTAGAAAACAGAACAACACAAAATGTCGATTACCTTACTTTCCACCGAGCTCCTTCAGAGGATCTACGAATACGCAACCATTCACGACGCGCTTCACCTCTCTCAAACTTCCAAGAGGAATTATCGAGCATTTCTTGGTCGTCGAATGCCAATTATGTATCAGGCAATGCACAATTCATATGGACCCTTACCAGAGTTGGTCAAGCTGGTCATAAGTAATGAGCAGGATAGGAGTCGAAGACCAATGGGCACTGAACTACGTCGTAACAACGTGGTTAATCGTATACTTGAGATACCAGAAACACCAAAGCTTACAATTGAGCTTATGAAGAAGATGTTAGAGTACGGAAAGGTCGCCGAGACGTGGGCTGAGGTCTATCCCAGACTACGATGGAGGTTTGGCTCGGATTCCAGACGTTTCCTGCGCTCACACGAACGCCAACGTCTTCGTCAAGCCATATATATACACTGGACCTACACAAGCCTTTTTCATGACCAAACTTACACCCAGTTTGCGCCAGACCCACCTGTGAATTCATCCCAAGATGACCCTCGCCTGCGACTTCTCCGAGCTTATCCTGGCACCTCGCTCGCCCAGCTTAGCGAATTTCACTTTCACATTATGCAAGTCATCGAACATGACTTGTATCCATCTAATCAAGTCATCCTTGATCACTACTCACACAATCTGCCTTGGAGATCACTTGAAAAGCTGGCTTGGGGTGAGCGTGGTAACGACTATTGGCGGCTTGTTCGCGCAATCATGAAATTCAACCCAAGAGACATGTTGCACTTGGTTGAGCACACTTCGACCAAGACAGAACGAGCCGATTTCCTTCGTGCTCAAGGGCCGCACTTTCCAGATACACCGGAAACGCTCAACGAAGCCCTGCGCGTGATCTCAGCTGAAAGATCCCAGGAAGCCAAAGCTACATCAGATCCTTCCCTGCGTGTTCCTTATTGCCATTCATTCGCAGTGGTATTCGATCTTCGACAAGAAGACATCGAGTACTGGGGCGGTCATGAGACTGGTATTGTGGATGTTAGTCCTGCGGAAATCAAGGAAGCGACAGCTCGGCGCTCTTTACATTCTCAGTCCGCTAATAATGATCTTTCTTTGGGGTCAAGAGGACTTGGTTTTCTGTTGTCAAATGCAGGCATCCATGTTACTGAGGATTGATAGCTTTGAGATGGAGATATGTTGAGGTTTAATTCTTTCTTGCATTCAGATATGGAAGACGTGCTTTTTACAGGGTGCTTTTAATAGAGAATTTGTTATCTGAGCTAGGATTGGAATGCTGTAGAAAGGAATAAACCGTGTACCATCAGTTGCTATCTCCGCGTCACTGACCATCACTCGACCGTAAAACATTCCATGAACAAATGCTCCCTTTCCACGCTCGCCTAGAATCGGGTTTTGAACGTCGTTGTCTCCTTGCAAGATCTCCAGTGATGACTAGGATTTTTGGAACTAACAGGCTTCAACAAGCCGGTATGTTGATTAGGGAAGGTTTCTGAGGAGAATAATCAGTCACCTTAATAGTTTAGAAAGCATTGTAAAGAATGCCTCGTCGCCGGCGAAACAAGACTTAATTATGCCCATTGCCCTTCCAACTACTCGTAACCTGTTGAATCGAGTATACTCGAGCTACATGGTCCTGCATTCTTGCCTCTCTCTGAATAGAGGAAGAAGATGAAGTGTTTTGATCCAAGGGCTAGACGCAACATTTAGTGTTTTATCGTTTTTGCTGAGCAAATTCCGTCTTTGATTATGTTCCCTGGGAGTAAAACGTCCGGCTGAGCATTGCTGATACTGAGTAGAAATATGAACGGAGGTTCGTTTGCGTAATTCCTTATTTCCTATTTGAATGAGCTCTTTATGCTAGCCGTTTCAAAACAAAAGTCTGAGAAGTTTGTGTCTAGTCGATTACTCTTTCACTTGTTCTTGTTGGTGTATTTTAAGAAATAAAAGCCATGGATATTTTGCTAATCTTATGAATCGGAATATTGTGGCTCTGTGTTCACGAATCAGAGTCTGGCGTCGACGGCCAGTTGGGTTGAAGTATCACAAAGGCATAAGACAGTTCAGTGATGACGGAATCTATATGTGAATTTTACTACTACTCAATTTACCTGGATCAATTCCATTCTGATCTACAGAGAAAATCCGCATATCTGCGAATTCAAGAACCAAATCACCTTTTTATAAAGCCCCCAACCAGGCCTTCGGCTATGCAGATCCCATTTTTGTCAACAATCAAAATCAGTTCTGTCCACCCTGGGGTATCGTTGCATAAAACCTTCCACATCCACTCGTATCAAAAGCAAATTTATAAATTATAAAATTCAGAATAGGGTGAGAAGATCGCATGGCGCCACTGCTCTCACCGTCTCCACGACATTCCACTTTTCTTACCCAGGCTAGAAGGCGCTTTATTACTATTAGTCAAATTCAGTCTACTCTTCGCAGCCCTGAGTCTCGAAGGCCCCCGCTATCTCAGGCGTAGCCCTCGGAGAAGGCGCAGCAGTCCTCATTTCCACGGCTTCATTCGCCGGGAACCCAGCTTCTTCACGCAATGCAGGACTCGAAGCCATACGCTGCGGGATCTTAGACTTGAATGTCGGAGGCGGGAAGATAGTCTTTTTGAATGCATCGACGAACTCCTGGAATTGCAAGCTTTCGGCGTAGTCGTTGGAGAGGGGGGGTGTTGAGGCTCGGCGGAAAGCTGCTACTACGATTCCGGAATTGCGAATGCGAGAGCTGCCGAAGCGGCTTGGGACTGCGAGGAAACGGCCGATGCTCCAATCTTCTGGGTCGAAGTTGGCATCCTTGGGGGGTTGGAAATAGAAAATTCCAAGTGAGCGGAGAGCGTTCAAATGGAGCTTCTTGTTGAGATCTTGAGTTGCAGATTGCATACCATGGGCGACCAAGTACCGAATATGAATCTCATCTGCTGTTACGGGTGTTGCAGAGGTGTGGTTCGGTGCAAATATAGAGACTGCGTAAATCAGGTCGTAGGCAAGGTTTTGGGCGGCAACTCGGAACATTTGAGCTGCGCCGGCAAGGAGATGAGGATCAATAACAAGAGGATCTACTGCCATTGGACGAGGAATTGGAGGAGGGTTTGATGGCGGAGGCGATGGGAACGAAATCTCAGTGCTGCTTATAAGATCGCTCCCAGACTTGGTTTCTGTTGGAGTCGAGCTCGGTTGGGATGGTGGAGGAGACTGCTTAACAACTTCGACAATCTGTTTTGGAGCACGGATCGGACTAGTGGTTAAGTCTTGGAATTTGGCTGAAAGGGTCGATATATCTGGAGAATTGGATTCGGAATTTCCAACAGGCGGTGCTGGTTCGGTTGGACTTGATACACTGCTAGCTGGTGCGTTGAGTGCTTTCGAAATAGTGATCTGAGATCCTGATGGGTGAAGAGGAAGGTCACTTGCAGTCAGTGCTGGACTCTCTTTTCTTGTGGATGGAGAAGCAAGAATTGTGACTGAACCATACTCAGACTTACGACGGTATGCAGCACTAAGATCTGCTTGATCAGGAGTAACAGGTCTAGCCTCAGACTCAAAAGTATCAGCTGTTGTAAGGCTGTCAAAAGAACTCTCAGGCGGTGGCTTTGAAGCCGAGGTCTGTTGGTGATCAGAAGAATTTTGCGTAGTATGAACGGCTGAGACAATCTCCTCTACAGTATTTTCGGATTGCGATTTCGTAGCCGATGATTGCTGAGGTTGAGAGATTGAGACAGCATCATCTGAGGACTTGTCAAATTCTGACTTCGTAGTTGTTAGCTGTTCAGGTTGAACCGGTGCGACGGAGTCCTTTCCACTCTTTTCGGATTGTGGTCTCGCAAATGATAACCGTTGAGCCTGAGCAGAACCAGATCTAGTACGAGCTCGAGAGTCAAGACCATCATATGGTGACAGACTGTTGGTAGAAGTAGACATTCTGACGTTGAATGATGCGATTGCAGCTTTTACAGTACCAGGTTGAGGTGTACCGTCCCTGGTTAATGGTGGTCTCTCTACTTGAGTTCTGTTTGATGATCTTCCCCGAAATTGTGGCTGGATGCTGTCCCGCTCTAGCAGCGGAGACAGGGAATATCTTACGCTTTGGCTGGTTTGGTCGGTGGTACTGCTCTCGAATGATCCGCGTTGAGGATTATCATCCGCTTCTTCACTGTGGCTTTCTTCAAGGTGACTCTCATCTCGAAAACTAATCATAGATGCCCGTTCTTGAAGGACTTCGTAACCTAGTGAGGGCCGAGAAAGAGGGCTCGAGAAGAAAGCAGTATCCTCAACCTTTGGAGTTTTGATTACACGCAGCGGTGGAGGAGGCTCCAGCTTCAGGGCAAGCTTTGATCTTGTCGAAGTAGCCAAGCTGGCCATGCTCCCATTATCTCGAACCATAATACGGGCGGGTTGTTCAATTTTAGGTGCTCTTTCCTCTTGGAAGTCTTGATCATTCATACGGAGAAAGTCGATAAAGGAAAATCCTGGATTTGTATCTGATCGACTTGTAGCAAAAGATTCATCTGGAACCAAAGGTACATCATGATCAAGGACCGAAGAACCGTGACCAGATTGTCGTGCGCTTTGAGCTTGTACTACTTCTTCCCCAAGTATCCCAGAAACCTCTGAATCAAAATAGTCATCGAGTTCTTTCGAAAAGTACGCGGGTAACGGCGCCTGTTTATAAAATCGAATAGGACAGTGAGGAACACCAGGGATACTTCCTGGATCTGGTGTATCGATTCTGATAAAATCGCTCATCCCATCATCTGGTAGAGGGAGGTTTTGTAGCTGAGGATGGGATAGATCAGCTCTCTGCATGGTGATATCGGCAAGAAGATAGTCCGCAAATGTGTGAAGCTCCGACCGTTCCTTTGGCGCAAAAGTAGTTCTCGGAATTCGATCAAAGATGTAAAACACACCGATAGCGACATCGTCGTGTGTTAGAAGCGGCGCGGCAGCAAAAAAACGAATGTTTGGTTCGCCAACAACAAGGGGATTGTTTTTAAAGCGCCAGTCCTTTTGGTGCATTAGCAAGTTACAAAGTCATCGCTTCCATACAGGCACATTAAATCTGTGTTGACTGACCCTCATGGTATCCAGTACCCATATGACTTCACCAGTGTACAGTGCGTGAGCGGCCAAGCTCATCAAACGATCAATCCTCATCGGATCATATCCATTCTCAGCGCGAATGACTTCATAGTCGCCGTCAAAAAAGCTCAGCGCAGCATGTTTAACTTTAAAAACCGCGAGCGCTTTAGACATTTGGTACTCAGCAGTTTTAGTATCCCACTTGGGCCAAAGAATGTCATACATAGAACTCATATGCATGCGTTTGTATTCATCTGCTGTCAGTAAAGCAGGGAGATAATCAAATTCAATATCAGATGGCAGCTCTTGCATCTTTTTGAAGTTGAACGTTCCCTGTAATACTATCAGTACAATTTCAAGAAGTGAAGCTCGGTTACGTACCCGCGTGTACCGCTCATACCAATCGCAAATCACTGCAAACATATCGCCTGTAGTTTCCCCAGCTGAATCGGAGGCTGCATTGCGTATCTGAGTGTAACGGCGCTTCGAAATCTCCTGTACATTTTGCTTTAGTCCTGGGAGGGGCACAACTCGGCCTTGGTCATCAAATGTTGGACTTTGTCTCGCGCTATCCCTCCAGCTTCCACTCGAAACGGCTTTGGTTCTCTCATCCTCGCGGTGCCAATCCCCTGCGCTACTGAGGATACCTTGTTCCTCATACGGTTCGTAACACACAGATCCATCATCTTCGTCGAGGTGTGAGCCATTATCGCGGACATTCCGTTGTCCTTTAGATCGTCTAAGGATAAGCTTATGGTTATGCTTCGCCTTCAAACTGGCGCGTCGTGCTTGTGTGTCCATAGAGTCGTCCATCTCCTCTGTCAATGTGGCATTCGACGACTGTGCGGGGGACAGATCGTCTATTTCCTTGTTATTTTCTGTATCGGGCGATAAAAGTGCCCATCTTAGAGAGTTGTCGGATAGTGATACACTACCATCTATACTACTGGCCCTATCGCTCGCCCACATCGATGTTGTTGGTTGTGATTGTGGATATTTAAGCCGCCGCAAAGTTTCCTGCCTTGGCTCTAGGCGGCCATGTTTCAACGGGTACATCAATACATTAGGTACAATTTTCATGCCCTTCGAACAGTTAGAGCATTTTCCTCGAGACCTGCTCAGACGGGTAACATACGATAGTCATTGGATCTGGACCTTGGAGCGGGTCTAGATCTTGGACTGTGTCTGGATCCGGGAATGGATTTGAATCTGGGTTTGAGACTGGATCCCGGATCGATTTCTTTTCCTCCTTCCTTCCTCGGAATAAAGAGCTGACTTTCTTGCTTATTCGACGTCCTGGGGTAACAGAGTCACCATCTAAGAATGCGTAACTTCCTCCTTTAGACAGTCTTCGTCGTCTCTTTTGCTTTTTGCGCTCTCGTTGATTTTGCTCTTGTGATGGCGATGGTGGATCCCTAAGCGACCATGAAGCACTTGACAGTGCTGCACTCATGCCAATAGTGCCCATCATACCTGATACTCCTTCTAACAATCTGTTGAAGTTAGCTATTGTGCGCGTCCAGACGCGAACTGAGTTTGTATTTGCGACAGGATTGCCTTTGTCCGCAAAGGTGAGCTCTTGAAGTCGTCAAGTCAGCAGTTATCCATTCCGCGCTAGTCCAACAGTGAATACGTTGAGGTGAATGTGAAAATTGTGGCTCGCAGGGACCAAGCTCAGATGAAAAACGTTGAGTAAATCTGAGTGGCTTAAGATTATACTTCGAAGATTTCTTGCCAACAATATTTCGGATAGCTCTATTTGATGTATGCTGTGGTGGAGAAAAGATCTTGCAGCATTGAGTACAGTCATATGATTCATAAAATTTGAGGACTAGACTATGATGGAGATGTATCTTGTTCACCGCGAAATGGGAGAGCTGGCGCCGAAGGAGTGTTGAACGGGGAAGGAGAAGTAGTGTTCACATACCTAGCTACTTCGCGACAGAACTAGAGCTGAAGCAATTCCAAGGAAGGGATATTTACAGCCGAATGCTTGTACAAGAAGAGAAGACTTACCTGATGGACAACTTTTAATTATCTGAAGTAACACTATAATCAATTCTAGCTCCCACAGAATTCATTGATAGGCAACTTGGAGCGGGGAATATTTCGTCTACGCGGCTGTTTTGTGCATAACAGTTCAATGTCAGGAGCCGCTTGTTATCTCTAGAAGTTTGTAAGCTCTTGTTTGCTATTCGAGTGAGTTTGGATTATTACTTTCCTGCCCACGGCGCCACACAGAACTGCTCTATTGGAAATTTGATAGAGGTCAGATAGACCGGGCAGCCAGGACGGATGATAACCACAAAAAAAGTGCGGGAGTCTTATAATTCTGTACAACTAGATCAATATCGGGCGGAATCGATGAGAAATGGCGGACTCCTTGATGTTTTCGCGGGTACTTCTTCAGTGATAGCAAGAGGTGGATAGACGAGACATGCTTGAAAAGGTTGTTTCTGTTCTGCCATTGCGACAGAGACTCACATATGCAAGGTGGACTTCTGATAATGCCCCAAAGCCAGATCGCGGTCTCGATGATTGCCATGTGAGTGACACCTGTGGGAAGCTTCTGTCATATGTGAGAGGTCCATATTGGAACGAAGTGTATGATGTCTCTCCTTTAGAAAACAACCGTTAACGGATGCTTTACCTACTGGATACCTTACTCCTCGACTTGTTAACCCAATCGGAGTTGAACACTATCATCCACGCGCAAGAATACGCGGAATCGAAATCGTCGGAGCATATGGCTGGATCATAATGCAATAGTTTGTCGTTTCCTTGCAGAACCAGCTTCTGCCGTCCCGTCCCATTGCATCGGGTGTGACAGCTACTGTGCAGATCGGGGAATAAACGTGAGCTTCTGGTTGCTGCTCCTTGACTTTGGAAACTAGTGTCAGGTCAAAGTAATGTTGCTATTGTCCTTTCTTTGTCCAACAGAACTGTGATCCGAAAGTAGGCGAGATCTATACTGCAGCACATTACAGACGTTGGTTTTAGCATCGAGACATACCTCATAACTCGTGGCTTACACCAAAGTTGATTAGTATATCCCTTGTGAAAGTATTTCTTTTTGTTTTGGAGGATGGACAAATATATGAATTGTGACAAAATGACACCTTCGCTAACGGCGCATAAATTTAGTCACATTTTCATGGTTGCTTTTCGTTAGTAATACGATATTAAAATATTAACTGTTCATAGGTGGCTTATGATCGTAAAAAAGAGCTGAATGTCGTAAAGGTTCGGCTCCTGTTCTAATGCGACTATTCAAATCATGACTCGAACACCTTTGGTGCCTCCAAAGGCGTCCGAGCTAGATGAGGAATACCATAGATAGCCAACACACAGATATCGTTACCAGTGGCTAAGTACAAGACGGGTTTTTGGGTTTCTGGTAACTGATGTTTATTAACGTATATCTCTAAAATCGGGGTATATGACGAATGATCAAAACTAGTAACAGCAGGTTCCAAAATATAGCGCACGCAACCCGACGACCAATGAGCATTGCCGTCGTTCAATTCGAAGGGAGAGCGTGGCACAGACCTGTTGGTAATTGTTGGTCCACTGGTATATTAATCAGGAGCACTTTCGTGCTCACTGTAATCCAAAAATCCAGCATTCCACGCATCTCTGTCAAGCAAATAACCAAACCTGTCACGATTCAACTTTAGATATTCTGGAATATCCTGATTATTGTCAACCCGTATAAACTCCTCACCCGGCCGGTCGAAAAGGTCTAATCCTTTCCTTACCCGATCCACGATATGCGTTCGATCCCGAAATTCTTCCCTGTCGTAGCCTGTGTGCGAGAAGCTCGACATCTTTGTAAGGACCTCCTCGATGTTTGGAAAGCAAGTACTGCAGTGCCACCCTGAATTCCAAAGGTCTGTCTTGTACCACCACACCTTTATCCAACTGCCACCCTCGCCGTTACGCAAATCCGCTGGGAGGATGGTATGTTCTGGCCCATAATAGATAGTAGCTTGCGGATGTGCCCACTCCTCACCACGATGTTTCCATTGGAACCCATAGTAAAAGAATTGACTTCGAAGGGTGAGACGGCGTGGGAAGTTGCAGTTGCGCATTACCGTAATGGTGATTGGCCTTGGAATCTCGTCTACGTCGCTGACGATCAGGATGTCACCAACATTTGCCTTTCGCTTGTCCTCTAACCCAGGTATAACTTGCAGGAACATGGCATTGCGCTGATGGTCCTCATAATCCCAGGCCCGCTTCGCGCCGACTGGCATATCGGTTACTTCATGGTATATTATCTGCGAATGAAACTCAGCAAAGCGAGACCAGTTCTCCTTGAGCACCAAGGCTTTGGGTCGACCAGTAAAAGTATATGGTGATTCGACAATAACGAAATAATCGACGTATGCCGCGAGGGTGTTCAAGCGAATCTCAAGCCATTCCAGCTCATCATTGATCATAAGTAAGTCATAGACTTTTCGCAGTGTATATCGATCGGGGTAGGGTTGGAAAGCATGTTGCCCGCAGAATTCTTGCGCTTGTTTGTCGTCAAGAGAGGTTCGGACATTGGCACGCGATTTGGAATTGCCGTCTGGAAGCGATTGATAAGTCTCCTCGAGTTCGAAGGATCGATTCGTTATTGCGTGCGCATATTTGGTGAACGGATGCTTCTGTTCGTTAAGTATGAGGAAGAGCCATAGCAATAGTAGTCCAGTACCCAATGATCTCCACCGGAGGTATACAGCTTGGGATAACTTTTTCCAACGCCTGCGATAGCTCGAAGAAATGAGCATGGTACTTGTTGGATGTTACACCACCTGTAGACCTACGATGCTCGAGTGGCCTCACCCTCCTGCCTGCATGTCTCGAGTGATTCATTGCGGGCGCAGCGCAGATTGTGCTTACCTACCCAGGGGCCAGGGCGATGCCACCAAACGCAGGGCGAAAAATCACCCCAGAAGGGCTGACTGTCCGCGAACGCCCTCATGCGGCGAGTTTGTTTTGGGGTTCTACAGCTGTTCCCCAGGGTTTTGGGCGAGGCCAAGTCCAATGGCCCGCTGAAGCTAAAGCCCCCCTTTTCATGCTGGCTTTAGTGCACTTTTATACTGGCCTAAGCGAACGTTGAACAACAAGACGAAAGAAATAACTAGTTGCCATTTAGGAACGCTAACTGTAAGTAATGGCATAGAGTCGATTCCCTCGGAATATACGTTACGTATATCGGCTATCGGGCTGGGTATTTAAACCTAGATCGAAGCGGCACAGTTTCGAGAGACGCTTTCAACTACTCCTCTTTGAAATATGGACAGTTAAGTAGGCAGGTATGTGTATTCATTTTACTCATTTACGGTACGAATATTGGTGCGCGAATTAATAGTGGGAGATCGACAAATAAGTCTCATGTATATATATACAACTGCTACTGGAGCGTTCATCTATCTAAAGGCTTTCCTCATCTTACAAAGCCGAGGCTTCCATCATCATCCTTACGTCCTTCTGAGGATATGTGTGAATAATTATATCTTACTTTCCTTCTTCGCACACGACAGCTACAACGACACATATATCGTCAACCTTTCCACCCCGCCAATTCTCGTGTGGATATTCCCTTTGAACCTCCCGCGCAAACGGGCCGTCTAATTTTGTGTTGACGCTGGCTGCCTTCGCCTCGCCGGTAATTCCAATGGCCAAAAAGCTCTGCAAAGTGGGTATATCCTCTGTACCGCTTGTTACATCTGTCATGACAAATTTACTGATGTCTGCTCCTACGTCAATACCATTCTCAGTGTGTATCCAGGCTTTGGCCCCAATCATCAATTTAGACACGATTTTCAATATATCGTGCCTAGACAGATTATCCCATACGCCGTCACTAGCGAAGACCAGAACGTCGCCATGCCGCAACGAATGCTGCGATGCGTTTGCATCTCTCGGCATATCGCAAAGCTGCGTTCCTCCAAATGCCCTCTGTCTAGCGCGCATTTTCTTTGGGACAATCGATAACTGGTATGGAGTATTAAAAGCGTGGGTCTGGGGTTCCGAGTATGTATGTACGGCATTACTTCTGAGTTGCACGAATCCAGAATCCCCCAAGTTCGCAACTTCGAGCTTCCCGGACTCCCTAACAATCGCAACACATGCCGTACTGCCTCCAGCTGGAACAGTTTCATCATTGCTAATGTCCTCATATCCTCTCTGCATTAGGCTTCTAGCCCCTAGTGGTACCTTCCACTCCTCGGGTTTGTGCGTATATGCTGCGTGAGCCATGTAGTCGCAAAAGCCATGTGAAAAATCTGCTGGGTCGACACCAGAATCTACCCAGCCTCCCACTCCGTCTGCAATTCCAAGTGCCACGTCTGAGGTTTCCCCGATTCTACTGACGAAAAATGCATCCTGGCCACTGTCCGGCCGAGTTCGTTTGTCTTTCCTCCGCGCCCGAATGTGATTGTAAGGGTTGAAGTTGAACACGTTTCTCGTAGGGTTATATCGTCGGTCCTTAGCCGTAAAAGAAGCTGATATGCCATAATTGAATTTTGGGGTAGACTTCAGAGCACATGAGACGGAGAATGCTCTCGCCGAAGCTGGAACTCGGTTCTGAAAAGGGGGATTTCTGTAAGTTCGTAGACTCGCGTCTGTACTTTGCCGGATTCTGGTTGAGAGTATGCCACTTGTTGCAGAATTTCTAGATGTAACACAAAATGCTGTGATGCTTGTCTCCTTCAGACATGCCCTTCTATGTGTTGCAAACGCAACGTCGCGCAAAACAACCGCCATGGCTAATAAGTTTCGTAAATCGTGGAGAGGAGAGTTGCGAAGCCCATGGGCCCGCGAAATTCAATCAAAAGACAAGAGAAAAGATAAAGAACATCGTGCGTATAATTGTCGGCACGACGTAGAAAAAGAGACTGCGTGGATGGTTTGTAGAGAGACAACGCTGTCGTTTGGTAAGTTTCTCGATGAAATCTGTTGATTATCCCTGTCAGCTTCGTCATAACCCATGTCAGCGCACAGTATTCCCGGCATGCGACTTGTGCGACTCATGCGGGTCAAAATTCAAACATATTTTAATTTCAGCCTTACCAGCAGCCTTGTTGGGTGACCGGTACTTGTACTGACCAGACTGAAGTATGGTAATGTTTCCTCTAATTAAAGCTCATATAAGGAAACGGTCTCGAAATACTTGGTGCTTCTGTATGGCAACGATGTGTATAGGATTACGGTTTGGGTAGGCAATTCAAAAATTGCCAAAGTACAATTCATTGTGCTTCGAGACTGGGTAGATTTACAAGTCGGGATATATAGTGTATTTTTACATCTTCTTCGTCGCGGAGTAAAACCAGATCCGTTATAAAGCGTCCAATCAGCTAGGACTCTCAATGGACAAGTGCCACAGGCTTGCCCTTCTCCCAAGCATCTAAGCTCTCCTTGATGTTGACCCAATATCTCATGCGAACTGCCTCTTCCTTGGCCAAGGTTATGTTCTCTTCTCTAAATGCTCCATCCAGTATTTCTTCGCTTTTCGCTATGCGCTCGTCGTTGATCTTCTTCATGTCAATCAGATCTTCCTCGTTTTGCGCATTTTCTATCTCTTCCTGGGTATCTAACACTTCCATCAATAACTCTGGATCCTCTACCTTCAATGTTTCGTCTTCCGCAACATCAATACCCTTCATGCTTAACAGGTATTGCGTTCGCAGCAGAGGATTTTGTAAAGTCTTATAAGCCTCGTTTATCCTTGCGGAGGTACCCTCGGCTCGACTTTTCAGATGAGTTGGATGCCGATCCGGATGCGCCACAGCTTGTAGCTGTAAGAACTCCTTTCGTAGTTCCCGCGCGTCTATCCGGAAAGGTCCTGATGGCGGCGGCCCTTGCGGGAGAGTTTTAGGGAAGAACTCGTAGTGTGTTTGTGGTACTGTTTCTGCTTTTGGGGGAATGTTCGACCCCGTCTGGGAAGTTCGGGCGGATGTCTGCCATCGTCGTTGAAAGCGGCTGTAATTCGAATAGCCCGGCGATATGCCACTACAACGAAGGCATGTTGTAGGAAGAGTTGATCTCTGTACGAATCGTGAACCAATATCCTGGCGAGTTTCTACTCCAGGATTTCTGATGATTTTGCGAGCTTGACGCAGTGTTGAGGAGCGCATAACCGTATCGAATCCGGGTCTTCCGTCTAGGAAATAAAGAATTCTATGATAGCGCACCTGGAGTCGTTATTATTATATGAACATGATGAAGCCGAGACGTCGATTCGACTTGGATGAACGTGAAAGAAACTCGAGCGGATGACGTCGGCTCGGGGACGACACGGACCTTCCCACCCACCTGGGCACCCGTAGAGCCTACCTACTTTGAATGCTTTCTTCCATTATTGTAAAATCGCTCACCCTTCACGTTTATCTTCCCTACTAAACACATCGCATCATGTATCCGTCCAAGTGGAGTTGAACTTCATAAACTCAGCTTCCTATGAAATCGAATTGAGCCCTGGTTCGTGCTGTAGCTCTTTTAGTTGTTGTTTTAACAATAGGCAGGCAAGCTAAATCTCGAGAATCCTCGGAGAAGCGCAACCAAAGCCGCGCGATGCCAAAAAGCAATCCCATTTACTCGGCTACCAATCAGCTGTCCTTGATTGGCACATCTAGAAGTATGCGGTAGATCTCCGCGCATTTGCTATCACAATGGAACTTCTTCTTATCGGTATGCTTCAAACAAACAGGTAAAAGTATTGTTCATTGATCTCCTCACTTAAGGTATAGCAAGTATTCAAGTTCTTCTCTGTTACTACTCGTTCTTTATCCTCGAAACTGTTTCTTTTGCGGCTTTTTGGAATGGATACCATGACAGATACAGAGCACTTTAGCCCATACCGCGCAGACGGCAAGCTGTATGGTTTCGTTTGTGTCGTGACAGGTGCTCAACAAGCTGTGGGACAAGCAATCATCAGAGAATTGGCCGGTGAGCAGAAGTTTGACCCAACAGAATGCAAATTCGTGTTGTATTGCCATATTTGTTGGCAATTGAAATGGTTGGACAGCTTTTGCTAACTATCACAGCTCATGGTGCTGCTTGCGTTTATGGTATGTAGCGTGAGAACGATTTCGATTTGCCAGTTCTTTTTGAAATGAACGAGGACGGCTATCCCTAACAAAAAATAGCCTGCGACAAAGGCACGTCCTCTGATTATACCGACCTGATCGAGAGCATTGCCAAAGAAAGTCCAAACACAAAAGTCATTGGCTATCCGTTCAATATAGCGGCAGAAGACGAGACTCTGGGACTCATTGATGATGTGCTCAACTCTTGGGGCAGACTTGATGTCTGGGTGTGCTCCTCTGGTTTACTGGGTCCTTCATCAATCGATGCCACTACCCCAACGGACCTGCAAAGGTGTTTTGAGGCAAATAGCATGGCTCCCTTCTTTGCCTTGAAGTATGCGCCGCCAGCTATGACTAAGACGACGCCTAAATTGGCATATCCAAACGCTGCTCCAAAAGATCAGAAGTATGGCTCTATAATTGTGGTCAGCTCCGTTGCAAGTACCTATGGTGGTAAGTCGATGTATCGAAGACAGCGAGATGGCAATTACTAAATGTTGAAGGATGTTGGGGACCTGCCTTTACTATGGCATCACATGCGGCTCTGGGGGTAGTAAGGGCTGGAGTAGCGGTGCTAAAAGGCACTGGTGTGAGAATCAATTGTATCTCTCCTGGACAGATTGATGTTGGGGTTGATCTTCAAGGGGTACGCACTTTCCCGACCCCTCCGCATATCCTATGTACTTACAGACATACGATAGTTCGATATGCGAGGTATGGCAGCACAATTTCCGCCTGCAAGTCTTCAATCAAAAGAAGTAAGTTTCCGATTTAGGTGGTATGTTTGGCAATTAAAGTTTTCGTAGAGCCAAAAGAGCCATATCGGACTGGAAAGATCAGGTCTCCCCATCGAAGTGGGACGTGTGGCGGGTTTCTTAGCAAGTGGATTTAGTTCCTATGTAACTGGTGCAAATATGGTCGTCGATGGAGGAGCGAGGTAAGACTTCGAACCCAACAGGACGAGAAGTGTGCTAATATCAAACAGCGTGATGAATCCATTGACCGTTCCTATATAGAAGTAGATAGTAATTTAAGACATGAAGATCTTTGATGATAGCAACATGTTCACCTTAAGAAAATGCCACATGAATTAGTATGAATTTTATACATGAATTTGAAAGGATTGACTGAGTATGACTTGTCTTATTAAATCTGGGATCAAAAGAGTTCCACTCCTCTGACATCTGTCGGAATATGCCGAGAGGCTCGGAAGTGGAACACAACAAACACATTCCTCAACATCCAGCTTTCTTCTCGTACACACCAAACGCAATAAAACCAACTTCACAATGTCAAGTCCAAACCTTCTTTTCTCGGATAATGAGGCCGACGTATCTCAAGCTGCCAAAACCTACGGCATAACGACGGCACAGTTCGAAGCACTCCTTTCACGAAGTACAGATGCCAAAGCCACAGCATACTGCCCATACTCGCAATTCCGTGTCGGAGCAACTATCCTGACAGAAGATGGTGCCTTCGTCGATGGCGCAAATGTTGAAAACGCAGCGTATCCAGTAGGAACGTGCGCAGAGCGTGTCGCATTTGGCAAGGCTGTCACAGGGGGACACAGGAAGTTCAAAGCTGTGGCGGTCGCAACGGATATCTCGCCGCCTGCGAGTCCTTGTGGCATGTGTAGACAATTGTGAGTGGAATTGGGAAGACAGTCCTTCCTTTCAAAACTGTGGAATACATTTTCCAATGCTAATCGTTTGCAGCATTCGCGAGTTCTGCGACCTGAAAACACCCATCTTCATGTTTGATAAGGATGGAGCTTTTATAGTGATGCGGCTAGAACAAGTAAGTCACTATGCCCCTCTTGAATTATTTCCAAAGCTAACACACTGCAGTTACTTCCACTATCTTTCGGACCAGAAGCACTCCCTCCCCCTGGTTCTCTGACAGCCGCGAGAGGATGAAGGGAGTCGCAACGAACCGACACGCAATCCGATCCCTCGAGACCTCAAAACCAGGTTTATACACACATACGCGCGGAATGGTTAAGGTTGTTGCTTGTTTGCTCCGCCATCTTGATGGATGATCTGGTCCATAGGAGACGTTCAAGGGCCAAGGATGGCACTCACAATACTCTTACACATATGTCCTATCAATGATGGAGAACGTATCGACCAATATAATTGCCTACCGAAATGTAGACAAATATACGTATGGCGACGCTCTTAGGGAGTTGAACCTCTCTGGAGGAATAGCTGTTTGGGAACAATTCTTAAAGAGCACAAGCAGAATACCTTTACCTATTGGACCCGTGTCAAAATCTCTGGATATTCTTGCTGTAATTTGCAAGCGTAAAATTGGTGCATATCTATTTTTTTCTGCTCGCGTGTTCTCTCACCCTTCGCTTTTTGTCGTTTTTTTCAGCTCCTTGTTTGCGCGAGAAGAAACAAGCAGGAGGGATTCTTGCCCGGATTCGCGCTTTTGAAGAGAAAATCCCTCCTCCTATCAGTTTTACCGGATAATCTGTTCTCTCACCGAAAGGCTATGTCTAGCGAAGCTATTTACCATATATATGACACTAACCGGCAGTGGATGAGGTGTGATGTGAGTGAGAACTTCCACTGGCAAATAAGGCGCACACGTTGTAGGTTTGGGCCTACAGTTAAAACCAACTCTTGAAAATGTATAAATTTTAGTGATCCTTCTTCGTTTGTTTTCCCTCCAAAGTGAAGACCCTCGGAGGATATCGTTCAATATTTCTGGACTTGGTAGAGCCACTCAACAAGTCAGATTTGGAAAATGCTTTTCCATAGATGAGGGAGACACTATGAAATTCATTGGCCAAAATTGGAAAGCTGCAAATGAAGGGATATGAGATACCTAGTCATTGCTAGAAGTAATGTTTGTCCATTCTTGGACACTATCATTTCGGGTAGTCCGACCACCTTCCGCGCGCAGTTTATTTTCCGATTAATCGCTAGACCCGAGGTAGAAAAGACAAGTGTCAGCGACCGAAATTGGAACTTGCGAGCTTTCTACTCATTCTTGAGATCACTTAGTCAAGATGATTAGATGAATTACATGATTTACTGATTTCATCCGGAATAGGCAAACTGGAATCCATGGCTTTCGAGTCTCGCTTAATCCACTTACTCATTATTGGCCTTTGGAATGTATCAGTCTAATTACAGGACAGTAATGATTTTTGTGGGTTTTTTTTCACAGACTTGGGATACAGGTAATATTTATTATTAGGTATCTTTCACTCAGATTAACGTGAAGTAGAAACTTTTGAGTACAAACCGAACCCCATGCTCGTATAAAGTTCCTTCCTGTCAGCCTTCATCCTCGCGAGATTCGGAACAGATTCCGAAATTGCAGGCATCGTATAGTCTCGGTAATTGGGCACTATAAACCCCTAGGAAATATCACGATTAGCGAGCTTTTGACAGCGGCTTGTGAACGTCCAATGTTTAGTAACAGTAGTGCTGAAAATATAAGATTACTTGTCTTGTCGTAACTTGGACTTCAAATCTCAACAGAAGAGGCTCGCCAATGTCTTCTAAATAGGGCATTATCATCATGTGATAGTCTTCCGACAGATTGGTCTAGATCTCGTTTGTCATCATCGCGGGGCTCGGGAAGTCTTGTGTTTGTACAACCTTCCTCCAACCATCTCGCGATAGGAAGGTGAATAGACGTGGCAGCGTCACATCCGAGAGGCTCTGTGGCATATTCAATCGATTTTTGTAGCGCCAGTTCAGCTTAATCTATGTCAGGAGTTACACGACCTCGACAATCCGGCGGCCCAACTTTGACTGGTTCTGTAATCGCCATGCACAACTGCGGCGCTGAGCAGCGCATATTGCCTAAACCCAGCCTCACGCTCTCTTTCATTCCAGCGTCAGCTTGATACACGAACGACTGCCTTCAACCATTCTAGATTCTCCTAAGAACCATGTCCTGATTACTAGTGATTGCAAGCTACATCTTGAAAGTCACGACCTTGAAACCACAGAGCGTGACACGGATCATGATACGGAGAGAATGAAAGCTCGTGCCGGAAAGATCCCAACCTTTTCTAGATCTCTCCCCCTGGTACATCGTCGGCTCCTACAGCTACGATTCCCGCTCATGCACCCATCCTCTAGGTCAACATGTCTCAGGGCTCTTCGCAGTGGGCGAATCCGGAATTGTCCATCGGTGCAAGTTGCGGTACAGTGGACGCTGAAGGAAAACACAAATGTTGGGCTCTCAAGGAGGACAGCCCTGCTCATCAGGTATGGAAAGCGATAGCAAAGCCCATTATGCTTTTGCTCCAAGACCATAATGCCGAAATGGATACCAAGGATGTGGACCTTATGATTGAGGTCTTCATGATTGGTGAAGAAGGGAGCAAGAGTTGCCCGACTGTACTTTTTAGTTGCCAAGATAAGAGAGTTCGACAAAGAGCTATGGAACTGGTCGATAAGAGTATGATCATTCAGGATTATGAGGGATTACTGATGGCCGAATGTTCACGCCATCGACGTCCCTTGGCGATGGAAGAGACTGCAGAGGTTCCCGCTCTACCACCAGGAGTCTATGCGACAGAACCGCTCCGACACTGTGGAGTAACTGTATTGATATCTGGAGAGCAACGCGGCTCACCAAGGAGAGCTACGCTGGGTGGCATCGTTTTTATAGCTGGGTTGTTCTATGGCCTTATCACCCTTTACGCCTGCAAACAAAATTCCAACATAACTAATTTCACGGATCTGGATCCTCAGTTTACTTTCTACGAGCCTGAGGAGGATGTTGATTTTCTTGATAATAGACATGATTCAGCTGCTGTGCTTTCTCTGGGTATGTTCTTATTCTCCTGAGTAATTTGCGTGAATGCTGATTTATTGTGCTCAGATGGACTGTCACCAAGTACCCTTTCGTCGCCTACCAGTAGTAGAGAGAATTCGACAGGATCCAGAAAACCATCCGAAGGCTCTAATACGACAGTAGGGACCACTGGTATGAAACAATTTTCTTCATCTGCTACTTGAACTGTGTTTGCACCTTTGCCTCTCGTTGTTGCAGTCAAAGTTTCCAATCAGAATGTGGTTGTTAAAGTTGAACCGCTGTCTGATTGAATGTTTTCGTTTGTGGCCTGTTTGGGCCTTTGATTTTAATTTCAATTAGTATTGCAATTGCTGACACTTAGCCATTAGATTCTATAAGCACTATCTCAAGGGTGAGTTCCTCGTCGTCGGCTCCTGAGCCGCGGCCCAAGTCACATCGAAGAACACTACTCGCTATGGGAGGGGGAGAAAATGATATTACGCCTGAGCTAGGCAACATTTTTGTATCAGCTCCTGCCAACAGCCTCGATTGGGCTCTTGTGGAAATCGAGAATTTTGACTTAATGCTGGAAGATATCTCACTAAATAATCGCCGTATGTCACCTATGCTCTCAAGTAACTTAAGAGTACTAAAACAATGACAGGATTTATGACTAACAGTATTTACTGTCGGAATCAAAACCTTCACACACAAGCTGTTCACCCTAAAGGTCTAGCGCGAAGACCAACAGATATTGACGTTCTCATTTGTACTGGCAATAGAGATGACGCTTTAGAGGGGAGGTTATCAGGGATTGCAACTTATCAGAAAGCACCGGGGAGCGATACATTCCAGGAGTTATGGGTCGTCCGGTGTATTAACGGTAATTTCTGTAAGTTGAACGTCTTCAAAATCTATTAATTTGCTTACTTGTCTAGTTGACGGGGACTGTGGATCGTGGGTTGTTGATGTTGAGACCGGAAATCTCTGTGGGGTGGTGGTCTTCGGAAACCCAGGATCCGAGATCGCGTACATCATACCTGCCGCTCATATATTCGATCGAATGCAGAATCATCTCAACAAGCGAGTAGAATTATCGACGCCGGAATTGTGGAGTGCTAGGGAAGAGTTCTCGAAAAACAGCAGATTAATTAATTCTAGTCTTCAACGCGCAGATTCGAGCAGGACTATTAGGACGGAAAAAGGCAAGAGTTCCGTAGGACAACCGTCCGTACGAGATCCATCTATACGATACTCTTTAGAGGTAGATGAACCGGAAATGGAGGAAGACGACTACGAAATATCGAAACGAAAATCCTGGTCTCAAAACTCTATTCAGAGCACCGTCTTCGACACCCGCTCTCTGCATTCAACCGCTTCATCACATTTCTCCAAAATACCTACGTACTTAGCAAGTGATACACATCTTTCGGTTGCGTCGAACTATGAGCGGTTTCAATCCTCTCATCTTCCCATGACTGGGCCACGCCGACGTACAGGATCAACCGTTTCTGGCGGCTCAACTCCATCGCGTCACATATACCGTCCCTACTCTACCACCTCGACCCTTCAATCTATCGACTCAGGCTACGGAAACCCGCCTTGTAATAATCTCTACATCCGAAACCTTCCCGCTGAACCCGACGAAGGCGATCTCCGCGAGTTCTTTGCGAAACAGCCTGGTTTCGAAGGTATAAGAATGAAACTCAACGAGCCAGAATGTTTCGTCCAATTTTCCGATGTCCAATCCGCCATGGAAGCTCTTCGTCGGTCAGATGATCATCGCTTCTCTCCAGAGGATAAGTGGGGAATCATGGTTGGATTTGCGCGTAATGGCGTCGCTCCGGCAAAAACAATCCCGAGCCAGGAAGAAATCGAACTCGAAATTGGGATCGCAGAGCTTCTCGGTGCTGAAACTATGCCTAGTATGAGGGAAGCTGGAGGAAGACTGGCAAGGCTGATCAGCCCGAAAAGAGCCAGCATGATGACCTTACCGCATATTAAGCAGGTCACGGATAAGAGTGAGATGCTGCAAGAAATGTTTGCTGAGTTGGGGATCGAGGTTACGGAGAGTGAGAAGGGAACTTCTGAAGCTAATGACGAGGAGGATGATGTTAGTGATTGATGATCGGATCGACAAGAATCTCGGTCAACCAGTTGAGGTCGTGATAGCCATCTTGCAATCAATATCGACCATGGCATGCTGCCGATAATGAGCAACAGAACTCATCAAACGGCAGGCGCAAAGCTTCATGATGTACTAAAAGGAGTAGCAACTCGTTTCGACGGTCAAGAAGGACAACTGGCGAGCAGAAATGGGGTCAAGACTAGTGTAAATCAGGGAATTGGAAGGATGGAAAAAGGATTTTGATTCGGAAACAACTGCTCTTATTAGTATATACCCCTTATATGTCATTTTAGCGTTGTAGTAATACTATTGCCAGATTTGAAATGTTATTTTTCTGAGTTCCTATTGTTTGACGGCTCGGTCATGTATATGCTTCATCATATAGTGCCATGGTGGGTGACCTCCCATCAAACCCATTTTCTCATCAATTGTCAGTTTTTTCGAATAATTATACTACGACCTTTTTAAAAATGTTTATGCATGCGTCAATTGTGTCAATTTCATGATAATGTGAGATATTAGAATACAGTTTTTGGAGCGGCGATGAGCTTATGAATTGATGTATGACTGCAACTAATCGGTTACTTATTGTTTCAGTGTCAATTTTATTGATAATTCTGGCCATAGCCCAACAGCATTCATGGTGTTTAGTGAATTTCTGGTGATGACTTGGGTGATAAGTTCTGTCGGGGTCCGATAAGTTAACCACAACCATGGTTATGCGATTTCTTCCGAGGTTATTAATTTTGATACTTAATAACAAAGTTAGTGATGTTTGCACAACTTGACTACAACCAGAAACGTTGAAGGAATAAGGTGAGGTAGCTGTTTATTCCCGTTCCCCCGGAGACACATCTAAATAATTACTATAGAAACACTTATTTATCACAGCTGCAAGCCCCTTTTTAGAGAGCCTTCTTTCAAATAGTGGTGTGGCTCATCGTCACCGGATTATTCTCCATATGACTTCGGAGTTGAAAACACATTGCCAACCAGACTTCAGTGCTGCATTCTACGATTGGTCGGCAATGTGCCCACACATGCAGACATAAGCGACTGGCTGATACGAAGACGTTCAGAGAAGTTCAAGGTGATCTTCTTCATCGCTGTCATCATATTTAATTTCATCCTTCTCTTCCTATCCAGGGCGGAAGATATGACTTCCAAACTTTGCGATGACTGCAGTAAGCTGATTGCAGAGATACGCCCTGCTGGCGGCAAGCAGGGAACGCACGAGATAACCAGTACCAAGCATAACTTTCACATTAATTCGCAGAACGGATGCGCTATGTGCACTCATATGTTGCTCGGTTTTGATCATCACGAAAACAGCATTATCCTGACTGCTAGTCAGGATATTCGTACGAGTTATCCCCGCTCATCTTTTGACTTCCGACTGGTCAATGGATTCTTAGAGAATGCCGAGTTATTATTTTCCTACAAATATGGCCGGGATTCGTTGGACGATGGTATGAGACAAGGAAAACGAGAACTGGTTTCCAAAAGTTATGCGATTCATCCGCTTGGTAAATGTCTTATTTTGTATGCAGGAAAGTCGGTAGACTTACGTAAAGCATAGTCAGGAACAAGCTCGTGTTAGATGATCTTGTAATAGGTGGAACGAATTCACATGCCCAGTTTGATCTCCACAGGATGGAAATTAGTCACGACAAAAGTACTGGTTCCGGAAAAACCAAGGAATTGATAAAAGGATGGTTATCAGAATGCTCTGCCGGACATAAGAACTGCAATATGGAGCCAGTATTTGGGATGCAGAATCCAACACGATTAATATACGTTGGAACTGAGAAAGAACCCGTTGCGCGTCTGCTTAATGGCGCCAACTCTCCAGAGTCTCTAGTATACGCGACTCTGAGCCATTGTTGGGGAAAAGTCGTGCCTTTCAGACTTCTAATTTCTAACATCGAAGAATTGAAGCACGAAATACCATTTGATGAGCTATCCAGAACATTTCGGGAGGCTATACAGGTCACAAGGAAACTTTCTGTCCGGTATCTTTGGATTGATTCTCTGTGCATAATTCAAGACTCGAAAATTGATGTAAGCATGCGATATATCAGTTTCTCGGACTCGTCTTTGTTTTCTTTCGTTGTTTTGTTCACAAGTCATACACTGATTCTGTGAACTCAGTGGCTAATGGAATCTACCTTGATGGATAGCGTGTACTCGAATGCTATCTTCAATATTGCCGCTACTTCAGCTAAAAATGGTCACGAGGGTCTGTATCGTGAGAGAAGGCTGCAAGACGTTGAATTGTGCAAATTTGAAGCAGAATGGACTCCAACACCAGGAATCAACACGCTACTGTCCCGGAAACTGTGGCAGACTCAGATTGAAGAGTCACCACTCCGGAAAAGAAGTTGGGTTCTACAGGAAATGTACTTATCTCGCCGAAACATTCATTTCGGCAAGACACAAGTATTTTGGGAATGCAGGGAAGCTTCTGCATGTGAAATGCTTCCCACGGGATGCTCATATTTCGTGGATAACTCCTCAAAATTGTCCCCTTTCAAATATAACACGCCTATAGACCGCGAGTCCTCATCATTTGAGATATTCCAAGCAATGGTAGATTGGGACAAGATTGTTCTCACCTACACCAGAAGCTCGCTGACTTTTGGCGACGACAAATTGGTTGCAATATCAGCATTGGCCAGATACTGGCAAAGACAGTGGAAAGAGCCTGTAAAGTACTATGCGGGCATATGGGATATTGCTCTTTTGCATCAACTTATGTGGACAGCGGCAGTGGGAAGTTTGAATCCGAAAGATGGATTAACACGGTTAGCTAGGCAGAAAGGTTACAGAGCTCCGACGTGGTCATGGGCTTCAGTCGATGGGCCGATCAAGATAAGCAGCTATTCTGGAACTCCATTAGCTCCTCCTAACTATTCGCTGCTGGTGGACACGCCACAGATTGAGATCGACTTGGTTTCCGACGACCAATTTGGTCAAGTGAGAGGCGGGCGATTGAAGATATCTAGTCGGCTTGCACATTCGGTCTCGGTACACAATCGTGGTAAACCAGTATCTTACAAGTTAGGCTCAAGTGGAATACCTATACCCGGGGGCACATGGTTACTCCCAGACGTGGTGTTAGCAGATGATGATATGAAAAGTAAAACTCTGGTTCTCATGCCCCTCATGTCCAAGTCTCACATCAATCTCCCCAAAAAAGAAGAATTCAACACTACTTTTGGATTACTACTTCAACGAGTAGAGGATAAAGTGGGAACCTTCGAGCGGTTTGGTATTTTTGACTTGAGGAAGGGATCTGACGCTGACCAGGTTCTGTTCGAAGAAGCACTTGTTGATTTTGACCTGCATGCAAATCAGAGTGGGCTTTCATACACAGTTGATAAGAATAACAAAAAGAGGTATGATGTAGTTATAATTTGAGATGGAATGTTTAATAGACATACCATTGGTGGCACATAAAGATACAAGACGAGCGGAAATTTTGGGATCAACCTGACACAGCATCGCACAATTCGTCTATTCTCTCCAGTAAATAATATTACCATATTTCAAGACTCTGTCATAAATCCGTTAAGACAAAGAATGACCTACACTTAAAAGATAACAAGAACCAAACATGAACAGACAGGCTTGTCCAAAGAATGTTACCACCAAACTTATCAACTGCGAGCATGATCACAAGTCACTTTCATAGCTCTACTGCATTTCAGGGGCTTAAGCGAGTTCTGCTTGTAAGCAATAGTTGGATTAAGTCGCTATTCGAGAGTATCTAAACTTCTACAGAGTATCCAAAACGCTTCCGACCAAAACACCCGCTGTGCTCAAAACCGAATAACCAAAAGGCTTCAAGCTAAAAATTCCCGCTATCCTGAGAACCGAGACCCAAGAATTTCATATCCAAGATGTGCAATCGCTGTTTTCATCGCGTGTTGTGTTTCAGTCCCTGCCAGTGTTCCCCGAATCTGAAATGTCTAGGTGTCGTTGTCTTGATAAAAGCGGACCACTCCTCGTCGTTTGCTGCGATTGCGAATCTGCTTTCACCGAAAGACTCGTCTAGTATTACCAGAAAATGGTCTGGTGAGATGTGTTTGTAGAGATTGTGTAGGCATTGCTGGTGGAATGAGCAGAGGAGAGTGTATTGCCCACCGGTTGACCTTCATGTGTAAATGGCAGTCTTTGAAGAATTGACGTTTGATCAGAAGTTGTGAAGGTAGTTATAGACCAAGAGATTTTGTTTTTAGCCGTTCCATTTTCAACAACGACTTGAGGGTTTTTCGAAGCGCTGATGTTGATGTGGGTTTGAGTGTGGTTGGTGGCTTAGGTTATGTAGATGACTGTGGAGATGGCGATGTAGCTCAAGAGTGACTGTTTTTTTCGTCTCCTGCTTTCATCGTCGCCATTGTACTGGAAGATACAACTTGGCTTCAGTGTCACAAGACTCGTGCTTGTGCAGGTGAGTTTGCTGAACTAAAGAGTGGATTATCAGTATCGTCATGGCAGGGTCGAAGGCAGGAGAGCATACTTTTTTTGGATTGTTTTTTGTGTTAAAACATATTCTTGACAACAGAATCAGTCTTCTTGACTTGTGCCGGATATGGTAGTAGGTAGTAGAGTTGTGAGTCGTGGACTTGGACGCTTAAAATATTTGTGAAGTACGAATATTGCGTTCTCTGAATACCTAATGATCAATAAAAGTTAGCTCGAGATTCATTTGTTGTTCTGGTAGCTGACTTGGTACTCACTGTGTTTTTTTTGTTCTTTTTTGTTTGTATGTGGTTGTCATTTGGCTGTGGAGGAGAGCTCTTCCCTCCTTCTTTTGTTTTTGGTTTTGAAGAGTCTTGTAAAACCCTGGCTGCGTCAGCAATTGATTATACAGAGCATATCAATCCATGAAGCCTAGCTGAGGAAGCACACCTTTATTGAAAGGGAGTAGTACCTTTCTGCTTTTTTGGGTTGTTTTTAAGGTTTTGTAAAGCCTAGACTATGTTAGCCACCGAATATACAGAGGTTTCCAACCCATGAAATATAGCCGAAAGAACATACCTTTGATGAAGGGGGTTAAGTTTTTTTTTTGCTTTTTTGAGTGGATTTTATGAGCCTTGTGAAGCCTTGAGCGCGTTAGCCATTGGTTATACATAAGGTTTCAGCCGAGGGAACATACTTTTGTGTATTTTAACATTTTTTTTGTTCCATTGCCGGCGAGGTGGTTTTTTGTGTTTGAACGTATGTTTGACGGTTTTGTTCCCTCACCGGTATGGAGTTTTGTTTTTGGGTTTTTGGAGGGTTGCGCTTATCGCCGGCGGAGCAGCTTTTTTGATGGATTTGTGTTTGTTTGAATTTTTTGTTTCGTCGCTGGCGGAATCGCTTTCTTTTGGTTTTGGTGTAGGCTCTCAAGCTTTTTGCCCCGTTGCTGGCGCAGTAAGATTTTTTTGGGTTGATGTTTATTTTGGTGTTTGTTACTTTGTCGCCGGCATGGTGCCTACACCAAGATGTTTCCTCAGAGAACATGTGACTTGACGTTCCCATTTGCTTGGTCTCGATCACTTCGAAATCACAGCTCTTTGGTAGTTGTTTTAGATGAAGCGTGAGGTACGCTTGGAGCTGGACTTTCGGAGGAAACAATGATGAGAGTGGCGGTAGTTGGAGCTTTTGGGGTTGTTGAGGTAGAAGAGGAACGATGATAGTGGAATGACTATTCATCGTCCGAATAATCGGAATAATCGTTAACGGGCGGTACTTCAAGGTCCGTCCTATCGTCTTCATCCCAACTTGGTAAGCCTCGTATTTCTTGATTTTTCCATCCCAGAATCTGACGGCCTCCTGGCTTAGACCCATATCTTTCATGAGTCTGAAGACACCGACTGGGTTTTCTGGAGTACCCTCGCCGGAATGTAGATCGTCGAAGTTCTTTACTGGGAAGGCGTCCGGGTTCTTTGAGTAGTATTCCGCTAACCTTACCAGACCGACGCAGAAGTCGATCCAGTGCGAGATTTCGTCGGGGTCGAGTGTTCCACGGGCTTGACGAAATTCGATGGTTTCAGCGAAATCTTCACCTCGGACGAGGTATGTGAAATTAACGAGGCGGTTGCGGTCTCCATTTGGAGATCCGATACGAGCAGGCCAGCACATTTTCTGCGAGAGGGAGGTTTTCTTCGCAATGATGTTGATACGATTTCGAATCCTTTGGACACTGCCGTTCTCTGCTATGAGCGCTTTGGTACTGAAGTCACCGCCCACTCGGTTTGGATTATCCTCGTCAACGTCTAGAAAGTAGAGGCGGTTACTCTCGAGTTGACCAGCTGCAGAGGCATGTCCAGGTCGGCGGACTGGGGGGTGGAGTCGGCTGATTTTTTCTTCAAATAGAAGGACCAGTATTGCCAACTCCTTAAGGACTTCGAGATCTTGTGGTGCTTCGACATGGACGTGGAATCCACATTGGTTCGTAATGAATGAGCTATGTTTGTTTTGTGGAGTGCCAACAGCGGCAGTGACGAGCTGTTGGATTTCCTCCTTGTGGTTGGCGAATCTCGTATTAAGCACGGGGGAGACCAATTCCATGCCATACGAATCCCATTTGTTTGATGAGATGTGATGCTTGGGAAGTCGGTTCTGAACGTTCTCGGATCCGACTCCGTTGACAGTGTGATCAGGCGTGATTATCCACTTGTCATATTTGAGATTCGCCAATGCCTTCTTAGAACCATATATTGTGCCAAAGATCTTTGTGGGGATCTGAGGGCATTGCTTTCGGAGATTCCGCTGCAATATTGCTTGTGGCTCGCCATTATACTGAGATAATTAGCATGTCGAATAAAGAAATGATGCCAGAATAATACTCACTGCTCGCGGTTCGCTCGCGTCGTCATCGACTATCCCCCAGCTGTTGTAAACGTGATTGGGTAATGTGGTAGGTGTGAATTCAGGATATTGCTCTCTCGTCGCATAGTCGAGATTCTTTTTGATTTGGTCTCCCCTGACTGAAAGCTCTTCTTCGTGGAATGCGAATAGGAACTCCAGCTCGACCCCGTAGTTCATGTCTCTGCCAGGGAACATGGCTGGGTTGGTTGTTACAGACTTGATGGGTAGTTATGCGAATAGGTAGAAATAAAGCGAGTGTGTATAATATCCAAAACGAATGTGAATGATGCTTGGGGATAGTAGCGATAGAATATTGAAGATGTTGTATGAAGTTTTTCAAAAAAAGGTCTACGTGTATGCTCCATTTTGATGGGTCATACAGAATAGTGGCGCTAGACCCTTAGTTAATTCTAATGTGATGTCAATCTGCCATTTAGACCAGTCAGGTCACAAGGAGGAGACAAGCTATAAACTTAGGCACAGCCAAGAGCAAAAAATGGTAAAGAATATCTTGGCGCGACAACGAACTTTATTGGGATTTTAAAATATTGTAGCACTTGAAGTTCCTGTCTAATGTTTGAATCTTCACCCTGTGAGCGATCCACCTACAGCAATCCAATAAAGATAAAATAATATCAACCAAGGCCAGATGAAATTCCACGCAAAAGCAAGGACATAAAAACAGTAGCATTTTAAGAGAACGATGTTTAGCCTGCTGTAACTGGTAATGAGACATGTCTACATGAGACACCTCCGCTAAGGCTTATGAGACTCCATTCTCAATTGTATGGCTAGCCCATCGTTGAAATGTACTGATAGAACTCGCATTACGGGGAAGATAACAAACACACAAGCGCGTTCAATGACATGTGAATGAAATGGTGCGTCAGTCATGTATTCTTGCTTTGCAGAGGAACTCCCATCAACTTGAAAACAACAGCCTATTTATGCTGATCAGACATACGGCCAAATTTAAGTGAATCAGAGCATAGCTTAGAATTTCGTCTCCTTTGTCTTGATAGACACATTACTCCTTGGTAACTTGTTTGAAGACATTACATACGCTCTTGGTTGGGCTTCAGGGGCAATGCTTTCCAATAGATAGGTGACTGCATTACTCGAGCCAACACGAGTGCCATAAATTATCAAAAGATTCCAAAACAAACTTTCAGTCATACAGTGTCCAAGGTGACCAGGATTTAACTGTGTAAATGCGCCATTCATTGTGAATACATGTACTGAACAAAAATGTATCTCGAAAACAGCATTGCATGCACATGAAAATATCAAGAGTATAACAGGTTGTAGTATTTTGGAAGATTTGCATAATCGTTCAAAACAAGGCGGAAATGGAAACGGCCCAGTAATAACACGATGAAGGGGTAGTGAAAGTTGAATACACACTAGAAAATCTTTTGTCTTTTTGTTTTTCTGAAAACTGAATTGGGGTACCTATTAATTGCCTAATATCGTTCAAGACTTCTTGTCTTCTGCGTCGTCGGATTCGTCTGAATCATCAGACTCTTCCTCTTCAGTATGCTCCTCCTTAGAACCAAGTTTCGTGCTGCTTACAACATCTGGTTCAGAAGTCTTCTCGGTATCGGCATTGTCATCTTCGTCTGACGTTTCCTCCTCATCCTCGTCTTCTTCAGGTATAGCGCATGCTTCTTCGACTTGTTTGATCTCCTCGGCGGAAGCTACAGATATTGAAGAGCCCCGGTGCTCCAAGATTGGTGGATTGAACTCGGTCGGCTTCCATGCAGTGCTATTTGGAGATTGCAATGAGAATTTGTGGACAGCTGACGGCGGGGAAGCAGGTGGACCAATATCTGGCATGGCATCTGGTGCTTTCCGCCAAGCTGTTGAGCCAGGACTTTGAAGGGAGGTTGGGTCATTGATTGACAGTTTATCTACTGGCAGATCACTGACAGAAATAGGAGCAGGCGCCGCGGCCTTCTCTGCCTCTTTCTTAGCCGGTTCTGCTTCCTTCTTGATCGGTTCTGCTTGACCAACTCCACCCAGAGTCTCCGTCACCTTCTTCATCCCTTGTTTTGCTTTTTGTGCAGCTTCTTGACCGACTTGCTGCAACACTGACGAAATCGCTGATGGTACATCGCTTTGTGATGATTTTGGCTGGTCTGAGGTTTTTGATGCAGCTGTGGCAGAGGCGGACTCTGGCTTCTTGTTCTCTTGAGCAATCGGGGCCTTCGAGGTTTTGCCAGATGGTTGACCTGCCTTTGGACGTAACGGTACAAGATTCGAGGTTCCGTGGATCTTAACATGCATCTTCATCTCTCCATATTCGTTCCATTCCTCAATCTCGACAAGGTCCTAAGTCGTTAATATGTGGTATGCACATTCGGAGAGTCAACCCACCCCTAAAACCGTTCCTTCTTGAACAAGTCCTGGTAGCTTCCTCACCCGACCCGACGCATCCTTCCCAGCTCTACGACCCCATATGTTACGAGCCCTGTCATCCGTGGCGACATCGATAGCGAGAAATGGGATGCGGTTGGCCTTCAAGATGGTTTCCAAACGCGAGGTCGCGGTGACAATATGGGACGACCCGGATGTCAAAGAAGTATAAAGGAAAAGGTTTTTGTCGAGGGAATAGGATATCGGAGCTGACTGTTCAGCCATCTTGACGGTTTAATATCGTGGTCGATTCGTTTCGCCTGCCGTCTCTGGCTGCGGGGTTTGTTTTGTTGTCAGGAGAATGTGAAGCAACTCGGCTGAAGGTTGTCAACGGCGCGTTTCACGGTTATGCGAAGCTCCCATGCTCGCCTGCACAAAGAAGTATCCATTTGGGATGAATAACGTGAACATACACACCTCGCTCCATCAGCGATGCAATTGGCACACGGCTTGACACGCATAGACAATTGCTGCGAGTCGACCCCTGGTCACTCAGTATCAGCGCTTATCGGCGAACGTTGAGGTCATCCCCAAACCTCGGTAGGTGTCTCTGCATCTTTATTCTGTCGTACGGAGTACATTTTCATCTAAACTCGACATGTCTTCGTCGTCAGGAGCCGCACTCATTGCCCAAGCGCTTCAGGAACTAGGCGTAAAAGTTATTTTTGGCCTGGTTGGAATCCCAGTTGTTCAGATTGCTGAAGAGGCAATTGCCCTCGGCATCCGCTTCATTGCGTTTAGGAACGAGCAAGCGGCGAGCTATGCAGCAACAGCATATGGATACCTGACAGGTAAACCTGGAGTTTGCCTGGTCGTTGGTGGTCCTGGAGTGCTCCATGCTTGGGCTGGCATTGGCAATGCATCTGCCAATGCTTTCCCATTACTCTTGCTTGCTGGTTCCAGCGAGACTCACTTGGTTACAAAGGGCGCTTTCCAGGAGATGGACGCTATAACGCTGCTATCTCCCCATACAAAAATATCAATCCGGTCCACTATCGACTCGATCCCCGAAAGTCTTACGAATGCGTACAAGACGGCGTGGTACGGTAGGGGCGGGCCGACATTTGTTGATCTACCAGCAGATGTGATACAGGGAGATGGAGAAAAGACAATGGCATATGCGGTACCAGAACCCCCCAAAGCGGCCTCAGATCCTGAGAAGATACGAGTGGTGGCACAGTTGCTCAAATCGGCAAAGGCACCTTTAGTTATTGTTGGAAAAGGCGCAGCCTATGCGCAAGCCGAATCCGTTATACGGAAGTTAATCGACGAGACGAGAATTCCGTTCTTACCGACACCCATGGGAAAAGGCGTCCTTCCAGATTCCCATGCTTCCAATATAGCTTCCGCAAGATCCACCGCACTGAAAGGCGCGGACGTTGTCTTGATATTAGGTGCTAGACTGAACTGGATATTGCACTTTGGCGACGAGCCCAAATGGAATTCAGCCGTCGAAATATGCCAAGTTGACATCTCAGCGGAGGAGCTGGGCAAGAACAATGGAGATGCCTCTCTTGGTATTGTTGGAGATATCAAGGTTGTTACATCACAGCTTCTTAATGAACTCGAGGGATGGCAATATGATACATCCTCGGATTTTGTTCGTGCCCTAAAAGCTAGCGAAAAGAAGAACGTGGCTAAAGCAGCCAAATCTGCAAAGGTAGATAGTACCCCAATGACTTATGAGAGGACTTTCGACGTTATCAGGGAAACTATTGACGCCATCTCGCCCGTGGAAGACGGAGGCGTTGTCTATGTATCAGAAGGAGCCAATACAATGGACAAATCGCGTTCTGCTTTCAATGTTGAGCATCCCAGATTGCGTCTTGACGCAGGCACGTACGCTACCATGGGAGTGGGCTTAGGTTATGCGATTGCTGCACATTGTGCATACAACCTGCCTTCTCCCGAAGCCGCATCTGGTCCAGAATCATCTCGCAAGAAAGTTGTTTGCCTTGAAGGAGACTCTGCATTCGGGTTCTCACTGGCGGAAGTCGAAACCATGGCAAGATATGGAATGGATATACTGATTTTCGTAATCAATAATGGAGGCGTATACCATGGTGACAGTGAAGATTCAGATGCTTGGCTGGAAATGCAACGAAATACAATCGAGGGGAAATCAAAGGGTGCGTTGAGAAGTTCAAGTCTTGGATGGGAAGTAGGGTATGAAAATATCGCCAAAATGTGTGGTGGTAAAGGATATCTTGTCCGAACCCCTGAAGAGCTTGCCAAAGCTACAGAGGAGGGATTCAAGGCGAATGTTCCGGTCGTTGTAAACGTAATAATTCAGGCAGGACAAGCTCAAAAGCTAGTAAGTCATCAAAAAACTTCCGTTTGCTGTAGAGTGTCTGCCATTGGGCGGATTGGAGATTTGACCTTGTGACAGTGGCTTACATTTGCATCAGGAATTTGCTTGGCAAAACAACTCTAAAAAGGCAAAGAAAGACTCTAAATTGTGAGAAAATCTCTTAAAAGCAAGCGGAGTAGAAATCATGACTTCCACTGCGGCTATTTGCACCACTGCATATGTGCAACTTCAAAGAAAGCCTGCCAACCGAAACAAAAGACGCACACAACCCGTCTTTCCAGGCAAAAGTTCTTTCCTCGCATCGAATTTGCCCGGCGAAAACCGAAGACTCAAAATAGATGTTACAAGGAGGGTCTTTGAAGCTAGGAACTGCAGGACAGGGTGGAATTGAAGATGCGTGTAGCCGACATGAATTTTTGTATTCTCAAGGTAGTTCGTTGTCAGGCTTGCAGATGTTACAGAATTCCTTTGAATTCGTGACAATCGTTTGTCATATACAAGTTCGTTGAAAGGAGATGCAGATCTTCAACACTATCACTATCACATAATCTATATAACATTAATCTCGGTTTTCTGTTGCAGGCTCCATTCCCTTCTCACATCTCAATCCTATTCGTACTCCCCAGATAAATTACCATCAACTCAACAAACCACTACCATCAAAATGCCTCAATGGTTCGGAACCACCTACGCCAAAGACCCTCTTTCTGGGATCAAATATCCAGTTCGAGGGCACTCACCATCCCGTTCCTCGTCCTCTTCATCCCGTTCATCTCACACCTCTCGAAGTCATAACTCGCATTCAACCTACCACATCGACCAGCGACGCCAAACCACCAATCAATTCGGCTGTATCCATGACCACGACGTTAACACGCCTTTAAGATTGGAAAATCACCGTCAATACACCTATTCAAATAATTCTGGACAGGATAGAGGCTATTACCGCTCTCTACCCTCAGCCACACCCAGTCCGTCCACACCATCAACGGTTATCTACCAAAACTTCAACTCCCCAACCCAACCACCACATCAACCATACACAGTGGCCTCCCCATCTCCACGTCCCAACCACGACGCATCCCTCTCAACCCTCCACGCCGACCTCTCACTCCTCCGCTCCCGCCTCGAAACCACAGAACAAGCGCACCTCCTCACTAAACTCCACGCCCTCGAATCCCATTCCCAATCCCATCATCGCCCCCGCCGTTCCCGCCAATCCCACTCCACATACACCAGCGACTCCGACACCTCCACAACCTACTCCTCCCCACCAACCTACGCCACCCATCCCCCCTCCTACCCATCCCACCTCAGACCCAGATCCCACACCACCAGCGGAGGGTCCACAGCAGCCGGTCACGGCACAGCGCGTCTCATTGGTGATTTCAGCGTTTTCCCCTCTGAAGGCAGCGGCCGTGACGGTTCGCACAAACGGATGGTTGGAGACGAAGCTGATGAGATTCTGAGGGATGAGATGGGTGGTAGGTTTCCTTATTGGAGGGATGAGAGAGGGGATGGGTATATGTAAGTGAGAGGTGTGAGGATGGGTTTTTTGAGATTGAGGATGTGGGGAAGGTGCTGAGTTGATTTTTGTTTGTTGTTTGAGTATGGTTTCTTTTTGATTTTTGGGGACTAGGAAATCTTTCATTGGGATAGACTTTTGAGGTTTGGAGCTGAAATGCGAGTTATTATGCCTGGACAACGGTACACACCGAGGTCTGAGTAACACTTGAGATGCAGGTTTCTGTTAAAGATTCTTGCAATTGTACTTTGATATGGATTTCGGAGAGTTAGTTTTTGGAATTGATCTTACGGTTCTCACTAAAGTCTTTGGTTCAATTGCGATTTATCTCTAATAACTTTCATTATAAACATGCTAACTACTGAATCCAGATTTCCATATCGCATGTTAACCCATTCTGGATCCTAATTCCCATCTGAAGATGAAAAAGAGAACATTAAAATAGAGGCTTGAAACATACTTTGAAAATAAAGAAAGCAGAGCAGTATGCAAGCATGTGTAAGCAACTTCTTCTCGGTAATACCTCTCCAAACTCCGACAAGTAAATGTCCTTGTCATCTATAGTTTATAATTATCTCCCCCAGTCCGAGTAAAACCATAACGCCAGAAACATCATCCTATCATACAACTCATTCACCTTTCTTTCGGCTGATCAAATGAAACGGACAGCTATCTGTTAGCAGACCTCCGGATTGAATGATTAACCGAGAATGCAAGCTCCCATAGCGAGAAGACCCAACATAATGCCTGGCACAACCATGTGAGCACTTGCGCCAGAGCCAGTTGGTTGAGTAATAGCGGTGCTTGCAGGAGCGGATGGAGCAGTTGGAGTAACTACTACAATGCTCGAGACTGTGGCATTGGTATGTGGTGCAGTGCCAGTAACGATGACCATGCTTGTAGGAGCACTGCCTGGGCCCGATGGAACAACAGAAGCCTTGCTGGTAGCATTGGTACCGGAGTTAGAGTTGACGCTGACGACAGGGGTTGATGTAGATGCTGGTGTAGTTGCTGGTGCAGTATGGTTGCTTGAAGGGTAGGCTGCGCTAGAAACAGGTGCTTGTGCGGAAGATGCGACTGAAGGTGAGGCTGCAGGTTTGGAGGACTCAATGACTGCAGAGGTAGCCGGAGTAGTTGCAGCGACGGACGAGACGACTGGAGCAGATGTAGAGACGCTCGCCTTCGAGCTGGATGCTGCTGGCGATGGGAATTGATAACCAGAAGAAGCTACAGTCTTGTCGGATGCGGTGTAAATTGACGAAGTAGCGACTGCAGCAGAGGTGCCATATTGAGGCGCCGCAGCTGTTGTCGACTTTTGTCCAGAGCAATCGGTAACTCCAGAGTCACAGGAAATGATTGTAGAAGTTTTGGTCTCGACAATGGTGGAGGTGCTTGCGGCTGCGACGAGGCAGAGGCCACTGAGGCGGGCGAAGATGATTGAAGTACGCATTTTGCGGAGAGAGTTGTGTATCGGGAGAATGAAGAGATTGCGAAGATCTAACGAGCGTGGGTACACGAGACGTGTTTTGGATAGAGGAGAAGTGAGCCTGAGCCTGAGATCGGTCTTCTTTTTTGTGTGTGAAAGTGTTTTGTTTTGATGAGAAGAAAATCTGAACGCGAGAAGAAAGAATAGATCTGGCCCAGGCAACGGTAGCCGACGAGTCAAGCGACTAGGAGATAAACAAACCAGGTAAGGCAGGCACGAAGGTGAAGGTGAACGTCTTGAGCACGGTGAAGCGCGCTTGGCATCTTGTGTTGGGCGACGACGAGGTGACCTCCAATCCAATTTTCAACTCTTGAACGGATTCCCCGACAGATAAGTGTGAATCGCAGCTCACTTTTCATTCCATTGTGTATGATATTTCCACTTTGCTCCTCCAAAGTCATATCTATTGTACAAGCTTCCCGAAATTGGGAAAACTCAGTGTTAAATTATATACATTGATTCGGCTTGCCATTTTCATAGGCAAGCAAGATCCTATCTACAGCTTCATCCACAAAACTTAATTGTCTCGCTATTCATGGAAAGTCGGTTATGCTAACATTTGCTGGGCACATCCCAATCCAGGGTTCCCAGAACGAAGAGGTGAATACATTCGAAACTTGAAGCTCACATACCCGAAATCATGTTCGGCCTAATTTATTTCCACCCTCGACTCGGCTCGATCCAATTAATTTGAGAACTAATTTACTCAAAATAGGTAACACAATTGGCATTCTTGTGAATTGCCCAGTCTGTGAATCCAACATAATTAAGCTACAAATCTTGCAATCCTCTGTCCGGATCTTTTACTACTATCCGCCGTTTCACTCGGCTCTCAATACCTGCTGTAGGAACATCATCAAGTAAAGCTGGATCGATATTGTCAAGTGCAGTATCTCTCTCTTTCTTGTCCTTTTCAGCATCTCTCTCTTTCTTGTCCTTTTCATCGTCTTCGCTAATTTCCTCCCATGTTCGCTTGCGCATGGTAACAACCAACAGAGGACGAGATTGCTCCTCAGAAGGTAGACTTCTCAAGACGTCCCGCTTTTCCAATTCCAAAGCGCCAGAAAAGGAAATGACGCGGTATCTGTAAGACTGCAGATGCAGATTGAGTATGTCGTAGACCGAATACCATATACCATGCTCCAGTCTACGTTGTTCGTCCTCACAATAATCGACGAGCTCAATTGCACGATGGAAGTGTTCTTCTCCAGGAAGTGTAGAGAAAAGGTCCACGTGTCTCATCATCTGCGAGATGGGTTCGAATACGAATGGCCTTGGATAGAACCACATGTCTGGGATCTGTTCTTGCAAATATGCCCATTGGACAGTACAGGCGAGGTGCTTGATGACAGTTCTATAGAGCTTAGATGAAGCAAGGCCGCCAACGAACTCGATGCTGTGATACCCAGGTGTATCACGTTTTTCTTCTTCGGTTCTGGCCCTCCAGTTGGTAAATACGAGAGAGTTTGCCTTGCTCGGCTTCAGATTATGGCTGACGTAGGCCTTGACGAGGAGTTTCTTGACACAATTGAAGTCGACGGGTGAATGGTTAGCTCGCTTGGCTTGAGTATTGGTTTTGTTTTGATTGCCGTCCTTTTCGTCTTTGTTGTCCTCGGGTTCCTTGCCCTTTCGTTTCTTGTCTTCAGCTTCCTTCTTTTCACGCTCCTGCTCTTTGCGAACCAACTCTTCACGTTCCTTCTCTTCGAGAATCTTGTCCTCGGGTTCATTGTATGTTCTCTCGTGTTCGTGCCCGTTGTCTCTGTCCTCCTCGTCTCTGTCCTCCTCGTCTCTGTCCTCCTCGTCTCTGTCCTCCTCGTCTCTGTCCTCCTCGTCTCTGTCTTCCTGCTCTTCACCTGGCCCCTCTGCGGGGTATTTCCCCTTTCGCTCTCTGCGCTCCTTAGCCTTATTCCTCTCGTTGGTGAGAAAACGGTCAAAAACGTCTATACCACTGCTCGTGACCAATTTTTCAACCCTGTATGTGCTTGTGGAAAAACGTCGCTTCTTGCGAAGAGTCTCGAAGTGGCCGGCGAGAGCCTGTTGAGAATGGCCAACGAGAGCCTGTTGAGAGTCGCTGACGAGAGCCTGTTGAGAATGGCCGGAAGTGACGATGGAATTTGTTAAGGACATTTTGAGCTTGGATGTTCTTTGAGATGTTAGAGAGAGCAACGGAAGAGCCTTTGAGCGAAGCTCGACGCGTGGGCGATAAGGTGTTGACTTACAATGTCCTTGTACCAAGAGAGGTGATTGATTACATCAGAATGATGATATTAGAATTGGCTGTCACTATACAAAGAAGTACAGAAAAATATCTGGCGTTCTGAAGATGGATAATAGTTATGAGGAGAGGAACAAAACTCGGACGACTTTAGGTGTTTAAGAGGCTCCAGTTGGAAGACTCCACCTAAGGACCCCTATTCCATTGTTATATCATAACTACCTTCTAGCTGGAACTATTTTTTTAGTGCGGCTACCAGACCAAATGAAGAAGCGACTACAACGAGTTCTGACGTCGTTATAGATGGACTTACTGCCAAAGGCTCTGACTCCCGTATCAAATACATAGCCATGTGAAGGACATCATGTGTATTTTAGTTTGGCTTTGGTACTGCAAAGCCGACTACTCGAGATATGACGGCAACGGATGGGTCCGCATAGTAAAGCGAGTGGGAACTGAGAAGATTCAGTGAAGCACGGCGAAGAAAAAAAAGATAACATCCTATATTCAGCGATGGAGTGGAAATAGAGAAGGAAATCCATTGAGAACAATGAGCCGAACATGTAAGGAGAGTGCTGTTGATATACCCTGGACATCAAGTAGTGTCGCAAGATCATAGCTTAACTATGCCTCGGTCGAAGTTCATTCCATCTGCACATACCGGCAGCACCCCAACAACCATCGAAAGGCAGGGTTGCGAGCGAGTGAAGCCATCTGACGGTTACTCTGATTGAAAATATCGGTCCTCTGCCGGGCCCGGATATGGTTCAGAGAATGAACTCTAACTATAACGCCAAGACTCGACGATGTCATAACAAGTCCCGCAGCCTGAGAAATCTTTAGCAAATGCGACTAAGAGGTGTAAGGATATATCGTACAGTATATTTTTTTGAGCTAATACCATCATGTGATCATCTTGCTCCAAATGCTTCGAAAAGCTAAATGTAAATAAGCGAGGGCGAAAGGGGTTTCTGACAGGCACATTGATATAGTGCAAATCACATCGAAACATCAATGGATTATCAAAGACACGTAAAATAATTTATTCATTGCGATTTCTCTTTCACAACCAATTAATCTACTTTTCATTCTCATCCTACTGCCTATTTGGACGCATCGATAACACAAAAGCCCCAAGCTTGCGCATCTCGGGCATGCGAGACGGATATGCGGAAACCGAGGCGGCGCTCTTTAGATATAGTAATTTGAGTGTATTTAAAAGTCGCAAGCCTGTGCTTTTGGTATCATACGGGCCAGTTCTTTTTGTAGCATCATTAGAATACAGCCATTGGCGCTGTAATCAGTTCCCTTGCAAACAACTATTTCTTGGTCAGCGTTAATGGAAAGAATCACATTGTCCCAAACTAACCCAAGGTAATCCTCCTTGATACTGGCAATAGCGTAGATACTCCCCACCTCTTCCCTTGTACCAAAGATTTTGACGCGCACATGTGTACCGACCTGAATGACAGAATCTTCATTATCAGTCCACTGTGGAGGGGTAGCATTTGGGTCAAATGTAATGTCCGAAGGAATCATCTTTGAAAATTAGCAACAGATCTGGGAAAGTGATAGTGTGTGGACTTACATGACCAGACACGAAAATTGATAGCGGCCCAGCTTCACAGAAAAAGCCAACGCCGTTAACAGAAGTCACGATAGCATCAACCTGTTCAAGTCAGTCACCACCAATGGACTCTCGACTCCAGGTATCCCTACGGTCTCGCCCTTGAACGGCCTCCATACCACCGCGCGGTAGTTAACGTTGAATTCAGCCAACCCACTTCCGGGTAGAATACGACCTTCTGAGATATTGACCGTGTCCATTATGGTAATGATATAATATCTCCCGGTGCAAGTACCCTCGACATCCTTCAGTAACTTGTGCGTGACCAGCTCATGCATATTCCGACCGAAATATGACGGATGCAAAGTGACCTGGTGGGTGAGGTTAAGAACGAAAAACATTATGCGCGATTGTCGTGAGATGTTTCGCGAACTGGTGTTGTAGGCTCTTAAGCTTGGGAATGAGATTGAGATGGTAGCAGATTTCACGATTTACGAGTATGGGTTCGTTGGGTCTCGACCTGGGCCAAGGTCTTCTATATTGTGCGATCTGGTCCACCAATTCGTGCGTCTCAATTTTGACGCGCACAGCGAATTCAAAAGCTCGTGGGCTTCTACCTGGTTGTTTGCTCGTCGATCTGTCCCATATATCCAAGCTCGTCTCTCGACTTTCTTCGTTGGGTGCTCGTGGGATGATATCTCGTCGCGCCCAGTTCTTTAGCAATCGGGTTCTTCTCGTAAACACGCAGATGTGCGAGTCGCTGCTCGATTCTAAACCTGTAGATGTGTTGCGTTTGACCACTGAGGAAATCTGCAGTCATCAGTCCAGAACGCGACACGGCGTTGGGCTTCGTAACATAACGTACAGTACACAGCTCAAATGAATGGCTTTGCAAAGACGGACGCTCTGGCACTGCTCTGGGGACCGTCACAGAGAGCGCACAAAGGTAGTCGAAATGCTGGAAGAAGAACAAGGACAGCGATTGAATTTGCGACCGTCGAGGACAAAGAGCAAGGGATAAAGCGAATTATTCACGCGACCGGCGGCTATTGATGTCATGGCGCTTGTTTGGCGGCTAAGCGTGAAAGGCATTAGTCTTTGGAAACGGTCGGTGCTGAGTTGTACGCTCCGGCGTACGGTCTGGCACGGACGGATGAGGCGGGTCCAAATGGTCGTTTCTCGAGCCTTGATCCAATACGAGCGCTGCACTCCTCCGTACGCATGCGAAAGGATAGCGCAGGCAGTCGGCAGCTTGGCAAGCGACGACATGTGAACTGCACTCCGTATGGTCCCATTATTCGCATCTCCAACAAACTCCCTGTCCTACTCACGATCTTCATTTTTACCACTCCTTTGAATAGGCATGATCCTGCGGCAAAAGATATCGCGTTGAATCCATCTCCTCGACGCAATACCTTTTAGCAAATCCCGGATCCCGCCATAAATCGCCCTTCTCGTCACACACCAAATAACGAGCCCCTCAACATGTCTCTCGACCTCGAGAAGCAGCTGTGTTTTGTGAGATAAGACTCGGATGAATCTCGCACGATGTGTACTGACCATTCTATAGTATGGTGCTTACCATCATAATCCGATCAACATCGCGATACACATGACATGTGTTCCTATGATTCTTGCAGCCAGTCTACTCTTGGTATGCCCTCGTGCCTTGCCGAACCGTTCGCGATAATAATGAATGATGTGCCAGGCAACAAACAGCCCAACAATAATCCCACTGCCATCATGGCTGACGATTCCAAACCTACCCCTGAACCTGGGAACAATTAGTGCCATATTATACAGCGGTTTCTACATCCTCCTGGAGCCCGTTGCAGGCACCATCTTACTGCCGATTATAATGGGTTGGACCGCATACTCGAATCATCTGACAACAATCTACGGCTCAAGTGTTAACACTATTGGAATTGCAGTGGAAATCGTGGCTTGGGTTGCACAATTCGTCGGCCATGGCGCATTTGAAGGTCGTGCGCCAGCTCTGTTGGACAACTTAACTCAGGCATTGGTTCTCGCGCCATTCTTTGTCTTCATGGAAGTCCTATTCAAGTTCGGATACAGACCCGAATTACAGAAGAGAGTAAATGATGCTGTGGAGAAGGAGATCAAGAAGGTCAAGGCAGAGAAAGCTGCCAAAGCCGCTGTGAAGAATGGCAAAGCCAACTGAAATACATTCCGATAAGGCACATACTCTTGGGAGAAATATGAAACGTACTGTCAGTGCGTATCTGCCTCGATCAGGTAGATAGAATACATGGCCAGAGATAGGATGCCTTGAAATGAGGGAGCAATGCAGTCCGTCGTGGGACGGGAAAGACTACGGTGAGGTCGTGCGATAGTGTCATAGGTAGGAGAAACAATTTGAGCATGCAAGGCGTTCGCGATTCTCATTTCAGTGTATAAAGGGAGTTTTAGGTGCCACAGATTTTGCACTGCAGAATTGATAAATATTAGTATTCAAAGACAGTTAGCAAATGCGAATCCAACAAAATTGTGGCGCTAGGTGCCGGAACATGGCGCATTCATTTGAGGCTTACTTGGCATTGGTTCTTTGAGAGGATTTGATTTCCTTAGTTCTTTTCCTCGATGAACGAAGTTTCGCTTTCTCCTGGCTCAGATCTTTGCTAGCCTGCCCAACTAGGCTAAATTTTGCTAGATAACTGCCACGTATTGGGTTCACTGCCTAGGTACGTGCCTCTGTTAATTAATCTTGATTCCTGATCAGCTACCTGACACATGGCACAGCATTAGTAGTACACATACCAGTGACGAAAACATCCAAATCCAGTAATTGTTTCCCTCTTGTGTTGACTTTGTTCTACAAATCTCGGTCGAGACTTTCCTTTCACCAAGAACAATGCCAATTGTTACGACAATGAAGAAAACAAGCCATGTGCGATTATTATATATTCTCATTGTTCCACAACACTTACGAGACTTAGAAGTTACACAAGATAACTGCGATAACACTGAGACTACTCAGTTTCTTTGATAGCCACACGACAAGCCTTTCATTGAAAGCCTTAGAGCCACAGTACTCTGAAATTCGTCTTTGTATTGGATACATCGTGATAATATTATACGATGTGCATTTTACCCGTGGACTATTACACAAAATGCGGATGTCGATATCCTAATAATGAGCAGATTGCTTATTGTGCCGAACGGACACGAACAATCATTAAGGGGAGGCGGCCAAGGAACTGGTTAGGTGGCTTTTTGAAGGATACTAAGAAAGAATCGTCATGTGTTCTAAAGGAAGACGATGATGCTATTGCTGAATTCTGCAAAGAATGCACTTCACGTGGACCATTGTTTATGAAATACAAGAAAAGTGAGTGGGCTCGCCAAAAGATGGTATTAGACCATACCCATTCTCCTTTCTATGATTATGTTGATAATAATTGGTTTCCTGCTAACGGCATTAGTTCAAGAGAAAGAAAGTCTCATTTCTGGCGCTGCTCACGATGTACAGCTGCTGATTTGAAGCCGCATCCGATGGAAAAGGCTAAGAATAACCATGAGCTATGCTGCAACTGGAGTGATGCTTTACGGGAATGGAACAGGTATAGAGGGTACGCAGAGTCTCCAGAGAGAAGCCCGATTATAAGTCCGCCTGTACCTCCACGTCCTAAGGAAAGATTGGAGGTTGCCAACCTTCCAACGTATGCAGACTGGAAACCGCTACCGTCACCCACTCATAATTCCAAGCCATCGAGCAGACCAATACACAAACCACGGATTGAGCAAAGACAACAGCGTCGCTACCTTGGTGCGATCCGGCCGCTCAATGACTACGAAGATCAGCAAACTAGAACGCTAGAACAAGGTCATGCAGCGAAATATCGACCGCGACCTAGCACCGCAAACCAGAGCCACTTAGAGACATTTGCAACGGCAAACATGTACGAGAGGCTGAATACCACAGTACTGCCTCAACGACCTATAACATCTCGCGAGAGTCATTCGGGGTCGACTTTGTTAAGAGTACCACCAAACACGCCCGAGAGATTGAACTCAGGACCATCCGTGCCTTCACATAGAATCGCAAAGCCAGTTCAACGTCCCATTCCTGACATCCTCAGACCAGGGTATGGAGGCAAAGATCGGCAACACTCCTCAAGGATCCAAGGACATGAAACTTCTTCATCTTCTTTCATTTCAATAAACGATCAAGAAGTCGTTCAGCAAGCCGCTCTTGGTATGGAGCGCGTTAGCCAAGCGAGACAAGAGTCCGAATTCGAGCGGCGCAACAGATTTCGACGAGAACTGCGCATTCGAGGGGAACGTCTCGGTGGAGAGGAACGTGGTAGATATTAGGGGGCAGTATAAAGTACATATGCATGCGTACATAGATAAGCAAAGTTTGAACTGCAACTTACGAATGTTCGAACATACTGTCTCCTTGCAATAGTATCTACTACAGTTGGACAAATTGACAATTTAGTGGCGTTTGCTAAATTGGAGTTAGAAAAGAAATAGAAAATAAATTAAAATGGGAAATTAGACAACCAAAATCGCAACTTGAGCTTGAGAAAGATATACGGAAATGATTGAACTGGGGAATTCGACGACTTATGTCGTAGGCAATTTAAGCTTGAAAAGAAACGGAAACATCATGAGATAGGAAATTAGAGGGCTGATTTCGCACCTTGAGCTTGAAAGAGAAATATGAACATGATCGAAATGGGGAATCAGACGACTGATGTCGCAACTTAAGCTTGAAAAGGAAACAGAAACATGACTGAAATGGGGCATGACACGAACCAAAATCGCCAACACAGCTTCAATGATAACGCACGAGATGGGAGAGAAATCAAGGTGACAGTTCAATAAGCGCATGCAAATTAAGGAGAACATGAGCTGTGTTTGACGAACCGAGTTTGTTTGTATAACACTGATGTTTTTATCGGGTTTAAAATTCGGGTGAGTCGAGAGCAAGTCTCGTTGGTTTTCACACTAATGGCACGCATTGCAAAAGGGATGATTCGGTTTTGTGGGTTTTTGATGTCGTGGACATTTTATATTTTGTTGTTGTTGTTGACAAGCAGTCGTTGCAAGCCTCGCCTATTCAGTTGAGTTGAAGCCACGGATTGTAGCATCATACAACTTGGAAGTTGTGATAGGCGGCATGAATATTGTCTTATTAGTTTCGAGACGGATTCATGGAATAGCCTGACCGTGGCCTGAATCTGATCTGCACCCGCTGAGAGGCAGGTTCAAGGGTGGGCCAACTGCTTGACGATGGTTTGGATTGAGGGGTCGTAGGTCGAGAGCCGCGTGCAAACCGAAAGCGGCTGCTACTGCGATGACGACTGTTGGGCTCTTTAACGGCTGGTTGTACGTCTGGCTTAGGAATTTCAGGTGCTTGTCTCATTCCATCATCCGTGTGGTATCGAAGGTATATCCCATCTGGGAAATACTCTCCAATCGGGCGATGTGTTGTCGAGATAGGCGTATCTGGGAATCCTTGCCAATCTTCCCATCGAAGAACCTCACATGGCTCATTGCAGCACTCATGATATTCGCTGGGAAAGCTTGCTGGCCTCAGGAAAGGTGGTCGGTCGCACTTATTGCATCGCAGCATGACCATGTCATCCTGGTTGTTCTTTTTCCAGTGCTCCTTTTGCTCCCATAGCGGCAGTGAGTCCTTCTCGAAGAGAACACCTAGAAATGGAAGATCACCACAAGCAGGCATAGGAGGGTGTTTACGCTCCATGCGTCGCTTGCTCTTCTCTTCGGCCCATCGCTTGGCTATCCGATCTTTGGCTTCCGAGCTACACATTCCGCATCTATAGCACCAGGCATCAATGTAGAGGTTTCTACTTGCCTGTAGTGTGCATGTTGGGACGGGTTTATGTAGAAGCCGGTTCAGGAATGGAATTCGCTCCTTGGATTTGGGGCAGAAGATTGGGACCTTGATTCTGCAACCGCAAAGAGAGTAACTTACGATTGAGGAGAAACACATGTTGACGATCTACAATTTAAAATGGAGTTACAAGGCAGTGCTAGATCTGAGTCTAACGTGGCTGGTTGTAAATTTACTTAGCTGGTTTGGAAATAGTCTAAGGATGGCGAGCGTGAAGGATAGCGAGTGTAAGAAGGTCAACAAAGCGTTGCAAGATCAAAGACTTCTCAATGAATCGACTTCGATCCTTTTATAGATAAATTTATAACCTGTCTGACAACAAGCATCACGATCAATGTTGTTGTCTAAATGTGAAAGGATTGGAGATGTCGCTTTGTGTAATGACAGATCCAACAATGAATGCAGATATTCATTGCTTTGTGTGCTGAGATTCTGAAAGAAATTGAGCTGCGTCTTGTGCAGATACTGCCATCGATCATGACCTAAATATCGATCTTGTGTCTGAGTATAGAGACACATGTTGTGTTAATGGAAAGTTCACCCTTAGCTGTCGGAATCTCTGGTTGTCAAGTAAATCGGGGATCAATCGCTACCGAAAGTCTCAACCGGAAGTCATTTGGTACTCCAATGCTGTGGAACTAGATCATGTAAATACGCTTTAGATCATGAATGTTGTGTCCGAATGCATAAAAATTTTTCAAGGGAGGGAACTTTGATGAGCTTGTCGACAATATTGTACTCGCGGTTCGTTAACACCTCTTGAAGTTTTCTTAACTGAACCAATCAGCTATGAATCGTAACTTGAGTGTATTGACTGATCTGGGGAAATGATTAAGTTAGGATATAGCATCGGTTGACATCGCTAGTCGAGGTCAGCAAACCGTATCCTAAGAAAGATCAAACTACATTCACCGCAGCCTACGTCCACTAAGCGAGTCACCCCAGGCGAATCTTGTTGCTGTTGACAAACAGAGGAATATCTTTGTCACAACTGAACAAACAACATGATTGTGCAGCATTGTCTTTCAGAACAGTGAATGATACACAAAGAAGGGAAGCTAAGTTCATATACAGTCCCTTTAGTCCCATACGCAAATGTGTTTGCAATCATAATAACTAAACACCAAACATGGATACCCGATTTGTCGTCACAACTTACTCATGTGGTCACGCCACCGTTTCCGAAGAAGATATGCCCCCAGCCTCAATATGGCAAGGACTGAAAAGAAACGTCACTACACAAGCGTTACATGATTTCAGATACGAAGACAGCTATCACGATTGCGAAGCGTGTGCAACCAAAAGAAAAGCCGAACTAGCTGAACAAGAACCTTCCCCATTTTCTTTCCTACTAACACAGCCTGTATATTTCACTGTTCCAGAACAGTCATCACATTTGAAATTTATCTTCAACGCCCAAAGTCCTGAGCCGGCATCAGAACTTAACAACGAGTACTCGCCATTCCTCATCGAAATCCCAGAGTATCAAGAGATGGTTTTCCCACAACTTCCGAGAGGGCGAAGTCTGATGCGCCGAATTCCTTTTCAAAAACGAATAGCTTTGTCACGAAGAACTCCAAGTTCAGGTGTAGAAGATAGCTCATCTTCATCTGCGGAGGATACTTTACCAGAAACTATCCCGGAGGAATCAGATCCTCCTAGCGAAGACACTTCCGACACACCTTCCGAGGAGTCTCAAGATGGTGAAGAATTCTCACGCATTATGTTCTCCCCTCCTATAGGCGAGGACGACCAGCCAGGTTCCAGCAATGTAAGTACTTCCTCTGAAGAATCCCCCAGTACGAATCTTATAGACCCGTTCTCCCCCCGCGGTCTTGAAATTCTCGCTCGCTCACGTATTTTCTTTAGTGCCCCACCTGATATGCCAGGCCCTAAGATATTAACAATAGGCGGAGAACCCCTGGTCACAGGCCTAGAATCCCACCATCAGCGCTTGCCTCCGCATTGGGGAGTCGTAGATATGGCGGGCAACAAATATCCGATCAAGACCAGTAAAGCTGATTTCAAGCTGAGAATTTCCGTTATTGCAAATCTTAGGTTGCTTGATTGGGAAGAATTCAATCGTCGAGGGATTTACGATAGTGACGATTCTGACGATGACTCTGGTCCTTCTTCTTCGGCACACTCGTCACTCGCGGTTGATGGGGAAGAATCAAGTGATGACTCGTCTGATGATGAGGTTCTTAGGCCTATCAAGACAAAGGTCCTCAGGGCTTTCAGCCGGTCGATTCTTATCAGCGAAGAAACTCTGCCTACACTGAACGACGAAGCTCAGCGATACTTTCCGCATGAAAAGGGTTGCAGCAATTTGCGCAGAGAGTGGATGTTGCTCGAGCGTTAACTTTTCGCGAGAAACTGCTTGACCGAGCTATTATAAACATTCATAAACTGCATATTATTGAGTCAATGTTTTTCGAGTCGGAGAAGTTCATAGATTGGACTTTCCGTCTTACAGTGCTTTATGTTTTATGTACTTTTAGACAAGATGATTTCGAGCAAGTCGTCCGTTCTTTGAAATTATTATTATCAACCAAATTACACATATTTTCTACTCGTTGTGAAGTGACAGTCATCGAAAGACCCACGAAGCCTATATGAACTACAGATGAAAACACATCAGTGACCCAACAATCACCTGCTCCCAAAAAGCTTGAACCCTCCAGGCACCCGTGTCTGAAAGACACCCCGAGAATCGTACTTTTTACTCATCTCCCTCAGATACTCCACATTATCTTTCCCATACCCACCGATAGGATCTTGACTCGGATCCGCATAATTCATATACTGGAACTCACGCAACAATCCCATACCCTTTGCAATTCCGTTAATCTTGTTCACCATTTTACTCGCTGTTTTCTCGACAAGATCGTTTGAAGCTGTGTTATTCCACAATCCTGAGAGAAGCATTACTTTGAGTGTTGTTAGTAAAGCCTCTTTCTGACTATATGGTGCTTGCTGAGTATAGAAAATGTACATACCAAAACCATTTCCATCACTCGGAGATGTCCCAAGTACATTTCCACCGTTCTTGCTTCCGAAAGAAGTGATAACCGTCGGTAGAGGCTCGAGAGAAACGCTCCAAATAATGCCGCTTGGAATATTGAAATCATACATAGTCGCATTGAAACTGTCAACCATTTTTTCGAGCAACTCAACAGAAACGCCATAAGTTCCAGTGAAAAATGCCCAATTCAATTTTGCAGTGGCCGGTTCCGCAGCGTATGTGCTCAGATTAGTCAAAGCCAGAGTACTGACAGTACTTGGTATAGCTAACAGCTCTCGATACACGGGCGGATTAAGAACAGGCTTTGTGTATATCGGTGTCGTGCTGATAGACCATGCTTTAGTTGCGGAAACGAAGAGCAAGCCTGTCACAAGAGAGGTGTATGGATCGTAATGTTTTGCTCCTGCGATATCGGAAAATGCTTTGAAGACTTCGTTTCTGTGAGTGAAATTCTGCTTTACCGAGCCAGCGAGTATCTGTCCGTTTGGAATAGTTTTGAAGTCGAAACGAGTGACCACACCGAAGTTATTGCCTCCCCCTTTGAGAGCGCGGAAGAGATCTGGGTGTGAATTGGCGTTGACGTTCGTTAGTTGTCCCGAAGCAAGAACTATCTAGAATACGTTAGATGTTGCCTCAGAGACGATGAAGAGATTGCCAAATACAAACCTCGAAATTAACCACAGTATCACAGGTCCATCCAACTCTAGGCGCAAAATAGCTGATCCCGCCTCCAAGAGTCAATCCACCAACACCTACAGCGCCATTTCTTCCACCTGCAACGGTGACACCAAGAGGATCAAGGTACTTGTAAACATCAAGCCAACTTGCTCCAGCACCTACACTAGCCACTGATTTATCTTTGTTCACACTGATAGAGGACAGTCCAGTCATATCAATGGTAACTCCATTATTGATATTGGCGAATCCAGCTGCCGGCGCATGAGTCTGGCCTTTAATTGCAAAATTGCAGTCTGGGATATGAGAGATGATGGAAACTGCTTTGCTGACATCCGACGAGGTACTGGCAGTTAAAAAACATGCGGGTTGGAGGGTGGATTCTTGATTCGACCAGTATGATGCAGTCGTTGTGGTGTACTGAGATTGGCCGGGATATGATATTTTGGATCCTAAAATATTCGAAAGCTGTGCACACTACGTAAGGCGTATAAGTTAAATCCTTTCAAGGAGAAATTTGAGATTGGGAACTTACGCAATAAGTGCTTACTGCTGACCGAAGCATGAGTTGGCCGATCGAGACGTCCATTTTTGAAAGCCCTTGGAGAAAGGAGTCGGTAACAATCCTAAGTCAACTAGATGGATACAGTGCAATTAGTTCTCTTTAACCAACCACAGGCTAAATTCTAAGTGCACATGTAATCAAAAGCCAAGAAAAAAGGAAATGATCTTATACTAATAAATTCACAGCGCTAGTTCCGCCCACTAACAAAGTAGACCGACCCAGCCAGCATACCTGAACATGAACTGGTGACAATCCTGGTTCAATTTCATCCCGTCAATGAAAGCAACCAATCTGCAAAAAGGCTTGGCTTATATAGGTAAGCGCGGGCGAGGCGACAGTGTTTATTGTAGATCTCGGCGAGATAGTCGGCCACTTAATGATCTAGAAGTGGAGGAAATACCAATCGAAATCCAGCTGGTTTCCGGGGTTTGGCTCGCTTCTTCGAACTGATCAAATGCGGGGCCCCGCGTTATCCGTTTCCCCTATTCGCCTCTCGTTTAAGGGTATGAATGAAGCCATCGGAATGTTAGAAACTCAAGGTGAGGTGTGGCTTCTATAATCCCATCTCTACCTGAAAACTCCATTTTATTCATAATTTCGCTGTGGATTTGGGCTGAATAAGACTTTTTGTGCTGCTTCTAGGATTTCACTTATCTGAATGTTCCTCCCTGGTAGATGAACCAGAAGCTAAGAGTGACGTGCCGGTTCTGATAATGGTATAAATCAGAACTCTCAGATATCTCTGCACGAGACGATACAATTAAGACGGATTCAACAAAGGTATTCGCTACATTAAAAGTGCTTGACCTGGAAGAAGTACAGAACAATAACCCCTCCAAGGCCGCTCGCTGGCTGGTTTAAACATGCTAGAGCACGGATAAGTTGAACATGCTAATGTGCTTGCAGGCAAAAAGACAAATTAAAATCATCTGGTAACTCAAGTCATATGAAAACGTTTATCGCCGGCTTGGACTCAGACCTGGTACAGAAAACATTTGTTTGGACAATGCTGGCTCAGCTCAAGTCGACTATAAGCGCAGATCGGAGAAAAGAGAAGTTGTGCTTGCGAGCCGAGAATGCGTGTTATTATCCATGGCGAATCCATAGACAGAGCGACAAATTGGCTTTTCCCAAACCTCTAAATGCTTGAATTGCGCCGGAAGTAACTTCTCTCTAAGCATGCTTTCGGGAGGAGATTCATAGTAACGGACTGAGACCCGCCGATCAGCCGCGCAGGAGCTCGCATGTCTACCGACGATGCACACTATGATAAGTTCTTGCAGGCCTTTGAGCGACTTTAGATAGGTTGAGATTGGGTAGAACAGGTGTCTCTCATGGATTGCCAACGAGCGGAGATGAGCCAGCTCTAATGGTCTAAGACTGCCAACAAATCGCGACACAAATGCCGCGTCATTGTAAGAAAGAAAAACCGTGTCAAGGGCAAAATTGAATCGCACCCTTGGAGGATTGTCGTTGTCAGGTGGCCCGCCGAAGCATAAAGGATAATGTCTCGATATAATGGCCCGAGATTCTTGACAGACTTGAAGCGCGATAGGAAGCTCCGCCGGTGAAGTCCATCTAGGCTTATCGTACATTCGGTGGGATAACTCGACCACTCGGGGTTTCAATGTTGCTTGCCACATTGCAGCTCGTATCTCTTTCGGAAACCTCCCAAATATGGGAAATTCTCGTGAAGAATGAGTTCCCCTGATTTCTGGCGCCCCAACAGTGTTGCAGTTTGACATGCTAGCTGTTTACTGAGACAAGTCCAATATTTCCTGGAAATAAGGTAAAGGATGCAACTGATAACAATCCACCCGTTGTTGTTGCCTTCGACTCTTTGAGGGGAACAAGCATGTTCCGACTAGTCTGGCTCATGTCAGCTTCTTTTGCGTTCACGCTCGCTGGTCAGCATACCCAAATTTTGTTGAATTATATTTAGTGTAATGATATTGATATTTGTGTATCTCTGTTCGTGTGGAAGACAGACTCGTTTGGCCACTCTTGCCCCCTTCCTCTAGGGCTCCCTCCAGCTGAAGAAGGGTTTGAAAGAGGTCTTCGTTTTCCCCCGAAGGTTCTCCTCAAATGTAATGACTTGTCGAATTCAAACATGAGAAAGGGGTAAGCGAGGTTAAGTTTGACAACGTTATGTTGAAATGTGTTGGGTGTGGACAGACTTATTCCGAGCTGTTACGCCAATTTCGGGTGCTGCACCCAAGCGAAACGAGATTCGGAAAGACTCACCAATTGATTCTCAGAGCGTTAAAAGACCCGCGGTGGTCCCTGACATTGTCTTTTGATCTAAATAGGGAGATCAAAATGAGTTCCAACCGGAAAGGCCCCGCCTACAGTTGATTTGACATTATCATTTAATCATCTATCTGTAGAATATATGAACTCATTCTGATGTCAAGCGATTCAATATTGATCAAATTCGACATCCTACTGGTAAATCTCTTGACCCAGAAGTTCTACCCATTTTAGTCTATTCTCTGTGCTTAATACTATCCAGTAACGGTAATGTTCGTATGGCATGGCTTCCAATCTTTGAAAGCTCTCAACCACTTCTTTACAGTTTTGATCTCCCAGCGGTGTGCTTGCTGAATAAACATTGGTTCCGCATCAATGTCAAGAATCCCGTAGCTGTCCCAGTGATGGCCAGCTCCAGTGATTAGATATTCCGGGTTGTTATCCGAGCTGGTTCGAAGCGGTGCTTCCGTGGAATGGTAACATAGATCAAGCCATGGATCAATGCCTACGATAATTAGCGAATGGTGTCTCAACCACGAAGCAGCTTGGTATTCTTACTTCCGTCAATGAATGCAAGACGATCTGCTTGAAGATTAAAGCCACCATAGTCGTTGAAAGCTAGCAGATTTGGAGTTTTTGGTATCTCGACATATTTGCCTTTAGGGAAAGCCCAATTACACCATTGTTGACTATGTATGTGTCAATAACCCTTTCTACTAGAGTTTACCGCCAACATAATCGTGTAGTACTTACGTGTAGTCTACCTGTAGGACTTTCATAATCAAGGCAGGGCCTTTGGCTGGTGCAACTTGGTAAGCCCCGAGTTCAGTGCAGGCTGCTTTGATTAGCTTTGAAAAGGTAATAATTGGAGTAAATTACTTGACCATAAGTATGATCTTCCTGCACCGTTCGATGAGTCTTCCCAGTATGTAGCTGATGAAGAATTAGATATGGCCAAATAAAAGTTGTGGTCAGTTTGGGCTACTTACCATTTTGAGTCCCGAAACAGGACGTGCTATCGTAGTCTCCACTTGGACAGAGTGGTAAGAAGTTTTTCTTGAAATACGTCGCATAGTTTCCTAAGTTGGTCCAAGGCTGTCCATGCGTGTATTTAGCTAGAACATGGTCTATAGCTGTGATGTTTGCTGGCGCATCGATGTTGGTGACATTGTTGCAAAATTCGAAGAAATCAGGACTGTTGTAATCTGGGTACCAGTTCAATTCTTGCCATGTATTAGTTGGGTAGTTCATCGGTCCTCCGACTGAGAAGTCATGATTAGTCAAGTTGTAGAAGCAATTTGATGCGACGGCGGCCACTTACTAGGGAAAGCAATGGTCATTGCGAAATCCCTGATGTCTTTCAGCTTTCCGAGACCGAATATCTCTTTCAATTCTTGAATCGCTTTAGCGTTACGAGCGTCAGTTAGCGAGTCGATCTTGGCGACGATGTTGTTGATGCTAGCAATGCAATCTTGCGGTCCATAGCGCTGAATTGGTGCATACCTGAATATCACAGGTCAATTGTCTAGCACATACCATGGAGTGTAAATGCGAGTACCATTCAGGATAGGGCAGCACAACCTTGATGGGTGCGCTGCTGGCAATGCCGCCATAAAGGATATCTCCATATGTTTTTACCGAATATGCGGTTTCCGCACCCGCAAGACTGCCGCCATACAGAATCCATGGCGTACCTGGCGCTGTCAAATTTCCCAATACGCCTGGGAAAATAGCATGTTGAGCGAAGTACGCATTGTCCGCTATTGCTGCCGTATATGTTAGCTTCAATGAAAAAGGAAATCCTTTGGCAGTATACTTTGCTCCGTGGTCAAATATCGTAGGTTATCGGTTGAGCTATTGCTAAAGGGGTAGCTTTGTCCATAATAGCGGTCTTCAATAATGACCCCTAAACCATTGGTCTCTTTCATCAATATCTGAATGACTATCCAGGGTTAGTGAAGCACTTCTCCGAAGACGTTCCGGGCACTCACTCCCAGTCTTCAAGTTGGAAAACCGATTCGTGCCGGCTGTTTCGCCGCTTATATAAAGGTAAACTGGACCACCCGGCTTATAGTAAGTCGAGTCGAAAAAGTATCTCTGCTTGAAAGTCCCAGTCACATGAGGTTTGTATTGGTCCTTATGAGGAAAGTGATCTATCTTTAAGCAAGAGGTTAGTCTCGAAGCCAAGATGGCCAAGAGAGCCAAATGATAACTAACCGGCATTTCAATGGTGTTTGCGGGGTATGAAGCTTGTCTCTCGCTAAGCACCCCATTCTTTGGATTTGCCTCATTCTTGGAGTTCAGATGAGCACAACTAAGGCCAATGAAGCTCGTGAAGATTATAGAAAGCAGCATAATGAAAATTGCAATTCAAAGGACATGACTTATGAGGAAGCAAGTTCTCATAGTCCCTTGAGGTTATAAAGCGGTAAAATTCGCCATAAGCAGCTAAGCCGGAAAAGGAAGGAAGTAGTAGTTGGTCTGCATGAGTGCTAACGCCGAACCTCTTTGCGGATAGCTTCATGCAGAATGGTTACGCAGAAATCATTACAGTATCGCGAAGATGTCGCGAAGGTTGAACTCACAGAACAATAAATAGACAAGGCTCGAGTACGTATACTCATAGGTGGGATTCTGTTGACGTCAGTACAGAGTACCTGCAGCAGAGTGTATTCAAAGAAAGGAGCGTTTGAATTACCCTGCAACGGTACAGTATGGCAGCTCAGGCTATTTCAGGACGTCATGGCAAAATGCAATAAAGCAACAAACTGCATATGGATGTGATTTTGTCAAGTTAGAACTATTGTCAAGGCATGAAGTACTTCGCCCGTAAGAATGCCGCGGACCCGTTGCTTCAAGTCCAATACGCAGATGTAGAACGTACTTGGGACATTCCCCTGAGTTTTATATCATAACGAGCTGGCCGGGTGGAGAGACCCCCTCGTGTGAGCCAATATCACGAGTAAAATTTTGATACTTCGTCAGTAATATTAACCCTTCATATTACTTTGTGTGCGGTGATACAGGTAGGTAAGACCATTCGTTTCGGAGTCAACTATTGAGTATCCTCCTCCGTGTAAGATGGAAAACTCGACAGGCGTGTACTATCTTTCGTGCCGGCTGAAAGGAAAGCTGTAGGGGAACAAGACCTACTTTGCAAAGAGGCTCATATTCTTTCGAAAAAGAGTAGCCTTCCAGGCGCACTAAAGAGCATCCAACCCTTGAAACTCGTGTAGTGGAAATAACAAAGAATTGTACCCTTCACACTTGAAGAAATTTACCGAGGATAGGTGTCAAACTGCGTTCCAAAGCTAGCTGGCGGCCTTGGTCCGATTGATATGACATTAAGATATCAAGCGATTTGATGGCAAGAAAATCTCAAGTCTTTAGTCATCTGAGGCCGACTTCGCGAGCATATCTCGTGTACGTGATTGGAGCGTTTGAAATATCCAGAGGCATTCGCAGAGTTATAGGAGAAACAAGAATTTGCTTATAAACCAGTAATACAAATCAACATCCTGAAGAGAAAGCCAATATAAAATGCACATCAATCTGGAGAAGTTGACGCACATCAATTGTGGAGGTCATCCTTCCATTTCTGTGTGTTTCGACAGATACCTAGGTACATCGAGCACCAAACATCAATGTTTGAGAATCATAATTGTTGCGGAATATAGATCTCCCGATTCCGGAATATTCACGCTACATGAGCACGTGCGTCAAACGCCACTGCGCGTCAAATAGCCTCGTCCCGAAATATTGATCGCGACTCAAGATTATTATTGAAGAGGCAAAAGGCCCTCCTTCCCAGCATCAAGGCTCTTTTTTAGTTGTCTTCTTTCTGTCACTTCTACTTGGATTTCAATAAACACCCTTGGCGGCATAAGCTCGCGCGTCGAGCTTCAGATACCTCACGTCCGAATATTCTGCTGCGAAATAAGCTAGAGCAAAGGTTGCTTAATATGGATCGTGGGCGCGGTGTTGATCGAAGGTTAGCTCTTGATTTTCTAACCTTTTGACCTTCTGGTCTCGTCAGTGTTTTCTCGTCTCGCCTTCTTCATTTCATACCATCTTCTCTTACACCACGGAACTGAGCCTCGAGACTCGACACAACCTGCCCCAATAAGGAGGATCAAGATCATGACGACCCAAGGCGGATCGAAGATATTCAAGGCGTCCACGCCTATCGAACTGTTTCCCGATCACATACCCAGCAATCAGCGTTCAAGTACCGCCGACCCAAAGCACAGAAATGGTTCCACCGCCAACTCGAACGTTAGCGACAGAGGATGGACAGAGAATCATGAAGCTGAAGGATATAAAATACGACAATACCTCACACATACCGGAACTTCCCAGACCACGTTCAACACTTCTAGGAATGGCGCAACGTCTGCTTCCAGCAATCGTTCTGTGCAGTAAGCTCTTCCGACAGTACTCTACCTCACTTCCTACACATCACTTGGAACCTTTCTGGCCGGCACATCCATGCGCCTCTTCTCCTGCAGCCTCATAATGATACACTATCTTGCAATCTTTCACAGTATGAATGCTTCTTGCGCTATTCGTTTGATGCCGAGCAACGGACTTCGTAGATCAGAGTGGTGGTTGCTTGTAGTATTTTGTGCAGATGAGGTACTACTACAACGATTTGCATGCGCCTGTAGCAATGCCTTGCAACTAGTTTGGTCAATACAGTTATCTTTGTGTTGCAAGATCATCTCAGCAAGTCTACGCAGTTTTGTATACTGATACTTTAACAACCCTTCCTTTCTTCTTCTAAACATCGGTCTTTCATTTGCTGCTGATTGCTACCCTTCTTTGTCTTGGATTGGCTGTCACTCATATCGCTACTTTTCCAATCATTTCGCTTCGATTTGGCACTGTAACCTCTCATGAAGCCTAGCTAATAGTTTCAATTTAGGGGCGATGGCGAGGTCACGAGAATGGGCGGCGGCGAGTCGTATAGGCCTACAGCTCGGCCCAGATCACCTCTACGTGTTAGGTCACCAATTATAAGAGCAGATACATATCGAGCCGGCGACCGTGACAGGGCAAAAACACCACCCGCAAGCGATAGTTGGCACCCGGGCAATAGAGATCGCTCTCCCAGGCGAAGATCCAGAACACCACCTCGCCGCGAGCGATCGCCAATGAGGGACAACTGGCGCTCCAGAGCTCGGTCGCCACCGCGTGCAAGAAGCCCGCCTCGTAGATTCTCCCCTAGGAGAGACGACGACCGTAGAGCAAGATCACCCCCAAGAAGGGACGAAAGGTAACATAAACACCTAATCAAAAGGTGGACCGCCACGCTGACATCTGCTGTAGGCGACGCTCACGATCTCCCATTGACCGGAGCCGACCACTCCCTCGAAACAGATCACCACTGCCACGAAGATCACCTCCAGCTGGCCCAAGAGGAGGTTATTTTAGACAAAGATCCAGAACTCCAGACCGTCGAGATGACCGCCGTGATCGACCCCCTGCAGGACCAAGTGCTTCGACCTGGAGAAGACGCTCTCCATCACCACACAATCGCGAATCAGACAGATCATCTGGTAGGACTTCAACCAGCAACTCTCGACGTTCGTCGCCCCATGTTCATCCTGACCGGCTACCTATTACGCAAATTGCTTCACGTGATTCAAGAGCACGTTCACCTCCCCGAGCTCGGTCTCCCCCTCCACAGCGACCTAGATCACCCTACGCACAGCGTCCACGCTCCCCTCCTACTCGCGCTCGATCTCCTCCAAACCAGCGAGCTAGATCCCCCCCAATAAGAGCTAGATCGCCTCCTACGTATAGGAGAGATGAATCCACTAGATCACCGCCTCGGGAGCGCTCTCCTCCGCCACAGCGCACCCGGTCACCCTCTCTGCAATTGGCCTACAGGGATAGAGAAAGGGACTCTACAAGATCTACACCTCGCGATCGTTCTCCTGCCAGGTCTGTCGCTCGATCACCGCCTCGTGGCCCAGCAGGCTTTAGGGCACCAACCGGTCCAAGCGGTGGTAGAAATTTTACTGCTCCTGTCCACTCTACAAGTGCCCCAGTATCGATTTCTGCCCACAACCGCCCGGAAAACAGTGGACCTGCGATTCCTCCGTCTGGACCGCGTGGTTTTGTTCCAACTTCGCGCGGAGGTGGGGGATTTATGCGAGGGGGTAGAGGCTCTTTTGCCGGGGATAGACCAAGCCGACCTGACACTGGAGCGTGGGGTGCAGCGCCTCCAAGTCGTAGTGTGCCTCCAGTAACCACGCGTGACAGTACTCCTACTGCAAAGCCCGCACAAACGCCTTCTCCATCCATATCATCTGGTCCAACAGTTGCATCGATACCTACTGGGCCATCGGGAGGTATTCCCACTGGCCCCCGTGCTGGTGTCGCTACGCGGCCATCTCTACAGCACAGCTCGAGCGTCTATGGCAGTCGTTCTACACCAAGCGTGGCAGCCGGTCCACGTCCTCACCCAGCAATGGCCAATATTCCACCTATCATAAAAGATGGAAGAATAGATCCGACCGCATCGGGTGTCCCCGCTGATATAGCGATGAAGCTGAAGAAAAAGGAAGAAGAAGCTGAGCTACTGAGGGAAGAGCTACATATCAAACAAGAAAAACTAAGACAGAGCTTAAAGGGATGGGATAAGTTAAGCAGGGAAAGTGCGGCAATGGGATTGAAGAGCGAGTTGAGTGAGCGGCACGTAAGGCTGTTAGCTGGTGAGGGTGTTGGTGGTGCAGCATTTTAATGAATTCACGATGTTTTGGTTTCGATACCTTCTCGCCAATACGAAACTTTAGATACCATCATTCAAAAGGTGTCATTGGATTTGCATAGTTCTCTGAGTTTCGATATTTTAAAGACCAGAGTGGGAAATTTAAGCGATGCACATTCTTGTTGAGTTGTAAAATAGATAGATGTATCATAATACGGTCTGGCAAAATAAGAGGACTGCCTACAATGTTATAGCTTTGACTATATTCCAGCAGATTTTACCTCAACAATCTGCATTTTATATCAACATGACTATTCAGCAAGATAATCCTCAACCTCAAGACCCACACTCCTCCCAATACCCCTTACGACATCCCACCCAACCGCAACCCGATACTTACACCCACCATCAAGATAATCCACCGCATTCGCAGCCCCCATCTTCACCAACAACCTCAAACTCGCCAACGTAGCAATTGCAGTCTGTATATCCGCGCTCCCACTCACATCTTCCCTCTCCCCCGTCCTCCGCATCCCCCTCTTCCTATTATACGCAGACACATACGCGTCTTCCTTCAAACAGCTGAAAATTGCAAGCATCCTGTCGAGCACGAACGTCTGCGCGCCCAGTAATTTCCGCGAGATCTTCCTGTGTTTGGGCGCCGATTTGCGGGTTAATGCAGTCCCGCCGCCTTTTTTTCGGCGCCGTGCGATAGCGGATTTCATGAAATGCGTCATGTCTGTTTTGGGCGGGTTGAAGGAGGCGAGGTAGGAGGCAATTAGGAGGAGACGGGTGTGGAAGGGGAGTTGGGTTGCCAGGGCTGGGAGTTTGGTGGTTGTGGTGTTGGTTGTGGGATTGGGTGCTAGGGCGATGATGGAGGGGAGGAGGATGCTGTCGTTTTGGAAGAGGGTGCGGTTTGCGACGAGGAGGCGGGAGAAGGGCGTGGGGTAGTATGTCCCGTCGAGGATTGGTTGGATGAATTTGGGCCAGAGGAGGAGACATGTGCTCCGGAAGGAGACGATGTCGCGGCCGGAGTGTTTGTTGAGGGTGTCGTAGATTGCGGGACAGAATTTGGTCCATACGCTTTTGGTGTCTTCTGGACCGCTGGGGAGTTCCGGGTTGGGTGTTATAGTTGAGATTATCTGAAGCAGTTCTGCTTTGGTGTAAGATGGGAAGTGGATATGGGGGACTCCATGAAGATGCAGGAAATTTGGCCGTGGAGCAGTGACGATGTAAACGATCGTAAGATTTGATATCTGACATTGTTAGTACTTTGGCCTGTGAGTTTACACATTTTCCACTCACGATTTCACCCATTCTCCCCAGGGCGGGAAGAAATGTTGGCGTTATTTCCCTCTGATGATCTATACCATCAAAAACCAATACTAGTCGCCGTCGGGATCTATCATCGTCTGAATCGGTCCACTTATTAATCATTTTCCCAACTTCAACAACTAGATGGGCTACATTTGGACAAGCTGACAACTCTCCCTCCCACTCGGTAGCTTTGGCCACTGATGCAATCGTTTGCTCTAATAGATGTCTGGCTGTGATGCATTCTGCGCTCTTTATAATAGCGTATCGCAACTCATCCTCGTTGTCATCGAGATGCTCATTTTGGGTGCCGTTTTGTTGGGTGGGAGGTGAGCTTAATTTCTCTAGAATTGCGCGAGTGATTGCAGTTTTACCCGTTGCATGAAGACCATAGAGTACAACATTTCGGCATGGAGCTGCCCTGATCTAACAGCGGCAAGTTAGCTTTCTTCTTAATGCTAATGGTAGAGCCACGGACAGCGACGAGGGAGGAAAGAGCTAGTATTTGCTCTTGGCGGCCAGGAAACTGGTTCCTTAAAGTTGATAAAAGGACCTCGTTCGGTAGACAGAACATTGAGGTCATAGCGCCTCAACTAGCTTAGATTTTGTTAAGAAAATCCTTTATGTCGTCTCAGTCGCGTCCAATTCCTTGGGAGACGCGACGTTAGACGCGCGGATAAACGTTATTCCGACGCCGCCTATCGGGCAGCTACGCCGTCTTTGTGCAGAATGCACTAGAGCCTCAATAAGCGCGCCATGATATCGGTTTCTTTGTTGCATTAACACCATGACTTGTGTTCGTGATCTCTTCTAAGTCGCACTTCACTCATTAGCTTACCAACAAGCGGATTTCATTTAGTAGGTGAACGCCGGCCTCCAGGAACGAAACATCGAAGTAGAATTCTTTGCTGCCTACCCTTATCACTGAGTCGAACGCTTCCAAGAAAGCCAACTTGGCGGATCAGCGAGAACACGTAATGAGTCGCGACAAGTTTCTTGTCGAATATTGGTAGCACCATTGTTGGCGGACGTCTTGGCAAAAAGGAAACAGTTTCAACACTGCCCGATAACTAGTCTTGTGACAGCCAGAGCCGAGCCATAGGTGTGATCCATTGATCAAATCCACGGAGCTTAAGATGACGGCGGATTTTATTACTAAAAGACCTCATAAGAAATCTAGAGGAGGGTGCCAAACTTGTAAGACGAAAAGAGTCAAAGTACGCACCATCCCTCATTTTCGTGTTTTTTCTTCCCCTCTAACCTCCGTAGTGCGATGAGGGACAGCCTCAATGCGGGTTCTGTGAGAAGAGGAAATTCACATGTCTGTATATCAAGAAGGTTATCAAGCAGTCGTCGGACGCTGCAGGGAGCCCATCCTCTGATACGGTGTATGCACCCTCATCGCCCAGCAACAGTGATGAGTGGAACGATACAGCAGACCTCTGGGATATGGTTGCTGCACCCACGCCGGCGATCACCACATCTAGTGGTATGCTCTCTCCAGCGGATTTACGTATGATGCATCACTGGTCTACATCTACATGGAGCTCCATTGCAATCGGACCCGAGTCCTCCAGCGTCTTGCTTCTGAGAGTACCACAGTTGGCATTCGAAAATGACTATCTCTTGAATTGTATCCTAGGAATTTCCTCGCTTCATATCGAACATTTGAATCCACAGAAAATATATAACCAGAAACAGACATCCAAATATCGTAGCAAAGCTTTGCTCGGATTTCGGCAAGCGATAGCAAGTGCTGAGAAACAGCCAATCAATTGGGAAGCCGGGTTGATAATGTCAATACTCTTGCTCGCTCTTTGCTCTAAGGATAATATTGATGGAACAAATGGTTTTACAATCGTCAACTGGGTTGTCCTCTACCGAGGCCTTGCTGCGATTATTATGATGAAATCTTACGATGCCATCCAGACCACCGGTGTCAAACCAATCTTTCGTCGAGAACTGAGGGAGTTGCGGTTCGCTCCAGTTGTACCACGCAATCTTGTCAAGCTGCTAGAGGGAATTTCACCCTCTGATTCCGACTTTGAGTACCTCGAACCGTATTGTAATGTGTTGGATGCTTTGGGAATACTTTACGGAAGTTTATCCCAGGATGGTGTAGCCCCCGAACTTTGGGTTAGGGTCATATCGTGGCCAAGTTACACCAGCCAGGAATTTACGAATTGTGCAGTCGAGCAGCGGCCGAGAGCTTTGATCATCCTAGCCCACTATTTGTGCTTTATCAAGCTGATTCAAGGTTTGTGGTGGGTGGATGATATGCCTGATGCAGAGATCAGAGCTATCATGAAACTGATCGGAGATCAATGGCTGCCATTTATGGCGATTCCGTTAGCCGTTGTGGAAGAGACTAACAAAGAAAAAATTGGGCGAATGTTGCTCTTGGGCGAGATTCCATTGGCAATGAATATCCTAGAGCTCCAAGATACAGATGGGGCAGCCATGTTTTCTACAGATATCAGTGTACTTGATGAAGCCAATTGCTCGTCCGAAGTGTTGTATCCTATCCTAGATTAGGATCTGCGGAAATAAGATTCTTCTCGAACTTATCAGTCACAAGTAACCGTCATCTGACTTGGTGCAAGCCAATAAGTGCTCTTGATGGCCAGTTTTGCCGGACGTTTCTCGACTATTTAGAAAGAAACTTCCAGGACAAAAGACCACACGCTTGGCTCAGCGTGACAATGTGAGCAGCTTTCATCTTGCTCTACTCGCACAGTTGCGCTGATAATAAATCTAGCTACATGCAGCACCTCTACAAGTGTAAAGAGAAATTCTTGAGACGAGTATACACGGTCCGCGCGATCTTGCTCGGCCTACTGACGCTATTTCGCTCGATGGGGAAGAGCAGATTGAAGTGGCTGGTCTTATCTTGTCATGTGCTTCGGAAAGGTGCTTGTATGTTGATAATGTTCATACTGAAGATTCATTAACAGCGTCAGAGGATCTACACAAATTGCGGGATTTTCTACTGCATTCGAGTATCGAATAGGTGGTGCGAATAAGCTATTTTGTTCAGGATATTCAGGATTTTGCTCTTTATCCCTTCTCTACCCGCTGGAGTAGGCAAGAGGGGTGGCAGTTGACTAGACCACAGTCCACTTGATCGGTTGGAGCAATTAACAGGAATGTTTGCTTCCGTGTGCTTCAATCAAAGGACGTGGGTTACTGATTGGCCTTTTCTACCATTCATGCAAAGCAAGACACAACAAGTCGCACCCTATCAGGATTTTCATCGCGATTCTTTGTCCACCGCGATCCCGCGTTGTTGTGCCAAGTCGTCGAGATATATCTTCATTGGAACATCTAACGATCTAGACTTCAGCCCTGCGCCAACGGCGCTCTCGGCAACACAAGCGATCCCAACCATGAGGTGCGACTTTTCGGATGTAAAGTTAGCATGCGGCTGACGTTCAATGGCTTCCCTCAAAGCAAATCATACCAAGTCTACAGCTTGATCAACTCATTAGCGGTTGCCGATATGGCGCAGATGGGACAGGTCAGACGTTGTCTTCGAGGACAATCCTTTTTTCAAAACACCTGCTCTTCTACCGTCCTCTCAATTTGTATCATTAAGTATGCATATTGTATACATCTTTGGGGCTTTGCTCCTCGGTGTCAGTTTTGCACAGCGACCTAGCAATAATACAATATGCGATTACTATACCGTCAAATTGTATGGCGCCAATACAAGCGATACCCAGAATCAGTTGATGCAGGGAATCATAGCTCTAGCTTTCGGAGGCGGAGCAAACATTCCAAACGCAACAGATATCACCGGCGTGTTCAATCCAGGAACATATCAAGGCGTCCCTGTTGATCTGCGGCCATGGTTTGACGGCTCCAAAGCATCCACGAACCTCAACAATCAGCCTGTAGGGATTAATTGGCTGGACGGAGGAGGAGTTCAACCGCTGAACAATTTCTTGACGAGTGGAAGTCAGACTGCAATCCAATTTTCGACGAATACTACAAATCAATAGTAAGTGATACCTCAGCTTAGATTTCAGAATACATTTCCCGCTTATATAGACATTTTCATTATTTATAAAAAGTGAAGGTAGAACAGAATACCGCGGAATGCATTCTGACACCTCTCGACAAACTGGCAGCTGAGTTCCATATGCTAACTACTGTAACACAGTCGACTATTCTCACATTGGACCTTTGCCTTCTCTCGCCTCTTCGGCTGTACGCAACCTAAACCTCTGCCCGCGTTGCCTGGCGGCTTCCTCTCTCTTGCCTACGTCCATAAATTCATGGGTTTGAACTACACCGAAGTAGGACATTTCATAAACCAGTTGACAAAAGCCTCTGGCCATTTCGGGTTTTCGGACCAAGATGCTCTCACTCTGAACACACAAATGAACGCACAGTATAACGTGAGATGTGCACCGCCTGTCGACAATCCAAGACTAGGACCACAGCTGTGGAGTCTTTGCCAGAACGAAACATGCCCGCTAGCACAACCAAGTGCAGATTGCGCGCCCTATGTCGATATTCAACCGAGTGGTGTGTCAAGAGCCGTGTCCGGAACAGCTTCACCATCTGTATCACCTACAGCACCACCCACCTCCTCAGCAGCGACAACATCCGCTTCTGCCTCCACCACTACCTCATCCACATCCTCGTCACCTACAACCGCCGCCTCCTCGTCTCCCGCAACACTCTCCCCCGGCGGCATAGCAGGCGCAGCAATCGGCGGAGCGGCCGTCTTCCTCTTCTTCATAACCCTAATAATCTACCTCCTCCGGCGCCGCCGAAACGACAAACCAGCCCCAGAACACCTGCCGCCCACGACTCAATCCTACTACACTGCCAGCCAGCCCGATCATCACGCGAGTTATATGAGCGGCAACACAAGTCAGACTGCGCACGTCGAGCAGTGGGTTCAGGAGGCTCCTAGTGAGCCGCCTGCGGAGATGGAGGGGGGTGCTTGGACTTCGAGTCCGAAGACGGGGCATGTTAGTAGTAGTACTTATTTGAGTCCGGTGAGTCCTAGTAGGTATTGAGGTTTCGGTGGCTGAGAGTGGTAATGTGCTGCGTGAGGACGCTTCGGAGTGTATGGGGGATTAGGGTTAATGTTATTTATGGTATTGCCTATTTGGACTTTCGGTTGGCAGATGACTGCTGTTGGTAGCCTCTAGCTGAGCCCATTCGGACTATGTGTTGAAACATAAAGCCTTTTAATCACCGCCGATCTTTAGACAGGACTTTGACAGTTCTAGTATGTTAGATATTAGACGGATATACGACGTTGCATCACACTGATCGAGTATATATATCCTGTTTTGGCTGCCACTCATTTTGACTACTTAAAGACTAGGCACAAAATGCATAGGAATATTCGCACATCATTCAAAGGACTCATGCTTGACACTTTAGGACGGCTGTGTCCTCACTCGTAGTGTTGAACTTCTACGGCATTGAAATTTGACGTAGGGTTGAAATGCAACACCAACACATGATATTTGAGTGCCCAGTTTTCGACCGAATATATCAATCCGAAATTCTATGATTCAAATAATGGATTAGACAGTACGGTGTAGCACCAACTTTACAAGCCCTACATTTCGTCGATTTCAGCACGTCGCAACGTCAAAGCGAGAATGTTACATATTCATACCGATTAAGATGATGTCACGACGTTAGTTTTGAAGGTAGTATATGTATTGATTCTGCATACTTAGCTATGGTCCAAGTCGGCATGGATGCCTCTGGACGTCTCCTGTGGATATCTCTAGTTACTTATAGACAATAAATACAAGTCCGATCACCGTTATAAGGCGCATTCCCTCACAGCGCGACACGATACAACCCGTAAATATATATCCTCTTCCAACGAACAAAAAATCCTCCTCAATTTACAAAAGCTTGGTTCTCATACCCTCATACATACTCTCAGCCGTTGAGTTGCTTGGAGCATCTGAATTGTTCCTATCAAGTGCTTCACGCCACTGTATCTTCGTGTCAGTAAAGCCCTGCCACTCATCGTTAAACAAAAAGGGGTAACATGCCTTGAAAACAAAATTCAATATCAGAGCAATAATGAGAGCAAAGCTGACAATCATTGGACCAATAAGATTGTCAAAATCTTTGCCACTTCTTGCAACAATCATCTCTCGGCGGGTCCGATGCATATAGTAGCCCCATCCGGCGGCGAAAACAGAAACAACGAGATATGTGATACCCATAGCCAATCTCACACTATCATGTGAACCGGTGTTGGAAAGAACGATAGCAAAAGACCCGAGCAAGAAGCAGATGTGCTGCCACTTGAGATAAGTTCGTTCGTTGGCTAACCACACCTTCGGCTCCACCTTCAAGGGCCCAGAGTCCTTTATGAGCTGGGTTGGCTTGAGAACTCCCGGCGGCAATTGTACGGTCTTTTCTCGACGTGCCTGAGCATATCTCGACAATGAGAAGGACGGAAAGACTGATGAAAGAGTCCCATAGCCACCATTTCGATTGCTAGTTTCCCCCTCGTTGTCCTCAGTGGCAGCGTTTTGAGACTTTGACTTTCCGGTGAAGTTAGATCGTCGACCAGCACTGGCTTCAGCGGCCATACGCTCCTGCATGTATGATTTGGCCATTGGTGAACTAACAGCCGCCTTGTAACTTGCACTGGGTCTCGACGTACCCAAGAAGCTACCAACGACCTGTTCATCTGCGGCACGCCTGGCTTTCCTTTCCTCTTCTGCTTCGAAAGCCGCTTGTGGGTCTTTCCGAATATCAGTCTCAACTTCACTTAGCCAAAATGGCAGATTATTAACATTGTCTTCAAATAAAGTGGCCACTCCATGAACGAATTTGGAGAACCGAGGTGCTTTGTGAACGAGGTGAGAAGACATGAGATCATCAACCCATTGTGGATGCTTTTTGATCCCATCCTCTTTGACCTTGATTTCCAACAGAGCGTAAGGGAATTTCGACAATTCGCCTTGGTTGATATTAGAGAATGGATATTCCATAGCGCTATTATCAATATCCAGCCTGTGCCAATTATTGGGGGCCCGGCAGGGTCTGTTAGCGTCAATTGCGTCTTCTCGAATGAAAGCTAAACTAGTATCAATGGACATCCTGACTTTGTCATCCTGAGGTTTCTGAAAAGCTGTTCTTGTATAATTCGCGCGCAAGACTGGCTGTAGATCGTTGTCGAGAATAAACTTCTGAAGGCTGTCGACAGTATTTTTGAATTCCGCAACCTTCGCTTCAGGCTGCCCTTGACGCTCCATCTTTTGAATACTCTTCTCCATCTTGTACTCTCCTTTAATAAAAGCCTGAATGTATTTCTCCTTGATCGGAAATCTCCTCTCCTCGCTACTTCCGTTCTGATGAATAATTTTCTGCTCGATGACCAGTTCTGGACTCTCCTTCAACTGCCCCGCCCAACGGATTCTTATAGACGAGGCATCAACTTGGCGCTCCACCTTTTGGTTATAGAGGGCGAAATCGGGATTATCAAAGTACAATGAGTTGAGGGTGGGGTCGCCTTGGGAATCAAGGCCCTTGGATGATTGCTCGCTGTATACCAGGACTGGTAGCCGCCGAAGTATAAAAGTTCTCACTTCGAGTAGGTTCTCCATATGAATCCAGACTGAAATAGCGTTAGTTGGAATCTTGTATACGGCACCGAGGGTACGAACACTTATATGCAACATATCTCTCGCCGTTCTGTGTCTCTGACTGGGCGTCAGCAGAATTTATAGGTTCCGGAGCTTCGTCAAGTTGTTGTCGAACGACATAGTACATCATAGAGAGCTTGTTTAATAGAGGAGCGTAACCTTCCTCAGAGTTGAAGGCCCGTTTCGATAATCGCAGTTGTACCATCGGCCTAATCTTGTAGTGGTTTCCCCGTTTGCGATCGTGTTTTTTGACAATTTTGAGGAACCCCGTATAATTAATATTACTGTACTTCTTCAGTTCCTTCGTCTCGTTCGTAATCCCGTCGAGCTCCTCCTCGATCTCCTTGAATCTGCCAGCGGTTATATCACCCTTCTTCGCGCCATCCTCGGGAGCAAGGTCTCGTAGTTTTTCGCCCGTCTTCGCAGCTCGGTCTTCCAGCGCCTTGAAAGTTTCTGCTTGGAATGCAGCAACTTTCTCCAACTGCACGTTCAAAGTTTCGTCACAGAACTTATTCTCGTCGTCTTCGGTCCAGGTGGGGTCGTCTTCGTCCTCTCGTAACATGCCTTTCAGCTTCGCGTAGTCCATGTACTGATCTTCCCATGGCGGATAGACCGAATTTCGCAGCTTCTTTCCAAAACGCATTCTGATTGTCCTCGCTTTTTCTTGGGTAGCTGGGTTCGCAGGTCGCCGTTGCGAAAGTACGCGCAGGATAAAGCTTTGCCGATGCAAATATCAGCCCTTGAAGAGTGGGGATCACGAATTATCCGATGATGGAGGTCCAATGTCGAATGCAGGATTAAAATCTTGAGTTTTTGGAGTCTAGACAACGTTGGGCCAGGGCCCAGGAGCTTGTACTTTGTACCGCTTCACAAGTCCGCCCCACCATGTTTTGGCACGAGGAGAATGTCAGCTTCTCATTGGCCAATCCAGAAACAAGAAAATCCAGTGCTCTGATCGAATAGGAGTTCAAGCTAGACATCGCTTTGCATACTTCACTCGAAAACAATATCGAACTCATAGAAGATCTTTTATATTTCACTCAGGCTCTCAAGGTGGCTCATTGGTTTAATTCATTGATAAAACTACGTCAACCAGTTGTAGAAATGCGCAATGCAAAAATGTATCAACAAGCATCTCTTTTCAACCCTATATATCTACATCTGAGCCACAGCCGACAAGAACGCATCTTGGAGGCCACTGTCTGGTAATTACAATCCAACGCTCAATGATGCCGACGCCAAGCACACCGGTACCCCAAAAAAGTAGAAAGGGCATTATATCATACATGCTTCAACACTCAGCAATCATCCTCATATTCGATGCCCTGCTTCAATTGCCAAATTGCAGATTTGGCCCGCTCTCTCACGTTCAATTCCGGGTCGTGTTGCAACATCTCCAGTTTTTCCAAGAAGCCGAGGCTCTTCAATTCCTTCGCTCGCTGACAACATGCCTGGGTATCATTTGCGTCGTCCATCCACGTGAGATTGGTGATCAGCCAGCAAAGTGCTAAGCGTACTTCAATACTAGAATGATTGAATTGTGGAACCAGAAGCTTGAGCAGCTCGGTTTGCGCGATGACCAACTGTCGATGGCGCGGAACACTGGCTGCCATATGGACAAGAATGTACCCTACCGCTGCAATAATCTCGGACTGAGGGGGAACAACTATTCTCTCCGTCGGTGCGCCACGTCTATTTGATGGGTGGATGATCTTCGACTTAAGCTTGGAGGCTAGAATTTCAAAAACTCTATCTTGACCAAGTGCGAGGAAAAGGAAATCAATCATCTCAGTAGTTGCTTTATTGCCGCCAGCGCCAGCTCCTCCAATGAGATTTCTGATAAAATCAAGTCCTTGTTCTTGTACGGCAATATCATCTTTCCTAGCCTTGCTGACCGGGTTTGTCTCGGCTTCCCGTAATGCTGCAAGACGCAACTCAGCTTGCTTAATCGATTTGCTTCGGCTGCTACTAGGCCTGGAATTATTGGAACGGCCGAAGGATGTACCCATGCCAGAAGCAAGGCTGTCTTCGAACTGATCCACTTCCATGTCTTCGTCCATATCATCATCCAAGCTCGAACCTTCCCCAGCTTCACCACCAGTCCTTGATGAAAGGAGAGCTTCATCTTCAGTATCATCACAAATGAGCTGTACCAGCCATCCTTGACCGAGTTCTTCTAAGCATATCTTCTTCAGGTCGTTGCTGACTGAGTGTACATAGTGTTTCAGAGCCCAAAGAGCATTCAATCTCAGTTTGGCATTCGTCGAATGTACGTGCAAGCACAAAATTTTGAGAACCCCCGCTTCTCCTATCTCCTAATCAAGAAGTCAGTATTGATCAAAAATCAATATGATTTACTTACATCACGCATAGGACTGACATCGGTCACGAGGTTGCATACGGTCGCTGTGGCCGCAATTTG